TTTTTTTTTTTTTTTTTTTTTTTTTTTTTTTTTTTTTTTTTTTTTTTTTTTTTTTTTTTTTTTTTTTTTTTTTTTTTCGGTCAAAGGTCAGGTCAGTCAGTATGGCTCGAAACGCAAATATTCGGAAGCAACAATTCAAGATCCGGGTAAAATGATCATTTTTCGCAAAAAATCGATATCAGCTGATGTCAATAATTCCGTGTTGGCTACGTTTAAGTTCGAGACGTTTTCAAGTCCAGCGGACAAGATCATGTTTTTTGATGTCCACCTGTGTGTGTGGCTATTGTAGATAATGTTATTTTCCTGAACCTGGACATCACAATAGAAAAAAAAAAGCAGTTTAACAAGATGTAGTGCGCAGGGTCCAAAAATCCTTGCACGACATTTTAGTCTAGTAACATCCTTCGTCTTCTAGATAATTTAACTCTTTTATTCAGTCTCCAGACCGTATTTATTTTTCCCTTATTGTCTCTGCATCCCCATCAAAACCGATCTTAACCATCAACTTAACTCAGGCGAGACTCCAAATCAAAAACTTTTCCCGATATATCTCTTAATTAATCTTAAAGTTTATTTTATATTTGCAACTGAACTGAGCATCGCAAGAGAGAGTATCTCAATAATGACGTCGCCGGAGCTGACGGAATCGGTCAATCCTCTATATGTCATCAAGATGTACGAAGACTCAGCCGTGTTGGAGAATCTCTTGGCAGTCTTCAAAAATACATACAACTATCCCGACGTCAACTGTGAAGTGCTGAAGGGCAACTCTGAATCCCCGAGGACCGTCTTCGCTAGATTTGAGGAGAAAGAACATTTTGAGAAGTTCGGGGAGTTCCTTGAACAGCGTGATATAGAGTACGAGCATGTTGCCACAGAGCACGAGCTCAAAAAACAATTACCCGGAAATCTTTATGTTAGAGGTTTACTCCCCACAACGACGTCCGAGGATCTAGTGAGGATATTCAGCAGGTATGGAGCCCTTGTATCGTGCAAGATCATATACGATGATTATGGAGTATCGAAAGGGTATGGTTTTATCAATTTTGCGGATCGGATTGATGCTCAAAAAGCCATCGATAACCTCAATGGCGTCAATGTCGATGGCAACCATCTGTTTGTCAACCATCATATTTCCAAAAGAGACAGACTCAAAGAGCTAGAGATGAAGAAGCTAAAATACACCAACCTTTATGTGAAGAACTTTCCCGACGACCTGTCGAAAGAAAAGCTGGCAGAGGTTTTCGGTCAGTACGGAGACGTCGAGTCCGTTTTTCTACCCCAAGGAACCGGAAACCACAATAGAGGCTACGCATTCATTAACTTTAAAAGCCACGAGGATGCGGTCAAAGCACAAGAAAATTTAGATGGATTTGAAATCGCTTCCGGATATAAATTACAGCTCGGAAAGGCTGAGCGAAGGAAGGACCGGATGCAAAATCAGATGAATAGTTATAAACCGAGCTACCTTCCGTTCCAACCACAGTACATGCCTCCTCAGCCAGAGCACTCCAACAATCTTTACCCCTCCTTTATTGTTTCGCCAGATTCAAATCTCATTTCGACTGCAACCGGCCTTCCAATAGCAGGTCCACAATACCAGGATTCAAACTTGTACATAATACACCTGCCGTTGGAATACAAAGACCAAGACCTTTACGAACTATTTGCACCTTTTGGCCAAATCATGTCAGCCAAAATCATGACATACCCACCAAATGATTCGGCAGTGATCGACGAAGGAGAAGAGGACACAGAAAGTAAGACGCGAGAGGGACGCTCTAGAGGATTTGGGTTTGTCTGTTTTAATAAACCTCTAGATGCATCAAAAGCATTGGTGTCGATGAATGGATATCGTGTCGATGATTCCCATGTTTTGGAAGTCTCCTTTGCTCAGAGAAAGGAGAACAAATTTGAGAAGGGAAGGTTGCATCACTATAATCAAAATCACCTTGGCAACTTCTACAATTATCTGAACCAGAATTTCACTAAGCGCAGTTTCAGCCTTCCAGCAAGCATGCACAGTGGAGGGTTCTTTCCAATGACAGCACCTTCCCCATCTCAGGTTTCTTATTCTCTAGTTGACAGTCCGGGAGTACCACAACCCGGTTCTCGTACAATGTCGGTGCCTTACATCTCTTACAATCCATACTATTATTATCCATACCCAATGCCTCCTGCTTCGCCGTTCGTCAAAGAAGGCGATACGGAAGAAGAGGGAGCAGAAGGCTCAGCAGACCAAGGTTAGAACAATAGAAATGAACATATATCAAAATCGGAACTTATAATACTTGTATAATCTTATATCTCTTTAATAAACACTCATGATACTCATAAACTTGGAGGGTACTCTTCTTTGACGCGCTGGAAATCTTCCATGATCGGTTCTTCGTCGTCCGCAACTTGCTCCACGCTTTTAACTTCGTCGATGTAGAACTTGAGCATCTCCTCAATGCCATTCTTCAATGTGATCTCGCTCGAGGAGCAACTCTTGCAAGCCCCGATCAGCCTCAAGAAAACAGTTCCCGTATTTTCATCAAATCTAACAAATTTGATATCGCCTCCGTCTTCCTGTATAGCAGGCTGAATTCTTGTGATCAAGAGTTCGTTGATCAAAGCAACAACTTCGTCTTCGTCTTCATAGCCATCAACATCTTCATTTTCTGCTGACTGCTCTCCCAGTATACTGACGTATTTCTGATTTATCACTGCCTGTCCTGAAGTTAAGTGTTCGGTCAAAATGGAAAAAATCTCGGGTTTTAGCAACGACCAACTGTGCTTCTCTCCCTTGATCACTGTTATGAAATTGTAGCCAAACAAGATCGACTTGATCGATTTGTCATTTACGCTTAAGAGCTTGAATGCCAGTTCAGACTTATTCAGTGCGTCTTTTATACCTGTGATCTCTAACGTAGGAGTGTTTGGAGATGGCAAAAACTTGAACTCTGAGGGCACAAACTTGAGCGCATTCTCGTTGGGTGTCGATTGTGTTTGGATAAACAGGCTTCGGAGCTGGCCGAGCAGTCCAAGGCGGCGAGACGTGTGACGGGAGGCGAACATTACTAAAGGAAATTATTATTTAAACTCCACTTTTTATCTATCCACTTTGGCATCGACGCGTCGATATCACTAGATTGGAATCTTTTCCATCATGTCGGGATTCTGTCTCCGTGGCAGCTTATACAGGTGGAATTGAAGAAGGAAGACCAAATCGAATAGCATTGTAACGAATATAAGCCCAAGCTTGCTTCTGTTTGCCTCCAGGAGCTTCCATAAGGTTGTTTTGTTTCTCAGCAAAAGCTCAACAATTGAGAAGAAACAGCCCGAAAGATCCAGTAGAATTTGCATCTTCGAGATGCCAAACATAGACCTTCTCTTTGCATTGTGTAGAACTTGTGGAATGTACTTCGTACAGCTGACAAGAATTTTGCAGTAGGAAAGGTTTAGCGTGAACTTCAAAAGCTGGTTTTTCTGGTTCCTGTAATAAATATTGTACAGCAAAAAGAGAGCGAACGCAGCATAGTAGCCTTTGACAAGCTTACTGAACTTGAACGAGGTTCTTGTGTTTTTTAGGCCCCACCACTGATTTCCCAGAATGATCTGTGACAAGAGTACAACGGTTAAAATCCAGCCGTGCACGGAGTAAGCCAGATCAATGACGGAGAGTAGCGGCATGTTGCCACCAAAAGCGCCTGCAAACTGCTTCCTTACTGTTTTGTTGAACACCTGGAGATAAATAGACGCTGTGTAGCACGAGTACCCAAGCAGGTTGAGAAGAGCGAAATCGAACGAGATGGAATCGGCGCTTCGAATCCTCAAATTCAGCAAAATGGTGGGATAGAAGGACACACTCCAGGCTAAGGCATAAAGCCAACCAGAAACGGTCGCCAGCTCTAAGCTCATTGCATAGGGGGAGGGTAGCTGAAATGAAAGTTGTTTTTAGCTCGTTTGTAAAGCTGACCTAAGCGAAACTCGTGCCGCGAAAAAACTCCTTGGAACATTCTACTGTATGGCCCGAACAAGAGCGATTGATTGAGATGGAGGGCTCGAAAATTAGTGACGTCCTCGTACGTAGGTCACAGACAAATGTGCTGAATAATCAGATATCATGGTCAAGACAAGGACATCTCGCCTACGCGGCTCCTCACGTTGGGAAACATAATTTGCTAATGACATATCTTGAGTGTGTTGACGGTCAGACCTGGCAATTGGCGCCACCAACAGGATTCCAAATAGGATCGTTTGCCAGAGCATTGGGAACTAGAAAGTATCATTATGATCACGAGGATGAACAAATTCCGGGAGCTGATAATTTATCTAAGCTGACGACTGTTCAGTTTAGTAATACTGGGTGGGACTTATTTCTTAGCGACTCGATCGGCCACGTGTCCATTTGTGTGACTGGAATTAAGAGAGTACCCCCTACTGCCCCTGGACATGCCGTGGCTCATACTGCTGCTACCCCCTCGATTAGTCATTCTCCGCCATCACAAAACCAGGGGGTACAGGCTGCGCAATATTCCCGTACTTCGTTTAATTCGTTCGAGCTCCTGTACACGGACAGCTCGTTTGCCCCATTTCCAGATCTTTCAACCGCTTTGAAAAAGGAGGGAAACCAGATATTGTCCGTCAAATGGCTCAACATAGATAAACCTGTGATCGTCAACTCCCCGGCGGTGAAAACACAATCAACGCAGGAGACCGCCGTGACGAATGGCTGCGCGTCAAAACTGGGAGCTGCTGCACACGATGCTCAGGGCTACTACTACACTTACACAGCTCACCAATACAAGCCGTACGGGGCTATGCACCCTCTGGCGACGAAACAGGCATGTATTGGCGTGCGAAAAAATGGAGAGGTTTGTCTCTGGTACCAGGAGGATCACGGAATCGAGTACAAGAGAGTCGTGAATCAGCTCCCTGTAGGAGATGTCCTACTTCAGCATGCTGCAATCGGCTTCACCAGAGACGGGGAAGTTATTGTGGCTGTCCAAATCGGAGACGATTTGAAACTATTCAGGATAGTCATTGATTGGGGTTTTCTTAACGAAGCGGCCAAACAACTTACCAAAACGCCTTCGTACAGAGTTCCCGATGAAAATAGAATACCTCCGAAACTAGATATCCGCAAGGTGGCGAGCAGAAACCTCTGCTCTGTCGACCGTAACGCATCTTTCTGTACTGGTGTACAGTTAGTCTCTCCAGATTTCAGCCAGTCCACGGAATTAGAGCTGCTTTTGGTTTTTGACAACGATAGATGTCTCGGGACTAGGTCTCCCGTCTCCACAATCTACAGATATCAATTGCGTCACCTCGACATGGCTTCTGTCATCCATCCTATGTTTGGACGGATAGCATCTAATCAGAACAGCGTTTTTGAGTCCCGCAAAACCTATAATCTCTTATTCAAACAGAAATTCACCTTTGATGAAGCAATTGTATGTCTCGAGTTGCTAAACCTTGATCTGACCATCGCAGTTACACTGGCAAATGGTGTCATCAAACTGATTGATAGGCAAACTTTCAAGGTCGCCCAAAATATTTACAATTCGGATGGAATGAGTGATGATTTTGGGCCAACAGTTCCTCTGCTCCCAGAAACCGTGTCATGTCTCAGTGATGCGGGATTTGAGTTTCCGAAAATCCAATTCCAGCCGCAATACACCTGTATTTCGCCAAACGTTTGTTGCTGTGTTGCTATGCCGTGGAGCGAAACAACACTCCACATCTATTCTACCCGCACGAACGCGTCGCAATCAGACGGCCCTCCCAATAGAAAAGGGCTTCTTCTGGCCACAGCAGCAGCCATAGCTTTTTGTCATACCAATGCTTGCTACTATGGGTATTCAGCAGATGATCTGGTGGCCACGATTCGCTGCGAGCTTGAACAGGCTAAAATCAATCGCGGAGATGAGTACGCCTATAGACTTTTGATGTCAATATTGCAGGAAAGCCAGAGAGCGATAAACTTGAGTGTCGATGTTTCCAGCGAGCAAACAGATAAAATGCTCCAGAACCAACCTCTGCAACGAATACTCACTCTGCAATTGTCTCTTGGCACAGAACTGAACTGGCGGCGGAACAAAAGCGGCATGATAGCCTGGGCGCTTGTAAATTTGAAGTTTGTCACGTCATCTATCATGTACACCATTCACACGATTTATTCCAATATGCAAAGGTTTGCAAAAAAAGGACTTCATGTTTCTGATACTCTTGCAAATGCACGCGCCCGCGAAGAGAGCATTATTGCTGTGCTTGGAGTTATCAGATGGTGTGTCGACTATATCGTATGGTTGAATCAAGAGCTGGTTGAGCTGCACGGTGTCTTCAAAAGTAATAACCCGAAAGAAGTTGAGCAGTTTCTTGCCAAGTCGGTTGCAATTCCTCTTGTGCTGGGGAAAGTTCCACGATCGTTCCTAATTTTTGCGATTTCCAACATAAGGAGACTCTTCTCTTTCGTGCAAAAGTTCATTGAGAAAAACGATCCTTCACTGGCCGCTTTAGTGACTCCTGATAATCCAATGGGGACTTTCAAATCACTTGAAAACCAACTGCTTGCAGATTCGCCATGGACGCTGGCTGGCCCATCAATCAACCAGAGTCAGTTGGGAAAAGTCATTGTAGCACATCCAACGATCGAGGCCTACGTTCGTTTGGGATCGCTGATGAACAATTCGCCGATAACCTTGCACGCTTTTGAAAGGTTTCTTTTGGAAGCAGACGGGCCGCTCAGAAATATGAGACTGGATCAAGTGACAGCACTTGCAATTGAACAGCAGCTTATATGCCAGGGACATGTTTCAAAGACGTTTGTTGAGCCTCTTAGAAAATTGTGCGAAGTGTATGATCGGGTTGTGCTTACCAACGGGAGTGTCGACCTTGTGGAATTATATTTCTATGATGTGAGCTGGCTTAATCTCGGTGTCAGGGAGGCAGATACTGCAGATATCGAAGCAAGAGAAACGCGTCCTGCTCTGATTCAGCAGACGGACCACAAGATCTCAAACATCTACAACAAAAAGCTCATACAGATGAACACTTATGATGGCCTCATTCTCGATATGCTCCGCCGGCAACTCCTGAAGCCCTCCGAGTTTATTGTGGACCAATCTGTACAGCAAGTGAATGGCTCTGGAAGTAGACCTGCAGTGAATGGCTCAACTTCCTCCAATACGCATACATTAATGATGCGCAAATGTATCAGATGTGGTACTATTTCCTCGGTCAACGACAATGAGGTATATTTCAGTTCGCCCACATTTATTGTCAACCCGGTGTACCAGCATTATCAGCGAATTTGTTTTTGTGGCGGCGCCTGGGCTAATATGTGATGCTCCTACAACATGATCTTGCAACCCAAAAGATCTGGCATCTAAAGGATCCAGCTAAAGAAGGATTTACACGATACATAATATGATGAAATGTGTCCATTTCTTTGGGAAATGGTTGGACACTAGGTTATGTGCATTATTGAACTTGTTTCTCTAATTCTTCTATAAAATCTCTTGACGTGCTATGTTGATGCATTATTTTTGCCAGATCAATTATGCGACTTTCCCGATTCTGATAATTAAAAAAGAGCACACTTTTTTTTTGCCCCAAGTAGATCTTCAATCAAGCTCACTATGTCCAGGAGCTCCATGACAAAAGTTCCATCTAGAGTCCATTCTTTAGTTCCAGAAACATCTCTGGCGTCCTCTCGGGTGTCTGATTTATCGCTTTCGAGAACTGCAACATCAGCCTCCACCAACTCGATAACATCGCATTATAGTACACTGGACTCCAATTGGCTCCCTAACACTGCGATCGTGAATCAGCCGCGTATAAAGATCTCCTTGACTTTGAGTCCTAAAGAAATTGATCTTCTGAAAAGCTCGTGGAGCAAAGTCATAAGCTCATCGCCAACAGGATCGGAGACTTCAAGAATAAACACCCCATCTAGTATTCCTTCAGCAACTGGATCTCTACGCGGAACTCCACAAAAACAGACCCGTTCAATCAATATTGGAACGACAAATTCAGGATCCTCGTTTGCGTCGTCATTATTTTGTGTTCAGCTATATGAAAACTTCATCGCTCGTGATCCCATGATTGAAAAACTGATCCCGTCAATAAAGCACCAGGCATCTGCTTTCGCAGGTGTGATTAATGTTGCCATGTCCACATTGGATGACCTCAGCCGAATGAACGAGTCTTTGGAAAGTCTTGGAAGGCTGCACTCAAGAATTTTGGGAATCGAGCCAGAGTATTTCCAAACGATGGGCGAAGTGCTGATCAAAACTTTTAGAGACAGATTTTCCAACGACATGGCTGATGGATTCTCGCTCGAAACAGAAGAGGCCTGGATCAAATTGTACTGCTTCCTTGCGAACTCCATAATCCAAGGAGGAATCGACCCAGTTATCAATTATGAGTCACCTGCAGCCGAACAAGATTCCGTTACCTCTTCTAAAATCAAAAAGAAGCAGAGTGTTACAAGTTTAGACTCATTGTCGGGATCCACGTTGGCGTCCAATTCCCTCCCATCGCCCAAGAAATCTCATAATATTCCCAAACAATCGTACCTGAATGTGACGAAGAGAAAGCTGCAGAGATCGGGCAATTCAAAAACAGGTGCTAAATCCAACGCCGATTGTATGATTATGTGATGTTACTTAGCATTCAACTCACGTATCAGCGCAGCAATGACTCCATTGTGAATCCACTCGGCATCTTTCTCTGCGCTGTCTTGTATTGTCTGCTGGATAGTATCCACGGTGAGCAGAACTTGTTTGTCGGGTACAAATACACTGCCTCCCAATATACCTAGAAGAGAGCAATACGTTGCTTCAAGCCACTTACCAGCATATCTGCATTGCTGTCTTATCTCACTTGAATCCAGCTCCATATGTTCCATTCTTCTTCTTAGCATCTGGATGTCAGACGCGTGACTTTTCACGTTCATGCGCTCTTTCGTCCTGATCGCAACTCGCAGCATTTCTAAAAGTTTGATACATTGGGTATGATGAGATATGTCGTTTTCTAGTGTTTCATAGCCCTCAATCGGTACTCCTATTATATCTTCAAAAGCATTCCTGATGAAATTAGCTAGCATTTCAAGTTCTATGTCGTGCTTCTTTTCTAGCGATTCGTAGAAGGCTTTTGCTTCTTTGTATCGTTTTAATTCACGACTTCTTTCCTCATTGAGTACTTGCAAAAGACATTTTAGCTTCTCGCTCTCCTCGTGCATGAACAAGAATCTCTCCATGAGCCTATTGTGATCGGACAGCAGGTTCTGGTAGCGGACATCAGCTTTGTCTTTTTCTATCAGTAGATGGTAGTATTCAGACGAGCGCTCAAACTCACTACTATGATTCAGTTCTAAAGATTGTGTTGTGGGATATTTGGTAACAGGAGTCTCAGGACGACACATACTCTCTTTCTGATGGGAAAATGGATAGTTTTCTTGAGGTGGTTGCCAAGACATCGTAGAACTGGTCTTGTTCCCAATGTCCGCACTATCTTCGTTCGGTAACGGGGATTGAGGTATCTTTGGATGAGGAGGAATAGAAAGTGGGTCGTATGCAGAAGATGACCCATAATCGCTGCTTGGCGAAGAAACATTGCCTGTATCAGGCTCCAACTCGGAGAGCTTGGCCGATAGCAGGTTAATATGGCTTCTTTGGTTGATGAACTTGCTTTCAGATTCAGGGAATGCTTCTTTGTCAAAATGGTTGATCAAATCTGACACTAGCAACCTTTGACCCGTGCCAAAGTTGTGAAGAACATTTTTAAACAGATTTTGCTCGTTTGCATATACATTGGTTTTATCCTGTAAAGGAGATTTTTTTGAGCCCACATACAAGTGTTGCTTTCCGGCTTGTTTGTCCTGGTAAATAGTAGGATTACCAAAAAGATCCGATTTGGAGAGAGGTTTCAAAGGGGGGAGGCCATTTTCTAGGCTGTCTTTATTTTGAAATGAAAATTCGCTTCCGTCTTCCGAATCATACGAGGAAGCATGTTTCGGGAAGCCCACTAGACGCTCAACTTCGTTTGGTGTAACTGTTTCGTATGCAACATCTGGGTCAGAGCTGTCAGACGACGTTTCCATGGGGCTGTAATTAGTGAGGGGGAACAAATGGGATACAAAAAAAGGGCTTTAGACGCCTGTTGCGACGATCGTCCCTGTACCTTTCATTTATATTGATTTGGAAACTTCATTTTTTCACACGCGTGTCGCGTTCGAACCGTGGTTTTCATCCCTGTCTAAAAATTCTAGAGCCCCAGATTCTCAACTTGCTAAAGACGCGAGGTTGATAGCAATGGCCTCTACACTGGATAGTTATATGTCTGAGTCTGGTTATCCCAACGCAGATAGAGCCAGTTTTCCAAGAGCCAAGATACTGCACCATAATTCTCCTCCGTACACCCAAGACTCAAACTCGATGAGCACCGTCCAGGACGAGGAGGATTTCAAGAACATTGACAGGTCGTCTTCTTTCCAGACAAGCACATCATCGTCAATCAAGGACTCCCCAGGGACTGCAGGCCCGAAGATGAGCGCGAACGTTGCCGGTTTGGGGTTCTATTCCGGTCCCAGTCTCAACGACATCGCTTCTAAGAACAGCAAACATGCGACCCATGTTCGGCATTCCATAGCTGTGTCACCATCTATGAGCACCATCACCTTGAATGTGAACGACTTGACTACCATTGACGAGAGTTACGACGAGGAGCCCACCAAGAAGATTGGTATGACAAACAGCCCCAGCTTGCAGGCTTTAGGCGATATACTCGATGCCAAGATGCAAACGAAGTCCTTGAAAACGTTCGAGTCAATCCAGGAGGAGCCAGAGCCTCCAGAACGTGTTGCGGAAACCACCGCGGAGGACGACACCGTGATCTACAGACATCCCGTTAACCAGTCGTATGCATCTTTTTTCACTGCCCACAGCACCACCGCGCCAGACGCTTCCGACCTTATCTCTCTATCCAGCACTATCAAGGAGAAACCTGCAAACGACACACCCGCCCTAATGACGCCAAACTTATTTTCTCCATCGATGATCTTTAACGAACCTGTTGAAACGTTCAAAATGTTTGATGACGCGGCCGTCATACCAAACTCTAATTCGTTTAGCATCCCAAGACAAGAGACCTCTGTAATTCATGAAATCGGCTATGACGAGCAGGAATCTTTTGTGGCCCAAATGGCTAGCCCGCGTGCTGAACAAAGGTATTCGATGAGACTGGTTGACGACTCCCCAGAAACCCAGACGCCGGTGGCTATTCAGGAGGTCTTTCCTACGCCTGTGTCTACGCCACAGAAACCATCGCTGGTGGAAGCTGACGTGCCAAAGGAAGCAAAGCCTGAAGCTTCGACACCTCTGGCAGAGCCTGAAAACGTGTTCACACCTCAGATAGCTCAGGATTCCCCTCATGGTGCGAAGGAAGAGAAGGACCTGCCTGCACTTCCCAAAAACAACAAGAGGCTCTCATTTAGGGGCTTGTTCAAGAACAAAAAGCATCTTTCCTCAACTCCTTCGCTAGTCATTCCTGAGCAGGAGCTAGGACCCTCCAAGACCGCGAAGCCGTTGCGGGCAAAGAGCTTTGCAGGCTTCGAAGAGTCTCCTCAGGAGAAAAAAGCAGATCAAGTAAAAGACCGTCGCAAGAGTCTTCTGAGTGGGTGGAAGAGAAAGAGTCTGGGCTCAGAGACTGACAAGGTCAAGAGGAAAAGCCTTTTTGGGAAAAGCAAAAGTCAAGGCGACCATCCTATGCCTCCACGTGCTGGAAGTGACAAAGCAGAGGAAAGCGATAAAGAAAATCGCCCTGCGGCATTCAAGACCGAATCGCATAATTCGAGCGAACAAAAATCTTTGTTGGACACATACGGCTTCAGCGGTCAGGCCTCAGGCTCCGAGGTGGGTGTCGTGCTTTCAACTCCACTGGAGACACAGTCAGACTTCATGGACCAGAGTCCTCTGACTCTGCAGTCCCCAAAATACGTTTCTACTGCCTGCCATCGCAAGTCCACATACCACGACAATGCCGATGTGTCTTCGGCAGAGATCCTGGCGGAATCGGATGTTTACCGTCTGGACACGCCTTCTCCGATCAATGGAGACTTTTACAGTCCCGAAAGACCAACTTTGGCTCCTACCCGAGACAAAAACTCGTTCTTGAGCAAACGAGAGAATAGCTACACCAAGCTACTGGCGGGCGAAGCGTTGTTTCCCAAGAGACTGGCTGCTGACGAAGTGCAAAGCATCGTCACTCTGGAACGCTCAAGATCGATGAAGTCCATCAAGTCCGCAAGATCCTCTATGGCCCATTCACAGTCTGTAAGCAGCTCCACTGTGGAAATGATTAACAGCAACCGAGTTGATGGGCCGCTTGTGACGTCGGACGGCATGACGGTGGTGAGGTCACCGCATTCTGCAAAGTCTCCAAAATCCCCTATTTCTCTGAAATCGTCTTCTAGCAGAAGACAGACGGGCATCTTGAAGAAGAGTCAAGAACCCCTCTTTGGCTTTGGGTTGCAAAACGAGGAGCTCAGCGAAATATACAACATGATTCAATTTGGAGACGACGATCTTCAGATAGATACCGATTTCCATCTCGAGGACGAAGACAGAGAAGCTGTGCTTGAGCCTGCAATTTCCTTCAAGTTTGAAAGTAATGTACTGGAACCGGCTTCGAATCACTCACAGCAGCTCCCGATCACGCCTGACTCGTCCCCCGACCACGGAAACTGGGAAATGATTGATGAATGGGAGGGTGAAGACCAACAGAGCCAGACCTTTGTTAGCCATTCGCAAAACTACTCCATCAACAATCCCCACCCCGGAGATTACCGACTCTCGTTGGAAAGTGCAGTTTCGGAGACGACAGAAAGTCCCGTTCTCGATAGGCCGTTGTCAGGCCTGCAGGGTCCGGTGTTCACTCCCGGCGTGAAATTTTCGGGGGCCACCAGAAACTTTAGATTCTCCTACGACGAGGAGCCTTCAAGAGATTTTGAGGAGTACGTCGCAGAAGCATCCATGACAAGCCAGGACTCAGAGGGTTGTCATTCACGGGAAAGAATTCGCAAGTCTAGAAGAATGTCTTTGATCAGTAAGCTGAACAAGAGAGACAGCAACGGATCCAAAAGAGGGAAGAGCAGGTCTCAAAGCTCAATCCGCCTGAGCTTCTTTGGATCGAAGTCAAGTATCGATACCAAGGATTTGAATTCTTCGCCAATGGCATCTCCTATGCACGAAATCCCTAGAGTCCGGTTCTCGTCTAAGATCTTGCTCTTCGACACTTACGGTGAACACGAGTACGACAGAAAGCCAGATCAAGCCACATGTAATCAGCTGACACCTCAGCTGGCACTTGAGATCAAGAACGAGCTCAATGAAGTGAAGGCAGAGATGCCTGTCCATGAACTTTCTAGATGTTACACCCATTTCTTTTAGACACTCATATTCGCGCGAAGTACAAAAAATAATTTAAATAGAATATTCTGAATTTAAACGAGGTTGGCTAATGTTTTGAACCAAGCTACTTCATTGCATCATGTCACTTTTTGAATTGCAGAAAGCGGGTGAGTAGACAGTTCTATCGTTAACGCTAACATGAAGCTCTCATCTCCAAGCTTAAATCACATCGCTCGGAGTTTCGACACTTGATTACGGACCACACCACCCACCCTATCATAGAGAAATTGCTCAGAGACGAGGTTCTCAATTATGTCTTCACCTTCTATTGCATAGACGACGAAAAAAGATCGCTCAACCGAGAGCAGGCTCTCTACATACTGGATCCGTTGATACCTTATACAATTGATTGTTTGCTTGCCGATTTTTCTGCCGGCTGCCGGTACCAATCGGCTGTGCTGTGTTTCTTGCCTGGCCTCACTAAGACAACGTATGCTCGGCTGAAGGCCAACACGAATTTAATGAAGGCCTGTGGCAACAATTTCGACTCAATAGACTTTCTCAGCTTAAACCCTCTGGAAAGTCGAGTGTATGTTACAAATAACCATTATTCCATTCCTGCTCTTTACAACCCGCAGCATTTCGGTACAGACCTCAATGAGTATCAAATCGACAAAGCTGTCGAGGCCATGATGAGTGCCTGCGTACTGTCAAACGAATACCCAATAGTTCGGTACTATAATTCCCCTATTTCACGCAAAATTGCTTATCTTTTCCAGCAGACTCTTGATGAGTACTATCGAAAACACCAAGAGCTAGCTCCTGTGAATTCTAAAACAGTGTTCTTTATCACCGATCGTCTTATGGACCTTTTCGCTCCCTTCTGTCACTACAAATTTTATAGATCCCAGATATTTGATCTCATGGACACGCAGATTAGAAAGGCAAGGGGTGAATATACCTATGTGTACGATTATCGAATTCAGACGGGGGAGGGCATGGAAAAAAAACATTTGGTGTTTGACGAGGAAGACCCTGTATATTCCAAGTTGCAGGATCTGCCAATTGAAGATTATACAAAAAGTATAATTGAACAGGTGAATGAGCTGAAAGCCACAGAGGCCAAGTTTTCCAATCTGAAGTACGCTTCAGATTTGTCCCATGCGGCACTGAACCAAGCCGATTATCTTTTCTCCCGTCAGCTGGTTACAGGCCACTTTGAACTAATCAACAAGATAGACAAAACCTTCCGTGACGAGTGTATTTTAGATTGCATGGTTTTTGAGAACAAATGTGCATCCAATTTGAACGGCAGGAAAGAGATGTATGAACCGCTAACAGAGGAGTTGCTAGAACTACTTGCCAATGAGAAAATTGACATAGGAAACAAGATAAGACTGCTCATCGTGTACACCTACTACAGAGGCGGCATCGTGGAGTCGGACTTGCGCAAGCTGTGTCACTTTGGATTACCGGATCAAAGCAAGACGGATTCAATTGTGACTCTATTCAAGAACTTTCAGCATTTGGGATTCAACATGCTGAAGTCTAAGCCTAGCGACAAGCCGTTCAGAATAACGTCATATTTCGACATCAAAGATACTCCCGAGCTCACGGATAGGTATATTCCTAGCTTGACAAATATCGTCACGCGGCTTGCGTACGGAAAACTCCCAGAGGTTTTCAAAGAGACGTACTCAAGCGATCGCGATGAGGACGCCCCTAAAGATTTCCCCTATGTCAAGGGAGCGCCAATTGACGACGACGATGCTGCACAGCAGTTCAATGCTCCTGTTAGAAACATGCCCAAGTGGAAGAGCTCGAAGCAATCGATTGATTCCAACAAAGAGAAACTTTTAATTTTTGTCGCGGGAGGTCTTACTCACTCGGAGTTAAGTTCTGTCACATCGCTCGAGACGAAGATTAATAAAAACATATTCATTGGCACTGACGAGCTCTACTCTACATGGGATCTAATCGGAGATCTTAGGCTTATCAACGACGAGCGTAAAAACTTCAACTTCCCTTTGGACGAGAAATTTGCTAGGAAGCAGGTGCCGCAGCACCTATACGAGCGCTCAGCTGCTACGCAGCCAAACAAAAATTCGGCAATCGCAACTCCAAGCTCTGCCCAAAGCAGAGATTCTTCTCGTTCTTCTAGCGCTCACCAGCTGGCGCAAAGCACATCCTCTGATAGCTCTCGGAAGCGGGACAAGTTCCTCAAAAAATTCAAGGCACTAAACATTTGACGAACGCAAACGGAAAATAGTTCGGACCGAAATAATTATTTTTCAAGATATATAAGCACATCTATATTAATTCGATTCCAATTCAGGTAAATCAACACCGCTTGGGTTTCGGGACGTGTGCTTGAACAATAAAAAGATGATTGGGATAGTTAAAAGAAAAACACAGACAGAAAAGGAGGCACCACCGAAGAAGGACCTCATCAAAGTCTCAATACCTTTTGAACATCCCCCTGACTATTTGAAGCCTCCTGCCGAAAAGGAGCTTACTAAGGAGGAGAAACAGAAATATGTCACAGTTCTCAAACACTTTCAAGATCCCGAACTCAAGGTTCCGACCACTGAGCATAACAAGGGCAAATTGCAGCCTTTAACGGCCGATCAAAAAGCATGGCTTACAAGAGAATGTTTCCTGAGATATTTGCGCGCTACCAAATGGGATGTCTCCCAAGCTATCGAAAGGATTGAAGGAACATTGGGATGGAGATCTGAGTTTGGTATTGATCACTACCTTGACGACTCTAAGAATATCGTCACTCCCGAACTCGTTGCCCCAGAATCGGAGACAGGCAAGGAGGTTGTCTTGGGTTTTGACAACCAATGTAGACCATGCCTATACCTTAAGCCGGGGCGCCAGAACACCAAAACGTCGTTCAGACAAGTCCAGCATTTGGTTTTCTTCCTGGAAAGGGTGATCGACTTTATGCCGTCGGGTCAAGACTCTCTTGCGCTACTGATCGATTTCAAAAACCATCCAGAAATTGCTGCGCAGTCAGAGACTTCAAAGGTGCCTCCGTTGGGAGTTGGTAAGCAAGTGCTACATATCCTTCAGACACATTATCCTGAAAGACTTGGTAAAGCTTTACTTACCAATATTCCATTTCTGGGCAGAGCTTTTTTGAAACTGATCTACCCTTTCATTGACCCGCTGACGAAAGAAAAGCTTGTGTTTGACGCAGACTTCTCCCAGTTCTGTCCTGCAGAGCAGCTAGACAAGGAATTTGATGGCTTAGTGGATTTCGAATACGATCACAAAGTGTACTATCCAGCACTTATCGAGATGGCCCACAAGAAGAGGGTTCATTATATGAATAGATTTGAGGAGTTAGGAGGAGTCGTCGGACTTAGCGAGGCGGACCTTAGAGGAAATGGCCCAGCCACCCTTCCGGTTGGTTCGCACCCTACGGATAGAAAAGTTGACGACTTGACAGATATAGCCGCCAATTTGAGCGTTGAGTAGCGGTATAGATATTAATTGTTAATTTACAGCATCGTAAAGACGAGAGTGTCGCTTTCCTTGTCAGTGATCAGGAGACGCACTTCTCTTACGTTCATTCTCCTCTTCAACGCCGTTCTCTTCATTCTCTGGCAGATTGTTGAGAAGTTCTCTCATGTCTTCTGTGAGCGCACCTAGACCAATTGCAGTAAAGTAATTGATGGAAAACCGCAACCTGTCGGCTCCTGAAGTCGGGAAAATGCCACTGATGTATGGCTGTATATAATCCTCCGAAAGACGGACTTTTAGCTTCTTCAGACCGAGTTCATCCTGCATCTTCACAAACACGAACTTGAGAAAAATCCTACTTGCACTGTTGGTGTCCTCCTCTGTCAGTTGCACAATTTGCAATACCTCCCAGCCCATTTTGTCCGAGGCAAACATGTGTCCCCAGAACGAACCTATATTTCGTATCAGAGACAGTTCATATTGATGGCAGTTTGTGTAGTTCTCGACAAAAACCTCGTCGAAAGCCTTCATCCATTTGCGATTCACAGAGATCAGTTTTTCGCCAACCAGGGCGTAATATTTGGAGTACGTTTTCTCCTGCGCACAACACTTCACTATCATGTCTACTAGCATTTGCTCCTTTCGTTCAGGATCAACGGGTTGCAGCTTTAGCAACTTATGGACAGCTTCCTCATGGTTGATACTGGACATCATAGTCAAGTAAACGGTTTTTTGAAAATTGGTAAGTTCCGACTCTGTGAGGTCTCGGATTTGCTCTTGGGCCACATAATCTGTCTCGTCGTCTTCACTTTCATCCTCACTTTCATTTCGTGAACTATCGTCCTCGAGACCCAGAATCTGCCTTCGTAATTCATCATACTCCTTTTCGTGCTTTCCATATTCCTGGTCGAACTGGAAGGTATTCAGTATCTCATGTGCTTTCAGCTTATCGTCAAGATTCATCGTATGGGTCACCTTATCGTCATCCTCTACTAGATCAAGCTCCTCCACAATCACAGGAGCTCCGTTGTAGTTGTTTTTCCTCTGTTTGAAGGCCTCCTGTATGAGCAGCTGAATTCTCCTAGAAACCAGATCCTCGGTCAGTATGGTACCGAGACGCTCAAAGACAGCATTAAGTGCAACGGAAGAGTTTTCTGATAGAAATTGTCCGCAATTTTGCAACAGAGCACACGCGATCTCCACTGTAGTATCCGTCGGATGCTCTAACAATAAAAATAAAAGCTGCAACGCAACGATATCGTGACAAACCTGAAAATTAACCAGTTGGGACAAGAAGATCACAGATGCTTTACAAATTTCTCGATCATTGTTCTTGTAAGCTCTTCTGAACTGCAAAATCAACCTCGAGACTAGAAGTTTTCCAAGCTCTGGTATTTTAGAGTTTAGGACACAGATCAGAGAAGCATAGACAGCCGTGTAGGCCTGTGACAAGACCTGAGATTTCATTATGCACCGAACAAGCCAACCTTTGCCCCGGATAAGGTTGAGCTTGAAAAGCTCCAATACAACGTCCTTGATGTTTTCTGTGTTCACTTTATTAATTTCTCCATTTATCTGTTTCTTTAGTTTTTCCCATTGCAATCGTTGGTACTCCTCAGATGCGTACGGCACATTGGACTCGGCCAGTAGTGCTTTCAGCTTTGCCGGCGGTACATATTTCTTTGAATCTAGAACTTCTCGAATCGAAGTCATATTTTATTTGAGTCGAGTATTTTTCTTACGATAATTATAATGAATATTATTGTTCTTTTGCCAGAGGGTGAGGTGCTCGAGAAGTTACTTTTTGTTGCCTTGAAGCGTTGCAAACGCAGATTGTTTGCTATTTTGGATCACGAACCAGCGAATTTGAACCAATTGAATGAGTACATATCAAAGATATACGAAATTGCTTATCGCTTCAATGAAGATTTGGATGTGAATGTTGTCTTCCGAGACCCTCATGTACCCGACTGTACCTTGATAAGATATAGCTCATCAGACAGCAAATTGAATTACCCAACTATCGTTGTCCCTGACTCTGAGCTGGATCATGTGAAATTGCAAATATCCACAAAACCTGCTATTTCTTCCACAGTGAATGCATCCTATCAACAATATAAGGTTTCAGCTGTAGGAGGCACTTTTGATCATTTGCACAGTGGACATAAAATGCTCTTGACGGCCTCTGTGTTTGTCACTGCCAGACTACTTATAATAGGAGTAACAGGTCCAGAATTGTTGAAAAACAAGAAATTTGCTGAATATCTGGAGAGCTACGAGACAAGGGTGAAAAAAGTTAAAGCATTTATTGAGTTGATCAACCCTGAATTGCAGGTAGAATTTCATCAAATTAACGATATTTGTGGACCTACCGCGAGTGTTAAAGATATAGACGCGTTAGTTTTAAGTTCGGAAAGTGTGAAAGGAGGCGAATACATCAATAAGGTCAGGGTGGAAAAAGGCTTCCCAGAGTTAGAGGTGGTTCAAATAGCAACAATAGGAGGCGACGAAGCTGGAGGATTTCAAAATAAATTGAGTAGCACCCAGATCCGAAAGAAGGAGTACTTAGGACATCAAGTTTCTCACGATTAACAAGTACGAGCGCTGTAATAACATATTTATTCCCTAATAAAGATAGATGGTTCGAACACGGACGCTTTGCGGACAGAGCGATCGGGGTGGTCAACACAAATCTGTATATCTGCAGAATTCAACACGTCAAAGAGGACGATGGAATCCGTGTCCTCAGAATCCAAATACTCGACATCTTTGAAGTCTGTGATTCCGAATCTAACACTGTTAAACTCTTTCTCGCTCAGTCCAAGTAGCTTGTGCAACCTCGATTTTGTTTTCGAGAGAGGCTCATCTTTGATCAAATCGAAAATGAATGGAAGACCGTGAGGGCTAGTGACCTTGCCGAAGAACTGAAAGCCTGTGACCAGTTTCGAAGTCTTGGAACCATGCTCCAACACTTGCTTGAAGTGCGGGTAGTTTCCAATCACTAAGTGATCAAACGAGTCAATTGTTGTATCTGTTGGGTAAACACTCAAGCGAACATGACGAACAGGTGCCCAACAAACTAGGTTTTCACGCTCCTGAGGCTTGATGTTCACCTTTGTTTGCAACCTATCGATTAGGTCGTCAATAGTGCTTGATCTAGGAAGGAAAAACTCATGTTTTTGCTCCCGGCAGATACCTTGGCCGACCCATGAGACATGACAGAGTTTCATCTCTTCGAACTCTGCAAGAGTGACATTCAGTACTTCGTACTGGATCTCTAGCGTCTGGGATTTAGGAATCTTGTCGATAAGCCTTTTAAAGACAGTATCTCTTTTCAGCGGAATCCGCTGATTAGAGTGTCCCAAGATAAACAGTCTCAAATAGTCAGGGTCAACTCGGATATGAGCTCCAATCTTCTCTGCCAAAGCCTGGTAGTTGGACATTGTCGAAAACCAGAGTTCAAAGTCCTTGCTCAAAGACGACTTAGAGGAGTTTGACCTAGATTTCGTATCAACAGGGTCTATGTCTTCTGTGATCTTGACGTACTCTTCTTCATCCTCATCAACTTTGACCAGTGGAGAAATCTTGAAGTGACATCTATTTGCCATAAAGTCGTAGATGTCTTCAACAGTCTTCAGTTCCCAATCAGGGCTAGGATTCAGCTCGGCGTCAGTCTTAGTGAAACAAATGATATCACCGTTACCAAGCTCAGACTTGTAGAAGCTCTTCGAAGGATTGAGCCATTGAATCTGGTTTGGTCCAAATTCTTCATAAAATCTAAGTGGAGTTGAGATATCAAATCCCATCAAATTGTTCAAAAGCTCCGTTAGATATTCAACTTGATTTTCCGCAGGAACAATAATATGGGTAACCCCTTTAACAGATTGCTTGTCTTGGTCGAAATATTTGATAAACAACATGATTTTGTCAGAAGCATCAGACACGGACTCAAATTTAGGAACACTAAATTCTGAACTGACTAGTTCCACCGCCTTTTCGAATTTAACATCCAAAGGTTCCAAGCTGAAGAACGACGCAGGGATCTTCTGTTTATTACTAAGCTCAAAGATACCATTTGACACAAATTTAAGCTCTCTTGACGACTCCTCCAAAAATAGTATCAGCTGTGAGCTCTGCGCTGTTTTTCTTCTTTTCGACATTAGAGATTCATTGTATTTGACAACCTGGTTAACAGTGATGTCGTTGTTCTTAGGATCATCGAAATGGCGCGGGATAGGCATATATGGACGATATGCAAAGTTATGGCGACTTACAATGCTCCAAAACCTGAATTGTTTGGTTTTATCCGCATCGTAGCCAAGCTTTTGCGCCACCAGATCGTAAACTTTTGAGAAAGGCTCTGACTTTAGCATACGAAATTTCAAGGAGAAAGATTCAGGCTCAAACAAGTCTGGAGAGAAATTGAGCCTATCCTCCTCGTTTGGACCAAGATCAAAGCCTTGATATTTTAAGAAGCCTTTATTCGTGTACACCTTGATGTTCGCGTACAGGTGCATTTCCTCCTGCTCTTTGCGTAACTTCTCATACTCCTCCTGCTCATATTTGATTTGCTTGGAAATGTGAGATGGAACATCAGCATCTGTAACCTCACTCAAAACTTCCTCAAACTTTGTCTTGCGGATGTAGACAAGCATATAGGCCGAAGTGTGTCTCTTGATGTGATACTCCTGCTGTTGCTCTCTGGTAAGTTTTCTAGGGTCGATAGTCAAGCTATCTGCACCAAAATTACCTTCAAAGACTTCATATGGAGTCACTCTCCATACCTTATCGTCCTCAAATCTAAACCACTCATCTTTCGGTGTTGGCTTAATCATTGCATAGTAATGACCCACAGAAACGTCACCCTGATGCACCAAGACTCCTTGTAATTTGTATTCCCAGTCTTCGTCATAGTTTGGAGCCTCTTTGTCCAAATAAGGTTTGAGATCGATTGAGTCAAAAAACTCGTACTTATCATTTATCTTGACCAGCTGATCGTACTCAAAATCATACTCAAACCGTTTGAGCTGTAAATGCAGAACCGGTGGGAAACTTTCGAACACGACACCTTTCTCAGCATCCTGTAGACCATATCCGGAGGCATCGTATTTGTTGTCTCCGTTGAGAAGCTCCAGCTCAATGTAGTTCTCAAATGACTCTCTTATGTTTTTCAGATTCTTCACATTCAACTGTATATCCCAGAAATCTTCAATGCGACTACTTTCGTAATCGACATTGATGCAGCGGATGAAACTCTTCATTTTGCCCACGAATATATCATTTAAGCATCCTTCAATTTCTGTATTCTTCATTTTGGACTCCAGTCTATCCATAAGAATTCGGTTCAGTTCCTGGACATCGTGCTGGGTAAAAGCGTCCGCACTATTCCAGCCAAACGAATGAGTTAGCTCTTGCGTGTCAATAGGCTTGTTTGATGTCTGTAGACTGTAAAATATTCTCTGTAGTGATAAGGACACGCTCTTGGGCTGTTCGAGGTATTGCTGGAAAGAGTTGTATCCGAAGCTGATCTCGTCTTGCGTTGGAATTTGGTAGACCTTCTTCCTAAACACTTTAGTGAAGAAATAGGATTGCAATAAAGAATTCAAGTAACAGGTTGCACCTTGGTTAGTAATTCCCACATAGCCGGTCTCTTTCTTTGAGTCGTAATCCAGAAAGTCGTGCCATAAAACTCCAGTATGATCTTTGATAACTCTGACATATGCTGTGATATTGAGGCTGCTTGCCTTCAGCATCTTCACGTCTGATGCCTGCCTGTTGTTTAAAAGACCGACAAATCCCCAGTCTGTGATCCTGGGGTTGAAGCGATAAAACGAATTATTGACTTTGTGAACTGAAGGTTCTGAAGGAAGCCAGGCATCAATTGCGAATTGAACACAGCAGTGCCAATTATCACCCTCCTTGGCCTTCAATGGATGCGCCTCCAGATATACGGAGTAAGCAGAAGTGTTCTTTCTTGTTGGCGGCATGAGCAGAAGGTTGAACTCAAAGTCATCTCCAACTCTGAATCTTGGGCCAGCGTATTTTTCATCTTTGAGCTCTGTAATTCCAGAAATCTCCCACGTGTTAGCTCCTTCTGCTTCAATGTCATAGCATCGTGGAGGCTCGTCGAGATATTGCTGGAAGACACTTTGGTGGTCCGTAGAGGTTTGCGATCTGGAGCTAGCGGCTTCCTGGGCCGGGTGTGGTTGAGACGTGGGAGACCTTTCATCATCGGTGATAAAGTCTGAGGAGTCGCTCGACGATACTTCTTGCTCGTAGCCTTCCTTGGTACCACGATTGAGTCCATTCATGATCAAGGCGTATCAAGAATACAGGAAACGGGCTGTAGAAAGGGGTATCCGAAAAGCTTTCAAGTGCCAATTGCTCGTATCTTGAAGTGCGCTATTTGGTCTCTTGTGATAGAGAACTGAAAGAAGCGGACCTAAGCGGAACTGGCTAGATCAGCGATCACTGTTATGGAGCAATTTGCCTCTAAATGTGAAACGATACGTAGAAACGTCTGCTGCGATTTAAAATGCCAATTGCAACAGATCCTCACTGTTTGATGTCTTTCACTTCAACTGCGGCCCGGGTTTGGTTTTCAATGAGATTAAGAAACGCTATGATATGGCGTGCTTAAAATCAGTAGCACCCTTTCAAATTAATTATTTTACAAAATCTGTCATGTCTTATCATGGCACAATTATTATAAATTACACATCTTTACACATTCAGCCGAAATAGTTTGCTTCTCAGATCCTCGTCAAACAGATGGCTTGACACCACCTGGTCAATACTTGGCTCAAGCCCGGGAGAATGATTGACAGGAGTCTCAATTTCCTCTCCAACGCGCGGCCGGAAATAATTATTCTGCGAATCGTCCTCGTCGTCGATATCAACCGTGGAGTCGCTCATGTCCTCGTTTGCAACGGTTCGACGCGTTCTGGTCTGGATCAAGTGACATTTCTTCTTCGGGCTTTTTTCCTTGCCTTTTGCTGTACCGCTCACTACATTTGACGCGTTTTGATCCTCACTGTCGTCGTCGTAGTCGATCTCGAAATTTCCTGCAAGCTCGTCCTGCAGATCCTGTTTTTCTCTCTCGTTTATATCTTCCTCTAAAGGACCATTGAAATCTTCTGATTTAATGACATTTTTCAGCTTAGACGGCTTGGTGACACCAGATTTGCTTGCCACCTCGTCCAGATGCTCGTCATTTATCATGAACCGTGCTTTTGGCGCCGCAGACCTATGGGGCCGATGCTGCTTTTCATTTTTCTCTTTCGACTGGTTAACGTAATTCACATCCAGGTTGTCCTCGTCCTCGAGATCGCTCTCTGGAGACGAACCGTGTCTTCTGTGATAAGTGTTGTAGGACTTTTTGTTCTTGTCACTCAGAAGATGGATAAATGATTTCTGCTCTTCTCTGTTATTCCAATTGAGCACCCTGCTCACGCTATCAATGTACTCCGTTTTGGAAGACCTCACAGTAGGGAAAGGGAATGGTGAAGCACACACAGTGACATAATATCCTTTGAGCAGCTCAACCCTAGAACGTCCATCAAATGAAGCCCAAGCGGTAGCTCTTGATCGAATAGGCACCTTCACCTTCAGAGACATGGTATCTGGTAGCAAAATCGGACGGAAAGAAAGCGTGTGTGGACAAATGGGCGTCACGCTGATGGCACTGACGCCAGGGTGCACCAAAGAGCCTCCTGCGCTCAGCGAGTAGGCAGTAGACCCGGTAGGGGTAGCGATAATAAGCCCGTCTGCCTGGGCAACAGTAAGCAGCGATCCATCACCATAGAGCTCTAGCATCGAGACCCAAGGAGAGGGCCCCCTATCGACTGTGAGCTCATTCAAAACTTGCTGCTCGCAAATCAAGTCACCTTCAGCAGTGTGAACGCGGCAAGTGAAACGCATTCTTAAATTTGTGCGAACTCCGTTCTTGATCACATTTGACAGAATGCTCCGAAAGTTCTCAAAAGGGAAGGTTGTAAGAAAACCCAGAGAGCCCAGAGAAAAGGCCATTACCGGGGGCACAACCCTTTGAAAAAGAGTGGAAGCATAGAGGACAGTACCGTCGCCCCCTAAAGTGATAACCAGGTCGAAGATATCGGGATTCTCTCTGATAAGTTTCTTGGTCCAATACTTCAGACGACCTTTGGCAGAGGGGTTATCATGGATCAGACCGTTGGCGTCAAACCGCTTGGACGTTTCGAGATGATAATCCACGTAGACTTGCGTTTCATCATTGATCGTAAGAAGCCATTCAGCGACCTCTTTGGTGAGATAAACTAGCGAGTTATCTCTTGCCTTGGTGATTAGCATAACTGAGCGCAACTGCAAATGTATCGTGGCCCTATCCAAGTTTCTGGCAAGAATTCGGACCCCATGGGCCGTTTTTGCTAGTTGAGCATGCGACTTGACACTCTTTAGATTCTTGTTCGATAAGCTTCGAAACAAATCGTCTGTAGTGGGGGACTTGTCCGTCACATTATGTGAAGCGCGATGATGGTTTGATTTGTTTGAATCGTCCTTTAGCGTAAAGGTTTCCCTTGGGTTATCCCTGCAGTATAAGCTATCGTGTAAGATCGGTTGCTTGGGCTGCAAAGATTCGGAACGCTCCATGTGCTCAGATCCCGATAGCCCATACATCGAGCTACTATTGGAAGACATTGCTTCCGAATTAAATTCCTCCATGCTCCAGATGAAATGAATTTCTTTCGGATGACCGACAGCCCAATTCCGTGTTTTCTTTGAGTTTTTGGAGCATAACGTAAAATTGACCAGTATTTATTTTACTACTTTATTTCTCTCAATTTAGTCCCGCGTAACTTTGCAACTCCATCCCGAATTTTTATCCAAAAGAGGCAATGAGGCTCCCAAACACCATCCCAGCTCGTTGTCACTGATTTTCTTTGCCGTTCTCAGCTCTCTGTGCAAAGGAATGTCGTACCCCGTGTGCAGCAGAGCAGTCATGAACGAAAGGTCCAAACACCACAGAGGCTCTGCATTCAGTTCCTTGAGACCTTCAGGCTGTGAAAGGTACTGGTTCCAAGCAGTGGATCCGGAACAAACGATCTTGGTGAGGTCTTTCATCTCGTCCAGTGTGAAGGAAAGTGGCATTCCAATAGGCTTGAGTCTATCGTAGAAGTAGGAGAACACAAACATGTCTGAGGTCTGGGCGAACTGGTGTCTCAAAGAAGGCTGGTAGATACCGTTGAACGAACAAGACTTCGATTTGCATTCCATGTCTTTGTTGAGGATGGTCTCTGCCAATGATCTACATTGAACCGCAGCCGTTTTTGCCATGTCGTCGTCTTCGCTCTTTGCCATTGAGACAAAGTTCACAGCGTAGCTGGTCTTGTCAGAAAGCTCGACAATCACATTTTCAGCCGTAACTCCTGGGGGAAGACATGGATGTGGAATGGAAACCTTAGCAACGGCATTCTCCGGGTCAGAAACCGGAGTAAGCTCGTACTTTGGATCGTTGAGAGCAGTCTCCAAAACCAAAGCATTGACCTTTTTCCTGCCTTGCATGAGTCCAAACCCAAGATGCGAGTACTGGTACAAAGTGAAGTCGACGCCTCCAAAACTCACTTCGTACTTGTGCTCTCCTTCAATCATGCTTTGTCCATCTAAAGGCTCGAAAACGATCTGGGTGGATCCTCCTCCCAGATCGAACACGGCTGCAGTCGGACGCTTTTCCTTGGCGCCGATGTTTCCAAGCAAGTAGTTGGTAGTGATCCAGGCATAGACGCCTTCGTCACTGCCGTCCATGATGGAAACGCCGTCTCCCTCGACAACCGGGAATGGATAGTCATCCTCTAGGTGACGTCTAACCTCCGCAAGAATAGCTGACGATTTCTGTTCTCCAAGCAGTCTGAGACCTGCAGTGGCCTTGACTGCAACCGGTGTGCACGCCTGTTTGTCCTTTGGCACGGTCTCAAGCGCAACCTCGAGAAGCTCGTCCAAAGAGGCAGCAGCCGCAACCGTGTCGGTGTCGAACGAGGACAGACCTGGTTTTTTCATCTTGAACTCTTCATTCAGCAGCTTCGGAGGAGATTGGCACGTATCAAACGAGTACACGTGTATTCTGGATCCTGTGGATCCCGCGTCGATCATGATCACGTATTCCTCGCCCGACTCGCACGATGCAGACTTGGTTTCCTGCGCAACCTTGGCCTCCTCCTTCGACTCGTGCAGTGGTGCGGACTGTCTCATGCCGGTGGACTTAGGCTTGGCAGTAACCGGGGTGGCGTGTTTCTCTTCTTGTGCGCGTGTCCTGTAGTTTTGCGGCTCCAGAGTCGATGACGATGATAACACATCGTCAATAACTGGCTTCTTCTCCTCTATCAGCCCACCGGGTGCAGATGTAGACGTATCCAGCGGCTCGCCTGGCTTTATATGAGAGGTAACCTGAGACTCAGAGACAAGTCCCGGGAACGCGTCCTCCGTCTTTGGGTGGGAGGGGGCCATGAACACAACGATGTATATTATGGCCAAGGCTGCTCCCGCCACAAGAAACTTATTATAGCGGTAGGAGAATAGCAGAGACATGACGGGCAGTAGCTATGTCTGGGTGCTTCACAGTATTAAAAGACCTTTTGTTTCCAGCTACTTGTCCTCAGATTAAATTTAGCAGAAAAAAAATTGAGATTTTTTATCGTGTAGAAAAAATCCTAACGATTATGGTCACTAAATTGTACGGAAGACAGCATGGGGCAATTGGCTCGCGACCGCGCGTGACACAAGACACGGATGATGTAAAAGATGCCGAGGCCTTTCGAACCATGTGTTTGCAGGAGATTTCTGCTAAGATCGAGAAGATCAACGACCCCTTGCTTCAAGACTCTCAGATAAGGGACCTTAACGACGAATTGAACAAGCTCATGCGGGAGCGGCGCGCATGGGACCACCGTGTGAAGGAACTTGGAGGGCCTGATTACCTCAGTACATCTGCTGTAGCCGATGGCTCTGTTATGGTGAACAATTACCGATATTTTGGTAGAGCGAAACAGCTACCGGAGGTGGAACGATTGCTTAAGACTAGAGAACAAGATAGCAAGTCTGCGTCTTTTGGAAATGCAATAGAGAGATTTTTGCGGCTAAATCAGACAGATCTGGGGCCGGCCTACTACGGATACGAGGATGAGGACGAGTTGGACTTGCGTATTCCCGATGACAGGGCCCACGATATTCCAGAGAAGTGCTCTTTGCTGGAATTTGAGCACAAGCGAACTGCGGAGCTGCAAACTAGCTGCTTCGAGAAAAACCCTCTGTTTGACTTGCCTCCGCTCCCCACCGAGCAAGAATACCAAGACGCCGTGGTGGCACTTAGAAAGCAGCAGTTGCTGGAGAGACTGAAAAATCGGTAATGTCTGTGGTGTATTAAATTAGCAAGCTGATCCCTTTACTGATCATTTCCCTGAAGTTGCTCGCGTAATGCGTGTCGTCCTCCCAAATGATGCGGTCGATCTCCCGTCTGCCGGAGTCGAGGTCGAGCTGGTCGAGACGGTGGACTCTCGTGCGTCGAAAAATCTTGTACACAATGTAGCAGAAAATGCACACAAACAACGAGCCGTAGCACGACAAAAAGTATGCTGTTGACCACTGACCGTGGATAAACGGGATAAAACCTCCAACCAGCACCAAGCATAGCGAGCCCAGCATCCCAAAGTACGCGAGATATGGCTGGAAAGGAGATCTGTAGGGGTAGTTTTTCTCTGTTCGACTTATGATATCTGGGCGTAGCTGCAACCCGTAGAAAAACCTGATGAACGACAAACACATACCTGACCAAACAAGCAGTCCTGTGGACGCACAGACACTGAGCAGGCGCTCGAACACCAGGGCAGTGTTGTTGTTGACCGACAGATATGCGAGTGAGGAAAACAAGCCTGTGAAGAGGACACTCATGTATGGCACACCGTTTCTGGAGCAGATGGAAAAGAGCTTGGGCGCCTTGGCTTGAATCGACAGGTAATACAGCGTCCGTGACGAGGCGTAGAGTTGCGAAGATGCCGCGGTCAGTGCAAAGTACACCAGAAAGCCGTTGGTGGCAGCCGCAAAGGTGCAGAGCCCGGCACTCTGGAGAGCAATCACAAACGGCGACTGGTTGCCGTTGGCAAAGCCTGCCCACTGGAGCAGGTGCGTTTTGCAGTTCCCGCCGCCGTTAAGCCGGATGACCGTATCCTCTAATTGCTCGCGCTGTTTTTTCTCGCTTTCGGTAGAAGGACCTGACCAGGTGAAGTATCTCAGTAAGCGCGGGTCGCCGCTGTAAATGTTGAGGCCAATGATAAACACTGCCAGGATATAGAACACAAGGATACGCCAGTAGATGTTTCTGGTTGCAAGCGGGATGGCGTGGCGCGGGTTCCGGGACTCGCCCCCTGCAATGAGAACAATTTCTGTACCTACGTAACCGTAGGCTGCCACCACAGAGGCTATAAGAACCTGCAAAAACCGGCCCTTAGCGCCTCCTATGCCATCTGTGGCTCCTGTACCTGTGTCCTTGACGTCAAAAGTTGGTCTAAAGGGCCCGTAGGTGATGTGGTGCTGCAGGTCTGATTTGGAGCTGTCCCAATATCGGAACCCAATTCGTTCGTGGTGGGGCGCAGATCCGCCCGCGTTGAGCACGCAGTTGTAGATCAGCAGAGCTACCAGGATAAGCAGCTTGAAAAGAGTGGAAAAGTACTCGATCTCTCCGTAAACCCTGATATCGCACAGGTTTATCAGCAGCGCAACCACCAAAAACAGCGTTATCCAGCCTGCCGTGTTGGGCCCGGGAATATCGAGGCTGGGATAGAAACTGAGCATGATGGAGGCTGCGGTGATCTCCGTAGGGAAGCCGATGCAGTAGCTGAGCCAGTAGCACACGCCGAGCGCGAACCCAAACGCGTCGTCGACGAATCGGGACGACACTCCGGAAACGCCGCCACAGAGCGGGATGAGCGTCACCATTTCGCAGAAAGACAGCATCGTAGCCAAGACTATCAACCCTGCGATGCTGAACCCCAGCAGACAGCCCAGTGGACCGGCGATGCTGAACGCCTTGCCTGAGGAAAGTAATAGGCCCACGCCTAGCGTTCCTCCCAGCGCGATTTGGTGCAGATGGCGGACATGCAACTTGCGTTGTATGCGGTAGTTGCGGTTGATGTTGAAGTAGTCGAAAAACGACTTTCTTTTCTTCCGGGACTCCAGCGCAGGCTCTATTCGTCGAAAAGTGTAATCCAGGTTTTCGTCGTTGCTCACAATCATTTCTGGCTGGTCGTCGTCTATGTTGATATCGCTGAAGTCAGACTTCCTGATATGTGCTATCGTCTGGTGCTCGATGGGCAGCTCTTCCACCTCCTCGTTCTCGTCGATAGGAACGGTTTCAAGACTGCTTACTCTGCTGAGGTTGACGATTCCGAGCTTGGGCTCGCTCCAGCTCTGGCGATTGCGTCGTTCCTGATTCAAGCGTGATATGGCGTTCCTGATTCTACTCTCCTTTTGAATGCGCCGTTCGTAAGCTTCGAAGTCGCTCGCATACTCAGTACTGTTGTTGTTTGCGTAGTAGTCGTACAGATCGCTGTAATAAAACCGTGAAGACGTGGCTCCTGGAGTAGAGCCTGCTCTAATGATTTTGTGTATGATGGAGCTGTGGAGGTCGGACGACGTCGACTCAGACGCTTCGCTAGAAGCAGAAAGCGAGGGCTCGTAGTTCCCCAGCTGCGGAAATAACGCAGACGCAGCGTCGTCGTCGGAATCCTGTCCTGATGGCATGGCAAAAGATAAAGTGTCTGTCAAAAGTGCCCGTTTAGATACAGGCTTTGGAAGAGCACACGACTCCGCGAGGCTTGAATTTTTTAAAATTTTCAGAGCTCGCCCAACCGACAACCATGGCCAGACAAAACTTTGTAGGGTTTGTCATATCCCAAGGGAAGATGGACAAGACCGTGAAGGTGCGGGTCATGCAGAAGGTATTGAACAAGAAACTGCAAAAAGAGTACTTGAAAAAAAAGGATTTCCTTGTCCATGACGAAGCCAATATTTGCAAAGAGGGAGATCTGGTGAGAATCGAGGCCACGCGTCCGTTGAGTGCACGCAAGTCGTTTGCTGTGGCAGAAATTAAGAAAAACAAAGGTGAGGAGTTTCAGCATTACCAGGAAGAGGCCAAAAGACAGGTGGCAGAGGAAGAGACGAGGAGAAGACAAGACCTGCTCAGAAGAAGAGAGTTATACAACAACTCTTCAACGCTGTATCACGACTTAGACGAGGTGAAGATGCTCAGAAAGCCTTTTTCGGAGTTGTCTGAAGAGGAGCGCGAGAAGATAGCCAATTTGAAGCTTAAATATGGGATTTCTAACTGGGACGCAGGTTTCGAGAACCAGGAGCTTTTCATGTCGAGCCTCTCGCATCTTGCAAACAAGCTGGAGTCAATCAGATCCGAAGTGGAGCTCAGCAAGAAGCTGGAAGACATAATAGCCAAAGGAGAGTCCGATACGACTTTCAGGATGCTCGTAAACAGACTCGACCTGGATCCGGCAACTACGAAGAAAAACATCATGAAAAACAAGATGCGGAGAGTGTTACAGACCGCTTCCGGGGAGGAGCTGGCCCAATGGGGCATCGATTTGTAAATAGCCTTATATACTCGAAATGTAAGCGAAAGCAATGCATACACCTGCTTATTAAATAGTGTCAAAAACGTTCCCCACAGTGTTGCCGTGCAACGGGCTGTTGTCGCTGGAAAAGTTCAGCAGGTTCGCAAGTCCCATCAGCCGGCTCGGATTGCCGGTGGACGGCTGGCCAGAGGCTGCCTCGGGGTTCTCGTACTGGTCAATCTCCTGTTTCAAACGTTCATATACGGACGAGAACTTGTTGTCGTTAAGCTCGCTGATTTTCCGGAAATCGGTGAGCCAGTCTTGAGTAATGGCAAGAATGATATTGTGTTTCTTCTCGCTGAGAAATTGCATGAGAATATCGTCCAAAATTGTGTTCAATCTGTCAACTGTAAGACTGTGGTAATAGCGGTATTCAACGGCATGGAATTTCGGCAAGCGTGGGAAACACTTGGCCAGAAATTTCATCAGAAACATGAGTGGAATAGTGAGGTCGGACTCGATGGGAGGGAGGAAGTTTAGTGTGTAGTCGGAAAGAGTCTGGAAAAAGTCCTCCACATGCGGTTTCACCCTGAGGAATGAGTAGTCTGACGATGCATCCACTCGGTAGGGCATGTTCTGCAATATCCTTTCTAGTTTCTGTTCTAGCACCATTAATGAGTCTTCTATAGTGACTTGCGGAGAGATCTTGAGTAGCGTAGGGGCCACCTCTGGGTGTTCGGACACTAGATTGGAAACTAGGTTCTGCAACGATTCTTGGTCTAAAGTCTCTATGATTCTCGAAACAGAGAGTTTCTGGCCCACAACCTGCAGTTGCCTCTGTTTTTTGTGCTGCACTAGCTTGCTCAGTGTTTTCGGCGTGAAACGAGGCTTGCTGGCATCTTCATTGTGGGATTCATCGATATGGCGACGCTTGCCCACTTTCTTGGATTTCGTGATACGGTGTAGGTCCTTTCCCGAAAGGTGATTCTGGAATTCCATCTGGTTCGTCAACGTCATTGGTTCGCAGACAAAAGCTAGCAGAAGGAACTGATATAGAACGCTGTTTGTTGCTGCTGTTTGTTATACTTGGGAAAATATTTTTACTCTTTGCCCTCCTCAGCCACAAGGCGGCCTTCAGTATTCTACATCACTAGCCACAAAGTACGTTTTATATTATTTACTTATTATTTGCATCTGCGCAAATGCTTATGTACTATCAATAATTTGCTGGACAAGTTTTGGGCTCTCTTCCGGGTGGTCCGCGTTCAGTTGCTCGAGCACGTTGCCAAGAATATTGTAGGTCTCAAAATCTCCTCCAGACCAGCTGATAGGCGTGACGGTGATCAGGCAGTCGCCGTTGTCTACACTCATCTCGCTGAGGATTTTGTCCTTGTTCCGCGGCAGATCCTTGTCGATGCTGTACACAGAGTCGATCTTGGCGACACCTCTGGTTTCATCATAACTCAAGGACGGAACCTTGTTATACCCCCCTATTGTGCGGGTCTCGATGAAGCTGAAATCTCTGTCGGTGTCCATGCACGAGGCCTGTGCGCGCAGATTGATATTGAGCCCCACACCGTTGGGCAGCAGTCTAGGGTTATCGTTCCGTCTCTCGTTCTCAAAGTACTGTCTCAGTTTTGGCGATCTTTGTAGCGAACGCGAGGTATGGAAGTTATGTTTACCATAACTGGACTCGTGCGTGAGCTGTGCGACCAGCGCCTCAATTCGCTGTATGTACAGGGCCAAAAATTCGCTGGCCTCGTCCGCGTTGTACTCGTCCAAGGGACTGGCAGCTATCATGCCCAGATCCTCGTTGCTGTTGACGTTGAGAACGGGGATGTTTCTGGTCTGTGCGAGCCTCATCACGGTCAGGTCCACGTACGTTTGTTGACAGTACAAACCGTCCACGAGATGGCCCGCAGACGCGACGATTATTATGTCGATGGACGACATCTCCGTGTAGTGGTGCGGAAGGAGATAGTCGAGCGCGAAAAGCGCAGTGCCCATCACAGAGCCCTTGACATACCACCTGTCGTCCTGTTTGCATCCGTAAAATTTATCTCCGACCTGGAGGCCGAGCAGGTCGTCCAGGTCGAATTCCTGCTCGTCCAGGAAATCTTTGAGATCAGCATCACTAATAGGAGTGGTGTCGATGGTGACCTCGTTCTCGGTAGGCGAAGTCAGGTGAAGCGGTGAGACGGATATCACCTTGTGGTTTGCACTCAGCACCTGGTGGAAAGCCGTCGAGATACTCGATCCGTACGGAGACGGATTGAGCACCAGGATGCTGAGGGTTGCAGCGAGACGACTGAAGCAGAGACTGGTGCACACAATCGCGCAGAACTGTTGAAGACGCATACGAAGATTAACGGATTACGATTTTGGGGCCGGCCGGGTCTTTATAAATTTCAGGGCCCCGTGCAGCTAGATAATTAGAAGGGCACGGGCTATAAGTAATGCACGTTAAAAGAAAAGTTCACGTCCCCAGTCCCACAAGACGTCGCCAGTAATTTATCGTGTGCGGCTGAGACACCCACGTGTGGCGGTGCACGGATTTCTCGTCTTAATTTTCTCTTCTTGCCTTTAGCAATACGTGATATGAGACTCCGATTGCCTTCTCGCACCATCATAACGGCGACGCTGGTCCATCTGATGCGTCTCTCTAGCGCATACCACTCTTTTGACCGTTTTCTACGCCAGGAGATTGCGCATTTCGCCAGCTCTCACTGTCTTTGCGGATGCCATCTAATCCTCTATGACTCGCCAGAACTGAACTGAACACAGACAGGAAGTCGCCACCAGACACTCACCAACGCATTCCGACAACCATGTCATACGCTCACGATCGATTACGATAGTTACAGATGCATGTCCATGGGTATATGGGTCTAATATTATTGCTGTATTTACATTTGAATCTCCTCGATTTCGAGCCCACAGTCCTTGCAACGACGCCGCACCATGCCGGGTTCTCCCGTGGGCTCTCCTCGGCTCCAGTGGTGCTCGTGTCTTGCGTTGCGCTCGCCGCGTAACTTCCGCGTAAACTCTTCGGCCCGCATCTTCTTCCTCATCTCGCGAAGACGCGTGTTGAACTTCTTGTCGCGTCGCTTGACGCGCATTTCCTCTCGTCGAAGCCACTCCTTGTCCAGGTTCTCCGCAGAGCCCCATTTTTTGAACGCGTACTCCTCGATCTGGTATCTCAGAAAAAGCTGCATTTTCGAGTAAGTTCCGCTGTGCGGGTTGGCTTTGACCAGCCTTTTGAACAGCGTTTCGTCCGCGAGCTCGGGCTCGGTCAAAAAATAGTCCTCTTTGCACTCTGTTTTCGTCAGTAGAGAGTATTTCTCCGGGTATTTGTTTTCGCAGCTCTTGCACACGCGACAGCCAAAAGTTTGAAGCAAGTTCCGGTTCAGTTCGATGGAGCCGCATTCAAAACACTTCGGAGCATTCGCAATGTCCAACGGCGGAGCAGGCTCGACCAAGGGCCGGTTCTTTTGTTCTTCTTGCCACTGTTCCAGGGTTTTATCCGTTTCTCCGGCCCCCTTGCGGTCTGCGTCCGACAGAAATCCTCCATAGGTGTCCTGCATCGTGCTGAAGTCGTACTCAATGTAGTCTGCCTTCTTCACAGACGGCCTAATGCGCTCCTGCACATGGTTGTGGCCGCCTTTTTTTGCACCTTCGATTCCGCCACCAGGAGCGTCTGGTGTGTATGTCGACTGATCTGCAACCCGGTAATTCCCCTTTTCCATTCCCTCGCGGATACGGCGCCGCTCCAGGGCTTTTTGTCGATTTTTCTCGATCAGTTCTCGTTGCTCTGGGGTCAGCTCTTTCTGGGGCTGCGGCTGATTCTGGCCCTTCAACGCCTGCTGCCGGAGTCTGATCTTCTCCAGAGCGTGGGCCCTATTTTCTGCCTGCCAGTTAGCACATCTCGCTGCTGCTCAACTTACTAGCTGGCGGTGTCTCTCCATTTTAAACTTTGCAGTACATTGCTCTGTTGCTCGCACTTGTGACAGTGACAGAATTATTTTTCAGAAAATATTTCCCTCTAGCTGTTTTGATTCAGGCATATCACTAATACTTAAAGTCTCTCCTTACAACCTCTAATTTAGAACGGCAGTTTGTGATAACCGCTGATCCACGGCTAGCCACACCAATCACAGAATGTCAGGAAACCGATGGAACGACAGAAACTCAATCAATAATTTCCCTCCACTCACACCTTCCACGCCGCGAAATAATGATTCTGGCGTGTCCAATCCTACGCTCTCCTCGCCAGGGACGCCACGAAGAGCCAAGAGGAAGACGATGTACAGTGACAGGTATATTCCAAGCAGAACTGGGGTCGATCTCCAGGCAGCCTTCAGTCTGAACTCGGACGCGGTCCAGTCATTCTCCGCAGCAGAACACTCGAATGGGGCATCGGGGTCGATTATCGAAAACGATATAGATTACATCCGCGAAGATGAGGCAAACAGAACGTTCGATGCAGTGCTCAAGTCCGAACTTTTCGGCGACAATCTTCCAGCAACGTTCTCAAGCAGAAAGAGTCTGAACCCCAGCGCCACACACACAAGCTCGAGCTCTAACCCGTCGCGAACCCAGATCACGCCTCCGGGCTCCAATAATCCAAGCCAATCCGGGTCCCAGCTCAATCTCGAAGACGGTGTTCAACATACCCCTCGCCAATCTGGAAACATCTTCACCTACCAGTCGCCTTCCAAATCCCGCCCCGCATCTTCCTCGTTGAACGTGCACAATGAGCTTTACTCGCTCAGTCCGGTGCGCGCAGACAGTCAAAAGATACTTCTGTCGCCGCAAAAAAAGCCCCGGTCGATATCCAAAGTGCCTTATCGAGTGCTGGACGCCCCGGAGCTCGCAGACGATTTCTACCTTAACCTCGTTGACTGGGGATCCCAGGACGTTTTGGGAGTTGGTTTGGGCTCTTGTGTGTACCTGTGGGATGCTTCCAGTGGCTCTGTGAATCGTTTGTGCGACCTGGGCTCCAACGACACTATAACCAGTTTATCGTGGATCGGAGCCGGCACCCATCTGGCCATTGGAACGAGCTCGGGATTAGTGGAGATATGGGATGCCACGATGGGCAGATGCACGCGCACAATGACAGGTCATTCGTCGCGGGCATCTTCATTGGCATGGAACCAACATATCCTGACTTCTGGATCAAGAGACAGATCCATTCTGCACCGGGACGTGCGAGATCCGTCACACTATATCAAGAGGCTCGAGCGACACAAACAGGAGGTGTGCGGATTGAGATGGAACATCGAAGAAAACAAACTTGCCTCCGGAGGCAATGATAACAAGCTTTTGGTTTGGGAAGGCATGAACGAAGAGCCACTTTTCAGGTTCACCGAGCACCAAGCCGCGGTTAAGGCGATCGCATGGTCGCCTCACCAGCGTGGGATTCTTGCCTCCGGCGGAGGAACCGCAGACCGAAGAATCAAGATCTGGAATACCATCACAGGACTGAAAATCAACGATGTCGACACAGGATCGCAAGTCTGCAATCTGGCATGGTCCAAGAACTCGAACGAGATTGTTTCTACGCACGGCTACTCCAGAAACCAGATAGTGATCTGGAAATATAATACGATGCAGCAGATCGCGTCTTTGACTGGACATACCTACAGAGTGCTGTATCTGGCCATGTCTCCAGACGGCCAGACCATTGTCACTGGCGCGGGGGATGAGACGCTGAGATTTTGGAACGTTTTTGAAAAGAACAAAAATGATACTGGTCCTTCATCTGTTCTTCTGGACGCGTTCATGCAACTCAGGTGATCTCTACTCACCAACTAGATTCATGTTGACTATATTTATTTTCTACACCTTAGACCTTGATTTGCATTATTTAGTCGCGTAATGGTATTTTTTGATCTAATCTTTTTGTTATGGAGGGTTTCGAAGACGGGCTCGTATTGACGCCCATCTTGGCCACCTCCAAAATCCCAATTCTTGCCTTGATAATTGGTTACTGCTACAAGGATTTGCCACCGTCCACAGTCCCCCCGATACTCTCTACCTTGGTCCAGCTTATAGAACATAACGACCTCAGGGAGAGCCAGACAGAGTTGATCAGCCTGTATTTTCCCTCTCTCAAGGAGATTCTCAAATTGATAGAAGACGCGGTCACGTCTTTTGCAAAGGAGATGAATACGCAGACCCCCACGGAGGTGGCTAACGATGTCAAAGCTGTTCAGAAATACCTGCTAAATTCGCTGTGGAGTATAACTTCTCTGGACATGTTCCACGATTTTGTGTCCGGCGTCAACAGGCTGCTAGTAGACTATGAGAACACACCCAAAAATGAGAGTGTCGACAAAGGAACGCAACCGGAAAAGCTCCTTACCTCCTCCAGTTTTCTAGGCAGGTTTGTCTACAACATAGCAATCGCATTTGAAGTGCTGGTGTTCGACGATACTGTTGAGCTTTGGAACACGTTCCTCAAATACAGGGAGGAAACGAAGGAGCTTTGGTCGAACCTCAATGGCCATGAGGTCAGACAGAGCCATCATGACGAACCACAAACGCAGTGGCAGAGACAGGTGCTGCGAAACAGCGGGTTACTGGACGCCCGTGTGGACGGCTCGCGTCAACAGGTTATCTCGCAAATTGACCTTGCACAGATGCTCGAGCAGCAGGTTCAGATAATGCAAAAATATTCTCCTCCTCCGCCTCAGTCAATGAAGAATATATTGAAACTTCTTTCCGAATCTCAACGTGGCATCATCCCTTCTGCACACTACATTGACTATCTAGAGAGTTGGAAACAAAGCGATTATGAAGGATCTTTCAATGCACTACACCGATATTTCGACTACATGATGTCCAATAAACAGCAACTATTTTACCACTACGCGCTGCTCTCTCTCGCTACTTTACATGCTTCGTTTAATTCCGATGATGAGGCCCTGAGGGCCATTGACGAGGCCATTCTTGTGGCCAGAGAAAATAAAGATCTTGATTGTCTCAACTACCTACTTACTTGGCTGTTCAACTTCCTGAAAGATAGACCGCATCTATATTCCAAGATGGGAAACCATACTAGTCGAGACCAGATTCTGCAATTCTTGAAAATCAAGACCAAAGAAAGTAGAAATTGGGTGCTTCAGTCGATGACCTTCCAGTACCATGCGGTGCATTTCACTCTGGACGGTGGTCCGTTGCGCAAAATTCTTGAAAATATTACTCGCGCGTCCTACGTCCTTCTTAATTTCGATATTGGTGCCAGTATCAGGTCGACGTTTGTGCGAAACTGCCAGCTGAGTGCCTCCGTTTGGAGTAGGGTTGGGGTCCCCACGCTGGCTCGACTGTACACTGATGTGGCTCTGGACGCCTGCGGGCCCAACTTGAGCGTTTTTGATGATTTATCGATTGGCATGCGCCGGGCAGCTCTGGCCTATGAAAGAGGAGACGTGGATGAAGCCATTGCTGAATTTCAGTCATACGAAGAGACAGCCGTGAACGATATTTCATTGATGAAGATATGGGAACCAAGATTTATGCTGCTGCAAAGCGATCTCTGGCTCAAAAAATGTCGCTACAAAGCGGTGTCCATTCTACTGGCACGACTCCAAAGCGAGGCAGAAGAGATTAACGACCAAGACCTCTACTATGAGTTGCAACTTCGCAAAGCGCAGTACGAATTAAAGATTGGCAACCAGGGTGAGGCTGTCAAGATTGTGACAAATGCCCTTTCCCGAATCGGAGCTGATGACCATTCATACAACCACTACTGGTACATAGAGCTTCAAATTTTCTATGCGACGATCATGGCCCAATCATCATCCAGTCCTGAGAGAGCCATTACAATCATCATCGATGCGTTGGCCTCCGCACACAAGTCATCCTTGATCACGCTGACGGTGAAAGGGTTCATTGTTCTGTGTGAAATGATACTGAAAATCGATCCTGTTGACTCTGCACAGGATGCAGAGGCAATTCTTGAAAAATTGATGCCTCTGTCACTGCAAATAGGAAACTTATGGCTCTCCTCTTATGGATACTACTTGCTTGCCCGAGTGCTCATGATCAAGACTGAAACAGAGGACATCTCTGATGCACATCAGCTGAAGGAAGGGTGCAACAAAATACTGGACTATCTGGAAACATCAATTACAGGATTCAAGCGTACGCATGATCTAGAAATGATGCACAAAGCATTTATGGTGGAGAAAAGGCTTGCAGAGTTCAGTCAATTTCCTGACCTGTTGAACCATGCAAACGGCTCTATAAGCCAGCTGGACAAACGAATACACGAAGAGAATAAATATTCAATGTACTGATCACCAACCGAGGTACTCAGCGTAAGCTGCCATTGTTTTCTCCGTTTGACGGATCGCTTTGATTCGATCGTAGAAAACAGAGCAATCCTCATTGGTACATGCCAGCGCAGTGGAAAGCGGTGAGTTGTTATTTCGCATACTCCGTTTGGTACATTGCTTGCAGACTAACAATGTGTCATCCATTTGGGATTCCTTCGCACGCACGCGCGAGCGCATGTGAGCGATTGTCTGCAGCTCATTGGTGCTACACTCGCGACACAGCTTGCCTGCTCTGCCTAGCGCTTTTTGAATCACAGTATTGCAATTAACACACCTGGCGCTGTTGACAAAAGGTGTTTTAAAATTCAGTTGATCCAAGTTCGGGGCAATCAGATTCCGCGGAAGCTCATCGAACCATTTATTGACATCGACGCCGCAGAGGTTGAATATCCGTTGGAGTGGGGGTATAAGCACTTTAGTGATATAATAGAATGCATCCAGTTCGAGATTTCCGTTAGCTATAAAATCTCTTGGAGCCATGCATCGATCACGAAGCAGTTGGTCTTTATATCCCTTGGCGACCATGTAGAACACTCTTTCCCTATACTGGGGCTCGGCGCGAGGGTCTTCGGCAACCTTCTTCATTGTGATGCGAGCACCTGGAGGGACAGAAGTCGGATTTTTGTATGACCCCAGTCTAATTTCCTTGCCAAACAAGAAATCCTGCAAATTGGCCTTGTTCTGCATGATTTTGAGGAATTGCAGATTCACGTATTGCTTCACTTTGGTGAGGTCTTTGGTCTCAAACAGTAGGCGAAGCGACTTCTCCACCATTTTTTGCTGGGCAGGCACTCCGTCGCGTCGCACAGTTTCTATACCCTTGGCATCGAACTTGGGCGTTTCTTGGTCTTCGTGCTCGTAAGCGTATCCCGCGTATCTTTTCTTGCTAATTAGCACACATGGAAAGTATACCTTTTCGAATTTCAGACGAACGGGAGACGGGTTCATAGAGGTGATGTGGTTCGATATTTCGCGGCCTAGTTTGAATGCGTCCGCCTTGCTCTTTCCCGGAAGATACACAAACAACGAGTCTGTGTCTCCGTATACCACTTTGGCGCCCCATTTTTCGTTCTTCTCGATCTCGCTTATTGCGCTGTGCAGTGTTTCTCGTGCAGCAGAGACTATAGCGTCTGCTATGGCCGAGTTGGGCATTCTGCCCGAGTACGTCGCAGAGGCGTACCCGTATGTGACGTTGGCAATCAGTTTCAACGCCAGTTGTCTGTTATTGTAGAGTTTGTAGAGCTCTGAATCGTCTTTGAGGCCGTTCATGGTATCTTTCACGAGAATGCGTGCATCCAGAATTTCGCTCAGCATCTTGGCCAGGACAGATTTTCTAACGTTTGGCTTCAAGAACATAAGTCCGTTTGGCGTGACAGTGATGTGTTTCTCAAACAACTTCAGGAGCCCAGGTGGTAATTTCCAGGACGTGATTCCTATGGTTTGTGTCTTTTTAGGGTCATAACCCTGTAGTCTGCCAAGTAACGTGGAATAGCACAAATTATGGGCAATTATCAAGGACGGATACAGCGACTGGAAATCTAGGACAAGCAACGGACTCTTGTAGAACGAGCTTTCGGGTTCCAAGATGAGGGGAATCACCTGGAGCGGGTCCTGTTTGAAAACCTGTTTCTTCGACGGAGAAATGAGAATGAAATTCTCTGCCTTTGCTAGACGCACTAGAAGACTTTCCACTTTGAACTGCGACCCGCGGTAGAACACCGAGTAGTAGTCGATTCCCAAAAACCGCGACTCCTCCACAGTCCTCTCGATGATTTCCATCTTATCGATCAGTTTCATCTGCCAGTGCAGCCTGGACATGTAGTACTCTACAAGATTGCTGAGATTTCCCGGATTTTTGGAAAGAAACCACTGCGTCAGGACTTTGTGGTCGTAGTGCGGAATCTTGATGTGCAAAGTGTGCCATACCACGTTTTCCAGGGAGTACCTGTTGATACTCAGCTCTTTTCTCAATGGTCGCCATAGATTCAGCATGTGTCTGCCTGTGATTTTTATTCCAGAGGCATGCGTATAGCCCCATCGGTCGTTCAGCTTGTTCAGCTGTTTGGTGGCCACTCTGGACAACCGCACACCCAGGTCCATTTTATGCACTTTTCGAAACCTTTCCAGCATATATCCCCAGGAAGCGGAGTGAATTTCGTATCCTGAGAGAATGTCTGGATCCACGAATTCAACCAGGGAAATCAGCTCTCTCACCATGTCAATCTCACTTATGAAAGTCTGCACAGGAAAGCCGATTTGCTTTCGTGTAATTTCGTGGGAGTTGACGACAAACACCCCGGATCCCGCAATCCCAAGGTCGATTGGATAGTTTTGATCGTCAAAAGACCAAAAAATCGCCCTGACCTCGTCCTTTAGTGGGTCCGGAAACAGGTCTCCGCGAGTGTTAACGTGCAGCTCCATGTTCAGCACAATCAGCTTGTTAAAATTGTTTGCTTTGCGCACAATAGGAGACTGGAAAGACGGGGCCTTGTATCCCTTCATGTTCTGCGTTGCCTGGTCGATCTGGGACCTAAGCAGCTGCGACCGAGTCTTGATAGGGTCCGGGTGCTCGACAGACCATCGAAGGACATCTTCGTACGACGGCGCGCGCTCTCGGTAACTCCAGATACTCGCTACTCCGTCTCCAGCTATATGGACGGAGTTCGAGGTGGTTTTCGTAGCAACGTCGTACGCTTTGAGACCCTGGAGATCAAGACACTTGATCTGGAACTTGCGGCCGGCAAAATACTCCGGTGCCTCGCTATATCCGGTCCTTGAGCTGTAATATGGATCGAGATAATCTATCTTGAGCATCGCATGGTCCTCGAAGCTTCTCATCATGGCGTCAAAACTTGGGAACGTCGGCGCCGGCATAGTCAGCTCAAACAGCTCTTCTGAAGCGTCCAGTTTGATGGCCGGATTGTCAATCTGTGTATCGTGCTTTGTTTCTGCACTGGTGTTGGTCTCGTCGCTATGTCTTCTAGCAGCTTGTGTCTGCTCGAATATCCGCAAATCCAGGTTCGTGGAGTCAGAACTCTGAGCTCCGTCCGTGTTTGTCTCCTCAGTAGCAGCCGTACCCGAGCTTTCGCCATCTATAAGCCCCAGCTTCTCCTGGATATGGGGTATACTGCCCAGAAAATCGTCTTCGTGCTCCGTCTCGTCCGACGAAGAGTCCGACGCGTCGGAGAGAGCGTCGACGTTCGAGACATCCTGTGTACTCGCAACGACCGGCTCTGTATCCTTTTCAAGCAGCCAGTCGCAGATCTGAGACTCGTGCAGAATCAGGTCCTCGGGAACCCTGAGCAGATGGCTCTCGGGAACCTGCGGCCGGTGGAACTGGTTAATGCTTTGGAAGCTGGTGCTATACTTTTTTAGCCAGTCATTTCTGGGTACCACGTTGTCCGGTTCCAGAGTATGCTTTGGATGCAGGCGGCTCCACTCCTTCTTGGACTCTTCAACACAGTACGCAAGCAGCTCGTTCAGCTCGTCCTGCTCTATCCAGGTGGTTCCGGTAAAGTCACGCTTTCCTCCGCTGAAGAGCTTGATGTTGGCCTGGGAAGACATGTTTCTCTGCCGCCGCTGGTACTCTAAGTCACCTAGCAGGCTCTTGATCGAGTAAATACAGCTGTCTCCGTCCTGGCTTTCGGGAATATCAAAAGATAGTTTTGAGTGAACATCTCGCTCTTTGCACGTTAATCTGTTTTTGAGCCAGACGGCGGATGTGTCGAGCTCACAAAACACCCGGCCCATCCGCGGATACTTTTCAGATAAAAGCACATTGACACTGAACATGTCACGAGTCAAATGGCGGGCTATTTCTGTCTTCACCTCAGGAGTGACCTTGACCTGGTTCAGGCTAGCGAAATCGGTCTCGAAGTAGTCCTGGAACGCATCCAGATGACCCTGTGTCAGAACCAAAGGAGATCTCCAAAATGCTTTCTCAAGATAAATCCAGTTGCAGCCAAAACAATTGTAATCAGTCAGAAACTGTAACATGTACGGGATATGGGCTTCGAACGGTTGCACCACTTTGCCAAACAGTTTTCCCTCTCCGAGCAGTCTCTCAAGCCTTTTGACGTGCCGGGGACTTACAAGGCTGATTTTTATGAATGGCGAAAAGCCAAAATGGTACCCGTAAAAAGAGTTGCCCTTCACAAGGGATATGTCTGCAACATACGTTTTTCCGGCGCCGATGTCCACTTCCTCGTCGTCAAATTCGTCCTCGTCGTCGTTGACATCGTCCATGTCCTCCAGATCGGTCGTCGCCCCCTCGTTAGCGGCTGGTTTGGGTTTTTTTCTGGGACGAAACCTAAACGATTGATAGATCTGCATGTCTATCTCGTTCTTCCAGCTTAATAGATGCTCGTCAATCTTCTTCTCGTCCGATGTGGGGCCCCTATACTGCACATACAGGTATGGAAAAACATTGTGAATGTGTAGAAGGCATGTGTGGCCCGTAGTCAGCTTGCCGTAGACCCTGATCACAGGGACCTGATTAAATGCAGTGCTATTGCCACTATACGGTTTATTGTTCAAGGTGAATCGCTGTTTGTCCAGGGACGACGGTGCCGACTGGTACGAGTCATACGACATAAGCTGTATCCTCAGCTCGGAACCATCTCGTTTGTCGTCTTCTGGTAGCGAGGAGTCCTTCATAGATAAATCATTTCATTACTCTAAAATATTTTATTTTTTTTGCGCGTCTTGGTATCTCGCTATCGAGTCGTCATGCAGGTTAAAAGTGAGTTTCCGCACCTCATGGACGTCAAGGTCTGTCCGCGAGCGCACAGGTCTGGCCTGGTCGATCTTGTTGAGTGATTCGATGTACTTATAGTGGATGCGGTTTCTTTTAGGCGGCGTCACAAACGACGGGACTGCAGTCCTTTTGGTCGAGGCGTTAACGCCAGCCGTGTTTATCATGAACCCCTGTGTGAGCTGGTGCTTTGGGGCCAGAATCCCCGATCTCCCAGCCTCGTTGGTCTCGAAAGTCTGAATATAGCCCGGGTACTCGTGGATGCGCAAATCCGCTAACGCGGAACGTTTTGTGGCCGATCGTTGCGGCGAGCGGTTCTCGATTTCTTTGCACTTGTTGCTGCGGGGATTCTCGTTCTCCTTGTTTTCCACATTTGTCACTGCCATCGACTCTAGCGAGTCAAGGGCATCCCTATAATTCGTGTGATCCTCGTAAATCTGGAACTCCTTGTGCGCTCTGTGCTTCTTTGTTGGCGAGTTGAGCCCACCAGATGGTCTTTTCCCAGGCGAGAGTCTGACTAAGCCAGAGGCCAGCGACTCGCTGCTGTCAAACTTTGAAGGAGACGACTTGTCAATTGGAACAGGCGACAGCGATCTGGAGGGTGACTTGGAGCTGTTGTGTTTGTAAGGGGACGTCGACCGCGAAACACCATGAATATTGGTGTCTTTGGCGCCCAATGGTTTACGTTCAGTTCTTCCTCTCATACGCGACGCGAATAAAAAAAAGGGGGGACTAAAATTAATTTATTTATCAATTTAGGCCCGGATTTAGCTCCTTTTCCATCTTGTCTTTCTCGGCTATCCATATTTTTGACAAAGAAATTGCTCCCGCTCCGAGCCCGAAAAGAAGATGCAGGGGCTCATCAACCTTCAAATGGAACACACTGACTGTGTCATAAGCGAAATCGCATAGCAGCTTGAGGATCTCGAGTTGCACCATGTATTTTTCTTTGGATATTTTCTTCAGCTCTGTAGAATACTGCACCAGCTGTGTTTTGGCATCTGTGTTTTCCAGCGGCCCATATAGTGATATTGGGGACTGGTCGGCTTTGATCGTGGAAACGAGCCGTTTGGCGCGCTGTTTGACTTGGTAGTTGATCTTTAAGGAGTTTTCCTTATTGCTCAGTTGCGACAGCTTCTCGAACTGTGCACGAAGTCCCAGTATGATGTTTGTGTACCAGGCGAGCGCCTCGTGTCTGACGGCAAATCTGCGGTAGTTGGGAGTTGTTTTTTCGTCTAGAAGGCCGATTTTGTACGCGAGCAGTGACTCGTCGAACCAGGCGTAATACAGCGCGCAAACTTCACCCAACGATTTGAAATTGCACCAGTCAGACTTCAGTCGCTGCAGTTTCGTGGAAGCTTTCTCTGACGACTGCAAAAGGCCCACAGTCTCCGAGATTCGGGACAACAACTTGAGGACTTTCGTCGGCACAGTGCCGGCCCGTAGCATCTGTCTGTATATAGAGAGAATCTTTGTGAGGCCGACGAACCTGGCCTCAAATTGGCCCAGAAATAACACCACTATCAGTTCTGGCTGCGCAACAAGCTGCCGAAGCACGTCCTGGGTTTTCCCGTTGAAGTCCACGCTTGTCAGCTTGAAGTTGTTGAGAAACTGTGTTTTGCGAGCTCTAATGGAATACGCAATCAAAATTCGCAGTCCGTACTGAATGCATTTGCCAACTTTGTCCTTGCCTGCCAGTTGCGACATCACCCTGATCCACAGGTCCAGCTTGGAGGGCCTGATAAGAGGACTTCGCTGTATCGCTTCCGCAACCAGCTCATTGTTGGGTATCACGAGGTCTTCGTCAATGGGCTTTGGACTCACGATATCTAGACGCGGCATGCGGCTCATGGAAACGGGAGTTTGGAGTCTCGAAGGAGGCAGATGGCCCCCGTTCACGCTAGTCATGGTTTGTCCTCTTATCGGAGATGTCAGCCTGACTTTGTTGAAGTTATCCTTTTTCGTCTGGTAATAGTATGAGTAAACTCCCAAAGCACCCCCTTCCCTATAAAGATCGTCGTTAGACGACATACTTTCGCCTATTTTCCGTTTCAACTAATATAGTCTATATCAAGCAATCGTGCGCGGAAACGATTTTTTTATCTAACCACACCTCGCACCCGTCTATTACATGAGCACACCCTTCGTGCTAGGAACGTCGTCTCGTCCAGTGTACGAAGTCGCGTCTCTGATCGCGACTGCCAGCGCCTTGAACGCGCTCTCGCTGCGGTGGTGATCGTTAAAGCCCCGAATGCAGTCCACGTGCAGTGTTATGTGTGCACTGGTAGCAAAACTCTCTAGAACATGCGGAATCATCTCGCAGCTCAGATCTCCTATTTTCTCTCTCTTGAGCCCCAACTCGATCACAGCATACGGTCTGTTCGATAGATCCACAACAGCTCGACTAAGAGCCTCATCCAGGGGAGCATAGGCGTATCCAAAGCGTTTCATTCCTTTCACAGGACCAAGTGCTTTTTTGAACGTTTCGCCCAGAGCAATAGCGACGTCCTCTGCCGAATGGTGGTCGTCGATGTGGAGGTCTCCCTTGCACTCGACAATCAGAGACCATCCCGAGTGTTTGGCCAAAGCGTGGATCATGTGGTCGAGGAATCCAATACCTGTGTTGATAGAAATCACTTGTGCCGAGGTCGCCTGCGAGGCGTGATCATACTCCTTGTCCAAGATGGAATCTTTGCACGAGATGAAGCCTCCATCTAGACTCAGAACGATCTGAATCTTAGTCTCGTTGGTGATACGTCTGGTCTCTGCAAAACGGCGACATGTGCCGTTCACGTCCAGCTTTCTCTTTTTCTCTTCAGCCATATATAATGCAAGTACTTTTTTCTTATTTTATTTCATTTTATTTTATTTTATCATGCTGAGATTAGTCAGACCAATCAGAAGGTTTTCATTCATAAGACCGCTTCTCAACGAAGGATCCAGCCACCACACCCTCAGGCGGGAAAATGGAGAGATTAAGATCAAGGTGGAGCCGCTTCCTAGAATCAACGAATCTATAGAGAAAAAGAGAAGAAGATTGCTTTACCAATCCAGGAAAAGAGGCATCTTGGAGTCCGACCTGCTCTTGAGCAGATTTGCCGACAGGTACCTGGACACCATGACACCAAGCGAACTAGAAGAGTACGATAAACTCCTTGACGAGCCAGATTGGGACATCTACTATTGGGCAACTAAGAATTATGATGTTACTCCTTTGCCTGACAAATGGAAGAACTCCAAGATTTTGAAAAAATTACAGGAGTTGAGCGAAAATAAAGACAACGAGATTCTCAGAATGCCTGACCTTAAATCAAATGCTTAGTCCACGATGTCCGCGGTAGCCGATGGCTGCTCGCTAATTCCCTCGGCTTCGTCGTCTCCTAGCTCCTCATATTCCTCCTTCAAATGGTTGAACTCATCCTCGTTTTCCAGCAACGCTTGGATCTGGATCACACCACATTTATCGAATAGTTCTAATACGTTTTCGGCTTCCGAAATCGACATAGTAGCAAAGACTTTGTTTATGGCGTCCAGTTCCTTGGTCTCTAGCGCCTTTTGCATGTTTTCTGGGATTTGCTTGAAAGTTTCATATTCGGGAGTACCTTCAGCTGGGAGGTTAACAACGAGCTCTGAATTTGGATCCATCGATCTTAGCTGGATTTGCTCCACGCCTTCTTGTTGGGCGTTTTGTTCTTGTTCCTGCTTGATGACTTCACACCTGTTAACAATATGTTTGTACGTTTTTTCCAAATCTGCATCAAAAGTGCGAGCGGCTGGCGACGATTTGTCCATTAACTTAGTAACAAACAATCCAACGGCCTGTTGTTTCTGCTGAATCGTAGCCTTTGGTCCACCAGCAGCATTGAATAAATCGTTCAAGTACTGTAAAATGAGTGCCTGGTGAACGGTCTGTTTGGCCGTTTTAGTGTCTCCACTCAGTTGAGAGTCAAAAGTGCTCATCATCAAGGCGTCTTTCTGCTGCTCGCAAACGATGTAGAGATGGTTTTCAAGGAACTTGATGCTCTTCAGTAGGTCCGTAGCGGGGATGCTAGCAAACTCCTTCGTCTCTGGCAAGAGCTCAAGCTCATCAAGCTGGTCAAGAGGCTTGGAAGGTACTTGGGCCAATTTGGCCACTTCTGGAGTGTTAATTGTTTCTATGGTGGTAGTGGTGGATTTGGTCTTTTCAAAAGAGCCAGAGCCGGCCGATTGGGGAGCAGAAGATGAAGGAGTTTTGTTGATGATTGAACTGTTCCACCCATCATGAATATCCTCGCTTGAAATGTGCAACTCTTTCTCCTTCTTGAGCTCCTCGAGTTTTGGATCTATCTGCTTCAGAACAGACTCAATTTTTGCTCTGTGCTCAAGCAATTTTGCCAGCACAAGCTTTGGATCAGTGCTATCCTTGTCTTCCTTCTTAAGATCATCCGAGATCTGCACAAAAAGATCTTGAACCATCTCGTTATAAGGAATATTGTCGGCGTTTTCCTCCAAGGTGCATTTCTCCTTTGGATCAAAATTGGTATCCAGAAATTCGTTTCGTTTCTTCTCGTCTGCAATAGCGTCCCCTAGAGTAGCGATCATCTTGTCCACCCGCGCGTTTAGTCTGGTGTACATCTCTTTTTGGATTGTCAACCCTTTGATCTCGTTGTTTCTCTGCATCCGCTTTTCGTGGATATCCCTTTGTTTCCACCTGATAAAAGACCTTTTGTCGACATTTGGGTGCACCTCTATGTCAGAGTCGTCTGAAAGCTCGATTTTGTCCCACTTGGAATAATCAATTGGCATTTTTAAAACTAAAGCGAACCAAGAAAAGCCTAGAAATAAATTTATATTGGGGCGCGACTATCGTCGTCATTTGTTCTCGAGTTTATCGATTTTATCTTTATTATGGATTTTCTGGACCTACCGCCAGACGAAGCGGAGCCGCACAGTTTCAAGGAGGAAGAGAGCGTGCGTGCGTCGTTGTCAAAGGTATTGAACAGAACACCTACCATCCCTGAAAACGCGGACGAAGATGAGCCAACATCCGCAAAGGAATATGCGCAGCCGGAGTCTGTCTCTTCAAGAAAGGGCACCATAACGGGCTCGTTGCCTCAATCGATCGATAAGAAACGCAAGGACAACATGAACGAGAAGATATACGAGCTGTACGAGTCAATTCCGAGCGAGTTGTTTGTGGACAGTAAAGACAAGTCGTCAGGCACGAAAGATGGCAAGCCGAACAAGGGACAGATCCTAAGCAAGGCTGTGGAGTATATCAGCAAACTCCAGGCCGAAATTGACGAGAAAAACAGAAAAGAGGTCGAGTTGAGCATACGATTGCGCAATCTGGAAATTGCACAGAACGTACCGGCCTCGCAGCGGTTCAATCTGCTACACACAAGCGCAGAACTTGGGTTGGCGAAGATCGGTGTTGGCCCGCTGGCACAAGAGTCTTCTGAGTCCCCCAAACCATGATAGCTTGGTACTATATTTATTGTAATCTGCGTCAATCGGCGCGATTCGACGCGCATCGACGTCCTAAAAATTTTTTTTCGATCTTAAAAATTTATTTATTTCAGCTCCAATGAAGCTTGTGGAGTGTGTGGCCGACCAGCGTGGAAGGTTCCTTGCATGTGTGCTTAGCTGGCCTGGAAGAAGTGAAGTGAGGATTCTTTCTTTTGAAATCGAGGAGCTCAAATCCAGTATTGAGCTTGGACCAGATGAGAAAATAGAACGGGTCAAATGGCTCCAGAACAAAGACACAAGCTATCTGGGCGTGCTTCTCTCCACTAATGAAATCCTGATCTATTCTCCACTGTCGAAAGAGGTGGTAAACAAGATTTTCACTGTTTCTACCCTCATTGATTTTACTGATGGGCCGGGCCAGGATGTCTGGGGATACGATAGAAAGAACATGACGCTACGCAAATTTGGTCTTTTCGAGAATCGTATGGTGGACTCCCGTCCTTGGACAACAGATAAGCAATGCCAGTATCTCCAGTATCTTCACTTTAAGCTTGCTATTGCGTCCTCTGCTTTGTACGTCTTTGACCCCTATAAAATAGGAGATGCCGAGGAGGAGGTCAAGATCGCGGCTCCAAAAGCCCATCAATCACAGATAACTAGCATTCTGATCTGCGAAAAAGACCCAGACTTGCTTGCGTTGGCCAGGGAGGATGAGCCCTTGATACAGATTGTCTCGCTTTCCAGCTCTAAAGTGCTGTCTTCGCTCAGATGTTCATCTGCCGTGAAGTCATTGGTGCTGCTGCAAGATCTCTCAATCGCTGCTGTGACAGAGGATGGTGCCATTGAGATTTTTGCGGAGGTTTTCGGCAAAAAGTCTAGAAAGCAGCTCGTGTCGAATTTGCAACTGAAACCAAACACAGCTGTCAAGTTCGTTAGTCTTGTAAGCAGAAAAGATCATTTTGTTGGCTTGTGGTTTGACGGCTATGATGTCAGTACCACCACTTTCGAAATCGAGGATTTATCCCAAGAAGGAGAAGTTATTATTGACGTCGGCCACGAAAGTGATTCTGGCTCTGACGAGGAGAACAATGTCGAGGAGGACGAAAGTGATGAAGAGGACTCGGAAGAGTTTTTAAGAGAAGACATCAACGGACTATATTCACTGATACTCGAGAATATTACGAATATGGACCGACTGGCTACCATATTGTCTCAGAACCAAGATAACGCCAAATCAATCATGTTCTTGCTGAAGGATCAAGAGACGATTGATCTCTTCAAGCAGCTGACGCTCAAAATTACAGACGATACGCAGAACTCGCAGGAATTGGGGACTTGGCTCAGGTGGCTACTCATTTCCAAAGGGAATTTGATTTCCCAAGACGCAGACTCGGTTGGTTTGTTAAAACTGCTCCAATCTTCTCTCGCCGAGAATATCCGCCTACTTCCCAGCCTTTTAACGTTACAGGGACGTCTTTCTCTGTTGCAATCTCAGCTCAAATTGAGAAATGATATGATGAACAGATTCACAGAGACTCGCAACGAGGTGAGTTTTGTCGAGAGCTCGGTGTTTTTAGATGGAGAGAATGACGATTTGGAGTACCAAGAAGAAGCAGAGGAGGAAAACGACGAGGAGGACGAGGACTGACGAATGTACTGACTAAACTAATAGATGCATATTTCAGGAGTAGGTGTGAGGATTACCTTCTTTCTTTTAGAAAAAAATTAGCAGGCTTTTTTTTTTTTTTTTTTTTTTTTTTAAAATTTTTTTTTTTTTTTTTTTTTTCTTTGCCCATAAAATTTATATCAGTTTTATAAAACTAATAGAAAGATAATTGAGGAGTAGGTGGGAGAATTACCTTCTTTTTTTTAAAAAAAAATTAGCAGTTTTTTTTTTTTTTTTTTTTTTTGATAAGAAAATCGTTCATCTTCAAGATTTCACCATGGCCGATAAAATGTACATCAGTTATAACAACGTCCACAAGCTCTGCAAGGCAGGTGCTGAGGCGTTTCTGGAGCAGGTTGGAAAGCCGGACGTGATTATCGCGATTGGTGGTGGTGGATTTATTCCTGCCCGAATTATCAGAACTTTCCTGAGAAGTCCTGGAGAAAAGAACATTCCCATCCAGGCCATTGGACTTTCACTGTATGAGGACATGGGAACCGGTACTGACGACAAGATTGGTAAAGAAGTGATCAGAACCCAGTGGCTTGACTTTGGTGCTCTGTCGCAGCATTTCGACTCTTTGATTGGCAAGAATATCCTGATTGTCGACGAGGTTGACGATACCAGAACCACTCTGCACTATGCTGTTTCTGAGCTGTACAAGGACGTCAAGGAAATCGCAGAAAAGTTGGGCCGCACCTCTGAAAAAACCAGACTCTCTATATTCGTGCTACACAACAAACTCAAGGAGAAGAGAGCTCAGATTGACGAGGACAAAATGGGCGGCGGAAAGTACTTTGTCGGAAAGGACGTGCCAGACGTCTGGATCGCATATCCATGGGAATCGGATGACATTGATACCCACACTCAGCATGCTGTTGAGCAAGGAAACATCTAATAGAGAAATGTAATTCTTTTAATTACTGGCAGCGAGCTTTTCCTGTAAACTCACCAGTTCCTGGACCTGGGACCTCATCAAGTCCTTTAGGTCATCCACGTCTGCCTGCAGCTCATTGCACTGCTCGGATTTTTGGCCCAGAAGCTGTAATGTAGCCTCGTAGTTGGAAGTAAGAGCAGCGTGCTCTTCCTCCAAGAAAGCCAGCTTTTCCTTATACTCCTTGGTCTGCTCGTTCTCGCGCACCAGCTGAACTATTTCGTTTGCCGCCTCCTGTTTCTGCGCGTTGAGCTCGGCAATCTCGTCTTTGAGTCCCTGAATTTCGAGCTCAAGACGGCGGATCCGCGACGACAGTTTACCCATCAGCTGGATGTTTGAGCCGCCTTTCACGTTCGAGCTGCCCATGCCGCCGATCGTGGACGAGTGCGGAGTTTCCAGATCCTCCGTCGACGTCGTGTGGCTGAGTCCCGGCTCGCCTTGGCCCCGGTAGCCAGAATTCGGAGACGAGCCAGGAAACATGTCTTCCTCTGCGGCCAGTGGGTCGTCAATCGTGTCCAGCATTGTGCTGCTCTGCGAGTGGTTCAGAGTGGGGCCAAAGAGCGAAGACTGTGACTGGCCGCGGCTTGAAACACCTGCAAACGCTCCTGGTCGAGGAGTCGTAGACGACTCGCCCAATGCTATGTTGTCGGCAGAAGCAAGCGAAACGGAGCGCTGTGTGCGGTAGTAGTTGAGGCTCGACGAGGAGTTGAACTCGTTGAGATAGAAGCCTGTCTGTGGCTGGCTCGCCTGCTGGATAGATGCCTGGGTGTCTATGCGGAGCTTATTAATATTGGCAAGACGGGTCTTCTCTTCCTCAAGGGTCTGGATTTTCTTTTCGAGGCTGGCTTTTTCCACTTCGTAGTCCTTTCGGAGCGCATCCTGACCCTGTCTGGCCGTCTCGAGGTCGTTTTCGGTGATCTCGAGCTGGTTCTTGGTAGCCTCCAGCTCGGCTCTTACTGCAGACTCGTTTTCAAGCAGCTCGCTGATCTCTGCTGCTCTGGACCTGAGGTCGCTTTGCATCGTCTTGATCTTCCGTGAGTTAGCAAAATCCTTCTGTTTGAGCACCTCGACGTCGTTCTCCAGCGCCGAGATCTTCTTCAAGTACGAGCTCTCAATCAGCTTCCAGTTCTCCTGTGCCTGTGTGTACTGTGCCTGTACCAGGTCGATAGAAACAGACGACGCGTCTGACACACCTGCCGTGTCCACAGTCCTGTCCACAGACTCGCTGAGCAGCCGGAACGCCTCCATCTTATTTTCCAGCCGCTTGATTTCGGCAGCATTTTCCTCGCTCAGCTCGTTGTATCGCGCGCGCTCTCGTTCCAACTTGTACGTCAGCTGCGATATCTGGTTACGTGCGTCCTCCTTGTACAGGCTGAACTCCTCTGTGGTCTTGTCGAGCCTTTCCTGGAGCCGTGCTCCATTCTTTAGCTCTGTCTCGAGCTGTTTCTGCAGAGTCGCCACCTGGACGTCCAGTCTACGCATTTTCAGCTCCTTCAGCTCGTCCACAGCGGCGTCCCTTTCCTGCTGCATCTTTTCGAATTTTTTCTGCAAGCTCTCGTACCCTAGACGGTCCTCCTTGGCGCTCCGCTCGTTGTGCTTGAACCCGCTCACCTCGGCCTCCAGCTCTGCCACGCGCGCCTGCAAACTGCCTACATCCCTTTCGGAACGCGCCAGGTCCTCCTCCAGATCCAGCTCTTTCTGTTTCATCTTCTTGATGGTCTGCGTCAGGTTCACCTCTTTCATCGACAATTTGGACCCTTCCTCCAGCAGTTCCTTGATCTGGCGCTCTTTCTCCTCCAGCTTGCGCCTGAGCGCCTCGTCGCTGCCAACCGGCGTGATTGAGCGCTTAGGAGCCCTCTCACGACGTAGATCGTCCACCTTGCGTGCCAACTGCTGATTTGTCCGTTTGAGATCTCCTACCACCTGGGCCGAATGCTCAAGGAGCGCAAGCAGCGCGTCGTGCTCCAGAGTCTTGTAGTCTGCAGGCAGCGAGAACTCATCTTTGGCCGTCTCGGCTCCCAACCCAGCGTCTTTGGAGTCCTTAGGACCCGTGACCTCCTTGCTCTCTCTGCCGTCCTTGCCATCGTCCTTGCGGCTGTTCTTGGATGCTGCCAGCGCCAGCCGCTCCTGCAAAGTAAGCTTCTTCCGCGGCATGGCCTCTTCCGCGGCTGGCGCCTCGGTGGAACTCACGCTGTCTCCGTCCTCCATATAAATTAATTTACGTATAAAATACAAGTTTGGCTGTGCGAAAAAATCTTTTTGTTTATTTGTTGATTTTTTATCTACATTTTACCACAAATAAATAATCCCTATTACCCGAATGTTCTCCATCTAGTCCTATGGCCGAATGCTATGCGACGAGACAGAACAGTACTGTCTCATTAAATTGTTGAGCTGTTGCTCCTCCTCCTGCGCAACTTTGTCGATCAGCTTGCCAAGAGAGTAGTCGTCCATAAGCTGGCTCGAGGTGCTGGAGACCGACGAGGCGCGGGAGTGCAGCGTGTCCAGCGACGAGACGGACGACGAGCGAGAGCTGCACAGCGACCTGGCTGGTGTGAGCAGGACAGGAGACGCTGGCGACGCGGTGACGGTGACCGTAGGCGTGGACGGCATTGGCTTCCTTGTTCTGTCTTTCTTGCGCAGCTCTGCGCGAATTGGGTCCAGGAACCTCTTCCAGGCCCGCAGAAGCTCGTCCTTGGAAATCTTCAGGTCCCAGTCCAGCAACATGAGCAGCTGGCGTTCCATAAGGTTGACGTCCTCCTTGCGGAACAATCCGTCTGTGTACTTGCTCCAGTGCTTGTTCTTGGGCGAGGAGTCGTTGTGGTGCTTGGAGGAAATGATCAGACAGGCCAGAAAAATGCGATGGCGTGTGCAGGGCAGACCCTGGGCGTCCCTGGGAAGCTTGGCCTTGAGTCTGTTGAGAAACACGATGGTCGACATCAGCGTTCCCGTGTAGACGTTCGTGTAGCGGACGAGCTTGGTGATGAAGGTCATGAGCGAGGGCAGCGGCTTGGTCTTGAGCACGGGCTCTGTGTCGGCCGGCGACTTGACCTTCTGGGTGATCGTTTTGGAGGACTCGCAGGGCAGCACCTGCAGCGTAACCGTCACCAGGTGGTGGATCATGTCCTGGGTGACGGGGGATTTCAAGAAAATTTCCAAGGCCTGGTCGTCGCTCATTGGGGAGATGGGCAATGCGAAGCTGCGTTTTATATATCTCTCGTCCACGGCGTGCTTCCTGACACCTCCTTTTAACGCTTATTTTTTCATCGCGTCGAGCCGCATCGCCGCGACCTCCTGTGAAGGGCGGTGCGGCGCAAAGGAGGTCGACGCGTTCCGAACAACGCTTCGCGCCATTCGGCACATTTGCCAAGCACCATGGTCTGGGGTTAAGCGAAATGTGATACACGACGCTACGCGAGTGTGCATGCACGCAAGGAGTTAGAGCCATAATCATATTTCCTACTTCATCTAGAGTCGGACAGCTACTCGCGGACAATCATTTGTCGGCACCATACGACTTGGTCTTGTACTTTCCGTTCAGCAGAATGATGTCCTGAGGCCTGTAGTCGAATTTCTGTGTGAAGAAGGACTCCAGGATATTCTTGGTGCCCTGGGCGTACCTGACCTGGGCGTCGATCACAGAGCCTGAATAGTGCGGAGTCATGGCATTTCCGGCGCCGTACTTGTTGGCCATGGTTCTCCATGGGTGGTCTTTTGGAGCCGGCTGCGGATACCACACGTCCCCACCGTATCCTCTGAGCTGGCCGCTCTTGACGGCGGCTGCCACGTCTTCAGCCACGCAGATGGCGCCTCTGGCGGTGTTGACCAGCCAGGCGCCCTTCTTGAAGTGCTTGAGCAGGTCCGCATTGATCAGGCCCTTCGATCCCGCGTGCAGCGGACAGTTCACCGTGACGATGTCGGCCTGGGCAACCAGCTCCTTGATGTCGAGCACTCTGCGGGCCCCGACTTTCTCCTCGGCCTCTCTGGACAGCGACTGGTAGTCGTAGTAGAGCAGCTCCTTAGGGTTGAAGGCCACAAGTCTCTCGAGCACGCGGTAGCCGATTCTGCCTGCTCCAATGGTGGCAATGACCTTGCCCTCGATATCGAACGAGTCCTTGGCGATCTCGGCCACGTTCCAGCCGCCGGACATGATCTGCTCGTGCGCAGGAACAAAGTTCCTCACCAGCACCAGCATTGTCATCACGACGTGCTCGGCAACGGAAACCACGTTGGAGCCAGTCACCTCCAGCACAGAGATGTCTCTGCCGGACTGGTTGATGTAGTCGAGGTCGATGTGGTCGGAGCCCACCCCGGCAACCACCAGCAGCTTAAGCTTCTTGGCCTTCTCGATTCTCTCCTTGGTGATGTAGGCCGGGTGGAAAGGCGTCGAGATGATGACGTCTGCATCGGGGATGTTTTTCTCGAGCTCCGAGTTCTCGCCTTCCTTGTCGCTGGTGACAACGAGCTCGTGGCCCTGCTTTTCGAGCCAGTCCCTGATGCCTAGGGCATTTTCGGTGCAACCGTAGAGTCTTTCCTCGTCTTGGGCGTGTTTTCCTGCTTCGTAGAGAACTAGTACAACCTTCATGGTGTGATTGATGATTGTGAGGAGGACGAGAAGGACGTATTTATAGTGCCGTTCCCCTCTCTGAGAGACCCGGCTGGTGGTCGACTGTCTCGGAGCCAGCTGAATATAGACTCCGTGTTTGCCGGCTATTCTTATTGGCGGATACAAGTGAGACACCCCGGAAATTTGCTGTTTTTCTGCAAAATCCGGGGTGACCGGTAGGAGGCTATTCGCACACACGAGCGGGACACCCCACTCTGGTAAGGGATTCCAAAGTCATTCTTTTTCCCGTTGCGGGGCAGCCACGCGCATTCTTTAGGAAAATATTACCTGTGCTACACCCTGTCAGATTTACCCTCCACACATATATATTCCGTCGTCTCCACAGACTATCATTCGTCCTTGCGCCGCCAGCGGAAAATATTGAGCAGCTGTTTCCCGAGACTCTCGGTCGGCACCTGGTACACTTGACGGATGTCCCGCTGCATCACCCGGTCGGATCTCGGCCTTAACGAAGACTGCGCTGCGGGCGGCTCACCCAGCAAATGTCTCCTGATCGCAGCTTCCAAATTCTCTGCGCACCGTCGGTAACATTTTTCCAGCTCGGTGCTTGCGTTTAGATAGAGTTTCTGTGAGGCCAAAGGAGCCTGCAGATTATAACTTCGGATACTGTCATTCAACGCTTTCAATTTGACGTCCAGATACTTGCTGTATTTTTGTTCCCATTGGCTGCTGCGCAGCTTCCTGTGGCGAGAGCTGTCGTCGCGCTCTGCCTCGGCGTACTGGCTCATAATCTGGATCTTGTCTGTGTCGCTTTTCTTTGAGTGTCGCTCGCAAACAATATGCACGGCCTGTAGTGTCCAATCGCAGTCGAGCTGGTTCCGAAATTGGCGGATCTGGGTCTCCACACTCCCCTGTTTCTCGATCCACGGCGGCATGGCCTCTTGCCGTTTCAGTATGTTGTTCAGATGATACTCTGTGCGGTCAATAAATGCGCTATTGCTGGTGTAATCTCTGGGGAGCGGTTTTCCTCGGGGAATATTGCGAAACTCGCCGCGCCGCTGCGCTTCCTGAATCCGCTGGTCGGCCAACGACCGCACAGAGTTGTCTACAGACGCAAACGAGTCACCAAGGAACTGCGCGGGGCCCAAGAGACGCTCTCTGTACATTTCTGCAAACTGGTCGTCCTCATTTTTGGCTTTGGTTTTGTCGGACAGTTTTCCCAGTTGGTAATCGAGCGCCCCGTCGCGGGCGTTGTGTAACCTCTGTCGCACGCTCGCCTTGGGCAACGGCTTATACTTGTCGTTGAGCATTCTTAGAGACGCATCGTAGACAGACTCCTTGCCCGTCCACACTTTCGAACTCGCAATGTCTCGCTCTTGCTTGCCCGCATACGTGGGGATCTTACTGAGACCGATTTCTCTCTGATATTGGTGGTCGAAGTTCTGGTTCTCGATTTGATCCAGCTTGAACCGCAACTTGGGCATATCCACGGGCAAGGCGTCCGGGATTGTGCCGGCCTGTGGATCATCGGCTATGGAACGCGCGTTCTCAGCCAGCTGCTCTAACCGGCGTTTGAGGGCACCTGAGTCGGCATTAAGAAGCACTTGTGATCTTCTGATCATTAAATTTCAAAAAAACGGTGCAAGGGTTATCACATGGATGGTGTCATACAACGACATTTTTTTCCAGACAGATGAACCACAATTCCTAACTGTAAGGCACCCTCGAGTTTTATTGTTGCCGATTTTTAAACTGAGACAGTTTTCGCTATTCTGTGTTTCTGCTTTCTCTCTGGTGCAAGGATGTCTCTTGCGCGAAGAACTTTTTAGGCAAGTTGCCTTTCCTCTTTAGGAAGCCCTTTATAACTGGATCTTGGTGTCAGCAGTCGTCAGCTCCACGATAGAGCCCAGCAAGTGCGGTGCCGGGCAGGGATCCACCAAGCATACGTACAGCACCGACACAGTCGGGTGTAAGGGTGCCTTGCAGGTCGGAACAGGCTGCGCCCGGCAATAGCAACCACAAGCCACAGGGTGCTTTGTTCCATTAGTAATGCATGCTATTTAATCAATATGGGGACGGATGATTATGGAAACCTGCCGGGTCGCCTTCCATAGACCTTGTTTAGCCGGTTCGGGGAAAAAGCAAACAGCGGGGCCGCCTAACCGATGTAGAAGATTATTGCGACTTTTTCCTGTTTGGACAGATATTTCCCTTTTCCGCTGCCTATTTGTTTGTATTTGTGGGACTATATATAATACAGCTAGGAATTTCAGGCCGGTATTTTTAATAAAGAAAAATTAGAACCTTCCTAATTGCTCATCATCATAATGCTTTCATACGGTGACATCACTCTCAGAACTGTGAACTTTGTGTTCCTCGTCATTGTCCTCGGTTTAACAGGCTCGCTTGCCGCAACAGCCCACAACGGCAACCCCCAGGTCAACTTCTGCGTCTTTGCTGCTGCTTTCGGAATCCTCACCTCCACTTTCTACGGTGTGTTGGCCTTCTTCATCTCCTTCTTGGCCTCGCCATTGTTCCTGGCCATCTGGGACTTCCTCAATTTCGTTTTCACCTTTGCCGGTGCTACCGCTTTGGCCGTTGCCATCAGATGCCACTCTTGCTCCAACCGGAGCTACGTGGATGGCAACAAGGTGACACAGGGCTCCAAGGACAGATGCAGAAAGGCACAGGCTTCCGTTGCGTTCCTCTATTTCTCCTTCTTCGTCTTCCTGTTTTCCCTGGTGATTTCCTCGCTCTCCATCCTCAAAAACGGCTTCCTGGGAACACCCTCCCGCAGGCCAGCTAGAACCGGAGTGCCAACCATGTCCCAGGTCTAAGCTACGAATTCGCAGGAACCCCACTTTTTTTACCTCTTGTGCCATACTTGGCTCGATACCAATAATCTGCCAGGCGAAATAGGTTTGTACCAATGTATCGAAATGACGAAGCCTCAACGTAGTGCTATCATCTGTAGCCCTTGGCTGCCATGAACCGCTCCAGGCTCTCCCACAGAAACTCGCTCGTCTGGCGGTCTTTGAAACGCTGCGTCCGCTCAATCCCTATAGGTTGCACGTTCCACTGCTGAATCTTATCCGGGATTGGGTCTCCGTTGTAGTAGAGATAGAAACCCTTCACCTTCTGAAACAGCAGGCTTGGCTGGTTGTACTTGTAGTTCTTGAACTGCCACTCCTGGCCCGTCGTGAATACTGCAACCACCCGGTCCCAGTACTCCGGCTTCGTGAAAAACTTCTCCACGTTGCTCACCACCAAAAACTTCAATCTCCTGTCGAACCGCTTCGAATTGCGCACAATTTGCAACATGTTGCTTGTCGAGTGTCCTGCGTCGGCGGTGTTCGTGAATCTTCCGTCCTGGAGGAACTCCTTGACGTTGCTCATGTTCAGAATAGCAGACGCAGACGGCGACAGGATGATGATAGGCTCCTTATTCTTCCCCGCCGACGCTGTGCTCTTCTCGGGCACCTTGCCTTTGGCCTTGGTCTTCTGCTTGGCCGCACGGATGATTTTATACTCGCACTCTTTCGCAACGCTCGAAAAATCCACAGGCTTCGTGCCCTGCAGAGCCCTATTATGGTCGATCAGGTTGCGTTCGTTGTTTAGAACCTCGCGCAAAAATGGGTCTATCTCCTGCTTCTTCTTCGCCGCGCCCTGCTCCTCTGTGGACTTCCGTTTTTCGCCGCCGGTCTGGGCCTTGGGTCCTGCCCCTTGTAAATAAGCACACGTCTCAGACGACCCGTTTAAGTACGAGATCAGCTCCGTTCTCTCCAGAAAACTCACAACCGGTATGTTCTTCCCCTCGCAGTCGGAGATATACTCGGTCGTGTTCGAATCTCTGTGCAGCCAACATTGGTAAACGGTTCGCAAAACATGGTTGATCTTGTCTCCGCTAACAAACCCGGTCTCCTCGTCCAGAGAGACCTCCTGGCCGTCCAGAATAAGCACCTTGGCGGTAGAGATATCCTGGCCCTCCGGAAACGCAATTGGCTTGCCGCTTTTTATACATTCCCTTAGCAGACGGATAGACATGGCTGACTATTTTTTGGTAATTTTTTTCTTGAACTCGTGTCGGGTCTTCCATATTTACGTAATCCCCAATAAAGGCAAAGATAACATTTGACACATATCTATTGTTTAATATTTATGGGCGACCTAAACAAACACACCTTTCTGTCCCGGGTGTTTGGGTCTGCATCAAATCCTCTGCTGAATGATGACAATAACGACATTGAATTTAGTATCAACAACTTGCAGGACACGTTAGAGGAACACGAGGTCGAGAGCCCCCCACGGGCGCCGCACGCGATCAACGTTAACTCGGAGGACGAGTCGTCTTCTGAGACTGAGTCGGCCTCCAATGACGATCTTTTGTATGACCAGAAACGTCACCTGTACCAGCAGGTAGAGTCGGAGCTTCGCCAGGAAGACTATGACACTGTGCCTGAAAGTTTGATGATGGAGCGACGCCGCCCGCACGAGGGCAGCACGCGCGCGTTTGGGACGAAGAAGTCCCCATCGCCTGCAGAGCGGCAAATCGGTCTTGATTTCAGTCAGTGGGGCGAAAAGGCAAAGGGAATAGCAAGCAGGACTATCGACAATATCCCGAAAGCGATTCCGAGGGGCATTTCGTTCCAGCTCCCAACAAGTGCCTCCAGCAAGCTTCCACCGCCGCCACTGTCGTATAGGAGAGAAGCAAGCGTGGGAAGCGAGCCAGAGGTGGTGCGCAATATCAATGAGCAGCGTCAGCTACGCGGGAGACTTGGTCTCCTGAGTCCCATGGAGCGTGCTCTCTGGCTGTGGTCAAACGTATCAAATTTAGACACATTTCTTGAAGACGTTTACGGCTACTACACGGGCAACGGCTACCGCTGCATTATTCTGTCCCGCGTGAGCGACCTGCTCATCATTGTGTTTGTGGTCTGGCTCAGCAGCTTCATGGGCAACTGTGTTGACTATAACCGGCTCATGAACGGCAGTGCCAGCAGGTACTCGGATGTTGTGGTCGACAGGTGCTATTCGAAGATATCGTTTAGCCAGAAATTCTTCTTTTTCGTTCTCTTTATCATTCTCGTGCTACGAGTCAAATCGTTCTACAACCACTTCAAGGACCTCAAGGAAATAAAAAACTTCTACAACCTGCTTCTCGGGGTCTCCGACGAGGAGCTCCAGACAATTAGCTGGTCTACCATTGTCAAGAAGATCATGGTTCTCCGGGACCAAAACACAAACGCTTTGATTTCAGGAAACCAAAATATCGGAGGTGACGACCTCAAGTCGAAGAAACGACTCAGCGCTCACGATATCGCGAACCGGCTGATGCGCAAGGAGAACTACATGATTGCCATTTTCAACAAGAACGTTCTCGCTCCAGCCTTGACTGTTCCGCTCATCAACCACCATTTTCTCACCAAAACGCTGGAGTGGAACCTCAAACTTTGCATATTTGATTTCATGTTTAACTCAGACGGGCAGCTGAAGCACGCCGTGCTTAGCGAACATAAACGGCTTGCTCTAGCCACAGAACTGCGCAAAAGATTCCGACTCGCCGGAATCCTTAGCATATTTCTCACGCCATTTCTGGTGATATATTTCCTACTCTACTTCTTCCTCAAGTTCTTTTACGACATCAAGACCAACCCATCCTTAGTGGGATCCCGTGAGTACTCGCCTTATGCCCGATGGAAATTAAGAGAATTCAACGAGCTCCCGCACATGTTTGATAAAAGATTGAAAATGAGCAGAGCCCGCGCTACGGAGTATATCAACCAGTTCCCCAAGGAAGCAACAAACATAGTCCTCAACTTTGTGGCGTTTGTCACGGGCTCACTTGTGACCATACTGGTTGTGCTCACAGTTCTGGGCCACGAGAACTTCCTGAACTTTGAGCTTACCGAAGGCCGCACGGTCCTGTTCTATATCTCCACATTGGGAGCCATATTTACCATTTGCAAAGGCTCGGTTTCGGAAAATGACACAGTTTTCGACCCAGAGGCATCATTGAGATACGTGGCCCAATTTACACATTATCTTCCAAGCTCATGGAACGGCAGGTTCCACACGGAAGAGGTGAAAAACGAGTTTTGCAACCTTTTCAACCTGCGGCTCATCTTGGTACTTAAGGAAATTACCAGCTTGATTATGCTTCCATACATTTTGTACTGCCGGCTGCCAGACGTGTCTGAAAAAGTGATTGACTTCTTCAGGGAGTTCAGTGTCCACGTTGATGGACTGGGCTACGTTTGCACGTTTGCAATGTTTGAATTTGACAGCAAAGACAAGCCTATTCGCAGTCAGACTAGCAAAGATTATGATGATTTGAAACAAGGGTACTACACTGCTGACGATGATAAAATGGTCAAATCGTATCTATACTTCCTAGAGAGCTATGGAAACGAGCCGGTACGGAAGACTGGCAAGGAGCCGACTGTAGACCGGATTGGCAGCAGACGCCCGGGTCAGAAACACCTTCTTCGTTCGGCAATGATGAACAACTCTATGATGGACAAAAATCGCGGAGCTCACTCAACTGCCAGATATCCACCCCAATTCCGTTCCCCTAATTTAGGCGAGTCCATATACGCTAAACCTCAGAACATCGATCTTATGGAAGACACCACCGCAGGACTGTCCACAGATACAAGAAACTATTTGCAGACACTCAACAATAGCACTTTTCTTGGCGAGTCGTTCCAGCATGGATTCCCGGTGGAGGACACCTCGCGCCACGATGAGGACGCTGATTCGGAAGATGACGATGAGGCAGGAGTATTGGGACTGATCAACCAGATTTACAAGCATAAGGAAGGCGTGAATTAATTTACACAGTCTATTTTTTTCTTCTCTTCTTTTCCCGCTCGTACTCGTTCTTCGCTGCACCTTCCTCTGTCTGGATCGAGTTGATGATTCTGGCCATTTTGGCATGATACTCCTCATACTCTTTGCGTTTGAGCTTGAGCTGCTCCCTTGCTTCAAATTGAGAGTCCTTTCTGATTTCCCGCAGATTCTGTTTGCGCTCCTGTTTGATCTGATGGCGCAGTTTGCTGATTTCCTGTCTGGTCTGGTCAGGGTCGTAGGACTTTTTGTCAGGGTTGAAATTCTCCTCAAACTTAGGCAAGTATGTTGGGATTGCAATTGCACGGTGTGCCTGCAATTTGAGCGGGTGTCTGTCCAACTTGGCAATTCTGGTGAGATTCTGCACTTTTGCCAGTACTCCTGGCACAGAGGAAGAGGCATAGTACTTGACCATGTGTCTCAGAACTATCTCAAATGGTTTGATCAGCTCAATGAACGCCCCGCTCTCTTTGAGCAACGAGAGAGAATTATCAAGAGTTGTCACAGCCTTCAGCAACAAGCTGAGCAGCTGTTTCTGGCTGGCATCTTTCCAGTTACCCAAGGTCAGCGGGTCAAGCGATTCTGGTAACTGCGCGTTGGAGGGCAGGGTGAAGTTTGTAGTTTTTGGGGTCACACAAAGATAAGTGCTTTCAATTTTCTCTGGTTCGGGAACAAGAGCCAGCAATGCGCGTTCCAAAAAGTTGACGGCCTCTGGGACTAAACGTTTGGACAGTCGCTGGTACTGCAGCAGCAAGTCGCAGAAATATATGCCCGCAAACAAGTGGTGCACTTTGGAGTTGATTTGCATCACCTCCAGCAATTCTCCGATCAACAAAGAAGCCGGCGTGGCCACTAGATGATACAGGTCCGACGTGGAGAATGTTGCGCCGATCAGCGTGAATAGAAGAAGGTCTCGCTGGCGCGGAAATGCGGAGAAGTCTCTTTTTTGCAGAATATGTTGCACATTTCTGAGCTGCGACCGAAATTCCTCGCACATCTCCTCTGGGTACTTTTCACACATGCTTTTGATGAGCTTGGCTAGGAAGTCTACCAGCTCTGCATTTTTCGAGTCATAGTTCTCACCCAAATAGAGCATGTACTGAACAAGAACACGACTGAAAACACCTATTTTCTCTTTATTTCCATGGGCAAGTTTGGGTTGGTATGTCTTGAAAATACCCACCACAAACGTCGAGATGTCCTTGGTTTCAATATCCTTCGTTGCTTCGATCATGTCGTCCAGAGTTGCAGGACATTTACCTTTCACCGTAGAATTCACAGTAATCACCTTGCCTCCGATCTTGATGACACTTGGCTCCTCCGCGGCTTGGGCTTGCTCAGCTCGCTCGGATTCCTCTGCCTCCTCGTTTCCGCTCATATCTTCCTCGTTGAGATCGCTGGCCCCTTCCCAGACGTCGTCAAGATCGTCAGCACCGCCATGCTCTTCCAGGTCCTCGCCTTCCATCCGACGCCGTCTCTCTGCCTCCAACTTCTCCTGTCTCTCCTTCCGCTCCTTCTCCAACTCCTCCTCTGTTTTGGTGCGGTCTGCGGGGGCCGCACGGCGGTCCAATGCGATCTGTTTCACTTTCATGTCGTATTTTTTCTCTTCTTCTGTTTTGGTAGCAGGAGCAGCTTCTTGTTGCGGCACGCTATTTAGCGTGCCCATCACGTTGTCAAAGTCCTCGTCAAGCTCTTGGACGGCATACTGGGTCTGCTCCGCAAGCTTCTGCCGCTCCCGCTTGTAGTATTTCGACTTGGCTATGATTTCTCTCATCACCTCCTGCTTCGTCTTCTTGCGGACAACAGGCTCCTCTTCTGGCTCTGCAGGATCTGGTCCCCCTTTCTGGCTGAAAAATGGCTCGTCCTCGTCCTCGTCGTTGGCAGTATCGTCAAAGGCCAGAGACTGACCATAGTGCGTCAAAGTGTCGTCATCAGCGTCTTCCAGATTGAACATGGAAGAGCGCGAAGCCTGTGTCTGTCTTTCCTTCACAAAACGCGCAAGCATTTTCTCCTCGGCGGACATCTGGCTGTTGCCCTCTCCAAACCGTCGATCAACCAGGCCTCCCACCTTGTTCTTTCTGGACCGTTTGGCCTCAAACGCAGCGCGGCGGTTTTCCTCTCCAGCCTGCTTGGAAATTCCGGGCTTTCCAACCACACGTTTTTTCTCGAGCAGGTCCTCGCGCTTCGACCGACTCACCTTGAGATCGAACGGGTTGAACTCCTCTCTAATTCTCTCCAGGATTTGCTGCTTGTCGTCGCGTCTGGACTCATTCGGCGTCTTTTTTGAATGTTTCTTACCCTTTTTCTTGGTGTTCGTCTGTCCCACCAGCCCTGCGGCCTTCAGCGATGCCTTGAGCTGCTTGAGCTGCGATCCTGCCATATTTAATAAATTTTTTAGACTTTCTCATAAAATATTTTTTCGTTGGCTGTGTCAACTTTTCGGTGCCAGGCGTCACAAATATTTCTGAATATCTCCCAAGTATGGATCCATGGCTGGCCGCAGAGTTGTAATTACAGGCCTGGGCATGGTCACGCCGCTGGGCGTGGGTGTCAAATCGAACTGGACGAGACTAATTGCAGGACATTCTGGTCTTTCCTCGGTGGACCAGCTGGAAAACGCTTCCCAGTACAGAGACATTCCTGCCAAAGTGGTGGGAGCAATTCCCCGCGGACCGGCCACAGAAAACAAGTACGACGCATTTGACCATTTTGAGGCTCACGAGGTGCGCAAGCTGTCCAAATTTATTCAATACGGCCTGGTTGCTGCCAAAGAAGCACTCGACGATTCCGGCTGGGTGCCTGTTTCCGAGACGCAGAAAGAGCGCACCGGAGTGTGCGTAGGCTCTGGAATCGGGTCCATGGACGACCTATACCAAAACGCGGTCAGTTTTCACGAGAAAGGATACCGCAGGCTGCAGCCGCTATTTGTTCCCAAACTGCTCACAAATATGGCAGCAGGCCATATCTCGATCCGCCACCAGCTTCTTGGGCCGAACTGCGCGGCGGCCACAGCGTGTGCGACCGGGCTGAACGCCATTGGCGACGCAGCACGATTTATCAAGGACGACTACGCGGATGTGATGGTGGCGGGGGCAGCAGAGGGAGTGATCCATCCCGTTGCGGTTGGCGGTTTTGCTAGAGCAAGGTCATTGTCTACGAAGCTTAATGACGAGCCGGAGAAGGCGTCTCGGCCGTTCGACATCGATCGCGACGGGTTTGTGCTCAGCGAGGGCGCTGGAGTGGTCGTTTTGGAGGAGCTCGAGCACGCACGCGCCAGAGGCGCCACGATCTACGCCGAGGTGGCCGGCTACGGTCTGAGCGGGGACGCAAACCATATAACGTCGCCAAACTTGCACGGGGACGGCGCGCGGCGAGCAATGGCGCAGGCCATCAAGTTTGCTGGGATTGAGCCTGCGCAGGTCGGCTACGTGAACGCCCACGCGACGTCGACCGTTCTGGGCGACGACGCTGAGAACAATGCGCTAGTGGCTCTTTTCGAGCACTCGAGGCCTGATCTGAGCGTTTCGTCGACCAAAGGGGCCATAGGGCATCTTTTGGGAGCAGCCGGGTCGGTGGAGGCTATTTACACGGTGCTTGCGGTGAAAAACGGCGTACTGCCGCCAACCTTAAATTGCAACCATCCTGGAAACGCAGACGGATCTGGGAAGTATATTTTCAACTACATCGGCAACAAAGCCCAGCAAAAGATGGTGGACTACGCTCTCACGAACAGTTTTGGATTTGGGGGCACGAACGCCAGTGTCTGCATTAAAAGATGGGATGCTTAATATACGAACGGGATGATGACTGCCTTTGCAGGCTTTCCGTAGAATTTGTACGACTGCGTAGCCGACGCAGACAGATTGACAAGCGTCCACAGAAAAACCAGAAACGACGAGACATTTTGCTGGATAAGAAAGTGACACAGGTAGATAGACACCTCGTCGAAGTAGTGCGCGCAGCAGATGTATCTGAACAGCCCGTCGTGGGGCATTGTATATTTTTTCAGACTGGCCAAATGCTTGTGGTTGATGTACTGGTCGTACGAGAGGAGCAGGGCCAGCACCGCGCAGAAATACGAAAATGCCGACGGGCTACGATTCAACGTGGACTGAGGCAGCTCAAAGTTCAGAATGGGGAGCACGTCTGCCCACACGTAGAATAACAGCCCAGCAAAGTAATGTGTCACGTGCACTTTAGCCGTCGGAGAGAATTTCGAGACAAAGAGGCTCTCGTAAACTCTTTTCAGGCTCTGTAAGAACGTGAGCATGCTGACAAGATGGACAATGCAGAAGGAGTAGTTTGCAAAGACCCAGACGAGCCCGGCGGTGCTCAGCACGAGCGAAAGCTCGTAGAAGTGAGCAAACCATTTTTTTGGCACGTACAGCTCCAGCATGCGCGGGTGCGGGTCGTTGCGCAAGGTTTTGCCGTACTGGAGCAGGAAGTTCAGCTGCGGCACCCATGAGACAACTAGCACAACGGCTGTGGCAGCCGCACAGAGCACGTTGAGCACGAGAACCGCTCCTGCCAAGTCCGCAGAGAGCATGGAAATAAAATTAGTCTCGAGCGTCGCGTCGATAGTTTTTTAGATTCCTGAAAGCAATACAATAAACTAAATAAACAATCATCCTTTTTAGATCTTTCTATTGATTAGCGAACGACAAATAGCTACTCTCCCCGGAGATACACAAATCATGATTACAATCCTCCCAATGTACTATGCAGTGATCACGCTGCTTTCGCTCGTGCTACTCAAGAATTTCGAGATAATCACGCTGCCCGAGATTCCTCTCACATATGGTAAGTGGTGGGCTCCCAGTTTGCTAACACCAGAATCTGTCTCGCTGCAGAAACAGAAGTCCCATATTCAGCCCTCTGAGCTGTTCCAGAGGGTCAAGTTCTACTTTCTCAATGAGAATAAACATGTGCAGAACCTTATCCGATTCGGCGCACCGTATTACGCTCAGATAAAGGAGACGTTGTTCCCGACTTTCACAGTCGCGAGAAAATATCTGGCCTCAGCCTCGCGTCCAATAGTGGAGCAGGTTTCCTGTCTCGCGCCATATTACAACCTTGCAGTTGCCTACGTTGAACCGCGCTACAGTACCGTCAAAGAGCTGCTTTCCAAAACAGCAACCGAGGTGTGCGTCTTTTCAACCGATGTCTACGACCTCTTTTCGTCCAAGCTCGCCCACTACTACTCCAAGTACCTTGAGGTCCATGTGTCGGATGTTCTGGACGGTTGGAAGCCAGTTTTTGACCAGTTTGTCGAGCAGTACGAAACGAAAGTGCGGCCGTTTGTGGACGAGCACATCGACACCATATCGGTGGCTGCCGCGGTGCTGGTGGTGGTGTTACTTCCGCGGGCAGTGTTCCGCGTTTTTGGCTTCTTCATGAGAAGCGTGGCCAAGGACGCTCACGAGCTCAGCCAGGGAGTGACCAATATGTACAAGAGCAGCTCAGAGAATCTGGTCAACAAATTTGGCACTCCTGAGTTTGAGGACATGCTGGGGGAAAGCGGCGGCATCAACGACGGGATCACAGACCTGGGCGAAGCTAGCTCGCTGCGGTCGACGAAAGGCACCTCTGGTTCCAACAACAGCACCCAAAGGCGGCTAGGAGACATTGCTAGACGGCCTGCCGTGAATAAGCAAAGAAGACCCTCGAACAGCAGCTCTAGCAGCTCCTCCGGTGGAAGCCCCGTAAGTAATTCAGGGAGGAATCGCACGCCCCTACAGAAAACACAGACCGTCACAAGCCAGTCAGCGAGTCCAACCAGTGCAAGCCAGCCCGCAACTCCAAACAAGGGAGGGAAGAGCGCGTATGAGGGAAATAGAGCGCAAGAGCAAAGAGTCGCAGCGAGTTTCTCCACCGAAGAAAGCTTAAACCAGATCCGTATCGGGTGTGAGGTCTACGAAGTTACGAGCGATATTCTGTCTGCCACCACGCAGGATCTCAAGTCGATCAGACACAAAAAATCGAAATTGTTCAGCCTGGCTCCACCACTGCTCGAGAGCGTGGGAAGCGCCGAACAGTCATCAGCATCCGACGAAGTGGACTCGCTCATAGAGTCAAGCAACTTTGATAGCGTGCCGCTCAGCGTACGTGCAGAATCGATCAATAGAATACTGAACAGCCCGCTCCGGATGGCTCGTTCGGCAGCTTCCAACGCGTCTTTCAAATCCGGGTCCCCCCACAGGCTGGGTATAATGCCGCCGAGTTTGGCATTCGTCTCAAGCTCGCCGTCCGCTGCTCCTGCACTCAACCACCTGAACGTGTACACAAACGACCAGATCGAGAACTCTGCATCTAGCGTCCAATATTTGAGCGACATCAGTAACGGCAGAATTTCACCCTCGTCTCCGCAATCCTCAGTCAGTAACTATGCTCGTTCGTAAGACGGGCATGCGCCACGTCTTATTATTATGATGTAACGTATGTAGGCTTGTATTTTAGAGCAACAGAGCAAGATTGCTTCGATTACGTAAGCAGAGATATAAATACTGGGGTGGAGGCAATCGGTCTCAGTAGATTGTCCACCATGGGAGACAAGGAAACCGAAAAGAAACAAGAAGCCGCCGCTCAACAGAAAGCTCAGGAGCAGCCTAAGGAGCATCACAAGACCGAGAAGGTGAAGGATTTTGGCAAAAGACTAGGTGACTCCACTATTTTTGGTGCTGGAGCTACCATCGGCAACCGCATCGTTGATTCTATCCTATGATCCATCCGCCACCCGTTTGTTTTTGTACGACGTTCGAATAAACTTGTTATTCTATGAGTGTCCTGTAACTATGCCATATTCTTGAGATAGTCATGAGTTTAAAGTTGTAGTCATAATTTTGGTCTGATAAGTCGTTCAGGTCTCTAATCCAATCCTGCCTTGCATGCACAGGGAGAATTTGCAGTCCTAGCTTGCGCAGATTCACCAGTTCCAGCAGAAGCAAACCCTCGTTGAAGTACGTTGAGGAATCGGACGTGGTAAGCTCGAGATCGACTAACCTTTCAAGGTTGTTGAGCGAGCGGCGCAAAGCAATTTTTGTGTTTTTGGTGAACTTGATGAAATAGCCGGTTCTCAGGTACGATCGGACAACTTTGGCCACGTACCAGACAATCAAGCAGCTAGGAGAGGCAGCTACAAATCCGAAAACCAATTCTTGAGACCTGATGATCTTGTCGATTCCAGACATGGCCACTGCGCCGTCCACCTTCATCTTCTGGATTTGTATTAGCAAGTTTCTAATCATGTCCCCGAGAATGATGGACTTGAGAGGGGACTTGAGGTCGTTTTCGTAGCCTTTCATCACGATCTCGAGATTCCCTTGTGCGACCTCCTGTTTCACCAGTTCCGCCATGTCTTCCGACATCCCCTCGCTCTGACGAATATAGGCCTGGTTGTCCAGAGAGTATTCGAGTACCATTCTCTCGAGCGACTCCAAGTCAGAGGAGAGCGACTTTTGGGACATTATTGCGATGCGTGAGTTTTGATCGTGTCGGATTGTGCTAAGAATATTGTTGAATGGCTCCACTATCCAGTTGTTCCAGAATCCAAGGGTGGTATCCAGCAAATTGAGTTTCAGCCAATTAGCGATGGCTTCCCTGTTGGAAACGAGGTCATAGGCGAGGTTTGGGCCGTACCAGAGAGCAGCACAGATAGGAAGCCAGTATTTGAGCAGTGTCCTGGGCTCTTGGTTCTGACGATATTTTGACTCCAGATCTTCCTTCACTCTGGGCAGCGTCTCGAACAAAAGTGACAAGGACCTCAGAGAAGAACTCAGGGAATGGTCGTCTATGTCTGATGTTGATGGCAGGTACAAGCCTGCCAATTTTGGAATAAACGAAGAAAGAGTGTCCGACTGCTGTGCTAGCGAGTTGTATGGCATCTCTTTCAGCAAGAAACCGAGCTTCTCGACATTTTCGTGCTTCAATTCATTTAATGTGTCTCTTTTACGCTTGACTTCCATCTTGGAATAAGCTATAGGCAGCCCCACAACAGTGGATACAAAGTTGCGCACAAGACTGTTGGTCTTGCGATGCTTTTCTACCAGGAAGCTTGTTGGCGAGAGCAACAGACGCTGGAGGTTGTCGGACGTGGCATCTATGAGGAAACGAATCCATCTTATGACCTTAGAGCAGAAAGACGAAAATCTTTGGGGGACCCAGCTGGGAGCCAAATTCTCAGTGCTGGCAGAATTCAGATTTTTGCGAACTGCCTCATTCACCAAACTGTCAAGTCCCTTTTTCAGGGTCATCGGGAGAGTCTGAATAGTATAGATACAGGTATTGAGGTTAGAGCTGAGTACTGTGTCGTAGTAATCGATGTCTTCCGAAATCTCGAGCGTGTAATGAAGCAGAACATGACTGGAGATGGTAACCAGAGCTATGGTGGCGTAGACGGAGATCAAATACTGCAACTGGGCCAGGTCTCTGTCCTGAGGCTCAATGGTTCCGTCTTTGAAGTGACAGAGTATTTTGGTCAATTTATGGAGCAGCTGCTTATAATATTTAGAGGTAACCGTTTTGTCTTGTAAAGGCCTTAGCAGTGAGTAGGTTTCACTGAACAGTTCCTGTACTAAGAGAGATTTGGGAGATTTGGAGTTGGATAATTCCAGCCTCGAAAGCGCTTGTAGCCCGGTTTCATTGAGTGCGGCCAACGAATTTGCAGACCGGTCTGCTAAAAGGTTGATGGACATTTAAACCAAGGGTCAAAAAATAAGGCCAAAATAAATTATATAAATAATATTGTCGATGGCCGAAGAAACAGAGTCGCCGCAGACAGAAAAAGAATCGGGAGAGCAGCCAGAAAGTCCGAGCAACGAGAATGTGCTAGACGAACAAGCTGTTGCTGCGCTCCTGAAGGAGATCGAAGCATCGCAGCCATCGAGAATGGACCTTGCTCAGCGAGCACCGATAGAGCGAGTCAAATTCGAGCTAGAGCCTATGGACATGCTGCTTGAGTCGTGTCTTAGCTTAATGCTCACTCAGATAGGAATTCAACATGTTACGCGATCGGCTCTAAACCAGCTGACCCTTCTTGCTGTCAAACACATTGACCTAGTGTTCTCGCAACTCCACAGAATAACAGAGGTGCAGCGCAGACGACAGCCGGGGAAGGCCGATTTGAGGACGCTTGAAAAGCTAGGTGTAATTGATTTCAATTCCATCTACGAGGCTTTTTTGTTGACGAAGAAGCTAGACTGCCAGAATTTACAGAATATCGATCGCAGAGCACGTAGGTTGTGCGAAATTCTAGATAAACCCGCAGAGGATGAGATTGTGACCGAGCAGGATCCGGCGTTTGTGTTTTTCAACGACACTTCCTCTGTGATTTCGCAAGTGGTTCCGCCCAGCGTGGGTCCAAAAGAGTATATCCCGAGCTGGATGCCACCGCTCCCACCAGACCACACCTACCGTGCGACTCCGAAGTACACCGCTGTGATTGAGGATCCGATCAAGATGCGCGAGCAGCTGGTCCAGGAGGCCAGACTTGGAGAAAAGGCTTTGCATCACATTTTGGACCTCAAAGACAACGTGGTTCCTGTTGAAAAGGGCGAGAGTGAGCCTGAGCTGGACACAGATGTGAGCTCTGAAAGTGAGCAGAAGGAGGTGCAAGAAAACGAAGAACCAGAGTCGCGTGAGGGCAAGTTTGACATTGTTGCGTTGGCTGCCAGACGGCTTGCTGCTCTTGAGAGACGGAGGCAGGAGAAAGAGAAAAAGTACAAGGAGCGTACCGAGTCACAAGAAGCCGTTTTGGGGCGGGTTCTTGGGTTCTACACAAAGTCGAGCGGGCGCCCTGAGAATTTCAATAATGATATCAGAAGCATCTACGACCAAACGTACGATCAAGTGGTCAGTGGACTCAGGACCCAGCAGAAGAAGCGGATAAGACAAGTCCAGTTGGAGAAAGAGAAGCGCGAGCGCATGCAAGAAGAGATCCGCATTCCAGACTTTGGTGGCAAGGTTCACGAAGAAGCCGATTTTGATATCGATGACTTTGAGCTTGACGAGATCATGGAAGACGTGGAAAAGGAGCAGGGCGAGTCCAAGGATAACGTCGTGGCAGAGGTCTCTGCCACGCATGTTGAGCCCACCGGGTCAGGGCCTGCGACTGAAAATTCTCCCTCGCTGGTATCAGAGCCTGCAGAGGATGCGATATCTGACGAAGACGTTGATATGGACCTGTTCGAATAAGATAAATAAAAAATCGCGATTCTTAAAAATAGAGTATTATTTTTTGTCGCCCTGAAGATGTCGGAAACGACACCCATTTATCTTCCGGAGAAGCTACCGTATCCATTGACGATAGTGAAGATCGGAGTTTCCGAAGGGGAAGAGATCAAGCGACACACGTCGATTGTATACTACAAATATTTTGATTTTGAGCCGGTTCCCCTAAGCGAGGAAGACCAGACGAACAGCGACGATGCAGAGCGCAAATTAGTGAAAGTGGAGTACGTTGGCTCCTTTGAGTGTCCCTTGGAAGGAAAGGTGGCGTCAATTAACGTGAAAGTGGGCGACAAGCTGAAAGACGCTTCCAGCAAAATAATGGAGATCGTCGAGCCCTGCAGCCATTCGATCCAATATGGCGGTCTCTGCGCGTTGTGCGGCAAGAATGTCGAGGACTTGGACTACACAGGCTTCAACGACAAAGATAGAGCTCCAATTTCGATGTCTCACGGCACCACGAATCTAAAAGTGTCTACTAAGGAGGCTGAGAACATTGAACGAAGCTCAACGCAGAGACTACTCAAGGAGGAGAAATTGTCACTAGTGGTGGATCTCGATCAGACTGTGATCCATGCCACTGTAGACCCCACGGTTGGCGAGTGGATGTCAGATCCGACAAACCCCAACTACGAGTCGATTAAAGACGTGCGGTCATTTTGCCTTGAAGAGGAACCTATTTTGCCTCCAAATTACAAAGGACCCAAACCACCCCCCCACAAGAGATGGTACTATGTCAAGCTGAGACCTGGTTTGCAAGAATTCCTGGAGAAAGTTTCCAAACTATATGAATTACACATTTACACCATGGCAACGCGGTCGTATGCCAAAAGCATAGCCAAAATAATAGATCCCGACGGCATTTACTTCGGAGACCGAATACTGTCTAGAGACGAGAGCGGATCACTGACGCAAAAGACTCTCAAGAGACTTTTTCCTGTTGATACGTCCATGGTGGTTGTGATCGATGACAGAGGAGACGTGTGGAACTGGTCGCCGAATTTGATCAAGGTTGTTCCGTACGACTTTTTCGTGGGAATTGGAGATATCAACTCGAGCTTCTTGCCTCGGCAGAGCACGCTTCTGGGTCCTTCGAAACGGAGACGATCTGTCAACAAGCTTGAAGACCAGATGAACAGCGTCAAAGAGCTGCGGGAGCTCAGTAAAAACGCAGACGAAAACACAGTGATCACGGAAGACGAAGAAGGTTCCGAGAGCAGCGGTAGCGACTCGCCGAAAGAGGACTTGGACAACGACGCAGATGTCTACGACGAGAGCGAAAAGAACAAGGTCAACGTGTCTCTTCCGCAGGCGGGCTACTCGCCTGTGGACCGGATGATGGAGCTTAATGAAGGAGAACAAAACAAGGAGCTTCTTGCCGCCCAAGAGACGGAACGAAGTACTGTATTAGAGCAACAACTGCAAAATAGACCGTTGGCAAAATTACAGGAAAATCTCGAGCGAATCATAGAGGAAGATGTTGTCAAAGACCGTCCTCAGGTCAGAGAGGAGCATAACCTGCTATGCGACGACGATAATGAGCTGGAAACACTGGGCCAGGCTCTGGTGCGAATTCATAACGAATTCTACTTCGAGGTGGAAAAGTCCAGCAAGGCTCTGCCAGATGTCAAGGATATCATGACTTCGATGAAACAGCTGGTCTTTCAAGGCTACGTTTTCCTTCTGAGTGGTGTGTTGCCTCTTGGGACCCCGTTGGAAACTGCAGATATCGTCATCTGGGCTAAATCCTTTGGTGCGTCGTTTGTTGCAAACTACAACAAATCTGTCACCCATGTTATTTGCAAAAATCCAGGAACGTTCAAAGTGCGACTGGCAAAATCAATAGACCCAAACGTTCATGTGGTGAATCCTGACTGGCTTTTTAGCTGCATTGCGTTATGGGAGAAAGTTCCTGAAGAAGATTATGCCATGAAGGTGGACGGCTTGCTCTCCGAAAATGAAGTAAATGCGTACATCAAGAGCCACAACATCAACAATAGCAAGCCGGATGGCGAGGATATTGACTGGGAGGAGATAGACGAGGAGATGAAGGAGTTTCTGGGGTCTGACTATGACGAAGAGGAGGAAGACGAGGAAGAGCAGGACGCAGACGAGAGCCGATTCAAGAGAGAAAGAGACAACGACGATGGCGAAGTTTCTGGTCACGACAAAAAGCAGAAATTGGAGCAGGACGAGGAGAGCGACTACGACTTTGAACAGGAGCTGCTTGCCGACCTGGAGGACCTGGAAGAGTGATGTAGAGAAGTCAAAAGAGGTGAACAGCCACGAAAATTAAAATAAGTTGAGCCACGCCAGAGGCGCAGTTGAAGGTAGACCGTTGATTTTTTTGTACTGATTCTTAAATTAATAAACAACCGGCATCTAGTGCAGCTTAACAATTAAAGATCCATATTGGTGCACTCGTTTTAGATAGACGCGTTCTCTGATTTGGACAGTAAGGACATCATAAAAATAACAGTTGCGATCATACTTTTTGCAGGCAATAGGTAGAATCGCCAAAACATACAATGTCTGTTGTGACGACTACTCTGGTACAAAATACAAATGGAGCACCGGAAGCCGTTATTGCATACATTTCATACGTTGTGAGGCTGTGGAAGCAGTTCATCCTGGGAGTAGAGAAAGTTCCCGGTGGTGCCCTGGTGCTAAACTACATTCGTGCGTCGCATAAAAACGATCCATGGAGAACTCTCTTAGAGGTTTTGCTTGCACTGGTTGCCATCCGGTACTTTTTTGCATCAAAATACTCACAGGATGAAAAGGAAAAGGTTCATTTGTCTGAGAAGGAGGTCCAGGAGCTGATTGACGACTGGGAGCCGGAGCCGTTCGCTCCTCCGCTCAGAACGGAGGAGAGATGGGAGCTTGACGCTATTCCTATGGTGAAGGGCGCTGCCGCTAATCGGGTAGCACTAGAGGATCCCAAAACCGGCAACATTATTCCTAACCTACTCAACATGGCATCCAGAGACTTCCTGAACATGGGGATGAACGAGAACGTGAAGCAACGTGCTATCAAGACCATTCGCGAGTGTGGAGTTGGTGCGTGCAGCCCGATGAATTTCTATGGAACACAGGACGTTCATGTGCGTCTGGGAGAAGACCTGGCACGGTTCCTGGGAGCGGAAGAGGGCATCATTTACGGTCAGGATTATTGTACTGCTACGTCTGTTTTGCCTTGTTTCCTGAAAAGAGGAGACATCGTGATTGTTGATGGCGGAGTCTCGGTCGCTTTGCAGAAAGCTGCCCTGATTTCCAGATGTAATATTGAGTGGTTCAATCACAACGATCTGGACCACCTGGAAGAGATATTGGAGTCGTTGCAGGAAGAGTTACGCGAAGGACCGCTCAACAGAAGGTTCATTGTTACGGAGGCTCTTTCCGAGAACTTTGGAGACTCGCCAGATCTGAAGAGGCTCGTGGAGATCAAAAACAAATACAAATTCAGATTGTTCCTTGACGAAACATACTCGATCGGAACTTTGGGCGCTAATGGCCGCGGATTGCCAGAAGTGTACGGAATTCCAAGATCAGAGATTGAAATCACCGTGGGCTCTTTGGCACACGCTCTTGGTTCCAGCGGAGGCTTCTGTGTTGGGTGCCGTGATATGGCATACTACCAAATTCTTTCCTCCAACGCTTATGTGTTCTCTGCTGCTCTGCCCCCTTACAGTGCGAGCGCAGCCTCTGCTGTGATTTCGATGCTGGAAGAAGCGGAGGAGCCAGGAAAGGTCAACAAATACGTGAAGCCATTGCACGATAATACCCAGCTCCTCTACTCCTTGCTCAAACAATCGAAGAAGCTGCAGCAGGTGGTGTCTGTGAGATCTGCCGAATACTCGCCTGTGCTACTATTGAGACTTGCGCCTGCTTTGCGCAAGAAGCTCAGCCTGCCTGAGAGCTACGGTGGACCGGGCTCTGATATTCTCAAAGCCATCAAAAACGGCCACGAAGAAGGCTACTTTTCGCGTGATTACAACCGCGAAAACTATCTGTTACAAAAGATGATTGACGAGCTGATTGGTCGGGGCGTTCTGATCACCAGGTCAAAAAGAATTCTTCACCATGAACTGCTACCGGTGGTTCCTACGCTGTTAATCAATGTCAACGCGGGATTCAACGAGAAGGATATCCAGCACGCTTTTGAGTGCATTGAAGACACCCTCTCAACGACGTTGTCTGGGCTAGATGCCGATGGCTTCAACCGGCTGGTGCAGCAATTAGAGAAGACTAATATAATATAGTGAGTACTCTTGAGATAACGAAAATAAAGAATCAAAAAAAAGTATCTCCCCCACCAGGACTTGAACCTGGAACCTTCCGGTTCGTAGCCGAACGCGATAACCTTTACGCTATAAGGGAAAATACTGTAAGAGATGAATAATGCGGGGTACTAGTAGTTGCAAGCTCCTTGGTATATTCCGAAAGTGCTCCGATCGTCTTGACCAACGATACTGGCCATAATCTGCATTTTCTGATTCTGAGCCCCAAAATAAAAACACCACTTACTGCCCCAGATGCAGGGGACCTTCTGTGCACACAAAAGTCGCACCTCAGTACGTTGAGTAATGCTCAGTAATGCATGCACTGCCTCGCCTGGCAAGTGTGTCGTCTGAAATCCAGTCCACTATTACAGTTGTACGCGCAGATGCCACTTTTCAAAAGCCGCGCCACAGGAAAACTAAAAAATTATCCAAGATTCCCGACTGGCAGAACCGTGTGTATTACAAAAAGGGCGATGCGAATTCTATCTCCAGCTCCGGAAAATTAATGGACAATGCCATGGTGCACCGATTTACATGCACTGCCAGCAGGCAGTTTCCGAATTAATGTAATCTTGTCAGTTCATGCATGTATCTTCTGTTTTGATGTACGGTCATAATGAAAGATGAAAAATACTCACCCGTATGGAGTTTTGCGGCGAAATCTCGTAATCCTTCTTTCTGCAAAAGATATAAAAGACACAGTTGCGTCTCTTGGGACCCTCCCATCGCTGCAAAATATGGCCAAATAAGACACCATGTTTCCGTACCAAACTCCTCCTGATGGCTTCGCGAATCGGTGCTACTCTGTCAACGCTGGACAACAAAATCTGCAGCCGTACACCTATTCTCCTTTGGTAGATCCTTCGCTGCAACGACGCAGCTCTAGCTCCAGACGGCCCCGGGCAAAATTCAGCTGCCAGAACTGCCACAACAGAAAAGTGCGATGCGACATCTCGGTCAAGAACGACAACCTGTCCGACGCAACCTCCCTCGTCCCGTGCACCAATTGCAAGCTGAACGGCACAGCGTGCCAGGCTTTCGAACGCAAAAAAATGTACGACACAAAGAGGAAAAGACAGCAGTCCGCGCAGGGCCTGCTGCGTTCCACCAGCGGCAAGGGAGCCTCAGACTTGCAGAAAAATGCCGAATTTGCTCCTGAAATATTTCTCGCTGCCAATTTGGACTCGATCGCCCTGAAACCACATAATTCATCGGACAACCGGCTCTCGAAGATAGTCACCCGCAAGCTGTGTCCCGACCCTATTTTTCTCGACGACTACTATGGCAGAACGAGTCCAAACGTGATCGCCAGCGAGCAGATAAGGCTCGACGGAATAAAAAGCGACACGCTGAAGGTGCCACCTCTGGAGGTGTGCTGGCTGCTGATCGACCGTTTTTTCGACAAACTCAACTACCAGCTGCCCATCGTCAACCGCGAGGCTTTCTACGAGCAGAACCAGAACCTGCGCACGCCGTCGTCTGCGTTGCTTCTGCTTGCCATTCTATTTGCCGGCTCAAGGGACATCGACAGCGACCGTTGGTCCCCTGCGCAGCTCCAGCAGCAACAAATCATCACCCAGCGTCTTTTCCACAAGGCCCGACTCGCCTACGAGAGCGAGATCGAGACAGAGCCGTTATGCATCGTCCAGACCCTCGTCATCTTCAGCTGTCACGCCCCGCACTACACCAGTAGGGACGCGTTCTACTGGATCGAGCTTGCGCTCTTCACTGCTGAGCAGTATGGCTTCCACGTTTCCGGCAGCCCGGAGCTGCGCGTCGTCTGGTGGATCGCGTACACCCAGTACCATCTGCTGCATCTGGCTCACGTGTCCAAACCCAACCACCAGCCAATCCAGCCTGTCGCAGAGGCCGATCTCAAGCTCTACGGGCTGGACCAGCTGCAGCGTGAGTACCTAGTGGTGCTGATGCGCATGTGCACAATGCTCTCGCAGGCATGGACAATTCCCCCCGACGACAGCACGGCCATGAAGATCGACAGCCTGTGGGCCGAGTGGTTCCACGGGCTACCGAAAAGCCTGATTTATCGCATCGACTCGCGGGCCGCCAAGTCGGTCCTGTGTCTGGTGATCAACATGGTGCACCAGGCGTTCTTAATAATCAACCACCGAGCCAATGTTAGACGGCTGACTTGCGACGGGCCCGTGGCCGCGGACTATTTCCCGTCGTGGGCCGTCACCATCAAAAGTGCCTATCTGATCTCTGCCACCGCGCAGAATCTGGCCGACATCAACGAGCTGCGTCACTTCCTCGGCATCTTACCGCAGCTGCTGTACATATCGTGTCTTGGATATCTTCTGCACATCAACAGCAAGGACCTCAGAGCCAGAGATATCGCGCGCAACAAAATCAACTTCAACCTCCACTATCTCGACAGCTTGAGCTATAAGTGGCCTGTTGCCAATCAGCTCGGATACCAGATACGAAGACGTCTGGAGCTACGATACGTTCAGCCTCAGATCCAGATCCGCTCGACTCCCAGCGAGACCTTTGACACCGTCCAGCTGTACCACTGTTTCCTGTCCAAATCTAGAACTTCCATCCCTAATTTGATTCAGTCCCAGGAGTCTGAAAGCGACGACTTTGTTTACTTATCGAAGAAGTTTGAGCTGGGAGACGTCTTCTGGAACCCGCAAATGGACACCAGCCCTGGTATCGAGCTTAAGAATCAACGTCGGGTTCCAAATGACCACCTCTCCTTCGTGTTTTGGTGAATGGGGCTTGTACTATACTGTAACATATATTATATATTTGAGGCTGTGCCCTAGACATTAAATAATCTTAATTAAAGGCAAATCAAGGCCAGTTTGCTAATTAGATGTCTGCACCAAAGCAGCCATTTCCGCCAGGAAAAGCGCAATTGCTTTTTGTCAAGTCAAAAGTGTATATCCATGTGTCCAATTCGAAGAAAGATAATGTTCCAGGGTACATTGTGATTGCAAAACCGTATGTAGACTCTCCCAATCTGGATCTCGTGGTTGCTTTTATTCCAGAAACGGACGTTGACAAAGAAGACAGGGAGGCTTTAGACTACTTTGATCTCTACGGACTGGATGGAGAAAACACCAGCTTTTACGGTTCCGGCAGCACAGATAGGGGCCCCACGCAGGAACTTATTTCCAGCAGTCATCTGCCCAAGGTGAACAAGTACATCACAAGACCCAAAATGTCCTCGCTCTCGTCATACGCTTTTGGACTGACCATCGCTAACATATACAGTATCCAGATCCGCCCAAAGGCCTCTACTTTGTGGTACGGGTCGGTGGTGCTGCATCCTAAAAATTCGCTAGAAAAAGTGCCTGCTCTATTTTTTCACGATGACGAGTGTCCAGGTACCATCCGCGAGGAAAAACTGAAAAATCAGAGCTTCAATCCCTTTGCAGAGAACATGGACGGTGGCCTGTATTGGGGCGGAGACAGATTTATCAGCTGTCTGCGGAACTACTGTGTGCTAGAGCAGTCTCCTTTGGAGAAGGGCATGGTCTTGGTGAATCCCACGAAAGAGGATAGCATCAATTTTATTCCCAACATTATCGACACGAAAAATCCTCTGGAAAACGCCACACAGACGGTCGACCAGTTCATTACAAACGCAAAATGGAAGGTTTTGACGGGGCTGGCCAGCATCACATCATTCGCCAGAAAGCAGATTGGGCAGGTAGCAGAAAGCAATAAGACACCAGAAGCTATCAAGAAACTGCTGCAAAAACCAGAAGTGCGGGTTATCGGAGACGAGTTTGATAGTGCCAATGTCTATTTGGCCAGATGGGCGCTAGCAGTGCAGCAGGAGGCCGAAAAATCGCGGAAGCTTATCATTGGTAATAACTACTATCACCAGCTGATCGAAACTGAGCTGGGCGAAAATTTTGGCAACTTGACACCATACGAGTTGTCTAAGGCCACAAGACTCAAGCCGGTATCAAGCATTGAGTGGAACAACATGTTTGATAGCGCCGGCAGACTGCAAATAACCGTGGAAGAGGTGAAAGATCGTATTTTCCATGGCGGGCTCGAGCCTTCTGCACGCAGAGAGGCATGGCTCTTTTTGTTGGGAGTGTTTCCTTGGGATACCAGCCGACACGAGAGAGAACAGCTCATCCAATCGCTATCCGACAGCTACAGTGAGTACAAAGAAAAATGGAAATCAGATATGGAGCGACAGACGAACGATGAGTTTTGGAAAGACCAAAAAATGAGGATCCACAAGGATATCCGCAGAACTGACCGCGACATTGACATGTTCAAACCTGTCTCTCCAGAGAACGATAATGACGACGACGAGAGCGACAATTTTGGCAACCCTAATCTCACCGTCTTGAGAGATATATTATTTTCCTACAACGAGCTGAACTACAATTTGGGCTATGTCCAGGGAATGAGCGATCTCCTCTCGCCAGTGTATTACGTGATACAGGACGAGCCACTCTCATTCTGGGCGTTTGCATCATTCATGGAGTCAATGGAGCGCAACTTCGTCAAGGACTTGAGTGGAATGAAACTCCAGATGCAGACACTAAACGAGCTTGTCCAATTCATGATCCCAGAGTTGTATCTGCATTTGGAGAAGTGCGACGCGAACAGTTTGTTCTTCTTTTTCAGAATGCTTCTTGTATGGTTTAAGCGAGAATTATCTTTTGAGGATACGATGAGGCTCTGGGAAATATTATGGACCAACTACTACTCCTCGCAGTTCGTTCTATTTTTCGCCCTTGCCATCTTGGAGAAGAACTCAAAGATCATCATCAACAATCTGAATCAGTTTGACCAAATCCTCAAGTTCATGAACGACTTGAGTGGCCATTTGGATGTTGACGACCTGCTAATGCGCGCAGAGCTGCTATTCCTAAAATTCAGACAGATGGTGGAGTTACTTGACAGGAAGAATTCGAAGAACGGCGCATACGCTTTGGTGGACGCTACAGAGACAGTGGTTAGCGACGAGCTGCGCCAGCTGCTCTCAAAGGAGCCAGTTATTCAAAAAGAAGAGCCAAGAACCAGCGACACTCCCTTTGGATAAATAGCATGTATTTACGTAATCGGACACACGAGGGCCCGAGCCTCTGGCACCTTTGCACCAATGTAATACAGTTGCGAAAAAAAAAAACCTTTCACCATCTGAAGCGTTCACTTACAACAGGCGATTGTTGAACTGTTGCCATTTGTGCTGAAGCAGACTTTGCGGACTCCAAATTTCGCTCAACAAAGTATATCGGTTTTCATACGCATATCAGCGGTGTAAGGAAGCCTGAAAACAACTTGGACCCGATTGTTTATTTTTTTAATCAAAACATCAAAACACCAGCAGCTCAGAAAAAATACCATGGCTTCCAACGATGCCGAGTCGTCGCTGGAGTCTGCTGCTGCTACTGCCACGGCAGCCATGAAAGCCAGCGAGCAAGAAAAAACGCCGAACGCCGTGCTCGAGGACGAGAGTTTGATCAACAATTTGGTGGAGAGCCTGGATAAACCAGACGACACAGATGCTTCCATCAAGGCGGAGGAGTCTCTGGTGGACCCGTCGTTGTCGCGGTCGCCGCTTGATCAGGTTCTGATGGGGCAGAAGTTTATTTTGCTGGGAAATGGTGCCGCCAATGAAGATGTTCGTCACGTGATCGAGGAATTGGGAGGAAGCGTGGTAAGTGGTGACAACAACCAGGGAATATATCTTGCTCGGTCTGCGTCGGACGTGAGCCCAAGTATCAACTTTCCGGTGTACTCGTTTAACTTTGTCTATGCGGCGCAAAGAGATCACGTTCTGCCCAACCTGAACGATTTCAAGATCCGTCGTCCGCCCCAGCTACCACAGAACCTCAACATCAACATTGGCGAGCTGGCAAAGACGGGGCTCAAGGAAGACGAATCTGTTGAGGGCGCACTATCAATGAGCGCCGAGCCCCAGAAGAAACGGTCGATGAAATTCACAGAGCTGGAGGACGCTTGTATTTTGGACTTGATTAGAAGAAACCCGAACCTGCGGTCGACGCACAGCTTTTTCGCCAAAATTGCTCAGTTGCCCGTGTTGAGCGGCCACACAGGCAACTCGATCCGGTTTAGGTTCCGCAAAATCCTGGCAGATAAGCTTGACTACGTGTACCAGGTGGATCCGCAAACAAACAAACTGATCCTGGACCCGGTGACCAACGAGCCAATCAAGATCAAGGACCTTCCAAGCCTGCTGAAGTCGCAATACACCGCCGAAGAGGACTACGAGCTGTGCAAGCACATTTTACATTTCAAGGAGAACATGTCGCAATATGCCAAGAAACGGAAGCTGGACGGTAATAGCATTCCAGAATCGGTTTTCACTGAATTGGTGGCCAAGTTCCCTAGACACAGTGCAATGTCGTGGAGAGATCGGTACCGGAAGTTCGCCTCGAAGTACGGTCTGGAGGAGTATATGAAGTACTACGAGGACTGCCTGGCAAAGAACATCACTCCGCAGCCAATGAAGAACCTGAGTTCGAGAGCGAAAGATTCCAAGGACGTGAAGAGAATGAAACTGGACGACAAGAACGACATGGTTCCTAGTCTGGATAGAATCGAGGCATTGGCTCGCGTTTCTGTGGAACGCAAGGAAACGGAGGAGAATGCTGCAAAGAAGGAAGACAGCCCGGAAGCAAAGAGCGAGAAAGACAAACGGCTGGATGACGGGACGGCTTCCGCCAACCTCTTTGAGGACGCAAACGAAGACGAGATCAAGGCTCTGAACGACGATCTGAGCAAGTTTGACGCTCTACCTTCGATTGAGACCGAGAGCAACTTCTCGTTCGAGGAGCTTAAAAAGGAGGAGCCCGAGCCTCTGAAAAACAAGTCTCTGATCAACGTCGAGGAGACCTGTGCGCAGATCGAGCAGATATTCGGGAGCTTTGGCTCTTCCATCACCACCTCATTTGAGCTGTTCAAGGTCATGAACGAGAAAGTTGGGCTCTCGATGGGGTGGCTGACGTACTGGTTTGACTGTTCCTGCGGCCACCTAAATCTGTTCATGGCGGCCATTCTCAACTATATCCGGAACGACGAGCTGATACTGAGCAATTATCCCGGATTTTGGACTTCGGAGCACGATCGCATGCTCAAGGAGGAAGACAAAATTTCGGACTTAATCAAATTGCACGGTTTGGAATCTGTCACGAAACGGCGAGAAGCACTGTACGGCGAGTAAGGTGTATAGCGTTTCGTTGCTTTGGCACTGAAATAAAATCCGTGAGTCTGGAATGTCCACGACCTTGGCATTTTTATCTCCGATTTCAGGAAACTGCAAAAAATGGTATATAAAGGGGAAAGGCAAGTAGCTCACTCCACATCACTCAACAAAACAGAATAATGTCTTTTGAAGGAAAATCTACTTTGATCACTGGCGCCAACAAGAACCTTGGAAAGGAGACCGCCCTGGCTTTTGCCAAAGGTGGCAGCAACCTTGCTCTGCACTACCACTCTGCCAAGGAGAAGGACTCTTTGACTCAATTTGCTTCTGAGCTTGAGTCCAAATACAAGATCAAGACCGTCGTCATTTCTGGCGACCTGACCAATGAGAAGGACACCAAGAACTTGTTCGACACTGCCATCTCTGCCCTGGGCAAAGTTGACATTGCCGTTAACAATGTCGGTATGGTGCTGAGAAAGCCATTGGCTGAGACCTCTTTGGAGGAGTACACCACCATGTTTGACACCAACACCAAGGCCTCGTTCCTGTTCCTCAGAGAAGCTGCCAACAAGGTTGCAGATGAAGGATCGGTCATCATGCTCACCACGTCGCTTTTGGCAGCATACACCCCTGGTTACTCCATCTACCAGGCTGCCAAGGCCGCTGTCCACATGATGTGCAAGACCTTGTCGAAGGAGACTACTCGCAAGATTTCGTTCAATTGTGTCTCCCCAGGTCCTATGGACACTCCATTCTTGTACGGCCAGGAGACCAAGGAGCGGGTCGAATTTTTCAAGACACAGAGCGCCTATGGCAGACTCACAGAAATTTCGGACATTGTGCCAATTATTACCTTTTTGGCTAAAGACGGTCACTGGATCACTGGCCAAAACTTGTTTGCAAACAACGGATTCACTGCTCCATTTTAGGCAAGTATGTTGAATGGAATTTACTTTGGATTTTTCCTACTCCACATCCCTATCACCGTGCTGATGGATGCCACTCTGGCAGTGCCGCGTGCCTGGCAGTTGGATATCCAGAGGCAGTTGAGCGACTTCCATGTAGCCCGAAACAAAGACTTCCTGTGTGCCGAGCCGCCGCTCTGGCTCCAGTTTTTTGTTGTGTTTGAGCTCATTTTCCAGCTGCCTCTGTTCGTGGCCGCCGTGGTCGACTACTGGAAAAACAAGTGCTACTCGCCCAAACTGCACCCGTACATGCTACTGTACGGCTTCAACGCGTCGTTCACCACGCTGTGCTGTCTGGTCTACGTGTACTTTGAGAGCGCGGCCCACGGACTCACCGTCGCAGAGACACTCAACCTCCTCGGCGTCTACTTCCCCACGTTTGTGATCCCTGCGGTGATGACCATAGACTTTGCGTCGCGGATCAGTGCCAAAATCTCTGGAAAACAGCATACTGATTAGCCGATTAACTAGTTGTATTTAGTCATCAATTCATCGACCAGAGCAATATATTTCTTCTCTGCCTCCTCCTGCGAAGTTCCCTCGAGCTTCTTCCAGGCCTCCCATTTGTACTTGCCCTTGAAGTCGAAGACCCCCGGCTTGTCGCTGGTGTTGTCCCCCACCGTTGCCTGCTTGTACAGGCCGTACAACTGCAACAGCTCGTCGTCGTTGGGTTTTCTGGCCATATTCTGGACCGCAGCAGCCTACCAATTAGCACGCCAGCACCTCTTAGTACTCACTTTGTCGGTAAACTCTTGAGAAACCATAACTGTAGTAATTGGTGAAGTTTTCTTTTGCTCAATAACCCACTCCATGTGAATTTTTATTTTTGTCCACGGGAGGCCGGTCGATCGACGCCGAAGGTAAACAAAACGCGAAAGAATTCTCAACCACCATCCACTCCTTTTGCTCCGATGCCCAAAGACCGAAGTCACAAACGGAGGACCCTGCTTGTCGTGGGCGTGCTGTTTCATCTGCTATACCTGTGGTCCATCTTTGACATTTATTTTGTCAGTCCATTGGTCCACGGCATGACCCATTTCGTCAGCACAAACAGTCCTCCAGCCAAGCGTCTATTTCTCATAGTTGGAGACGGACAGCGTGCCGACAAGACGCTGGCAAAGATCCACAACCCAGAAACCGGGAAAAGCGAGTATCTGGCGCCGTACATCCGCTCACTTATAGAGACCCAGGGCACGTACGGTATCTCGCACACAAGAATGCCTACCGAGTCGCGACCAGGCCACGTGGCCATGATTGCAGGCTTCTACGAGGATGTGAGCGCCGTCACGAAAGGCTGGAAGGAAAATCCTGTCGATTTCGACTCTGTCTTCAACCAGTCGGCCCACACTTACTCTTTTGGCTCGCCTGACATTCTGCCCATGTTTGCTGCCGGGGCGTCTGATCCCAGCAGAGTGGATACCTGGATGTACGGGCATGAGTTTGAGGATTTTACGTCTTCGTCCATTGAGCTCGACAGGTTTGTTTTTGAGCACCTCGACCAGTTGTTCGATAATTCCACGAAAGATCCAGCTCTAAATGCCCAGATCCGGCAGGACAAAAACGTGTTTTTCCTGCATCTGCTGGGAACAGACACGGCCGGCCACAGCTACAGACCGTACTCAAAAGAGTACTACGACAACATCCGCTACACGGACGAGCAGATCCGCAAGCTGGTGCCCAAAGTGAACAGCTTTTTTGGAGACGACAAGACCGCGTTTGTGTTCACTGCGGACCACGGAATGAGCGATTTCGGTTCTCACGGTGACGGCCATCCAGACAATACGCGCACGCCGCTGGTCTGCTGGGGCGCGGGCTGCAAGAAACCAGTCTTCACCGAGCCGTCCAAGAACGAGTATCTCGCCAAAGAGCCGCTCGAGATGGAAACATGGGGGCTGGACAACATCAAACGGCACGACGTGAAGCAGGCAGACATCGCCTCGCTCATGTCGTTCCTTGTTGGGCTTAATTACCCAGCCAACTCCGTGGGCGAGCTGCCAATTGAGTATCTGGACGTTCCCGAGCTCGACAAAATTAAAGGACTATATCATAACGCATTGAGCATCCACGAGCAGTACCTAGTGAAGCTGCGGGAGGTGGCAAGCAGTCAGTTTGACTTCAAGCCGTTCCCAGGTTTTGAAACGAAGCCTGGCCACGTGTACAAGGGTGAGATCGAACACCTGATCCAGCTGGTTTCTGAGGGTGTGAACGAGGCCGAGCAGCCGGCCGTTGCGCTCATTGAAGAGCTTATCACGGTGTCTCTGCAGGGCCTTGATTACCTCCAAAAATACAACTGGCTGCTGCTGAGAAGTATCGTCACCCTGGGCTTTGTTGGGTGGATTGTCTACTCTTTCATTATATTCCTGCAATTGTACATTGTGCCTAGCCATCTGAAACAGAATACCCGCACGCCTGCGGGCTCGTTAGAGCGGTTCAGCATCTACGTGCCTTTTGCGTCTCTGGCAGCTGGCCTGGGCTACGTGCTATTTTACCAGAACTCGCCTGTCAACTACTATCTCTACACGGCTTTCCCTCTCTATTTTTGGCATAGCATCGTGGAACAGCGTCGGACACTGATCGTTGGGCTCCATGAATTTTTCAAGGGGTACAGTAGAGGCTATATTGTGCTGGTGCTGGCAGCAATCGTTGGGTACTTCGAGTGTATCACAATAGGGTTCACAAATCGGGGAATTTTTGTGTTCATGTTTGTGGCACTAGGCGTCTATCCAATGGTTGTGGCGAGACTGCCATTTTTACAAGGCCTGGCATGGGTCGCGACGTGCGGTGTCCTTTCCTTTTTCCCCGCGCAGAATCCCGTCAAAACTGAAACCTTGGAGCTTATTGTGGCGGGTGGAGTGCTGGTTCTTTTGATCGGCGCAGCGGCCCTCTACCAATTGCGCTTGCCGCCATACACAGCAAAGCTGGTGCTGGTGCAATTGGGACTGGTGGCTCTTGCTATTGTGTCCACGTCAAAAGCAGTGGTGTCACTACAGCGCCGAGAAGGATTACCTAAGGATGCGCAAATCCTGGGGTGGCTCAATTTGGGGCTCTCGCTGCTAGTGGTGCCGGTTCTGCACCAGCGTAGGCCAGACCCAAGCTACAAGACACGGTTCCTGATTATCTTCCTGGCGTTCTCCCCGACGTTTGTGATCCTCACAATCTCGTTCGAGACCCTATTTTACGTGCTGTTCTCGGCATTGGTGTTCCAGTGGATTGGGGTGGAATCCGCTATATCCTCCAGAGTGTCGAAATGGCCACAGCTGCTTAGAGTGGCAATCATCGGGTTCTTCTTCCTACAGATAGCATTTTTCGGAACCGGAAATATTGCGTCTGTGTCAACTTTCTCGTTGGATTCGGTGTACCGGCTGCTGCCGATATTTGATCCCTTCCCGATGGGCGCACTACTTATGCTCAAGCTGATCATCCCATATGTGATATTGAGCGTGGGACTTGGGCTGATGAACGTCAAGCTGCATCTGATAATATTCAGCATCTCGTCCTTGATCATTTCCTTGAGCGACTTGCTGTCCCTCAACTTTTTCTACTTGGTCAAGACCGAGGGCTCGTGGCTGGACATTGGACTCACAATCTCCAATTACTGTCTCGCAATATTGAATTCGCTCTTCATTTTGTTGCTCGAGCTGTTATCCAACATTTTGCTCGCTAAAACCGAGCTGGCAAAATCGGACCACCACTCCAATGAGAGATCCAAACTCGACCTGACCATCGACTCCCCCGAGTACCGGTCGGCTCTGCTGGAAGATAAGCGTCTGGAGTCCCTAGGAGGGTCAATTGCTACAAGGGTTAAGCGCAGATCGGCAAAGACCTAGACCAATATAGTGTAACCACTTTTGTAGAACAGAGTTTTTTCTAGACTGCGCCGTATTGTAAACAGTTCTAGCCACGAGTGCATGGGGCTAAGCATAGTTTCCACCCCTGGTAATATGGCTTGGCGTGTATGGCGAAAATATTAAAATGGGGCGGGTTTTGCGGGCTTTACGGGTTTCGCGGTAGAGTCTCGACCAAAAATGGTGGCTCGAGCCACGCGGTGCGTCAATTTTTTTTCCAGTGACTACTATTACTGAAAAAAATGTGACAGCAATGAATTTATGACTCTAAATTAGTCGTGTCGCACATGAGGAGAGAAAAATTAAACTAAACGTGGTTTGAGTATAAATAGCCCGATAAAGTGGAGTTTACTTTTGAAAAGTTTCAGGAAAAGTTTTCACTCGGAATGTCTGCCTTCAACGATTACTGCTTGGTTTGCGAGAAGATCTGTACGAGCAACTCTGTCTACTGCTCCGAGGAGTGTAGAGTGGCGGATCAGCAGCAAACCGCCTCGCCCACTTTGTCTACCTGCTCGTCCGTTCAATCCGCTCAGACGTCAAACTTCAATTCTATCCCTACAATTATCTCCCCTGTGTTGGCTCCGCAGTATAACTACGTGCCTGTTCTCAAGAACACGTCTAGCTTGTTGAAGTCACCACCCGTCAAGGACTTAAGCTATGAGTCACCTTTGCTTGCGAGTATATCTGTGCAGAATGACTTGGATTCCAACAGGTTGGACTTGAATGCTACTAGATCAATCGCTCCGCTGAACGTGAGCGAAATACCCAGATCACAGATATGCAGAACTACCGCCCAAAACGTGAGCGATCTGCTCTCAAGCACTCCTGCTTCGGAAAACTACAAAAAATGGCTTTCTAATCATTAAGCCGATTTCCAAAACTTGCATCGCTACATCTGCATTTCACGAATGACTTTTGAACTCATCGTCATAAAAATCATCAGGGAAAACTGGGTTTTTCTTTCATCATTAAACATCTAAGCCTGTGCTGTTACCGAATTTGGGCTGTTTACAGCGCTAGGTTACGTTTAGCAGAGCATTAGGTTCTTCATTTTGCATTACATCACTCAAAGCATATATAGTTAACTAATGAAACTTGCGTCATACTCCACCTTAATTATTATTAAATCTGCAAAGAAGATGACTTGACATGCTTCTCTTGCATAAAGTGTGGCTTCGAGCCCTTCTCGAAAAATCCAGCACGCTCTAATGTTCAAATCTTGGGGAAAATTTTTCACCTCTAATAGTAAACATACACAACAAGGAACCGCAAATGCGTCGAAATGCAAGACCCTCCTTGTCCTCGGGCCCCTTGGTCACACCTGCGCGCCCCTAACGATGTACACCAGGTCACCATCGCAAACCTCCCTCACCACTCTTCCGTTTGCGGGCACGTAAACATACTCCTCAGTCCCCGCTTCATCCCTGCGGCGGCGTCGGAAGATCGTAAGTCTTTTTATGCTTTCGGTAGTTCTATTATTATCATTTCGGATCTTGAGCAAGTCGGCCGCCGAGTCAAGCAGCCTCCCCACAGGCCAAATTTTCGAGACAAATATTGCTTTTTGCTCGGTCAGCTGCGCGTCACCAAATTTAGACTCATCGGGCACGTATTGGCACATGATGTATACGCGTTGAGATGCGGGGATCTTGGGATCTCCAATTGCCTGGTTCTTCAACTTTGACAATTCCACCAACCGCGAGGCCGGAGTGTCCTTCCTAATGCGGAAGAATGGCTTCGATTTCGATTTGTGGTACGAGACGAACGCTTTTAGCTTTGTCAGCGCCGCATGATTCGTTGTGGAGGCAAGTGTCTGTTTCTGTTTGTGGTCTGCTTCTGCCTGCTTTCGTATTCTGTCCAGATCTGGGAACAAAGACGCCGACGAGACGTTGCTTGTAGGTTTCAAGGACGGCTTTGCCACCTCTGAAACCCTGCAGTTGTGCTCATTGAAGTCCAATCTGTGGTCTGTACAAAACGACGTCGAGCAATGCGGACAGGTGAACGGGAGAAAATCTACTCTCTGGCAGACGGAACATAGCCGTCCAATGTCTAGTAGCGATTCGTCTTTGGCTGCGGTAGTCATGGATTGTTAGCAGAGACTGACGCAGTATTTATATCCTTTTCGAGTGGCAAATTTGCCACTCCAGCCACGAGCCAGAAAAATATTTGTAATCTCCGTGGGTGCCCTATGATTTGTGATGTCAATGTCCTCTGGCCGCAGGAGGACTACGGCTCGTCGGTGACGGCGTCGCAGCTCGCTGAGCTGAAAAATAGACTGGCGGTGCTAGAAGAATTGGGGTACACTCACGTTGCGCTCAATTTTCGCATACGGCAAGGCCAACGACTCCCGGCACAGGTGAACCCCATCGACTTGTCGTCTTTTTCCGAATTTAGAGACCGGCTCAAGCTCTTCACGCGGGTCACACTAATCGTGGAAGATGCGTCGCAGATGCAGACGGTGGCCAAACTCCAAAATGCCTTTGATCTTGTGGCTGTCGAGCCGCGCACAGAAAAGGCTTTGACGTCTTGCATAGTCAATATGGAGGTGGACCTTATCTCGCTAGACATGGCCAACAGACTCCCATGCTACTTGAAGCACAAGACCGTATGCTCTGCTACAGAGAAGGGTGTCTATTTCGAGATCAAATATTCAGATCTGGTCGACACCAGCTCAAGCACGCGGGCTACAGCCATCTCAAACATCAAACAGCTTTTCAGAGCTTCGCGATTGCGAGGGCTTGTGTGTTCGGGCGGTGCCAAAAGCGCAAAAAGTCTACGCAATTACAGTGACGTGGCTAATATGCTGGTTCTCTTCGGGCTGGACCACAATCGCAGCCAGCAGGTATTCAAAGACTGGCCACTAAAAGCACTGCTTGCTGGAAGGCTCAGAATCAAGTCATACAAGCAGGTGGTGGCCATCAGCGGAGACGAGAACTTGATAGATAACTCTCTGGAGGGTAAAAACAGACAGGACGCCACACCTTATAGACATCCGAAAAGAAGAAAGGAAGACAAGTCGTCCACCATATGACTTAATAACACACCGGAAATGTTTCTTAATGCTTATAGAATAGACATCAATATTGCTTGCTGTTACACATTTATACACTCGTGACTTGTGACTCGAAGGCCCTGCTCTATTTCTTCCTTACGTTCTGGCTCAAATACTGCGCTCGTATCTTATTTTGCTGCATGGCACGTTGCAATAGAACACTTTTGGGTCGCGAGACGACGATCGGCTTGCGGATGCTCTTTGGCGTGACTATATGATCAACCGCCTTCACTTTGTTCTTATTGCGCTCGAGCGTGAGGTTTCTGGTGATCTGGCGAAGGTTCTGCGTCGCTGTCCGACGCTGTAGCTCTCGCTCGCGAGCATATTTTTCGTACAGCTCTCGTGCGGGCACTTTTGTCTTGCGCCCGTTTTTTATTGTGATTTGCTCACAAGGGCGCTCTGAAAATTCGCGTTGGATGAGACACTGCCATAGCGGATCGTCGTGCGCAACGATCTGCGGAGACTGCTCCTCTATTACTCTCAGGGCCTTCGCTGTCTTCTTCTTGAGAATAGGTTCCACAAGATGGTAAGGAGCTTGCCCTATGTCGTTAATCAAATGCGCATTTTGGATGCACTTAATCCGTGCCAGCTGCGTCAGCGACAACGGACCTTTTCTAGGGGGCGCTTTCTTCACTATTAGCATAGAATTTGTCTAGTACAGACTTTAAGAAAATATATTTTCAAACTATTTTTTTCTACGCTGCCCGCAACATTTTCATGCAGCTCCGTTAGGTCTCAGACCACAGAAGAAATTCAGGGCATATGCCTCAGACTCAGGAATTTCGTCAGTACCCTCCACCTTGAAGGTGATGGTGCATCCCTTAGGGAAGTAGAACGTGTCATGAGGAGACACAGTGTAGGTAGCTCCTGTCTCGTCACTGATGGTGAACTTTCCGTGCACCTCGAGGTTGATCTTCATCTCGTCGTAGTCGTATGCATACACAAGCTCCTTTCCGCCCTCCTGTCTATAGAATCCGGCAGAAATCTGCTTGTCTGTTGGGGCATCAGAAGTAAAGGTGTCTGAGAGGAACGAGTTGTTCCCTGGCGAAGGAATTGGATCTGGCTTGACCGTGTATCCGTTTTCTTTGTGGGACTTGTAGAAGAGAGGCATGTTTTGTTTTCAGGCAGCCATTGGAGGAGTATTTATAGCGTTCGATAAGATTTGAGTACGTGGAAGTTTCCAATCGGGCAAAAAAATACGGGGATGAAGGCTTGATTTTCCACACTTCGAGCTGCTGATAAGCAGTCAGACGCGGCAGTGCTGCTCATTGGGGCCGCAGGGTCCTGCTGGGAGCTTTAGATGCTTGCCAAGGACTTTGCTGATAACGATTCTTCAACCTACCTAAACGGGTTATCGCCGGAATACTTTTCCGTATCTGGTAATAATGCTCAAGATAAAAGCGGGCGTATATATATACTGGACGACCGCACCGTGTTAACCAGCAAACATTCAACATGCCTATGAAATACCTTTCCAAAGCTGAAGGCTACGATAAGCTTCCAGCCTCTGTTGGTCCCACTTCGTATCTCGAGGACACGATGTCCTCCAACGCAGAGAAAGATTTCCAAATCACTTCGGGTTTCTACAAGCAGGTCAGCGGTGAGCCACTCGTCTACACCTATGGCTACGACGAAATGAAGGTTGTCCTGGATGTGAAGGGTACCGTGGAGATCTCTGACGAGGAAGGAACCAAGGTGTATCCGCAAAGGGGCGACGTGTTATACTTCAAAAAAGGCTGCACCATCACTTTCAAGGCCGTCGAGGACGACGCGTACGGATATTTCTGGTACTGTGGCCGCAAGTCATTTGGAGAATTATAAGTTCACAAAGTATGTACGACAATAAAGTTTTAATGTACGACATCCGACCGAGTGGATCTCCGCCTGTCAAAATAATTTTTACCGTGCGGCTAGCGGTGGAGCGGACTTTCAAGTTTTTTTGTTGGAGGTAACTTGACGGACATTTTCTCCTTGCGCACGAGTGTATAAAATGAGCAAGAGTCCTGACGAATCACACAGTAGCGCGCAATACCCGCCCTACAATCCATATGCCTGTATAAGATGCCGCCGGCTGAAAAAACGATGTACGAAAGACTTCCCGAGATGCGCCAATTGTATTAAAAACAATGAGCAGTGCACCTACGTCGAGAGGAAAAACAGACGACGCTTGCCGGAGCAGAACTTTGAAAGGGTCATCGACACCCAGCATGCTGCTCCTCCTGCGCAACGCGACTCTTTGCCGCCCATTTTTGCGCGGCCTGTCGAGGTCCAGCCACAGTCCCAACCGGTGTTCCAACGAATGAACGGTCCTTTTGGAAGCTCCAAAGAGCTGTCTTCGTTTACGCCTCAACCACAACAATCATTCATGTCAACACAACAGTTTCTCCCTGCTCCGGGCCAGAAGTACCTGCCGACACCACAGCAGCAATTCCAGACTCCTGTTTTGCCTCCTTTGCCCCAGAAATCAGCCCCATTGCACAACTTGGTGAACCGCGCGGCACCCGGACGTGGGTCCAGTGAGCTCTTTGATGCGCCGACGCGTAAACCCGATCACGAGCCCGCGATCGACCTGATCCACTCGAACCTGATCCACACCATCATGGGCAACAAAACCCCTACACCACCGCTCGAGCCGTTGGCTATAAGCAAAGATCTCGCATTGCAGTTTGTCAAGGCGTACTTGGACCACAACAACAGGTCATATCCAATCCTGAACGAGAGCGAGTTTCTGGACAAGGTCGCAACGGTGGATTTTGACTGTTTCTTCCAGTCCCGCGGCAATTTTGACACATCGTTCTTTTTCGAGCTCAATATGATAGCGGCGATCGGTTGCACCACCTTGGAGCGAGCAGGAGTCATCGACAAGAGCAAAGGCTACTCCAAGTATTTTTCCTCGAAGTCAATGAGTCTGCTCACCTCCGCTGTCTCGTTCCAGGACATCTCCAGCGTGCGATCGCTGGTTCTCTTGGGGATTTATTCTTTTTTCGACCCAAAGGGCCTTTACTCGTGGTCCATTGTGGGAATCTTGACCCGGATAGCGGTATCATTAGGACTTAACCGCAAAATCAGAGACGTGGAGGCGAAGCGAATGACTCCTGCAGAGATAGAAATGAGGCACAGACTGTTTTGGGCTGTTTTCAACATGGACAGACTAATCTCTACAAGCTTTGGACGTCCTGTGGCTATCAGAGACGACGACATCAACGTTCCGTTGCCCGAGCCGATTGATGGCGAAGGGGCCGAGACTGTCAGCGTTACTCGGAACATTATAGAGATGAGAAGAATTGAGGGAATGATCTTGACCAACGTCCATTGTGTGAAGTCGTCAGATATATACCCCACTGCGGAGGACAAAAACGAGATTCTTAATAAAATTCGACAGGATATCGAAAAGTGGTACAGCAACTCACGACTTTTATCGTCCAAGTCGTCTCAGAAAGGAAACATATCTTTTTTGGAGTCCACGGCGTGGTTTTCGGCAAGATACTACCACATGCTAATGCTGCTGTATCGCCCCTCGTACCTATTTCCTAAACCTTCGCTTAACAATCTGGAGATTCTGGGCAGGGCCTGTCTCCAAAACTTGTCGTTCACATACAACCTTTACACTTCAAATTTGCTACCACTCAACTGGATCACGCTTTATCGGTTTTTGACAACTTGCACCACAATTTTGTATTGCCTGTGCCACTGGTCAATCGACTTAGTGGAGTCTAAGACCGACATCCATTTGTGTGTTGAGATCCTAAATGGCTTCAGTGAGAACTGGTACTTTGCCAAACGCTGTGCAGAGGTGTTCAAGACCATCGACGACGCTATTCTTGACATTTCGATGAGCAGCTCCAATGGCCAGATACAACCGGTTGACCAGCTTCTGGTTGACTTGATGAATACGTCGTCGTCATATCACGAAATACTGTTTGAGAATGAGGTCGATATATGGTACGGAGATGACTTTATGATTTCGGATGTGAAGAAAAAGCCGGAATCAAAGGCTTAATATAGGTATATATATATTATTACAGGAAATATATGTAACACAAACGGGCATCGGAGCATTTTGTTCAAGCAGTCTAATAATGTCTTATTTACGGTAGAGACATATTTCAAAGCTCGCCATGGGATGCAAATTTTGGCTCGTTCAGTTGAACGTAGCTATTGAAATTTGGGTCACAGAATGGGTCATCTCATGGCCCCACAGGCTGAACAGGCTGCTACTGAGAGCAGTATTATTGCTCTCAAAGTTTGATCGTGCTCAGTCTAGTCAAATCGCTATATAGCGAGCGGCCTTGCAATCGCTGACCTGCAGCTTTACATAACTTTTCAAGCTCCCCATGGTACCGTAGAAAATTCGGTTATTGTAAAAGAGATTGATCGGTGAGAGAGGTTGTTCATACACAGTATTGCTCAAAACAACGGGTGTCCTTTTTATTGAATTGTTTAATCCCAATGGGCTGGTTTGCATGCGAAAAAAGATTTTATAGACTCAGTCATTCTCCCACCAACAATAAGCCGAGAATACTTCTTGATAGACCATCAGTGGTAGTGTTGACGCTTATTCAAATCAAACTCGTATTATCTAGCAAGAAACATGTCTAGGATTCTGGAATGTGATAGCGATGAGCTTTTTCACATCAAGAACAATCATCGCCAGCTCTAATTCGTGCAGAGGCCCAGAGAGTATTCAAGCTGGACTCGTTGCAGTTCACAAAGGTCAATGCTGCGCTGGCGATGTCTTAGATACTTTAGTTCCAAGAGATCCTCGTGCAACTGTCTAGTGATATGCTGCCACGCTTCCCTGAGAGAGTTTTCAGTTCTGCGTCCTGCCTGTCGATTCCAACAAGTTTGGTAATTATAGAGCCTTTCGATACCCTCTAAATTTAAGTGCATTGGGATATGCGCTCTTGAGCGCATGTGGCAACTCAGAGACATTTTACCACAATGTGTTTTGGTAGCATTGCACCTAGAGACTCCAAAAACATGTTAATATCGCCTGAATTTATGCATGGCAAGTCAGTAGCAGGATCTGCTTTCTTGAACACATGGATGCTGCTGGAATTAGCATTACCATCTTTTAAAGGACCCCTAAAAGTGGTCCTTTCTCGTCCAAGGCTTGCAATGCAGGCTCAAATGAGCGCAACCGCATCTAAGCAGTTTTGCAGACCCAGCCTCCTCTTTGATGAACCCCCTCTTCAGCTTGATTATTTGATTGTCAAACAATAGCAGCTCTTCTCTTTTATTCCTATTTTCTTAAGTTGGAAATGTGATCTGTGGCGACCAGTTGCGACCAGATTTTCGAGCACGGTCTGGTGCGGTGACTTCACTATTCTAGAGCTTGCTTGCAATTATGGCTCAAAACTCATTTCTAGTTCAGCTGCTCGGTGCTCAATACTCTGCACCTGCAACTGGAGATCTACATCCTCACCAGTAACCAGATTGTCCCTATTCGTGAACCTCAAAAAAACAAAAGGATGCCTTTTTCCCAAAATCACATACGGAAGGAAGTCCTTAACTGTTCTGATCATTGACGTACTTGGGTATCTCCTAGCTCTGCTTGACCAGGTTGTTTCATAGTAATTTTGAATTTTGTAGGGAAACCTGCTCTTCAGAGGCAAATCCTCTTCCTGCAAAATAAGGGGGCGGCTCTTCTCTTCCCTGGGGATTCTATCTGATCTCTGGAGTTCAAAATCGGTTTTTTGAAATCAGATTAAGCTGAAATCAGGACAAAACATTCTCCCTCATTTCTTCTGATAGACAGCAATTTTTTTTTCTCACAAAACTAGTAATCGCGCTTAAATAAATTGTTGCAGATAAGCTTTTGAGGTAGATAACGATAAAGTAAGCAAAAAACTGGATTCACGTCGCTCAATTTAAAGCTTGCTACTAATAAATGCAATCAGATCACATTCGGTCGAATAAAATATTAACTAAAGTTGACTAAGCAACCCGAATCGGAACCCCTAAAGGCGGGTTTTTTCCTATCCTAAGCTCCAAAATATACTGTCTTGCCAGAAAACAGGTCTGAAAGCTTGGGATCAAATGCACGTTGCATGCTTTCTTGCTGTCGTATGTCAGAGGAACTCTAATGTTCGCAACAAATCCTTCTTTAGATTTCTCCCACTTCAGCCGTAAGCGTTGCTCCTCGAAAACATCAAGATTTCGCCCTTTACATCTCATCTTGTTCAGACTAAGCACATTCTCGCGAAGATGCTTGGATATAGAGTGATTCGTTCCTTTTGTGAGACGTTGTAGCTCCCACGTGTAGTGTTCAAACTTCCTATTGATTTTAAATATCCCACTCGTCTCGTAAAACTTGCAAGGAGTATTTTCATTGAACACCAGAGGAAGATGGTGACTGGAGTATATGTTGAAAGCTTTCAAACTAGGTTTCACGGTAATCTCTTGAGGTAGTATGTTGTCATTTGTTTTCAGGAGGAAATCAATGTGGTTGAGCTCTGTATTTAGCTCTGTAGGGGCCGTGGACATACTAACGCCTTCGAAGATGGATGAGCTGCTTGAAACCGTGGACGGCCTGTATCGCGGAAGTTGACTTGCGCTACTTTTGGTACAAGCCAAAGCAACTCGTTTCAAAGGAGCAGGTTCGAATGACCTCAAAGCCATCCCATCTGTGCTCTGAATGTGAACCTCGAATTGTGCGTCAGTTTTCAAAAAGCCTTTACCGAGCCTGATTGTGGATGGAGTGCTCAAGACGGGATCCGCCGGAGACCCAAGACGCTTCTTTTTGTCAGCACCCTCTGCTGCCAATAGCTGGTCTTGTTCTTTAGTGTCGGTAATACCGGCTTCAATCAAGCCTCGGCGTTCTTCGAGATCAACAAGCGTCTCTGCCACTTGGTGCTCAATTTTATCTATCTGCTGCTCAGCACCTCTGCCTTCATAGCATGCTGGAATATTAGTATTTGTAAATCGGAAAGGAATGCTGAAGTCTCTCACAATGATAAACTGGTAGTCATGAGTTGTGTGACGCTTGTAAAACCTCTTATAAAGCTCCTGCGGCCTTCCCAGTAGTCTCAAATTGAGAGTGTATGTAATTGACAGGCCCCTGTCGCTAAAGTCATTGGTCACAATGGGAGTCCCTTCATCATCCGCTCTACCGTACCCTAGAGCTTCATTGACTCTAACATTCATCGCCTTGCCACCTAAAGCAAACGGACTCACCCCAAAGCTAGGAGGCACTGGTAAGTGATCGAGCGTGCTACTGGAGCAAGAAGTTTCCAGCAGATACGAAGGCAGCCGGAATGCAAAACATTTTTTGTGCTTGGCTCCCGGGAAAATTTGTTTCAAGTCACCAAATCCGTATATGGTGTCATCGATAGGGTCCCTCGATAAGCAGTCGCCCATCTTATATGGAGTCGGGTTTATACAGCCGTGGTGGAAGCAAGCACTAAGGTCGTATGTTCTCAGAAAAGTTTGTCGGTAATATTTGGAGCAGGTGCTATTCGGAGACTGGGGCGCAGTCATCGTTCCCTCGAGCGAGACAAGAAGCATTTCAAAGGGAATGATTTCAGTACTAATATTTTCGATGGTCACAAATCCCACAATCATATCTCCAGGCTGGTAGCATCGAAGTGGAGACTCTTTTTCGTAGGGTTCCCCGAAAACAGGGAACTTCTTTGTAATGACGATAGACACCTTGAGGGGCAGATCAATTGTCTGAAGGGTATTCAGGTTATTGAGTACAAGTAGATCAGGATTGTCAATTGGCGAGATCTGGTTCCCAGCAGCTACAGACTGCGAAGAAGTGGTGGATTCAGGGTACGATTCCCCGTATTGGGGCAAGCCCGATTGAGGGATTCTTTCGGTATCAAAGAGCGTTCTATTGAACAGGTAATTGTGCATTTCGAACGACGGCAGTACATCTTCGTAGTATTCAACTTCAGGATTGGGATTCATTGTAAGTAGCCAGGTGAATACACACTCCTGTATTTAAATTAAAAATCCATACTATGAGTCAGCATCGAAATCCTCTTTTTGCATATAAATCTAGATTGATCTATTGAAAAAGTTTCCCAAAATCGGAGCGGATTTCTGATTGATAATAGCGGCGTATGCCAAGGTTATTGTTTGGCGGAGTTAGCTTTCCATTGCAGTGACCAGCAGGCTCAAACTTTGTCCGCACATATGTTTCTGGTACTCATTTACTGGAAACTAAGAGTTATGCAGCATCAGTACGTGAACCGAGAGACTGGGACTCATTCCTGTTTTCTTTAGACAATCTCGGCTTTTTGTGGGGTGGTGGACCCAAACAATGTATAAACTATTTTCAATATTTTTTTTTAGTTTTCGCTACATGAATAATAGAACACAACACGCAGGGTCGGGAGACGAGTCCGACAAAGAAGTATTTTCCGATACCCCAGGCCACAGTGTACCCACAACAGCCGAGCTCTCAAGCTTCAACTTGACGAACTCTCCGCGCACGGCGGCAGGCAGTCCGTTCAGGTCGTGGTCTAGAGACGCGAGTGCTCGAAGAGAACGACGTGCTGCGCGCTTGCAGAGCATTGAGATTTTGCGGGCCAAGCTCGCAGGGTCTCCCAATGCCAGCTCTGAAGAAGAACAGCAGGAGCAGCTGGATATTGACAAAACACTGAATATCTTACCTGTACCTAATTTCACCATCAAAAGCACATGGCGAGACCCTATCGACGTGCCAGCGGGCAATCACACGGGTAATAAAGCCAAATCCGCCTCGGAATTCAACGAGATAGACAGTTTACAGAAACAGTTGACAGATTGCAAAATCCAACTGAGACTACAGAAGGAGTTATTACTGGAACGATATGGCGAAGAGAGCTCGGCGATGGAGTTTCTAAGACGTCAATTCGAACACAGAGACGACTATAGAGAAACGGAGCTTCTGAAAAAACAGTTTGACGATCTTGTAAAGGCATCCGAGGAGCTACAGGGTCAGTTGGAGGTTTTACAGCAGGATCATAGCGACTGGAAATTGATGGCTGACCAAATCCTAGACGTTATTGAGGAGGCTGGTGGGGATACTACAATTGTTGAGCGAGCGCGCAAAGGAGGCTTAAGTGCAAAGTTGAGAGCTGTGGGAGTCGAAACAGAGCGACTATCGCAAAAAGTAAACATCAGTAGGGGATTAGTATCTGCGGAGGTGAACGGGAAGGGTTTGAAAATGAAGGGAACAGATAATGAAGAGACGCTACTTAAAAGAATAGCTGAGTTGGAAATTAAGACGGATCAAATGGCTAACGAAAAGACACAACTCGAGAAACATAGCAGTGAGCTGGAAGAGGAGAACACACGGCTCAAAGATGAACTTCAAAAGCTGACTTTACTAGAGGAGGAAAACCGGAATCTGAAAGATTTGGAAAGCAAATTCGAAGAGCTCAAGATTCAAAAGTCACAGCCGGATGAGAAACTTGTGGCCGTGGAAGCTAGATTGAAAGACTACGAGGGTCTCCAAGCTAAATATGAAGAAACCATAGCCAGATGCGATGCTTTGCTTGCAGAAAAGGAGAACATCCAAACGCAACTTTCAGAAGCACGGCGACAACTGCAAGCTATCGAAACTCGCCAGATCGACCCAGATAAAACTAGTCCCGAAGAGCTCAAAGAGTACGTTGCAAAATTAGAGACTGATTTCAACTCGTCGCTGGTCAAGCAGAGACAGCTCAATTCTGAGAAAATTAAGCTCAGTTACCAAGTTGACGAGCTTAAGTCACAAATACGTTTACATGAGGATAACGCGCTTTATGCAGAACAGAAGTGGCAGGATTACCTTACCAGTGATGTCAATTTCCAGACTCACCTAATACAAATTCTCAGTGAGATATTGGATAAACAGTCAATTCGGGAAGCTGCTGCCAAAATACTACAGTTGGCGAATAGAGAAGAACTTCAGCTAAACGAAGCAGATACAAAAAAACTATACGAAACCATTTTTGAGTATGACCTGGCTGCCGTGCGAACAATCGTTGCCGATCATACGGAAATGAGTAAAAAAACATCTACAGGTCCTGCTCCGGTAGCAGACGAGTCGCTAAAATTACGGATAGAAGAATTAACTAAGAGGTGGAAGCACGCCGAAGAGACGCTTGCGTTTGAGCGTAAGCAGTCTGAAAGACGGCTTCAGGAACTGGAACGTGAGAATAAGAAGTTACGACAATAAAACTAATCTAGAATTTAATCTTGCATTTCATCGTCGCTGCTGTCCCCTTCATCGCCCTCTTCCTCGGCGTATTTGACAGCCTCGTCGAACAACTCCTTCGGCACAAGCTGGTGCAGGCCATTGGTTTCACTTTTACTGGCCCATGTGATCTCCAATTCAAAATCTTTGTCTTTGTTGTCCTCGTGGGCCAAATATATGATTCTTGCGGCCTCCTTAACGGCCTCTTTAGCTGTGATGTTGGGCAAATCCAGTTTTTCCAGCTCGCTTTTGGCCGTCTGTCTGCCCTTTCCTGTAGCTGCACCGTAATAGCCCCAGTAGGTGCCACTTGGCTCGACCATGTACAGATGCGCACCATCGTCGTCCACGCCACCGACAATTGCATTAATGCCAAATGGTCTCACCGAGTTGTAGCACGTGTATGCTTGCACGTAGTATCCGAGCCGGTCTATTAATCCTGGGAGGCCAATTGGCTCTTTGTAAAGTGATTTGAAAGACTGGGCCTCATCACGACCACGATTCACAAAATGCCTTCCATCTGGTATGAGTCCGGAATACACAACACCCACATGTCTATCTATGGTTTGGATGCGCTTGTTCTTCCCCGGAGCCAACAACTTGGACGTAATGATCTTCTCAGTGGCCAGCACAATCCCGTCTTTGCACCGGATCCCAATCGAGGTTCCTGCATTCTCAACCGCTTTGGAGGCATACTCCACCTGAAAATTTCTCCCATCTGGTGAGAAGATCGAGTTTGACAAGTCGTAGCCTGTACCGATGGATGTCTGCTCGTTAGTTGACGCACCTCATCTGTATACTTACCATTTGTTAGTTAAATACTTTTTGCCTTCCAAATTTACGCCATGAAAAATCGGGTCACTAAAATAAATATTCCAAAAGTATAATATGGACTCCATACGAGTAGTCGTCTGTGGTGATGAAGGTGTCGGTAAAAGCAGCCTGATTACCACTCTTGTGAAGGAGAAGTTTGTCCCCAACATTCAGCACCTTATTCCACCGATCAGCATTCCTAAAGATTTCTCGGGCTCGCCCTATTCCCCTAAATCTAGCCTCCTTATCGATACTTTATCTTCAGATCTCAACAATGTCCAGGACCAGATCCGCCAAGCAGACGTTATCTGGCTTGTGTACTCTGATCGCTATACATATGAGCGGATTTCTCTGTACTGGATCCCTATGTTCAGATCAATGGGCGTGAATTTGCCTATTGTGCTGTGCAATAACAAATCCGATTTGGATGAACTACCCGATGAAAGCGAATCAATTTTGAACGAAGAGCTCATACCGCTACTCAAGGAGTTCAAGGAGATAGAAGCATGCATCCGTTGTAGTGCCAAAGAAAATTACAATGTCAATCAGGCGTTCTATCTCTGTCAAAGAGCAGTTACACATCCAATAGCACCATTGTATGATTACAAGGAAAGCAACTTGAAACCTCTTGCACTAAATGCCTTGAGAAGGGTGTTCTACTTGTGCGATACTGACCAGGACGGCTATCTGAACGATGCCGAGTTCCTGCAGCTGCAGCTTAAATGCTTCCACAAGTCCCTGGACATCAACGAGCTGAACGCAGTCAAGCTCACACTCAACTCCGCGCTACCTGGAACAGCAACAGAACGGGGAATAACTGAGGAAGGATTTCTGGCTCTCAACAAATTGTATGCTGAATCAGGTCGTCACGAAACTATATGGGGAATTTTAAGAGCCTTCCATTACACAGATTCTCTTTCCATAGACGACAAAATTCTGTATCCAAAGATAGATGTCCCGCATGGCTCAAGCGTTGAGCTATCTCCTAACGGATACAGATTTTTGGTGGATCTGTTCCTTTTATTCGATAAAGACAACGATGGAGGACTGAATGACGAAGAACTCAATCAGCTCTTTTATCCCACACCCGGAGTTCCACGATTGTGGCAAGAGTTCAATTTTCCCCGCACAGTGGTGTGCAACGAGCAAGGTTATGTGACTCTACAGGGATGGTTGGCTCAGTGGTCGATGACGACCTTTCTGGACTATAAAACAACACTCGCCTACCTTGGCTATTTTGGTTACGAGGACAGGTCTACCATTGGCAAGATAAGTGGAACCAAGACAGCTTTGAGAATCACGAAACCGCGGAAAATGAGGAAACACAACGGGAAGGTTTATAGGGGAAGTGTTTCTGACAGAACTGTTTTCAACTGTTTTATTCTAGGCGCTCCAGGATGCGGCAAAACCTCACTCATGGAGTCGTTTTTGGGCCGACAATACAGCGAAGTTTATTCACCTACAATTCAACGAAGCATTGCCGTCAACAACGTCGAGCTGATTGGCGGAAAACAATGTTACCTGATTTTGGAAGAACTAGGGGAGCTGGAACCGGCAATACTCGAGAACTCGTCTAAGCTTGACTCTTGTGATGTCATATGTCTAGCATATGACTCCTCCGATCCTGAATCATTTCAGCACCTCATAGAGCTGCGCAGGCTGTATCCGAAACTGGATTCGATTCCTATGGTTTTCGTTGCCCTGAAAGCAGATCTGGACAAACAACAACAGAGGTGCGATACACAGCCAGAAAATTACACACGATCGCTGTTCTTGCCGCCTCCACTTCACATATCCTCCAGCTGGGCCTCCTCGCTGACCGAGCTCCTGGTTCAGCTCGTCAACTCAGCAGCCGAGCCTCGGAGCGCTACCTCCGGTCTAGAACCCGAGCCAATGGATACAGAAGGCCTAATTAATCCTTTCGTGATAGGTTGTGGCGCAGTCGGATTCATGGTTATCGTTTCTGTGTGGTATCTTCGGAAATCTATACTTGGAGAACGATAGATATCAAATACTCCTGACACCTGGAAAATATTTGCGATCTCAAACAACAGGATGGATTCGTTAACGAGCACGTTTTGGTGTTCGGTAGCCATTGCCTCTTCGTATGTTCTTGTGCTGTATATCAATCCTCCGCAAGGTCATCGAGAGTCCAAAAAAGTTATCAAATCAAGGCTGGTCAGAGTCAGCCTGTCAACACTTGTCTGTGTGTTACTCGTGCCAGTTTTAATGACTAAAGTGACACGTACCGCCTATGACTCTAAAGAAGCATTTGCATATATGGGACTTACATTTGACAAGACTACGGTTTTCGGCATTGCGCGAGCGCTGGTACTGTTCATTGGTCTTTTCAACGGATCCCTGATAGAGTATCTGTCTTGGGGCCCGGAAGTCATCTACCGCGATTTCAAATCTTTGGAACCTCTTCAATTCTTGCGGAACATAGTGATTGCCCCAATCACTGAAGAGATCACATACACCGCATCTATATTGGGCTTGTATGGTCCGTTTCTCCATTCTCCTGCACGCTCCAAAATAATATACCTCTCACCGCTTCTGTTTGGGCTAGCTCACATCACTCACGCTTACGATAGTTGGAGACACGAAAGAGCGCCGATCGCTGCGATTCTCGCATCGCTCCTGTTCCGTACACTATACACAACATTTTTTGGAATCCTGACAAACCTAATCTTTGTCAACTCGCATTCGGTTTGGACCTGTGTGGTCGCACATTGCTGGTGCAACTTCATGGGATTCCCTCTGTTTACAGTGAAGGGACCTGTGTGGTGGCAGGCATTATACTACATACTGTCGCTGGCAGGAATCTGGTTCTTTGCCACGTACTTTAGCACATTGACTACGTCTGACTGAAACGGATAATCCTTGTTATCATGCCTAATAAATATGCCACTCAATGTTCATAAGCGACCTCAGCATAACCCCCGTAAACGTCGTGAAAAGCGTATTCCTCAACTGGCTCCACGAAATGTTCCTCCTCCACAGGTTGGGCGTATGTTTCCTCCTGCTGTTGCAAGAATAAAGTATGGTTGACCAAGTTGAGGTACGCATACATGAAGTTACTCAGCAACACCTGTTGGCGGAGAGGCCTCTTTGGGTCTGAAAGCTTGAGGTGGCTCAATCGATAGACAGCGCGCTCCACATGTATCGGAAAACGGTGGTTCAGCATCACCAATGTAGACGGAGATACAGGGGGCAGGGGAAAGCCAAAGGCAGAGTCAGTCATCTGCAGAGGCTGGTTGGGCTTCGTATTGCGTCTTTGCGACATCAGCGTTTGCTTGATAGTCTCAGAGACCGCATCAAGAGGGGGTTCTGCAGGATGCGGAGCATGCTGTTGTACCGCTGGACGTGGTTGTTCTACAACGGGCTCCGGCTTCGGCTCTTCTTTTTTCTTCCTCATATTCAGTATTCGTTTCTCTGTGATACTTTCGTTGTCCGAGTCAGAGAGAGTCTCTGGTGGAGCCACTTTCTCTATCGCTTTGGATTTATCTTTCTTGAGCTTGAAAAATCCACTTAAGGTTTTCTTCTCTTTTTCTGGTTCACGCGGAGGTGACGGGAAGGGAGACTCTACATTCTGGATCGACACCACGTCAGAAGCTGTGCCATGCCTGTTGCGTGAGTGGTTTGGAGGAGACCGCTCTTTTTCTCTTTTTTCCTTATTGCCGCTGAGCCAAGTCCAGCTTGACTTTCTGCTAGATTTCTGTTCAATAGGTTTTTCTGGAGTTTGAGGAGGAGATTTCACGGGCGTAGCTGTCTGGACGGCCTGCTCTTTGGGTAAAGGAGGTAGTGGTGAGTTCTTCTCTACAGGAAGTGGAGGAAGAGAGCTTGTCGGTGCCTTTGATGGAGCATGAGGCAAGACCTCGGACGATACCGTCGCAGAGGATGGAGCAGTCACCTTGGTAGTCTTTGCGCTGTGAGAATTCTGAAGGGTCTTTGATTCAGTAGGATCTGGAGATGCCAAGGGTGTAGAGTTGGGCAGATTGTGTAGCGACTGAGCCGTGGCTCGCGAAGATCTAGAGCCTCTCCTGTATGTTGTCCATTTCGATCTCTTCAGCTGTGTTCCAGGCAAGTCTAGCTCCGAGTCAACACTGGATGCAGATGACTTACGTGAAAGTGAGGAAACAGAGTCAATGTTTTCTTTGAATCTCCATGAGGACGACGAAAGCGTCCGCGCAAGGGTGACTGCGTCCGTATCATCAAGACCGGCCATCTGAGAAAGCGACTCCAACTCCTTCGTGAGCTGCTTGATGGACGGCTTCCTGTGGAATCCGGTGTCTGCTCTGTTGGGCTCTGCAGGCTTTTCCAGGCCGGACTGAGAGTCACGGGTCTCATGAGAAAGAGAAGAACGCGAGGACGCGGAACGTTGGAGCTTGGACGTGATCTCGTCGACTGTGGCCTGAACATGTTTCCGGAATTTCTCCGGAGCTAGCTGTGGATGTGCCGTGGCCGGCACCCACATGAACTTGTTGGCCTCCGGCAGTATGTGATCCTGATCCAGTTCATCGTCTTTCGGTGTTTCGTTCTCCTTATCGTTGTGTATGTCTATTATATCGAAGTCTAGTTTCTCGGACTCGCTGTACGGCAGGTCTGGGTCGTAGCTCAGACTGTTGCCGATAGAGAGCCGTTTCAGAGCTTTCACGGCATTGATCTCCTGTTCAACAGCATGTGAGGCGGCCAAGAGCTCCTCGTGCGTTGACTTTCTGGATCCCTTTGTTCCTTGAGGCGATTTATGTGGTTCCATGTTCGAAGTTAACAGAACACAATGAACATAAGAAAAGGAATGACAGAAGTTGGAGGTTCAGCGTGGATCTGGAATAACTTTGCAGAAACAAATAAACGAATACAACAAAAAATTTGTCTGCCACTTTCTAGACGATAAGCCGAGCGGCCATAATGCGGGACCCTTTTGGCGCACCTTGCAAAATAAAAGCCAGCTGTAGCACACAACACTTGTCCTATATACGAACTTTACAGGAAATAACAGCTTTAGTGGTATGACTCGTCGGATCGGCTGGACCGTGTCTGACCTGCTATAGCTGGAGAGTAAAAATTTTTTCACCAACTATGGCTAAAACCATTATTCGTGTTCCAGCATCGTCCGCAAATATAGGTCCTGGGTTTGATGTCCTGGGAATAGGTCTCAACCTGTTCCTCATACTGGAGCTGGAGGTGGATCCGCTCATGGCAAGCACCGATAAGTTTAATTGTGCGATCTCGTACGAGGGAGAAGGCAGTGAGAACGTTCCTTTGGCGTCCGATCGCAACCTCATCACCAAAACCGCGCTTTTTGTGCTCCGTTGCAACGGCATCAACCAGTTCCCAAAAACCACGAAGATACACGTTAACAACCCCATTCCCTTGGGTAGGGGCCTGGGATCGTCCGGCGCGGCAGTTGTGGCTGGTGTGATGCTGGCCAACGAGGTTGGAAAGCTGGGTTTCTCGAAACAGAGATGTCTAGACTACTGTCTGATGATTGAGCGCCATCCGGACAATATCACTGCCGCGATGATTGGTGGTTTCACCGGCTCCTATCTTAGAAAACTGACTGACTCCGAGGTCGCTCTTGTGCACCAGCCACTAGACGAGATGCTCGCGCCACACGCTCCGGCCATCCAGGCCCCTCTCGATATTGGAACGCACGTCAAGTACAACTGGAACCCAGCCATCAAATGTATCGCCATCATCCCGCAGTTCGAAGTGCCCACCTCTGAGAGCCGCCAGGTGCTTCCAACGGAATACTCGAGACCAGACGTAATTTTCAATCTGCAACGTCTGGCTGTGCTCACCACCGCAGTTGGAGCGGAAAAGCCTGATCCACAGGTTATCTATAATTCGATGCAGGACAGGTTGCATCAGCCATACCGCAAGGTGTTGATCCCAGGGCTCACCGATATATTATCTGGTTTCACGCCGCAAAGCCATGCCGGTCTTTTGGGTATCTGTTTGAGTGGTGCCGGACCTACCATTTTGAGTCTTGCTACCGACAACTTCGAGCAGATTGCCAAGGATATCATTGCTAGATTCGAGAAAGAGGGCGTCTCCTGCGTGTGGAAGCTTCTGGAGCCTGCTGTCGAGGGGGCTACCGTGGAGACCTTATAGACATATAGATGTTAACGTACCTAGATTTCACTATGTAAAGTCGGTGGCCTTACCTGCCATCAACAGGCCCACAATGAGTCCGAAAAGCCCCAACACGGAACCAAAAATCTCGATGACCAGAATTTTCACGAATAAGCTTGAGTCTGCAGCGTCCGAGATAGCGGCTGTAGATCCGGTGACACCAACCGCGACTCCGCAAATGAGATTGCTCAGTCCCACAGTTAGTCCTGCCCAGAATAACGAGTACCCAGTGTATAAATTTTCTTTGGTGAACAGGGAGGCCGTGTCAACGGCAGTGAGCTTGGATGAGAACACAATGGCCATGATCAACCCGTAAATGGCCACAACCTCGCAGAAAATGATCGAGATCAAATTCTTCGTGGTGATGCGGGGAGCCTTCACACCTGCTCCGAGGATAGAAGAACCCGTAATGAAGATGCCCCAGGCCGCCCCAACGACGGAGAACCCAATGCAGGAGCCTATTCCAATCGTGGCCCACATATATGGCGATATGGATTCCAGGTACTGTCCAACGTTGAAAGCCTCACCGGAGCCATTGAACAGCATGTAGCCGCCAACAACAAGCGCGGCCGTCAGCGACAGGTATGATGCGGACGCAGACATTGGAATAAAAGCGGTGCCAGAAGTTGTTGTGCTGTATGGCGGAAATTTGAAGCGAGCTCAAAAAAGATACAATCGTCCGGTCGATCGGCGCTGCTTGAAATTTCAGTTCGACATGATAAGTAATATTATTTTAGATTCGTGGATTTGTAATTAGATTTTGTTCATGACTCTTGCTACTGAATTCCACGAGCCTGTGAGGCTGGCATTTATTGGAGGCACTGGCCTTTACCACTTGGAAACCTTGACGCCGGTTGCCAAGCTGACCATCTCGACTCCGTGGGGCTTCCCTTCGTCCCCAATTACCATCTCCAAGACCAAAGATGGGTTCCCCATTGCGTTTTTGGCAAGACACGGTCCTCACCACGACTTATTGCCTTCTGATGTTCCCAACAGGGCCAACATTGCTGCCTTGAAAAAACTCGGTGTTAACACAATTGTGGCTTTCAGTGCTGTCGGGTCCCTGCAGCAGCATATCAAGCCTCGTGATTTTGCTGTCCCGAACCAGGTTATTGATAGAACTAAAGGAATTCGTCCGTCGACCTTCTTTGAGCGTGGCTTTGTTGCTCATGCGATGTTTGGAGAACCTTTCGATCCACTACTTAATAAGGTCATTTCCGAGTCTTGTCAAGAAGTTCTTGAAGGTGAAGGTGTAAAGTTGCACACCAAAGAAACCGAGAAAGATGACCTGACGCTAATCTGTATGGAAGGTCCTGCATTCTCGACAAGAGCTGAGTCCAAGCTGTACAGGAGCTGGGGAGGATCTCTGATCAACATGTCCTGTATTCCTGAATCTAAGCTTGCTAGAGAAGCTGAGATTGCCTACCAAATGATCTGCATGTCAACCGACTACGACGCTTGGAATGAAAGCGAAGAGCCTGTCACCGTGGAGACGGTTGTGGGAAATCTGTCTGCCAACAGCGCCAATGCTCACAGGATTGCAGAGAAACTGGTCCAAGTGCTGGAGCCTAAGATCAAATCTGGCGAAATCGGTCTCAACTACCAACACAGCATGAAGTTCTCTGTCAGCACCAAGAAGGACGGCCAGGACAAGCGCTTGTTGGAGAAAATGCACTACCTGTTCCCTGGATACTGGCCTCTTCAGTAAACTAGACTCCTGATTTTAGAACTTGCTTACATAATACACACCGTGGTAAATTTTGATACATTTTTGCACCTGGATATTTTATTATTTACTTTCCATGTCGTTTCTTACGCCCACGGCTTCATCCATCAATGGATCATACTATACACCGGATGAAGACACGTTTTTACAGACAAGGCGGCGAATTAGTTTCTCTAATCGAGAAACGGTCAACTCGTCCACCCCTGTTGCATCTGCGCATTTTACACAATCTCCTAGAAAACCGATCCCAGCGTTGTCCCCAATCAAATCCGTTGGTATACCTAATACCCCGATCAAACCTTTAGTTTCATCTCCGTTCAAAGTTCCCCAGAGCACTAAGCCGCTAATATCTTCGACTCCCTTAGCGGGACCAAATACCCCTGTCAAGGGGCCCATGTCACCTCTTTTGCGCAAGAAATTCCAACAACAGTATCCCGGCACTCCTAAGCCGTCAGAGAAGCAGTCACCACAATCGATCAACAGCAACATATATCAGCGATCGATATTCAAGCCGAGGCACAAGTCGCCTTTGAAAGAGAGCACAACCTTGCCGACACAAGAGAAACCAGCCCAGGTCGAATCCAAGGATGAAAGTGAACTGCAAAGTCCCTACGTTGAGCTTGCTTTGAGCAGAATAGTCAACCGCGATGCCGAAATTCGCACAGTGATAGTGAACACCCTGATGATGCTGCTGTACCGATTTTTTGTGGCAGTGATTATTCTGCTCAACGTGAAGTTTAGACTTCGTGATGGAACGTCGCTATTCCCTGCTGTTCTCACCCAATACTCGAGTTATGTGAACCGCACAGTATATGGAATCCTGCTGTTCAACATCGGTGTGAGCTCGTTGCGGCTGATGAAACCTCAGGACAAATGTCTAGATCTGCCGTTGACGAGTCGTCAGCGCAAACTCCTTGGTCTCCCACTGGTTAACGGGGAGGCGCAGGAAGAGCTAGGGGTTGACCGGTCGGAGCATAAAGTTCTGCCGGGCAGCCCAAGCAGGGATGTGGCCGACACATCGCTTCTCGCGCTCGATATATCAAGGTCATTTGCGAATATGAACATCTCACACTCGGAAAAATTGCCGGCTACAGTTGTTTCTGAGACGCCTCAGGAGAGGATTCGCAAGCAGCTACTTTCTAGAGACAATGGGGCTACGTCGCCACAGGCCCGCTTCAAAAAGCCCTCGAGCAAATTCTTGTACGATACTGCCTCTGCGGGGGGATTCGACATTAACAATTCCGACGTGTCGTTCTATTAGAGTTGAATAGAAAGAAGACAATTCATTGATTGTACTAAGAATTTTTCAGGTTGTATGTTTGTGCGTCTTGATGGGCGAGAGTGGTGCAGGCTTGCATGAGCTGGATCACATTGGTGACCTGCTTGAAAAGCCAGACAGGCGCAGACGCATAGATGAGGAGCCTTGGGAACGAAATACCAATCAGCGGCAGAGCTCTGAAGTTGTAGTAGTCGAGGTAAAGGGCCATGTAGAAGAGCTCGTTGAGGGCACAAACCAAAAACAAAACTGTGCGGTTTTCGTAGTACAGCTTGAGGAGAACGTTTGTGTCCTTCTTCATGGATTTGTGGCTCTTGGATCCGCTGGTGATACTGGCGTACATGTGAAGATAATGCGAGGCCAAATCTAAAGAAATGAGCATCTGCCATAGGATGAACCAATTGGGGTACAGTCTGGTCAAAAACACAATAAGCGAACACGTCGAGCAACGGTCGGTGACCATGTCCAAAACCGCACCGAAGGTGGTGCTCTGGTCTAATTTTCTGGCCGCGTATCCATCAAAGGCATCCAGCAAACAGGAGGTCGAGTAAAGCACCCACATGGTGAACTTCGGATGGTTTTGCATCGTGAAAAGCGACGCAATCAGCGTCAGCACGCGAACATAACCTATTATGTTCGGAATAAACCGGAAGATGTGCGACGGAGTATACACTTTTTGGCCCATTAAAATGTTGTAGATAAACTAGATTTACCGAAATTTTTCAGCTTTTACGCAGAGCGAAAAAATGAGCTCTAGCAGAGACAATGCCGCGCGTCTCCGGCCAGCCGCTGGAGACCAACGGCCGCCCTTAATGCAGTGTCCGTCGTGTTTGGCGGTGTTTCAGCATAGAATAGAGCTTGAGAAGCATTTAGATCGCAGGTCCGCTCGCTCTCATGACGGGGTCGAGCATTTACGACGCTTGGCTGGAGACCGAAGCGATTTCGAGCGATTACTGCTTGAAGTTACGCAGGCCGCCGAAAAGTAACGATTCCATTAACATCATATACTCTCACGCCCTCTGCGGCAGAGTGTACTTCATAAATCTGCGCTGCAACTGTTTCCGAATGCTCACCTTCTGCGCACCCACAAAACTGTCAATGGTGACCTTAATGGCCCGGTCAAGGTCTGAACTCGAAACGTACTCGCTCAATCGCATTTTGGCAAACGATTCTGCAATTCTCAATATACTTTCCAAATGTCTCACGGTAATTGGGAACGAGCCGGTGGAGTTACTTTCTCTTCTCAAATCGGCATAAACACGTGACACCTTGTCCATGTCCATCTGGTTCAACTTCGGATGCACCCTTGTTCTTGCGTAGTGGATATATTTAACCAGGAACTCCTGCTTTATTGGAGAGATCTCCTGCTCTTTCTCGCGTTCTCCTTCCTCTTCGGCAGGATGGGAGCGCATGTGCGAATCAATGACAAACCCTGCAAGTCTCTCATCGGCTTCGGGATGCACGAGGTCGCGAACAACACAGAGAATATCGAATCTTGACAAGATCGGCTCGGTTAGGTTCACATTCTGCAGCAAGTTCAAAGTCGAGTTGTACCGGCCACCAATAGGATTTGCTGCCGCAATGATGGAGCATCGGGCCTGCAGAGTGGTCACAATACCCGCCTTGGAAATGGAGATCGATTGCTGCTCCATCGCCTCGTGGATCGACGTACGATCCTGGTCGTTCATCTTGTCGAACTCATCAATCAGACAGACACCCTTGTCTGCTAAAACCAACGCACCCCCCTCTAAAGTCCACTCTCTGGTGATTGTGTCCTTTCTGACGGAGGCGGTCAGACCGACAGCAGATGCACCTTGACCAGTGGCGAAGACTGCTCGATGTGCTGTTTTCTCGACGTACTTGAGAATCTGTGATTTTGCAGTACCAGGGTCACCTAGAAGAAGAACATTGATGTCTCCACGAATCGAGTGTTTTCCATTGACATCTTTAGGAACACCACCAAACAACGAGCAGGCAACAGCAGTTTTAATGTCTTTGTGTCCGTAGATCGAAGGTGCAATGGAGGCGATGATTTTGTCAATGATTCCGCGCTCTCTGCTCAGTTGACGAATTTTTTTCTCTTCCTCCTCGGTCCATTGGAATGGCGAGAGACCGCCTTCAATCAAGGAACCATCCGACACTCCTTTGGCCGCTCCCTCTCTCCGCTTGATAGCGTTTGCCTCAATTACAGTAGTGAAAACAGGGAAGCCGTTTTTCGCGTTCAGCGTACCGTCGTACGAGTTTTTGTAGATGCCGGTAACCTCAATTTCCTCCCCAGGCTTGGCAACATCAACAAGGTCCCACAGCAAAATCACCTCTTTATGGCGAGGCAGTCTTCCAGCGGGAACAGATCCCGGAGCCTCTTGCAGGGTAATTCTTTGGTAGTTTCTGTATAATGTTTTTTCCGTGTTCAATTTGAACGGCCCACGAGACTGGCAGTTGGTGCAAAACGTGACGCGAACTTCCTGGTTCGAGTCTTGGAAAAACGGTCCCAGCACAGCATCACACTTGAGACAGTTGAACTTCACGTACTTCAGTTGCGGGAACACTCCTGTTCTTCTTGTGACAACACCACTGACACGGACCAGGGAATTCAAGTTAGCCTCTCTGAGCTCTCTCAGATTGTTGATTGTTGGGAAGTCAGCGATCCGGACGTGAATTTCAGAGTGGATCTGGCTGTAATCCGGATAATGCAGCTCCGTGGCCTCCATGGCGACCACGTCAAAAATCTTCAAAATCTCCTCTGGACACGTAGTGAGGAAGAGGGCCAGAACAGCCTTCGAGTGCAGCAAGTGCACATATGACACTTCCAGACTCTCGCTGTTGATCTGGCCCAATGTCCGAATTCGACTTCCATACACGGACCGACCCTGTTCGTCAGTGAACTCCAGCAAGAACGATTTCAATTCTCTGGCAATTGATCTAGTGACGTTTGGCATGACAACCCATTCAAGAATCGAGGGAGCCTTGACTTCGGCAAGAGCTTCCAAGCTCAGCTCCTCTGTCAACGGATCCATGTCATCCAGATAATCCTCGGGATCTTCATCGTACCTATGTCTTCTGCGCCGTCTCTGGATAGGCAGACCGTACTCATCCCTTGGCACGTCGCCGTCCATAGCATCATCAAGGTCCAGATTAGCGCCTCGCACAAGCTGGTCACGCTGGTTGAGCATTTGGTCGACGCGTCTTCTTTCTGCAGCGGGCAGCTCTTCATACTCCTGGTCGTCGAGATCGGCCTCTTCGTAAGTGTCTTGTTCAGGATTGGCCACGTAATCGCGCTCCATCGCGTCGCCAATCAAATCAACACCGGTTTGCTCCTCCAACTGCTCTTCCAGATCATCCACATCGTTGAAATATTCGCGTTCTTCTTCATCTTCGTCGTCAAAAGGGAGACCAGGAGAAGAAGGCATGTGACGAGGAGACGATCCGGCTGACGAGCCCGCGCCAGCCGGTGAGGACGGCATGACAGAGGCCGTCCCAGCCTCATCGTCGCTCTCGTCGTCAATAATCGTTCTCTTTCTTGGACTACGTCTGGACATGGTGGAAGGAGAAGAGTTTTTTTGAGTGAAACATTTCCTGCGCGGTGCTGCCTTTTTGGGATAATTACTGACGCGAAAGTAAGTAATTAGCATTTTTGGGTTAAATGGGAGATTTTTTAAGGCTGCCAGCAAAACCGCGAATCCCCTATTTTCGCGCAGGCTTAGTGTCGTTGACATAAAGACACAAAGAATTATCCCATTATCTACTCCATCAGCTTCGTTAACATGCTATATTCGAGTCATCACATTGCATTCAGTTGCGTCGGCACATAAACTGCAGACTTTGATGAGAACGCAAAACGTCTTTGCGTGTGGTGGTCGCTCGCGCCCAAGTTTGGCCCATTCCTGATCTCTCACAAAAAGTTCCCTTATTTTTTCTCCCTTTTTCAAGATTACCGCTAGGTTCATGGAAAAACAGACACACTTTCGGCGATACACCATTGGTAGTTCCGATCGCGGTATACTGGATCCTGAAAGTCAGCGCGTGGGAAGGAAACGATCTCTTGTTAGAAGAGAACGTTCCGTCCGTTACAAAGAAGGAGGGCAGCTCAAGAGAGCGTCATCACTTCGCTCGCTTGATCCTCTCTCCGACACAAGATCTCTGCGCAGGTCTTCACTCACGCATTCCTTCACAGTGGACACATTGTCGCGACAGAATGTGGATGGACTTCTCCAGGACCTAGAGAAAAAAAACAGGGGTACGCCTTTCGCACCTTCCAGTGATGTTCTGACAGCAGTGGCAGAGGGTTCGGAAGACCATGCCTCAGACGCAATTGCTTACGAGCCTGACCTATCGAGGAACGCGCTACCTCAATTCAAACATTTAGAAAGAGACCCTACAATCACTTCGTACTGGAAAATGTACTGCTATGCCATGACATTTTGGGCTCCGCGGCCGTTACTATGCTTTTTTGGTTTCAAAACCAAGGAGCGACAATATGCTTGGAGAGAGAAAATTGCTCTGATATCCATTATTCTGTGCACTGGCTCCATTATTGCTTTCCTCACCTTTGGCTTTACGAGGACCACTTGCAGTGGCCTACGAACGAGACTTAGACCCTCTGATATTACCACCGGATACTTGGTCGTCAATGGGCGCGCATACGCTTTAGACCGCTCGTCCCACCCAGCAGCAGTGGGCATAGAGGCCGCAAGCAACATTATGTACCCTCCGGTCAGTGCAGGAGGTATGGACGCAACGTTTTTGTTCCAAAACGTTAATGGTAATTGCAAAGGACTGATTGTTCCAAAAAAAAATTGCACCATTCCCCACACAGACACCGAACTGGCATGGTACATGCCATGCAAACTGTTTAACATTGATGGTTCCAGCAAGCCTAATTTCTCTCAAACGCACTACAACGGGTATGCTTGCCACACCTCTGCAAAGTCAAGACAAAGTTTTTACAGACTAGATATTCAAGGGGATGTCTATTATACATGGGATTCCATAACAAGAGGCTCACGAAACCTTGTTGTTTACAAAGGGTATGTTTTGGACATGGGCCTTTTGGATTGGTTACAAAAAGATGACTTGGATTATCCAGAATTATTCGATAAGCTTAAAAATGATCCTACCATGAAAGGACATGACTTATCTTTACTTCTGACGGAGCCACACGAGCGACAGGCTGCCAACTGTTTGATTGAAATATTGAAAGTTGGTGTTGTAGACGTCGACACCATCGGCTGTATCGCTGCTACGATAGTGCTATATGTCTCGCTGGTATTTGTTTTGTCAATTGTGGTTGCAAAATTCATCGTGGCCTGCTATTTCAAATGGTGCGTGGCTAGGAAACAAGGAGCCTCAGTAACCTCTATCAAAAAAGCTACACAACGAGATCGCTCTATCGAAGAGTGGGTCGACGATCCCAACTCTGCCGCTCCTATTTCTACCATTTCAATTAAACGAAGAGACAACTATCATGCAAACGGGATGAGAAGTAAGAACCTAAAACTTTCTTGGGAAAAAGATGTATCAGGGCTTATTGAAGATGATTCGAAGGCTGTCTCAATCCAGGAATATCGCCCTAAATATCTTACGATGACTACTGAGGCCTTCATTCTCACCAGCCGCGCGAAGAGAGGCAGGGTGCAGCCGAAACTGACATTCCACGAGTGCTGGGGCGGGGACTCTTCAACCCAGAAGAGTCCGTTCTTGGGAACCGAAGATAGCGAAATTCACACACTGGGACTTGATTTGGTAGCACCTGATGCTATTTGCCAACCTCCCATCAGCTGGGAACCTTTTGGTTATCCTCTGGTTCATACCATGTGCCTTGTTACGTGCTATTCCGAGGACGAAGAAGGGATAAGGACCACTTTAGACTCTCTAGCTACGACAGACTATCCCAATTCGCACAAGCTCATTGTCGTTATTTGCGATGGAATCATAACTGGAGCAGGGAATGATCGATCAACGCCAGATATCTGTTTAGATCTAATGACTGGTTTTGTTGTTCCGAAAGAAGATGTCAAGCCTTACTCTTACGTGTCGGTTGCCCAAGGTTCGAAACGACACAATATGGCAAAAGTCTACTCTGGATTCTATAAATACTATGACGCAACGGTACCACCCGAAAAACAGCAGAAGAATCCTATTCTACTAGTTGTGAAGTGTGGAACACCTTCAGAAGCAAATAGCGCGAAACCTGGCAACCGTGGAAAGAGAGACTCGCAAATCATACTGATGTCTTTCCTCCAAAAGGTCACTTTCAACGATCGAATGACTGAGCTGGAGTTTGAGATGATGCGGGCGATATGGCAAGTCACCGGACTGATGGCCAATTGGTACGAGATTGTATTGATGGTCGATGCAGATACGCTGGTTTATACTGACTCACTCACCCACATGAATGCAGAAATGGTCAAGAATCCAGACGTCATGGGACTATGCGGAGAGACAAAGATATCGAACAAAGCCCAGTCTTGGGTCACTGCAATCCAGGTTTTTGAATATTATATTTCCCATCATCAATCCAAAGCATTCGAGTCTGTTTTTGGTACTGTGACATGTCTTCCGGGCTGCTTTTGCATGTATCGAATCAAAACACCCAAGGATCTTAACGTATGGGTTCCCATACTGGCAAATTCCGACATTGTCGAGAAGTACTCCGAGAATGTTCTCGACAGTCTCCACAAGAAGAACCTTCTTCTACTGGGTGAAGACAGGTACCTTTCTTCGTTAATGCTTCGCACATTTCCTAGACGAAAACAGGTGTTTGTTCCAAAAGCAGCATGCAAAACTGTTGTTCCAGACAAATTCAGCGTTCTTCTTTCTCAGCGAAGAAGATGGATTAACTCGACGGTTCACAACCTGATGGAGTTGGTGCTCGTGAAAGATCTTTGTGGAACATTTTGTTTCTCAATGAATTTCATCATCGCAGTGGAGCTTGTTGGAACTTTGGTTCTACCTGCTTCCATCACGTTCACGCTTTATATCATCGTGATTTCCCTAGTTACCACACCAACTCCCGTTTTGTCGTTGATCCTTATGGCTATTATCTTTGGATTACCGGGGTTGCTAATCATTGTTACAATTTCGGACTTGACATACATATTGTGGATGTTTGTGTACTTTCTCTCCCTACCCATATGGAATTTTGTGCTCCCTGCTTACGCATTCTGGAAGTTTGATGACTTCAGCTGGGGAGACACGAGAAAACTGCAAGGAGGTGACAAGGGAGTCCATGATAACAAGGATGGTGAATTTGATGGGTCATCGATTGTCCAAATGACATGGAGAGATTACGAGCGCGTAAGACTAGGTTTGGGAGCTAAACACACCATCCCCACAGTTTACAACCCGACCAGCCTACAGAGTACCTTCCAAGAACAAACTCCATCAGATTTGCTGCTGGCTGAAGATTCAACATCGTGTTTGCGAGAAACATCTCGTGATCCGACCACTCAAACTTATTCGTCCTACAAAACCGCGCCTTCGAATTCATGATATATATAATAGAGTGAAATTAGTGATTCCTGCCAAGTTTCAGAGTAAGCTTTTGCATAAGCTGGTTCGTATCTGTTTTCACGGCTATAGCCTGAACAAGAAGAGGAAAAAGAACCATCAACTTATCATAGACTCGATTCGAATCAGGGGAAGTGTCCAATACATTGGTAATGGTCATAAGACCATTAAGGACAATATTTATTTCCGTTTGCTGAATTCTTGGAACTGGTTGCTTGTAAAGAAGCCTTTCGTCGCTTAGGAGTTTGCGAAGAGCAAAAGCACATCGAGAAACGAAGTATGGTAGACATTTTTCGAACAGTGAATTGTTCTCTCGAGGAATCGAGAACTCAATCAAGTCTTGCAAACAAGTCTTGGCAAATCTAAGTCTAGGTAACGTGGAAAGCTCCTCAGTGGAACCATAACCAAGATTTAAATCATAATTGCACAATTTTTGAGCGACCTCTAATGGCGACTTTGAGGTTTCCAGTATTGAATTCTCAATGTAATCCAGGGCGTAAAGAAAAGATGAAGTCCACACCGTGACAACGAATTCCTCAACTTCAAGCTTTGAGGATAAAGGACTTTCAGTATAAAGTGGGACCAAACAGCTCTTCATTTGTTGATAACTCTGCAAATCAAAAGACTCAGATTCCTCATCTTCAGAAGATGAGTAGCTGAAGGATGTTTTGAATGTTTGAATTAGTAACTGGCTCAATTGTGCTTTAACTTCCTTTTTCACTTTGTCCGAGTGTGTCAGCAAGAGAGAGACTTGTGTGCTCAAATTGACAAGGATGTTCATGCTTTCCATCCACAAGAAGTTGCCGTTGCACTGAAACTCTGGATCTTTTGATTTTGATGGTTCTAAGAGCGCTTTGTAAGTTTTAATGATGCAACGGTCGTTCAAAAATGGTGTCAGATCCGGAATGCGCTCCAAATGCTGTTTCAAAAGCTGCAATGCTTCGTGGCTGGCGGCTATGAATGTGGGTATTTTAGAAACCCTTGCTGCTAGTTTTTTCTGAATCAGATCCCTTGTTGAAAAAGGAAGAATGACTATTAGGTTTAGTTGCTGGATAAGCAGCGATTCATACTTGTCATCGTCAAATGATATCCCAGCAAGTGTATCTATGACCTGTTTTTGGAGTTCTGTGCATTTGTGATTGTCTTTCTGTGTTCCCGTCAAAATCGGGTATCTGATACAAGAGTTGAGCAATGCCAGAATATGCTCAAACTTTGCTAGAGTAAGCACCGGTTTGAGAACTTTGAATAGATCAGAAAATGACGCGATGAATGCCGATAACGAGGTCTGATAGAGCGAATCATCTGACAAGTTGTAAGAAATCTGGAAACCAGCCCAGAACTCGTACAAAATTTCTACTAGCTCTTCTGGCGGCTGAGATTCAAAACTTGTCACTATGTGAGAGAAGGCCTTGAATACTTGTAGATTGAGTTCAGTCCAGTTCGAGTCAACATTGATCATTTTGGAGAAAAAACTGAACAATCCTCTCCAAAATGATATACTTGACTCACTCCTGTAATCAAAGTATTGGCTGAAAAGTTTGCTTAAGCCATTCACAATTAGTGTGAAACTTTCTATCCATTCAGCGGGCAATTCTTCCTTTGGTTCAATTGACATGATGACCGGGCTCAATGTAATATCATATATCAATTTCCAGGAAGGAGAAAGTGGCCCGTACGAGTCGATGACGTTGAAGAAAGTCTGGATTGAACCATTTCTGACTTGCGTTCGAGGATCTGAGATAGATTTGGACAACTGCAAGATGAGGTAGAGCCACAGCCCTTTGTATTTATCGACATCAGGAGCTTGCGCGAGAGAGTCAAAATCGATGAACTTTCGCAGCGTTTCTTGGGAATCAATAATGATCTCAACGGCCGAAAAATTGACCTCATCGGATTCCATTTTCTCTTTTAAATGATCACTGATAAGCCAGAAATAACTAATGGAATTGAAGGAAATGTTGAGGTCAAATTTCTGAGTCACAAAGTTGTAAAGACAATCAATAATAACTTTTATCTGGTTTGCGGCAATGCTTTGCAACACTGTATCCAAAATAACCTTCAAAGTCTCGAATGTCGAGCGAAGAACGGATGTGATTATATCGCCCACTGCTTTCTCTTTTAACATAGCATCATCCATGTGCCCTATTATTTCGAACGGACTGTTGAGCATCTGAGTCACTAGGTTCCAGTGGTGTGATATTAGCATTCCATATTGTTCAACCATGTCTTTCAAAGTATTCAAAGTGAGCAACTGAACTTCCACCTCACAGTTCGTCACTAAGATTTCTTTAGAAATTGGTAAGTTGGCAAAACTGTCGACGAAGTCATTCAATGCATTGAGGATTTTATTTTCGGTCTCATTTCTGATAGCTTCTGAGTCGGAATTAAACCCTGCAACGGCGACATTTTTAACAATGGTATTGAAATTTTGAGCAACCAGTATGCGAAGAGAGTCTTCTAATGATCTGTCTTTTGCTGTTGAAATGCTGAACTCATTGATACATTGCCAGTTCTGATTTGATTCGACAAGAAACTTGATGGGATCTATTTCGCAAACTTCGGTGAGCTTGCTGATAAAAAAACTTTTGTTTAGAATAGAGGGCTCAAGTTCTCCTTCATCCACCGGTTTGGTACCCTTTCGATCTTCATTTGACAGCGATGAGCTTAGAACCATAGATGACAAACGCATCAAAGATCTGAGTATCGAATAAAAAACTTCTTTCGATTGGGAATTTAAGCTTTCTCGGAGCTTTTTCAGTGAGGACTCCACATGGGCAAGGTCTTGATCGGTAAGTAAAGTGGGCATTGGCGGGATTTCCTTTATATTGACGTCTGAGGGCCCGTCAATATAGTAACTGACCCACTGAAGGGTAATGAAGATGATGTCCCAATTGTCATCGAGAACCGCACCCAAAGATGTTGCCAAACTCAGAAGAACCCGCAAACACATAATCTGACGTGAGTTTATGTTTCGGCTGTACAACTGCATGGATTCTGTCTCAGAAGAGGCATTTGCCATATTTGAAACGGCGTTTCCAATAGTGGAACTGATAGTTCCAACTATAGATTCACCGAATGACAGAAATTTGTTTTGGCGTCCTTCTCTGCCCGTTAACTTGAGAGTGGAGATCGCGAAGAATTTGAGGATTTCGTTCCTTGTTTCTTTCAACGACAAGATACCTGACGCATGGCACAGTTTTTGCAAGGATCGGACAATCTTGGAGAAAAGATCAGAATCTATCGTCGAATACATGAAAATCTTGTGCAACTCTAACAAGTCCTTTGAGTTGGAAAGTATCATGGCACTCAAGCTGGAATATTGCTGTTGACTCGATTTGTCGGAAAATGTTGTCTCATTCAAAAAGGAAACATTCTTTCCATCGGATGCCAAATCAAGAGTAGCTTTGCAAATACCTTCGCAAAAGCTTGTGATTATCTGACAAACCAAATAGCAAGAGTAGGTTTCTGGTACATGTGGAGGGTCGGCTTTATCCAGTGACTCAATGTAAGAAAACTTGATCGCAGATTTGGCGACAGATAGACCAACTTTTTCCTCTTCTGCCTGACGAATAGTGGCAGGCGCTGAGCTGGACGTTGATTTCTTCAATTTGGAAGAATTGGCCTGGTGGACAGGGTCAGATTTCATGGTAGAGCTAGGAGGAGCCTGAATCAGATCACTGGTGTTAAGCATCTGTTTGTAGTCGTTTACAATCTCAAGACAAGCTTTGAATAAATCAGCAAACACCTTTTTTCGCTCTTCTTCTTGGTTGTTATCGTACTCGGAGAATATTTTGCCTACTAGCTCGAAATTCTTGAATATAGCACGGTATATTTCGAGAGACAAAATGCGCTTCCAAGCAGGCGTGGCAGATTCTTTCGTTAGTGTGTGATTTAAAAGCGAAAGGGTGACTTCGGACTCGATTTTGAGGACTTCAAATTGTTCTTGAATTAAAAGCGAGATCAAGCGCGACACGCGGACCATTACGGTAAAGTCTTTGCTTGACGACAGGAAACGCAGCAATATTGGGGCCACTCGGAGTCTTAGTAAATGAGCAAGTTCCTCATGCTCCAAAAACGTTTGCCGATTGTTCTTGACTATGCTTTCTAGTAACTCGAAGCCGAAATCCTCGGTAATATAGTTTGTTTTTAGGAATGCCGGTTTGTGGTGCTCGATTAGAGTGCAAAGGTCGTTGACGATGCGTTGTGCATCGTACGCACAAGCACCAATTTTCTTCGTTTCTTGAGGACTTATTGGGACGTCATATAAAGCTTCCGACCTTCCCTTCTGATCTTCATCGTGAACCTTCTCAAACACTAAATTTACTAATTGTAGAAACGTGGCTTGCGCGGTATTGACAACGGCACCCATCCGATTAGTACTTTGCAACGACGAACATACTAACAGCAACTTCGAAAGCGATTCGTCACTGATGAACATCGAATACGCTTGGAAGAAGGAGGGCAGCAATTGCAGGATCTTGAGCTGTATATCTATCGCGGAATGAGTGGATTCCAATAAAGCGTCGATTATCAAATCCACCTTCGTTGCAGGTAAGCTATGTGTTGGGATTAGTCTGCCGAAACATTGAAGCGCGATTGCCGTGAGTTTTGCATTTTTGGATTGGCAGGCAAGAAGGAAAGGGTTAATGAAGTCTGGATTTTGGGAGAGTGATTTCAAAAACGCTCTTTCGTCTTTTCCCTGTCCAGATTTGAGAGTGTCAAGCGACTTATCAGCCGCGTGGCGAATGTCAGTGTTCTTCCGTTTGGTTTCTGCCACCAATGCAGCCAAATCGGCGCTCAGCAGCTGAATTGACATAACTATGGTAGTGAACAAGTAAATAAGAGGAAAAAATAAATAAAAAATATTTTGTACTGAAAAGTCTATGTATCGTCGAGCCCTTATGGACGGGATCTTCGCAATAAATAAACCTTCAGGAGTCACCTCCAGCAACTTCCTTACGCGTGTGAACAAGATATTCAATGAGTCTGAAGTTTTCAAGCCCGCCCTTGATGAAATCAAGAAAGAGCTCTATAGAACTCAACCTAAGGGTTATAAGAAGAAGCTTCGCCAACTTAAAGTGAAAATGGGCCACGGTGGCACTTTGGACCCTCTAGCGTCCGGAGTATTGATTGTTGGTGTTGGATCCGGTACCAAGAAGCTGGGAGGCTATTTGAATGGCTCTGTCAAAGTTTATGAAGCGGAAGCACTCTTTGGCGGGTCGACAACGACTGGAGACTCCGAAGGACAATTGTTGACAATTAGCGGAGTAGACCACATCACAAGGGAGAAAGTCGAAATGTTGAAGAAGATGTTTGTTGGTCATTTGCAGCAGACTCCGCCAATTTTTAGTGCACTAAAGATGGAAGGAATGCCACTCTATGAATATGCTAGACGAGGTTTACCTCTTCCCCGCAAGATCGAGCCAAGAGAAGTTCAGGTGTTTGAGCTTGATTTCAAGGATGACTGTCTCAGCACAGATCACCCGTATGAGTTTCTCAAGAGCGAGGTGGATGAAGATGGAACGGCACTCGTTGACAAGCTCAGCGGAAATCCAACGCTGAACGACCATAAGGTGTCCTTCTCAAAAGAGTACATGGAACTATGTGACCAGGATGAATCATTGAGTCGCGAATGCGAGCCGCTGAGAATTGTGAAGGAGCTTCCCGATGGATTCAAAGCACCACTGCTCCATTTTACATCTAAGGTTTCCTCGGGAACATATATACGGTCTTTGATCAGTGACATGGGACGTGCTCTTGGCTCATCGGCATACATGGTGAAGCTTATTCGCCGGAATCAAGCTGAATGGGACTTGGAGAAAAACGTCTTCGATATAGAGGATTTTGAGCAAGATGCAAAAATTTGGGGGCCCGTGCTAGTGAAAGTGTTCAGAGAGGGGGCCTCTGTAAATGTGAAGGAAGAACTTGCGGCCTCAGGCATGGATGAAAATACCCAAGGGCACGAACAAGAGTCCAAACGTGCCAAAACGGAAGATTAGGTCAGACCAAGACGACTAGACACAGTATTAATAGAAACCAAGGGACTTGAATAAGTCTGGAGGCTGCACTGGTGTATTGGAACGTGAAAGAGTTGCATGCAAGGTAGGCGTCGCCGTCATCAAGGTAATTATCGTCCCCATAGCTCTTTTTGCTCAACGCTGTTGTTGAAGGGCATCTGAATCCAAAATCAGGCGGACAATCTCGAACAATCGCTTGGCAGATATTAAGACAAGGAAGCACCTCGTAGTAGTTCAGAGGAGGCTGGATGGTCTGGGCGATAAACTCCGTTCTTCCTTCTGATTTGTTGTACGGCTTGTACAACGGCGCATCTAGCGTAGAACATCTCGGAATGGTCACTGCACACAACCACTGCCGATATGAGTGCCTGCAATCGTCGCAGGTCACAATAGGTGAGTACCTTGAGTCTAGTTCAGCGTCGCAGGGTATTTGTTGCAGGGCATAGTCGAAGTTCACGTACAGAGACGCGGAATAGTTGTCATATAAGGCTGCAAGCTCCTCCACCGTCTGAGTTCCGTTAACCAGTGCGGCAGATGCAGGAACTGCGTATGCCACATCCGTACAGAATTCCAGGTTGTGTATGATCTTGCACGCTTGCGAGTCGCGCAAAGTGAAGTTAAAGCGTTGGTGAATAAGAGTCACGTCACTTCCAAGGAGCTGTTCTGCGAAAGTTGCGAAATAGGTGCTGTTGCTCTGTAGTCCCGTGATTTGAATGAGATTGCGGTCCCCCACGACCGTGCTGTTACTGATCAGCCGTGTCAACACCTCGCTGGTGAAATTTGCATCGCTGTACAAGGAGAGCACAAACTCGGTATGTGGATTGGACCACAAATCAGCGCCACTCAATAAAACGCTCTCGTTGTCCACATCGACCACAGAAATAAGGTTTTCTCCAGTGTAGTTGAAGTAGATCGATCCGGTAGATATTTCCATCGTGTAGGTCCAAACCTCATTATCCTTGCACTGGGCGCAGCCACTAGACATCAGCCGCACAAACAGCAGCGACTGCGTATTGACCTGGGTCTCGTTCAGCGTGAGAACAGCCTCAGACTTGTTGAACTCGACCCTCGTGGTATTCTCGATATCAGTCAGATCATAGTCAAAGTCATAATAGAGCACCAGCCCCTCGCGACTGTTCTGCCAAGACGGTGGCCTAGAGCCGATGGATATTTTTAGTGTAACGTTGCTAGTGTCAACCTTCGCATCCAACGCAAAAGCGTAGGTCTGCGACTGATTAAAGCCAATTGATGAAGAAACGGAGTGCAGTCCATAGAATTCCTGTGTCGGTAGACTTCGCTCCACGCTACTCTCAAGTAGGCTGTCCGGTGTGAACTGTCCGGGAATGTCCATCTGGTACGGCGAAACATCAAGTCCCTGGGCAGAGACCACCGCGCACAGAAGCACCAGATATATTAAAAACATGAAGAATTAATTCAGTCTTACATAATCAATTTAGATTCAAGGAGTTTCTCGACAGCAGAGATGGCCTTGTCAATTTGGGCAGCCTCGGTTCCCATACCTTGGCAAACGTTACCCTTGCCTCCGGCTTTTCCACCAATGTAAGAGGCCGCAACATTTGCAACCTCACTTGCCTGCACTTTACCCAGGTGCTCATCGCTGATGTACACTCCCTGAGCAACACGAGCATCGTCCTTCTGGCCAGTAATCAAGAACAACGACTTTTCCTTGTTCTCCTTCTTGATCATGTTGATAGTCTCTGTAATTATCTTTGCATTTGCAGAAATGTCAATGTGTTTCACAAGGAACGGAGCGTCCTCGTGCTCTGAAAAGAATTTTTTCACAGCGTCGAGAGTTCTCTTTGTGTCTGCCTTCTGTCTGGCCTTCACCTCGTCTTTCACGGCCTTGTCTATCTTGGCAAACTTGTCCTTCAGCTGAGCCTTCTGCAAAACGCTTATAGAAAGCTGGCCAAGCTTGGTGCTGGTCTCCTTGAGTTTCTTCTCCTTAGCCTCGCCAAACGGCATTTGCTCAATGGCATCCAGCTTCTCATCAAACTCCTTGGCGATACGCTGAACCTCGTGGGCTTCAGTGCCAGTCACAGCGACGATACGTCTGATACCTTTAGCAATTCCACTTTCCTCAACAATCACAAACTCCTTGATGTCCGAGGTCTTGGCAACGTGGGTTCCACCGCAGAACTCAACGGAATAGTCATACCACTCCTTGTTATCTGGCTTTGCCAATAGCTCCTCCACCGGAATACCAATAGAGACAACTCTAACAGGGTCTGGATAAGTCTCTCCGAACACTGCTCTGAGACCGTAAATCTTCTTGGCGACATCCAAAGACACTGGTTTTGAATAAACAGGCATGCTGTCTTTGATGATCTTGTTACAGATGGTCTCAATCTTTTCCAATTGTTCTAGTGTAACTGCTGCCTTATTGGAGAAGTCAAAACGCAGCTTCTCCGCAGCAACGAGAGAACCCTTTTGGTCGACACCGTCACCCAGAATCTCTCTCAGAGCCAAATTTAAAATGTGAGTACCCGTGTGGTTGTTTCTGATTGGCCATCTTCTGAGTTCGTCGTATCCTGCAATCACTTGGTCGCCGACGGAAAATTTCCCCTCAACAACATGACCGGTGTGAAGAACGTATCCAGCGTAAGTCTGCACATTTTCGACCTCAAACTCAGCAACACCATCAATGACAATCTTACCGGTGTCATATTCCTGACCTCCCTGTTCGGCATAGAATGGCGTCTTTTCCAGCAAGACACCAAGCTGTTGACCAGATTCTGTACCCTCGGTAGAACCGAGAAGCTCCTTTCCGTTGTAAATACCAACAATCTTGGTCTTGATGTCCTGGTTTCCATATTTGTAGCTGTCGTCGGTCACAGGAATATCCTTATTGCTGTCCAACGCACCAAGAATATGGACATCAAGCTTCAGCAAGGTCTTACCAGACTTGCTTCCACCAGCCTTGGAAGCTTCTAAAGAAGCCAGTCTAGCTTTCTCAAATCCTTCCTCATCAATATTCAATCCGGCCTCTTCCGCCATCAGTCTCGTCAAATCAACAGGGAAACCATAGGTATCATATAATCTCCAAACGTCCCTTCCAGCCAGTGTCTGTTCAGGTGTCTTGGAAGCAATGATGGCATACTGTTCAAACAATTTCTCCCCACGGTCAAGAGTACGTGCAAAAGAGGCTTCTTCCTCATCAAGAATTTCGAAAATGGTATCCGTATTGGTGGCCACTTCCGGGAAGATATCCTTGACCTGTTCAATTAACGTTGGTGCTAATTGAGAGAAAAACTTGCCAATAGGGTAGTTCATATATTTTCTCACGTATCTCGCACCTCTTCTTAGGATTCTTCTAAGAACGTAACCTCTTCCTTCGTTGTTCGGAACACCTCCATCAGCGAGAGCGAAAGTTAAGGTACGCACGTGGTCTGCCAGGACTCTGTAAGCGGTATCAATACCGTCGAGGTCATCCTTACCAAACTTTCCAGAGTATGGTCTGACGCCGGTGATCTCTTGGATCTTGGAGAAGAGAGGCTGGAACACGTCAGTGTCATAATTCGATCTCACATTCTGCAAAACGGAAACAAGCCTCTCAAATCCCATACCGGTATCAACGTGCTTGGCTGGCAAGGGCTTCAATGATCCATCTGGCTCTCTGTTAAACTGAATGAACACATTGTTCCAAATCTCCAAAACGTCCGGATCGTCCTGATTGACAAGCAATGCGGCGTTTCTACCACCAATGCGATCGTAGTGGATCTCAGAACATGGTCCGCAAGGACCTTGGTCGCCCATTTCCCAGAAATTGTCCTTGGCATTTCCCGGGAGAATGTGGTCATCTGCAACACCGACATCCTTCCAATACTGCTTGGCTTCCAAATCTGGGTCCAAACCATTGGCTGCATCGCCCTCAAAATATGTCACGTAAAGTCTGTCTTCCTCAAGACCGTACACCTTGGTGAGGAGATCCCATGAGTATTCAATGGCTTCCTTCTTGAAGTAGTCGCCAAACGACCAGTTTCCCAACATTTCGAAGAACGTGTGGTGGTAGGAGTCTCTTCCGACATCTTCAAGGTCGTTGTGTTTTCCACCAGCTCTGATACACTTCTGCGAATTCACGGCCCTCTTCAGAGTGGCAAAGGAGGAAGAAGGATCCACAGTACCCAGAAAGATAGGCTTATATTGATTCATACCAGCATTTGCGAATAATAGAGTAGGATCATCATGCGGAATCACAGACGAAGAGGGAACAAAGGTGTGACCTCTATCTTTGAAGTAGTCTAGAAACGTATTTCTGACCTTAGTGGCTGTCCATTGTTGCGACATCTTGCGTATTTGCTGTGTTGCTCTAGATTTCAGTGTATGACGCTGGAAAGAGCAAATGTTCATACACTTTGGATGAAACAAAAGACAAGATAAACTTTGCCGTCGATGCTGAAATAAAAATCTTTTGATATGCTTTAAGCCTGTCGGCGCGACGGTTTTTTCTTTTCTGAGTCATGGTTCGTCTAAAGTCCCGGTATATCTTATTCGAGATCCTCCATCCAGAACCTGCAGAGCTTTTCTACAGAAGTCGCAAAGATGCGATACTTGCCCTCCACCGCCCCTGCGACGCCAAAATCACGCCCAAGCTGCTCGTTCAGGAAATAAAAACGGCTCTTCAGAATAATTTTGGAGACTACGGTCTCTCAATGGCCGTTTCGCTATCAATAAAGTACTTCTCAAATCGCACAAGCACGGGAATAATGCGAGTACACAGGGAAAATGTGCGGTTCATTGTTGCTGCTCTCACTTTTATTCGTCAGCTGCGCGGACAAGATGTGATCATCAAATGCTCAGCTATAAGCGGCTCGATCAAAAAATGCGAGGATAAAGCGATCGAGCTCTCCAAACAGCTTATGGTAGACGTTGGTTTACTCGAGTTATTCGAAGAAGACGACGAAAAATAAGATATATTTACTCTCTGGATTTGATGATGTCAACAAATTCTGGCTTCAAAGAAGCACCTCCAACCAAGAAGCCATCGACATCCTCCTTGCCTCTGAAGTCCTTGGCGTTCTTGCCACTCACAGAACCTCCGTACAAGATTCTAACAGACTCGGCCTGGGAGCCAATCGCGGTACTCAGGAACTTTCTGATGTCCTTGTGGATTTCCTGTGCATCGTCAGCAGTAGCGGCCAGACCCGTTCCGATGGCCCAAACTGGCTCGTAGGCGATCACAATGTTGGTCCAGTCGGACACGACATCAAGCACGGCTTGCAGCTGTCTCTTACACACATCCACAGTTTTGCCAGCTTTCTTCTCCTCAAGAGTCTCTCCAATACACAAAATCACCTTGAGACCAGAGTCCAAAGCAAATTTAGTTTTGGAAGCAATCAACTCGTCAGACTCCTTGAAGATGATTCTTCTTTCCGAGTGACCCAAAATCACCCATGGGATGCCCAAATCCTTGAGAGCCACAGCAGAAACCTCTCCGGTGTAGGCACCCGAAGCCTTGTCGTAACAGTTCTGGGCCGCCACCTCCACGGTAGGTTGTTTGTTGTGCTCAGAGGCCCAGAAAAGGTACGGTGCCGGAGGAGCAATCACGACCTGGACATTGGAAGGAAGGGAGGCAGAATTGAGGTTCTGGACGATCGACTGAATCGATTCCTTTGAACCGTTCATTTTAAAGTTGCCACCAACAAAGAATTGTCTAGCCTGTGGTGAAGAGTTAGTTTCTGAATATCGGGAGCGGTCAGCAGGTCTCAAATGGCCAGAGATCGCATGGACCAGATTTAATGCGGAACGTACCATTTTGAAAATATGTGTTTAACTTTTAATTGACAGCAGCTGGGAAATCCTCTCAGTTTTTATATCACGTTTTCTAGAGCTGCGTGCTGAACCACTCCGATACTTAATTTTCTGGGGCAAGGGTTTTCTAAACTTAATCAGGTGTTGCGGCTGTTGCGGCTGGCCGATCGGGACAACTAGCTCCGCGTATTGCAAAGTTTTCGGTTCAAGACTTTAAAGTAGTGCCTGCTGTGGTATTTATACAGCGATGATGTTGGCGCCCCGCTATCGGCTAAAGAGCGGGTCGTAGCCTAGACCGTCAGAATTTGCTATTTAATTTTTCGTATCACACTTTATTCTTGCAGCTTTGATCTTCGTGGTCGTCGTCCGCGTCCTGACAGTCGCGTTTCAACTTATCGAACAAGTCCTTCATTTTCAGCGATTTCTGCACCTGCTCGTTCTTCGCTCGCGCCTCCGCGTCGGCCACCTGTCTTACCTCGTCGTCCGTGAGAGGCACTGAGCTGTTGAACGTAAACTCTCTCCCGGCATCTCTCTTGACTTGTTCCTCTCTTTTTGTCTGTTCAAGCTCTGACCATGTACTCAAATGCGTGCGGAGGACGTAACGCTGCGTGGTCTGATCTTTTTCCATCACTATCCAGCGACAGTTGGGCACGTTTTGCAGATCTTCGAACTTCTCTACGCTCCATCTGAACCATTTCGTCAGAAAGACGCGTGCCCATATCCCATGGGTCACGAGGACCAACACAGAAGGGAAACTTTCTTTGCTGAATTGTCGAAAGAGCGTCTCGTTGAAAGAAGCACACCGGTCGTAGACGTCTGCCGCACTCTCCCCGTACGGTATGCGGTAAAAGAAATGTCCGTACTGAGCCCTTTCGATCCAGATCTGCTCCATCTCCTCTCCGGTACCCTGGAAATTGCCAAAATCCTGTTCCCGCATCCTCGGTTCCTCGTAGGTTTTATATGGAATATTTGTATCTGAAATCGCCTCCACAATTTCCTCAAGTGTCTGACGAGCTCGCAAGTATGGCGAGGTGTAGAAGCATATCGAGTCATCCGGGTTCAGAAACTCTTTCAGTTGTTTCCCCGCCATGGCTGCCTGCTCGTGTCCCTTTTCGGTCAAGGGCACTTTGTGGTTGGCTATGTATCTGTTCACCGACTTGTCCTTATTTCCCTGTGACTCTCCGTGTCGCACAAGCAGAATAAGCTAACTAGTTAGCGGCGTCTGAGATATACTTACTCTTGGCCTGCCCATTATTATCGCAAAATTATTTACTGAGTAAAAATTGTGTTCCTGTAGTTTAGGCATATTGATCGACGGCCCTAAAGGCATTTCTCATGTTGCAGAATTCATGAGCCCCCGAAGAGTCAGCCTTGCATTCTGGCAGGTCTACTTGCCGAGTCATAATATAGCCGAATTCCGTTGCTTTCCACCGTTACTAACTTTCGAGCAACTTTAGTTTTACCCATCCTTACTTGCTTCCATACAGTTTCGCAAGCTTCAGTCCCATTGCGATGTTCTGTAGACGAGCATCGAGCTTGTACCCCTGCTTGCCCAATTCCTCCAGACTCTCGTAAAAGGTAGCCAATGGAAGAGTGAAGATCTCGATGAACTCGTTCTCCTCCAGCTCGGGTTGCGGATTCTGGTTGCGTGGGTCTGCCATGTCGATACTCGCGGTCACAATCACTGTGTTGGTGTTGCAAAAGCCCGGATCGTTGAAAACGAGCGGCCCAGTAGTCAGCACCTTGCCAACATAACCGGTCTCCTCTTTAAGCTCTCTCATAGCACATTCTTGTAAAGACTCGTTAGGGTCGACCAGTCCGGCAGGCATCTCAATGCACACGCCCTCGACAGGCGGACGGAACTGCTTCTGCAAGACGACCTCGGGCCCTGAGTCTTTCTCAATGATAGCAATGATACCGACACCGTCCACAGAGGTGCCCTTGGGGCGGGTTCTGCGAGAAGCCATCTCCCACTGGCGAGCCTTGCCATCAGGAGACAGATAATCGATCCTGCTGAGCTGAAGCCACTTAGCGTCCTCGTTGGCCATTGGCCGGACATTCGTGACCTTGGCGGCGTTCAAATTCGAAGAGTTGCTCATCCTCCGTAAAAGTAGGGTACTGAATCTTCTAAACATACACCACACACCAAAATATTTTCACCACTTACTTAAATATATGTCAAGCCAAGATATAAAGGCGCGCTTGGAACAGGAGCTCATAGCGTCGGGCAAATACCAGGACATTTACAACTTTCTGAAAATCCAACTCGCAAACTCTGGCTGGACTGAGAAGTTTGCGGAGCTCGCGTCCGAAACGATAGCAAAAATGCCCGAGTCCCAAGATCTACGATTTGTGGAACTCGTGGATAAACTACAGCCACAGGCACTCAGCATGGTGCCCGACGACGTGAAAGCGCAGACCCTTGCCAAAATCAAAGAGTTTTTGGACTCAGTTATAGAATGACATAATCGCCTATAGATAATGATAACACTATTTCAGTTACTCTGTTGCGTCGGCCGGAGTCTCAGGCTTGATGTTTTCCATAACCGGCTGCGGCAGGTGTGTTTCGTCTCTAGCCTCCTTTGGCTCCTCACTACTCTGCTCCGCATCGGCAGGCTTGCTGGCCCTCTCCTCCGCCTTTTCCTCGTGCTCGTCGTTCTCGTCGTTCTCGTCTTTTTCGTCTTCGTCGTCGTAGTCGTCTTCCTCCTCAATCTTCCGCACAGGAGCTTCGCTTGAGACAGCCCGCTGCACCTCCTGCTCCTTAACTTCTTCTGACGACTCCTTCAGCTCGTCCACCTCTTCCTTTTCCATGGGCTTCAGTTCGATCGTAGGCTCCTCTGCCTTTGCGTGCTCGACGGACTCGGCAGATTGAGCGGGTGGAGCATGTTGGGCGGGCTGAGCAGGCTCTGAGAGATCTCTCGGAGTGGCCGAAGCGGGCGACTCGGTAGCGTCAACAGGCTCGGCGGACTCCAGCTTTTTCTGTTTCTTGTGCGGCTCCTCTGGTGGCTCCAATGCTTCTCGCTTGACACCGTTACTCTTTTCTGGTTCGGGTGTGGTTTCTCTCCCGGCTGCCTTCGCGTTCGCGATGCCTGAGTGCTGGCCAACTTTGAGCTGCGCCGGTGGAGGGCCTGCAGCCTGCTGCTGTTCCTGTTGTTGCTGTTGCTGTTGTTGCTGGAGGACCTGTTGTTGCGTAGGCATGGTCAATTGGTGGTGGCTTTGGGGAGGCGGAGGTGGCGCACCGCCCTCTTTCTGGTACTTGGTGAGCTGCATGAGTCTTTCTTGGATGTGGGGGTTGCTTGGATCGAGAGACGCAGCACGGTGGTATGCGTCGAGAGCATCCCCGATCTGGTTGTTGCACGTCTCATACAACGTGCCAAGATCGTACCAGACTTCGGACAGATACGGATTGAGACGGATGGCCCTGGTGTAGGCATCCAGCGCGTCTTTGTACTGACTGATCTTGTAGTACAGAACACCGATAGAGCACCAGAACGTTGGGTTTCTCGAGTCGATGTTGACGGCATGTTGGAAGGCCTCGTAAGCGTTCGGATAGTCCTGCTTGGACATGTAAACACGGCCAAGGTAGTACCAGGAGTGGGCATCTGCGTTGTTGAGTTCAATCGACTGTCTCAGCAGCTGCTGAGCCACGTCGAAGTCGTGGAATGGAGCCTCCTGCTGCGAGTACAGACATCCCAATTGCTGCAAAACTTTAGAGTGATTAGGGTTGCTTTGCAACACGCGCTCGTACGCCTCCTTGGCACCGTTGTAGTCTCTGTTCTGCTCTAGAACAGACCCTATCTGGAACCAAACATCCGTCTGGGTCAGAGGAGCCGGAGGCATGGACAGTATATAATTAAAGCACTCTAGGGCTTTGGACAGCTTGCCCTGAAGTTTGTAGATGATTCCAAGCCGGAAGTAAATCTCGTTGGCCTTGTCGAACTGGGGGTCCATTTCTAAAACTCGGACAAACGCCTCCTCTGCATACTCCAAAGAGCCGTATCTGTCGTACAGAATACCAATTCCGTGCCATAGCTTTGGAACGCTCAGGTTCTGCAGATTGAGAAGCGCCTGCTGATAGGCGGTGTAGGCAGATTGCAGGTCGTCCAGCATCAGGTAACAGTGTCCGAGAAGACCCCAGGTTTCACCGTTGTTCTGGTCGAGAGACAAGGCTCTGCGGTACAGATCTGCGGCCTCTGCAAAAGCGTCCCTGGTTCTGTAAACGTTGGCCAGCTGCGTCAAAGCCTTGGGGTTATTTGGCGTGTACCGCAATGCAGTGGAGAAGGCCTCGACGGCTTTCTCGACGTTGCCGATGGTATCTGCGCAGGTGCCGATTGCGATCCAAGTCTCTGCATTTTCTTGCGCGAAACGGGCTTCCAACGACGAAACCTCTTGAGGGCCCAGCGAGACAGGATTGCCATTCATTTGTTGTGCAATTAGTTGCTGGTCCATGTCGGAAAAAATATAATTACAATTGTTATTTTTTTTTTCAATGTTCATCCCAACTTAAAAATACTATTTCCACCGCCAGCGATACATTTTAGCCAAATCCTGCTTAGGCAACTTTGGTATGTATTGTGCCATTATTGTATGTTAATTGTTCTTCAATAGGAAATATGCACATCAGGTGGCGCTCGGAGATTCTATGTAGTAGAATAATAAAAAAACCCAGGAACAATAGTACAATAGCCTCAACACCAAGCCACCGGGATTCCTTGTTATTTCACATGTTTCTAATTTACACTATTTCAGGGTCTTAATAAATGAGTCCAAGTTGTACTCTTCTTCGTACTGCTTTTCGTCCCAGAGTTCGGCAAGCTCGTTAACGGCGCTGCCGGCCTTTCCTGACAAACCAACTTCGTTCGGAACGTCCAGAGAGTCGAGCTTATTAGACACGGGTTCGGATTTCTCCTTCTCCCGTTGCTTCATCTCCGTGTCCGCGTCGGGATCCGAATCAAACAGGTCTAGCAGTTGGTTCGTGTCCATTGACGCGAGCCCAGAGTTTTGCTGGTTGATAATCGTAGAAGCAATATTCATTTTGAACTTTTGGAGTCCCATGATTGTTTCTTCCAGAGTGTCCTTGGTGATCAACCGATACACGTTCACCACCTTCTTTTGTCCCAGTCTGTGCGCACGATCCATGGCTTGCAGATCGTTCATCGGATTCCAGTCATGCTCAACAAAAATCACGGTATCTGCTCCGGTCAAGTTGAGACCCAGACCTCCAACCTTGGTGGTTAGGAGAAGAACATCGATCGAGGGATCGTTGTTGAACTTGCGAACGACATCCTGCCGCTTTCGAGGCTCCGTAGACCCGTCTAGTCGAAGGTAAGTGACGCCGGGCATGTGTTTCTTTAAGAGATCGTTTTCAACCATGTCCAACATATCCTTCATTTGGCAGAAGATGAGTGCTCGGTGCTGGGAAATGACGTTTTCCGCGGGAATGAGACCCTTTTGGCCGTCGTCGGTGCCAATACCACACTCAAGAAGCAGATTCTTCAGCGACATCAGCTTTGGTGAGTGCTCAATATCCCTGATATCCATATCGTACGTCTTGAGATACTTCATGACATCGTTGTATTGTGGGTGTTTCGGAGTCAAAACTAGGGCAGCATGATTACAAAGTTTTCGCATATATTGCAGAGCCTGGAAAATGTGTTGCTTACTCTGGCTCTCGTCGGACGCATGAAGATCTTTTTCGACGTTCGTCTTTTGCTTCTTGATGAAATCTTTGTACAGTTGTTTTTGCAAGCTGGATAGCTCGCAATAATAGTCTTGGATGATTTTCGGAGGCAGGTCAGAAAGAACGTCCTCCTTCAGGCGCCGTAACATAAATGGTAGCACCTGTTTGTGCAAAGCTTCCAACGCCAGAGCGCCTGCCTCTTGCTCTTTGGGGCCCTTGTTGGTTCGAGAAAGAGCAATTGGCTTGGCAAACCTCTCCTGGAACATTTTCTCGGTGCCGAGGAATCCTGGCATCAAGAAGTCAAACAACGACCACAGCTCAAGGACGTTGTTTTGAATTGGAGTTCCCGAAAGTACCAACCGATGCTCTGCACGGATACGCTTCACCGACTGTGTCAATTTCGTGCTGGCGTTCTTGATAATGTGGCCCTCATCAAGGACACAGTAATTGTAGTCGATGGAGCTGACAAATTCAACGTCATTACGAACCACATCATAAGAAGTCACCACGACATCTGCTCCGGCTAGCTGCGACCGAATAGAGGCTCTCAAGGAAGGCGAACCAGCGTAGACAACAACGTTTAAAAACGGAGCGTATTGCTCAAATTCCTGTTCCCAGTGACCTGTGAGGGATGGAGGGCATATGATCAAGCTTGGAAGCTTACGCGTTTCCATGGAGTGTGTTTTTTTATGCTCTTCTGCGCGAAGATGGTGGTCACTGGCCACTATGCAAATTGTCTGTAAAGTCTTTCCGAGCCCCATATCATCACACAGAATACCATGAAGATGGTACTTATTCAAAAATGCAAGCCAGTTAACGCCCTCTTGCTGGTACTTCCGTAACGTTGCTCTGATGGAGACAGGGAGCTCAAAAGGTTTGGTCTTTGTAGGATCCATCATTTGCTGTATAAATTCGCGCTCTTTGTCTCTTCCACCAAGCAGCTCCTCTGGCATATCTGGAGGATCAGGAATTCCTGCCTCCAAAGGTATCAGTTTAATAATTGATGCAAAAGTTGTGGTGCTGAGTAGTCTCACATCATGGTTTGCGTCACTCATCCTGCCCAGCACAGGAATAAGCAAGAAGACCACATAAGGCAAGATGTCAGACCCCATGACAATCGACAGTCTGTAGATACATTCAATGGCCCCCTGTCTGTCTTTGAGATCAAGAGCATTGTTCAAAAGCGGAAGAATATGTTTCACGAAGAACTGGAATCCTGTAGACGGCAAGGTGGCACATATCGTGGCAAAGCATTTGGCAGCAGAATATCGGAATACTGAATACTTGGATTTGATTCCTTCCAAAATTATAGGAAGCTTATCCACAACTGTCAGTTGCAGGGATCTATCCATCTTGCTTAGTAGCACACGCAAAATCTCCAGTGAGTCGACAGCCTGTTGACCTTCAGCATCGCTGAACTCTGTGCGTGAAAGTATATTCAAGGGTTCGAAGACGATAGTTTTGAGAATTGGCAGTTTGTCAAAGACTTCAGTTCCATACTTTTCGATCAAGTCATCAAGAGCAACCTTGGCACCGCGTCTCTTGATCTTAGCCAAGAAAATCTCTCTCTCGGCAGCAGCAAGCTCTGCTGGATCGGTTTTTGCTTCTTCTTTTCTCAGTGATAAGATTATATCTGTGAATAGCTTGTTAGGAACGAATTCAGGAACTTCTGAAGTATCCACACAAAGGAATCCACAGAGATTCTTCACCATTTTGTCTGCAGCTCCAGTTTTGCCAACCTTGTTGAGTTCCATAATTAGGGTAGAAACTGTCGAGGCTGCTCTCGCTTGTAATTGAAGTAGCTCTTCAGACTTAATACTTTCCATTAATGACCGAATTAATGGCGTTAGCTTCTTCGGCAATCCAGAGAGCTTCAAAACCGCCGACGAGTAAGAGGAAAGTATTCCGGTGGAACGGTTAGTTTTTGAAGCTATAGCCTCTGTAATGGCCATGGTGACACGATGTTTAGCGTCCTCCAGCGACTGTAGTGCAGACATTTTGTAGACCGGGGTCAGAGACTTGAGCAGCTTGTTGTAAACCTCATTGACTATCGACATCGCCAGCTCAATACCAAACGCATCAGGGCCTGCATCTTCCTCTCCCTGAACCAGGACCGGGATTGTTGGGATTTTGCTCGAAGAAACTCTACCCTGTTCCTTGAAAATCTGGAAAAGCTGGAGACATTGGGTTCTAAGCCCTTTTAATATAGGAACAAACTCTCTGAAGGATGGAAGACTCTCCGGATTAGCTAAGGCTTCATTGAGCGTTGGAAGGAACCTTGACTTTATTGATTCATCGATAGGCTTCTTTTGGTCAATACAACTCTGACAGTATTCTTCCAAAACTATGCATGCGAATAAGCGAGGTGTTGAATGCGGATCTTTGAAGTAGGCCTCCAATTTGCCAAAAACAGGCCCTAAATTTTCCACGGAGTTATAGCGAGCAAGGGTGCGGCCAAGGGCTGAGGCTGCAGCCAGCCTTGTTTTCACAACAATGTCGATTCCAACCAATGTTAAATCACCATTAATCATTGGCGCGTCTATGTTGACAGCATTATCGTACTCTGTCTCTGGAATGCCTGCATCATTTTGTTTGAACTTTCCCCAAGCTTGCTGCTGTTCGTCGGACATCTTTCGCTTTTTCTGCTTTGGTCTCATCTCCTCTATATTGAAACCCGTCAATGGAATGTCATTGAACGATAAGGTTTGACCGCTTGGTCTAAGAATACAATTTGGATTCATGGAGTAATTGAAGCGTGCCACACCTATAGGAGTCATAAGAAGGGTCATCAAGGGAGTGATGTGTTCAGCGAATATGTCGTCAATTGACCCAAGAGCGCCTTGAGAGATTTGATCGATCATTGTCTGGTAAACTTTTTCAGAGAGTTGTAGCACATCCGCATTTTGCTCGACAAGCAAGTTTTGGAAAATCAGTCTACACGCTTTTCCGTCTATCCAGTTTTTGACCGAGACATCTTCTATTTCCAGGAAAGCAAGCAGTGTTTTGAGCACAGATTTTCTGACATTGGTAATGGAGTGTCTAAGGAAGGGAAATAGACGAGGTATAAGATTCTTGAAGCTAAGATCCTCGTTTTCAATGGCGTACTCCTTCATTTTATCCAACACTTCTCTATGCGAACAAAGTTTCGCTAAAAGATCCATCACTGATCCAATAGAAGCACTTAGATCATCTTTCAAGTCAGTCAAGCCTTGCCAGATCACATTAACAACATTGAACACCATATCCAGTTTGAGCTTGACGAAGTCGCTAGCGATAGGGATCAACGTGGAGGCAGCAACACTCTGAACATCATCATCGCCGCTGCTATGTAGACAGAACAAAACCATATCTATCGTGGCGTCAAGCAGCTCCGTATGACTGAACAACAAATCTGTTCTGACGCTGACAAAGTATCGTAGACCAAGCATGCCTCCATGTCTGGCTTCCCAGCAAGTCATTTTATAATCTGATTGTCCAAAATCCTGTTTGATCAATTGTACGAGAGCGGCAAAGGTCTTCAAAACAATGTCTTCAGGCAGATGCAGTAGTAGAGCTGCCAAAGTTTGAGCTGCATTTTCTCTAACCGGAGCAACCACTGTATCAGAAACATAATCTCCAAACCTGTCCATCGCGAAGAGAGTAATGAGTCGAACACAAAGGTCCTCCAATGTGCGCTTATTGAGGTCATCGTTTTCCTTTTTTGAGCGACCCTTTATACGACCTGCACCATAGGCTTGGTATTTCACTAGCTCTCTGAGGCCCATTGCTGCACCGTGTCTAATCTCCCACGTTTCATTGAATAGATCTTTCATAAGTAACTCATAGACACCTTGGAATTGCCAGACCAAATGTGAAACTTTTGCATGCAGTTGTAAGATTGGTGAGATATCAGGCACTTTCTGCTCTACAACAAGCTTCGTGCCGTTCGATTGCGAGGTGATATTTACGTTTGGAGTGGCCGATCCAGCACTGTCGTCGGATTCCTCTTTGACAGAGCCATCTTTTGCCAACCTCCTACTCACACTGCTTTGAGAAAGATCAACAGGGGCGCTCTTCGACGAGCCTGTTTTTGCGAACTTCGCTTTCCGCTTGGCCATTGCACGCATTCTTGCGGACTGCTGAGACTTGGCAGCAGGAACTTGCTCGATCGTATCCAGCTCCTCTTTTTTGGGCGCATCAAGTGGTTCTTCCTTTGGTGTTGACTCCTCACTCACTTCGTCTATTCCTAATTTTGCTGTAAATTCTGTCTTGACTTTTTTGGGAGCTGGCTCGGAGCCATTGTTGACGAACTCTGCCCCGGATGTCGCCAGCAAGACTCGTTTTGCTTGTAGGATTTCCAAGAGATTCCATTCCTCAAATGTCAAAAAGCAGTTCTCCGTTGCCTCGACCATTTTCTGCAGATCTAGTTCCTCCTCTTCTTTCTTAATGGCCTCGTAATCTTCGTCAGTTTTCACCTCTGTCTCTGCGTTCGGGTCCCATAATGGCGCATGCGAGACGATCCCTCCGAACGCGCGCGATGCGGCCACTCGCGTTTCCCATTTTTTGCTTTTCAAGAACGGATAAACTCTCGATAATAAGTTCAACGTCTCTTCTGGATGTTGTTTGGCCAAATCACTGAGCTGGTCGGCAGCTGTATTTCGTATGAATTGTGTGGAACCCGTTTCAAGGAGTACCACAAGCCTCTCGAGACGTGACATGACTGCAAAAAATATCCGAGAAGGTAGTGTTCTTTGAACTGAAATAAATACAAGATAAACACACCCTAAATTCCCACTGGTTTTTTTTCGAGGCAGAGGAAAAGGCAAGTCATATTTATATATAAATTTTTTTCACACGTAGTCACAGACAAAGAGCAAAATGATTTAGTATGATCGGCGAAGAACAATACATGATAGATAGATTAAAATGTCCTCTTGCCAGGACGTATTGGCTGTAGCGCATGTATGGCGAACTGTAGATATATCACTGCCTCCTGATAAAATCTCGTATATGCATTTAGATAAACTGTCAATTTTTTAATGAATTAATGTATTATCATCAATGGGCCTGATAGATTGTTTGTTTATTGCTGACGGTAGAAATCTGCCCATATTTGAGCACATTGTTAATTCCCCGGCTCCCACATTCCAGTATGTAAAGGATCGCTTGAACAGCATGCTCAAAGGCGAATTTGAGGATCCTGGCTCATCCAATTCTGTCTTCGACCACTTGGACCCTGTACTCGATATTGACGCTAATTGGCGTGTCGCGTGGACAAAGATAGATGCCGTGTACCTTATTGTGGCGGGCGAAACGTTCCCAGAGTATACAGAAGTTGTGAGCGACGATGACGATGACGATGACGAGGACGAGGGTGACGACGCCCAGGAACAGAAAGAGACTGTTACCATCTCGCGAACAGCTAATGACCTACAGTATCTACAGTTTCTTGCAGACTTTGGCACTGTCGTGAAGTCTTTCCTGAATGGCGCAGTTCTGACTCCGGCTAAAGTCGAGTTGAACGCACACAACCTGCTTCTAATTTTACAAGAAATGGTGGATGCCTCGTTTCCGTATCTCACCGACCTCAACCAGCTTCAAGAGCTCCTTCCTTCCAACAGCATTCTCAATAAAATCATTTCGACAACAAAGCAGATCCAAGGCACCGCATCCCATTCGATCAACTCGTTGGCACAAGGATCCAGCTTGCTGCACGCGTCGTCTTCGGCATCTTCCCTTGCATCCAGCCAGTTCCAAAAAGGTGTTCTTCCCGCTTCATGCATATTCGAGAAATCGGGCAACGAGATTCCATGGCGGAAAGTCAACGTCAAACATACACAGAATGAGATGCTGGTAGACCTTGTCGAGCGCATAAGCTGGATTGTGCCTGCATCCAAATCTCCCAAGCCTGCTTACGGTGCCTCGACGTACTACAACCTCGGGTTGAGCGCGAAAAAAAGCAGACCCGTGATGGCCGCCATGGACGGCACCGTCTACTTCAACAGCTCTCTCTCGGGAGTCCCAACTGTTCAGCTGGTGCTTAATCTCAACAAACACGATCTAGGAGTCCCATCATTTCATCGTTGTGTTGACACAGAGATATGGTCGAAGAGTCCGGGGGTGGTGCAATTCATACCTCCTGACGACAAATTCATGCTGATGAAGTACAAAATTAACTTGCTGGAGACGGAAACGCCAGTAAACGTCTGGAACTACATGGGGCCCGTGGACGTGGAGCTTGTGGGGGGACTGGGGGTCGAGAGAAATGAGTTTGAGATCAAACTGCAAACCAAGTTGCTCAAGACTGTGAAGTTCATAGAGGACCTGAAAGTTGAGATTCTCGTGCCGAAAGGTCACACTGTCAGAGGACTGCGCATTACGCATGGAGACCTGCAATCTAGGAATGGCGTGCAAGAGTGGATTCTCGACAAAAGCCTGCCTACGGGGATCAACTGCACCTTCAGAGGTCAATTACTCAGATCAGGCGGAGATTCGTCTGCGTTAAGACCCGACTACGTGACAGTGTCGTATTCCAACAAAGGATCGGTGCCCAGCTTGATTAAAGTCGACTCAATGAAAATCATAAGCGGAGGTTCCACCAACGTCAAGCCATACAAAGGCGTCAAGTATATTACGCACACCAATAATATTATGCTGAGATAGTGGCATGTTTCTCTAGTCTAATAACTCTACCAGCTCGTGGAAATCGTGAATCACGTAATCTATCTGCGGGAAGTCATCCGCAACTTTTGCATTATCCTCGTGGCGTAGCAAAATGGTGGTGAACCCGGCTGCCAGGCCAGCTAGCACGTCGTCACGTGAGTCACCAACCATGACCATGTCCTTGGGCTCGAACCCCCATGCGGCTGCTATGTGGAGCAGCGGCTCTGCAGCGGGCTTGGCGGGCCTGAAACTTCGAGTAACAACTGGCTGGCAAAACTCGACGCCTTTTAGATGCGTTTCCAGCAGGTGAAGCACGGGCCTCATCAGGTTTCTCGTGCAAACGGTGTATTTGATATTCTTGCGCGACAAAAATTGGAAAAGCTCCACGACGCCTACCGTGGGCTCGGTCTTGAGCATGTAGGACTCTTCGATTTGCGCCAGCTTTTCTTCGGCGAGCTGTTTCTCCTTATCGGGGAGTGTCGCCAAATGGTCCAGAATATCGATCTTCACGTGCTCAATTTGCAAAGCACGCCGCATATCGGTGAACATTTGCGTTTGTGGGCGTGTCAGTGTGCCGTCCATGTCAAAAACAATACCCCGAGGCGGGCGAAGCTTAAACGGTTGGGGCTTTATCATGTAGTGCCGGTACAAGATTACGTGCGGAAAGTCGCATTTTCTACGTAAGGTGAATTAAACTAAAAATGCGGTGCTAGGTGTGGTATGCATGGAAGCATAGCAATGGCAACATGCTGATTGCCGGCGTTGGCGCACGAGTATAGCAAGTTCGGTGGATAAAAGAGAAATTTCCCCAGATGACCTGCCGCCTACACTTGCTTGCTTGGGCAACGAGCAATTGCCAAAACTATATAAATACTTCGGGTCTTTCTTGTTTAATGCATACCCAAAAATGTCTAATATCATGAACAAACTTTCCGACAAGCTTTCAGGCAACCATCACCAAGACCAACAAGGTGATGATAACGACGACTTCCAAAGATCTGGACGTGGCGGCGGTGCCTACTACGGCCAAGGCCAAGGTGGTCAGCGCAGTAGCGACCAATATGGCGGCAGCGGTAGCCAGTACGACCAGTATCGCTCCCAAGGGGGCCAGAGCGGCCGTGGAGGCCAAGGCTTTGGAAGCCAACAGGATTACGACGAAAACTACACCGGTAGTGGTGGAGATCGTAATTTTTCCGACGAATACGACAACCAAATGAACGATAGGGTGAGGAACAAGATGGGTGACGAGTACACAAACGATGAATGGAGTGGCAACCGTCACGCTCAGGGATTTGATAGCAGCGGCGTGAAAACCAAGGGCCAGCAATGGTAAACTGTTTATTTAGTGATGAGCTATGAATGTTCTTTTTTTTTTTTTATGAATACCATCCTTCGAAGTAATCTTTGGCGAGGGTAGAATGCAGTAGAGAACTTGACTGACGACACCAGTTCTGCAGGAGGGAAAGTTTCTCGGTCGTGGCAGGGAGAGATAGCGTTTCTGCTGTCCTAATCTTCAACGTTGAAATTAATACCTTTAAGAAGGGGATGGAGGAGCGGAGGCGACGAAGTCTCTCGATATTTGCATCTATCGTGTCTATTAGTTTTGCAAGTCTATCTTTGAAATCGTCGTTGTTGATGGTAATGTTGAAACTGATGAGAGAGGAAATGAGCGACTTCAAGGAGAGAAGAATTTTGTAGCATTTCAACACATATAAGGGCAGAAGCGGTTGAATTTTCAAAAGCTCAAGATCGTCCACCTGTTCGTCAATCAGGTAGATAAGTCTTTTGCAGAGCTTTGAGAATTCCAGTTGTAGATCGAAAACAAAATCATCTGCATCTGTATTTCGTAGACTGTCCAGTGAGGAGCTAAAATTCTGAATCAGATAACATATATTAGTTTCCGCTTCCAGAATGCCTAAGAATTTGTATTTGTCGTTCAGGAGATACAACTTGGACTGCTTCGGTACGCTGCTTGTAGGATCTGTGGGAGGTAGAAGCAGAAGATTTAGTCCAACGGTCACGTATTCCAATGACTCTGATTCCGAGGATTTCAAACTATTTGCATATTCGTGAAGATAAGATTTGCTGAACGCCAGACTTGTGTTTCTCGGTGTTCCAAACGACAAGGCGAATATATTGTCCAGCACCACTAAATGCATGAACGCACGGAAAAGGGGCGAGGATGATGGCTCCTTATAAATCTTCCAGTCATTGAATATCGAAAACGAGATGGTAAACCCTATTGAGTATTCGTGACCCGATAAAATCACGGTATAATTGAGTAGCACAAATGTAAGGAGAAACAATGTTTTGGCATGAACATTGTTGTTGATGAAGGATTTGGATGCATAAATCAGGGATATCTGCTGGAAGCTCGAAACGATAACATTGAAGTCAAAATTTGCATCCACAGAATTGAGGACTTGTAGTGAGTAGTTGAATAGTTCTAGAACAGTGGCATATTCGTCTGTTTGAAGTTGCTCGAGGCTATCCTGTATTTGCCGCTTTTCCATCAAAATCGGGTACTGTGCATGGAACTTGGTGAAGTAAACGTCCAAATTCTGATCAATCGACTTCAAAAGGTGGGCTGTTTTGAACTGGGGGGCAGGGATTGCAAGTCGAGAGAAGTTTTGGTTCAGACTCTGCAAACTACTATGAGAAGGTACAGGGCTCACGGTACCCTCCTTAGAGCGAGTTGAAACAAGAGGCACTTGGAAACTTGGCCTTGCGAGGCGGGAGGAGTTGTTGTTTAGGAACTCGTCTTCGGAATCTGATGTGGGGAGATTATCCAGAGCAAAACTAGGAGCCAATTTAGGCGAATGTCCTTGAATGGATGGCCGGTTGGAAAGAGGAAAGGAGCCACTGATTGAGGACGAGATGGAGTCAATAGAGTCTCTCCTGCCTTCAAATGCTGGCATTTCGTAGGGTACTTTCCAGAACATAGGCTGCTGGCGTGTTGTCTGACCTGCCGAGGTTAGAGAAGAGGATCTGCCACGCAAAGGTGGCAAAATATGGGTGTTGAGAGGAGGCAAGATCACCTGCGGACTTTGCGATGCTTGATAAGCGGGCGTTCCGCTTCCAGAGCTTGAGTTTGGCGAGAATAACGGAGCATGCTGCTGACCTGGAGAAAGCTGTTGTTGGCCTATTCCTTGAAGCTGCGGGTAGCTGCCGTGGGACGGGATACGCGGTCTTGGCGAGGCTTTTCCTGCCGACTGGCTGCTGTTATCTCCATTGGATTTTGTATAACCCTTCGAAGGACCTCGTTTCATGGGCACTCGAGTGAACAAACACACGTCTCCAGTCTTTTCGCAATTTGAGCACATCTTAGTCACATGGGTGTTGGTATGGTCAAGTAAAGCATCGCAACGTATTTTCTTGCGGCGGCATTCGTCACACGCACGCGAAACCTTCGACCGTTTGCGCGGAGGTATTTCTGAATTGGGAGAACCTTGCCCTTGAGTCTTGTACTCCTGCTCCTGGACTTCTTCCCTCACCGTCGAGCCTCCTGCGAGGGAGGTCGCCATGGATGAGGCGGAAGACGACGAGCCATCTTTGCGGGAGTCCGGAATGGCTGCCTGGACAGGTTCAGAAGCACTAGGACTCCTAGAATCGTCGAGGCCGGCTATGTGGGGAGACTCACGGGGACCTTCTGCTTGCGAATGCGTCTCCATGGAATCCATTGCTTGTAGTCTGTGCAAAAGTTATAGGTGGGCCAAAATAGACCTCACTAACAATCAGATTGAACTGGGACGAAACTCAAAACTATACCAGAGTATTTTTTTTCTTGTTTTTCAGGTCATGGGGCTAACTTTCCCCAGGTTCTCCACACGATGGTGTAAGGGTGTACACTCTGCCGATGCATGCGCAGCTTCTGGGAGCCGTTGGCACCAATCAGAACGAGAGCGGTGAAGTAGAGCTCTCAATCGTTGGTCGATGATGTCAGCAAGATCTGTAGCCGTCAACTGGGTGATTATTTTCGACGAAGGTAGGGAGGGGCCGCCAGAAATACATGCAGCGGTACGGTGGGAGATGGAAACCCCGGAATTGCGTGGTTAGGCTGCACTGCCATCAGACGGAAAAATTCAGATTATTAAATGAATAATTTGGCTAAGCGTTACATAATCATGATATCTGGAGGAGTTAGGCCCATAAATATAATCTCCAAGGTTTAATAAGTCGGTATTACTGCTCGGTGAATTCCTTTTTGGGACTCGACACAGCGGTCTTCGTACATCCTACTGCACGCCAGCAACACCATGGAGGGCGAGAAGCCTGTCAAGAAAAGGCGGCGAATTCCGTACTCGTGTTTGAGTTGTCGTCGAAGGAAGGTGAAGTGCAATAGAGTCCGGCCCATATGTAATAGGTGCACAATTTCCAATTTGAAATGCGAGTACGACGGCCCTGAGGCTTGGGCACCTTCAGGAGTTTCTGAATCTCCCGCGGCGCCATCGAATGGTGTGACGGTTAGTGTTCTAAACTTTAAATCCAATTTTTCGGAGACTTCTGTCCTCGATCAGCTGCCTCGAGCCCCGCAGACTACTATGTCGGAGCACGCGTCTCTGATCTCCGAGATAGGCGATTTGCGAATGAAGCTTGCGTCCATGGAGGCTCGGCTGTTTACCATCATGCCCGAGTCGCAGGAGACGGTCAGCTTTATTCAGGCCGACCCGAACCCTAATTCAGCCCTACACATGGCTAAAAAAAATCGGTTTATCTGCGGAGGCTCTTTTCAGCGGAATAAAGTTTGGCGAGGGGACCCGTTCGTCTGCCAGCTATTTGACGATTTGCGTCGCTACCGGGAGCACATCAAGGCTGAGATGCTGGCGATGTCCAAAACCGAGAGCCCGAACGATTTGCAGCGGCAGGTGAGGATGCGCAAGAATGGCCAGAAACGATTTATTCTGGAAGAGGGTGAGAAATTGTCACTCAAGTCGCAGATGGAGGCTGCGTTGCCTGTCAAGGCGACGATTTTACGCCATGTAAACTACTACTTGCGTGCAATCCATCCGTTTTTCCCCGTGCTCATGGAAGAAGAGTTTTTGGCCAATGTCAATCGACTTGTGGAGGAGGAAAAAGGTCGCTGTGTGCTGCATTTTGGCCAGAAATCAGACTATCTTGTCACGGCAGTGTTGCTGCTTGTGATGCGCTTCTCCTACCAGTCTTTGTATCTGAAACAGCAGGTAGGTGCGCCGCTGAGCGAAGATGAGCTGGCTCTCGTTCAGCAGCCAATAAATGCAGACGTCATCAACATGGTCAACTTCGCGCTGTTCGAGTCCAATTTTTTGCGCAAAACAGGCATCGAGTCGTTACAGGCCCTAATGCTCCTGCGATTCTACCAGATGTCATGTCAAGAGGACGGGGACGGAGGTGATGGCACGGACGGCTACAATATAACTGGTCTCATTTGTCAAATCGCTCTCGGAATGGGCCTCAACAGACCTCTCAGGTTCCCTTTGGGGGACAGGACGGGCAGCAGGTTTTACCATCCACACAACCCACGGTTGCAACTTCTCTGGCAACGACTCTGGTGGACATTGTTAGAATTGGACATGGAACACTCGATTTTGTACGGCAGGATGCCGATTCTTCTACTGGAAAACAGCGATCATGGACCAGCTACAGCAAGCGACTCGGATATCATCAGCGACCGCATAAACAAAATGAAGATCGTTTTTCCCTTTTTACAAAAATTCCTTGTGCAAATCCATCAGGTGCGCGAGAAGCCACGTGTGGTCGACCTACTATCGGCAGTCAACATCTTGGACACGCAACGAGGTCTTTTCCAGTATAGCGGCTATTTTCAGGATCCTTACATGCCACTTATCTCAACAATTTCGAACGTAAAGAACGAACTCCTCATGAACACTCTTATTTTCATGATCAACTGCTATCTGATGCTTCATTTTGAGCGCAACAGAAAAGGTACCGATTATTCTGTCACTTTGCAGGCTACCGTTACAGTCTTTTTGCGTAACCTGGATCTCACGTTAAAGTCTTTCAACAGATTGAAAATCGACTTTGCCGCACACATAATGTACCTCATTCACCCGATGGCTACCTGCATTTACAAAAGCATACAATTTCTGGTATACCTTGGTGTGCGCTTACTCTTGATGCAAGCTAAAAACGAAAAGCAACCGCTAGTCACCGACCTGTTGCAGACAGTGGTGGCAATCATGCGCAACTGCGTGAAGCTGCTGGCTATTATGGGGGACCAGGACTACCTGTGTTACCGGCTGTACGAGACGTACAGCTATCTGATGCGAATCTTGGAAAATAAAGGAGAGCCAGTGTTTAATCTCAAGAACCCGGCTCTGGAAACCGCCCCGAACCTGCTTGCATCCATAACCACCCAACAGCTCGAATACATCAGCCGCCAACTTTCAGAATTCACGAAATCGCCGCCTTTTGTAGCCGTTGCAGAGTATGCACTGTTCTGGCCGGCAAACGAGACGGAGGACTCGCTCTTCCAAAAATTTCAAAGGTCGATCGACGCGACAATGCCGTCGTCCGAGCTCCATATCTGGAACGACTCGATCATGAAAACGAATATCTTCGAGGACTACGAGGGGCTGTTCGACGACTTGCAGCTGCCTGTCGACCTTAATTACATGTAAGTCAACATATTCACGTTCTAGGTAACCGCACGCCTTCTTGCTCTTGCGTATAGCTGCCACTCATCACGCTGTCCTCTATGAGCTGCTGTCGCCGGAATTCTTCTTCGCGACGCACCACGTTCTCAAACTCGAGCACAGCACGCTCGGTGCGGAAAGATGCCGCAGCGGCGATCCAAATCGTGTGGTAGAAAATGCGGATCCGCAATCCGAAAGCTCTATAGAATGGAGACCTCCACCTCAGGAGCAATTCCGATGGAACAGAGATCAGCGCTCCGTACATGCCGCCAATGAAGATAGATTTGAGGATCACCGACCGCAATCGGTCAATGCGCTCCTCTGAGTGGTGCGCAAGTTTTCGTTGGGCGGACATAATCGATAACGGATTAAGCAAAATAATATAAATTTCGAGTCGTCTACGTCGACGGGTCGGTTTTAGTCGAGAGACTTAAGCACCTGGGCCCGCACAATCTCATCAAACTTGTCGCGGTTCTCGCGCCAAAGCTTTGCAGCGTCGATGTTAGCAGGCGAGTTTGGGTTGGGTTCGGCCAGCATCGAGCACACACTGAGGAGGATCTTCTCCACGCTCTGCAAAGGGCCCCACCTCTCGTCTGCCGATTCGTACTGCAGAGGGTCGTCTCCCGGCGGATGCAGGATGCTGATGCACACGGTGCCGTCTTTGTAAATGTTCGGATGAAGGATCTCGGACGTAAACTTCATCTTGGGTGGCGACAGTGGGTAATCTGCTGGAAAGTCCATTTCTGCTTCGAACACTCCGTTCTCGTAGACTGTACCCGGAGGACCCTCCAAGATACAGCGCCATCTGAAGAGGTTATCTTCCGTGATTGGCCCTGCCACAATGCCGTCGGTCGGAGATTTCAAGAGCTCTTGGAATTCCTTCAGCAAACGTCGCTGTGCCGTGGAGATCTTGGGTGCCATCGAATATTTAGCTGGAAACTAGAAAATCGCACAGCCCGGATATATACGACGAGCAAATTTCCTGTTGCAATGAAAATTACATAACTGGCATGATTTTGGTGGACGGGGACAAGTACGCGTGCGAACAGTGCATCCGGGGCCACCGATCGTCGCAGTGCCAGCACATAAAACGCCCCTTAGTGCTGGTGAGGTCGCGTGGGCGCCCTGCCACGGACTCCTCGAAGAGAATAGCCATTATGGGAGAACTGCTTCTACCTCCCGACTCGCCGCATGACAGCCGTGAGCACAGCGGGTGTCCACAATCCCGCAACCCAGAGAACTCCGTCATTGTGCTGAAAGCCAACAAGCGACAGGTGTTCAACGTTTCCAGGAAGTCGTTGAAACTGCTGGATCCCGTGATAGAAGTGCCCAGTAAGCAGGCAGGCCTGGATCTGATATCGACCAGAAGCCACGGGCGCGGTAAGTGCCGGTCGAAAAGAGCGAAATTGCAGCCCGAGCAGGAGCCCGTGACATACGACATGTTTTTGACAGAATCCTGTACGGTGCCAGGGTCCTGCTTATGCGAGCCGGATGCCTGCACCTGCCACTTCTGTCAGGTACACAGTCAAGGCGTGTTGCCGGACCCACCCAGAGTCACGTGCGGCGAGGTGGAGGTGCAGTCGGAGCCGGCCAGCTGCAGCGTCGGCAGCTTCGACGAGGAGTGCTGTTGTGCAGCCGACGATTGCGGCTGCTACAACTGCGAAAAGCACGGGATCGTGAACGGCCAGAAGGTGGGCCTACAGGAAGCCGCTCTCAGCTTCCTGAATAGTCTAGACATCAGCGAACTGGACCTCGACTGCTGCTGTCCCGACGACGCATGTAATTGCACCAACTGTTTCAAACACGGGAGGTTCCAAAACGAGTCTATAAATGATTCATAGATTTTCCAGTATATATTTTGCTTCACGTTTGCCGCTCATCCACGCGCCATGCACTGCTCCTGCGCCATCTAGTATAGTGTGTTCGCCTGCAAACCGCACGTTTCCGAGCCCTCTTTCAAGATTTATAATGAGGTCTGCCGGATCGTCTCCAGGACGACACGCAGCATAAGACCCGCGAGCAAAGGGGTCCACGGTCCAGCTTGTGACGATCACGTTGGTGGGGGCCAAAGGCGCCGGACCGAGCTTTCGCAAAAGCGGCCGGAAATACTCCCATGCAAGATGCGAGTTGTGTTCTAGATGGTCGGTGACTCTTCCTTGGATGAAGCACACCAGAGACGGCACCTTGCTGATGTAGAACATGTTGAGAATGAGCACAGGGTGGCTCCACACGCTCACCTTCGATGCACTGGTGGGGCTGGAAATGCCAAGAAACCGATCGTACTGCAGGCGCGACCAAAAAGGAGTCTCAAACTCTAGAACCACCTTCCCCAGCTTTCCGTAGCCCATGCTTCCAAGCGGCCTCGTGATCCTGCTGGGCAATGGCGGCACCCACTCAACCGCGCCTGTGTGAGGAGTTGCCAGTTGCAATAGGCTCTGTGGGATGGTGCAGATCAAGTAGTCTCCCTTATAGATGTTCCCGTCAGCCGTCTGCACGACGACAGTTGTTGAGTTTTCGACCCGAGTTACCACCTGCTCAGTTTTCAGGCACTCTTTCGGGAGCTTGTCTACCATGTTCTGAACTAATCGATCATAGCCCGACCTAATCAGACAGTTGCGTCCAACATTGTCAACGAGCGCGTATTTCGAGCTCATCTCCTCCCATCCTATACCGTGCCATAGCTCCAGGTGTCGAACAAACTGAGGGGCATAGTCAGCCTGCTCAGACGTCAGAAGCTTCCCCTGCTTGCAAATGTACTCCTTCACCACGTCTCGCAGACTTTGGTCCTCAACATCGAGGCTGCTGAACTCTCTCAGCTCAACGAATTTCGTGATCTCGTTTGCAACCTGCTCGATTTTCAGTCTCTGAAAATCATCGTTGGAAAGATGCTCTCCCACCAGGTAGGGCTCCATGTCATCATAGTACAGGTCGTAGCCACCGTCAGCTACCATCTCGTCAAACAGCTCGTTTGTCAAAGTATCATGGGCCCACGAAGCTCCCAGATCGTAAGCCGTCAGGCCAGTCCTGTCCGTCAGAATACGGCCTCCCAGACGGGCACGGGCCTCCAAAAGCACAAACTCAACTCCCTGAGAGTGCAAATCCAAGGCGGCCTTGAGACCCGCTACTCCCCCACCTACAATAATCACACGCATATTCTCACTACGGAGAATTACAGATCTTATTTTCAACGGTCTCAGGTGTATATATTCAGGCTACCGACTCCAGGTCATAGCGTTTGATTTCGGAGCCGTTGCTCTCGATGATTATGTGGTTACCCTCCTTGAAAGCCACAAACTGTGACGTCGGGCTGACAGAGCCGTGTTTGTTCTCAAACTCCCTGACCACATCGCCATGACGGTTCACCAGGGTCACCTTGGAACGGCTGACGTAAGCATATTTGGGGAAGCCGGGGTCGTCAGCGTCTGGTTGCACAACCCGCAGCTTCGACATCCGTCGGCGAGTAGAGGACTTAGGCTTGTCAGCAGGGTCGACAGAGTCCATAGACTCTGCAGTGGTTTGCCGTTCAATCCGGACTTTCACTGCTGTTGAGTAGACGGTGAAGCAGCAGATGGAAAAGCCATGGACGACAACGGAAACCACAACAATAAACGTGGTTATTGGCCACAGAACTTTGAGGAGAGTCTCGTGCGAAGAAGGGTCCGGAGAACGGGTTTCCAGTAGGTGCTTGGCCAAAAGGCAGCAGAAAATAGAGCCGACCCCACGGGGCCCAAAATGGCCAATGAAGAGCGCGTCCTTCCAGTCCCGGATATCTGGGGTAATGTGCTGCAGAAGAAGCATGGCCGGGATTCTGGAAAGAAACACGAAAACAACGCCCAGCGCCACCAGTCTACCTGCATATGGAGAGTACTCGTTCCATGGAAGAATTGAGCCCACGAAAACGAAGTATGCAGTATTGAGAAGCAGATCAACAATGCTGGAAAAGCGCAAGGGCTCGGAGTCTGTATGTTCCTCGCCGCTGGGTTGTAGTTCGAAGTCTATTTGTCCACCCCAGCTATAGGCGCACCCAGCAGAAAAAGAAGCTAGCAAGTCGTCGCAGCCCAAGATCGACGCCATTCCGGTAATGATTAGTGACAGGCCAACATAGAACACCAGCGAGGACTCGTTGTCTATCCAATGTTGCTTGCGAGAGAAAAGATAAGAATATCTGCCCAAGCTGCCAATAACGACCCCAAATAGCACTCCAAACGCGCATTGATACAAAATGCCCACGAGAATCCAGTCCTTTACTATTTTGCCCGCGTGGATGTTGTCCGGCCTGTTGAGAATGAGGTTCATCGAAAGTGTCACGAAGGGGAACGCTAGACCGTCATTCGACCCCGACTCGGCTTGGATCAAGTTTCTTATGTCTGCACGGATTCTTTCAGCGAATTTGCTCTTGCCAACTATGGCTGCTGCTAGGACAGGATCAGTTGCAACAAACGTGGATCCCACCAGTAAAGAGTCGCTGAAGTTGAGGCCGACGCTCCGGAAAATCAGCCACACAAAGAGCGAAAGTACCAGCCAGCCGTAAATCATGGCCCCAAAGAGGACCAAATTGAGCGATCGTACATGTTTCCACACATATTTGGGAGGAAGCTCTGCCCCAGTAGCAAACAACTGAATGACCAATATCAGCCTAGAGAGTTCAAACGTGAGATCATCCACTTTACTGGTCCAGCGCGACGGGTCAAACCAGTTCAAGACTCGGGGACCCACGATACAGCCAAAGAACGTCCCGACAATAGCTTCTCCGATGAACAGTTGTTCCTTGAACACGAGGGAGACCAGAGAAAATATCACAGAAACAGCTCCAATCAAGCCATATGCAATGTGTGCTTGTGTAGGTTCTAGTTGATACCACATGCACCAACCTAGACCTTACAATATTTATCGAAATTATTTTTTTTCATTACGATTTATACCTACTCAACCCGTTGTTTTTTCAGACCGTGTTCGTTCTCCGTATCCTGGGCAGAGACATCCCTTTCGAATTCTATAGGCCCAACGTTGGATTGGCCCTTTTGATGGCCAAGCGCAGGCCTATCTAAATCACCCTGAAACTCGGCTCCGCTGCGCGCTCTGAAAATATCGTTGATGGCATCTTGAGCTTCGAATAGTGGCCTATCATATAGCTGGTCGTCACTGTGACGAACATTGCTGGCTGCCCCCTTCAGATAAAGCCTTGCATCATATAGGCCTTCAGGATTAGTAGCCTCTTGTTGTCTAGAAGCCACACCCAGGGCAACGCGCTCGCTAATCTCTCGGCCCTCTTCTGAGGCCAGCACTTTGACCTTCGTTTCTGTGCCCATTTTTGATCTCCGCAACTCCAGTTCGGCGCGCCTTCTTCTCTCTGCTCGAGCTTGCTCCCGCTTGCTGGCTATCTTGCTAACCTCTTCAGGCTCATCGTCTGTCCACTTACTACGTTTACCAGAACGTGCCTCCTGCGCCACCGCACGTAGCTTTTCCTGGTTCTCCAGCACTTTCTGTTGTTCAAGCTGGTTCTTCAGCTTGGCACGAAGCTTCAGCTCTTTCTTTGCTTGTTCACTTGCATCCTTCAAAGCATCACTCAGGTCACCGAACTTGTCGCTCATTTCGGTGGAATGAGTCTCACCCACAGCCGCTAGACGCTTATCAATGTCTATTGTAAACCCTTTAGTATTTTTCCAGTTCGACACGGCAGGCGGTATATACCACTTGCGTTGGTCCTCCTTCGTAAGCTTCACCGTCGTTTCTTCGTGCATTACTGGTACAGGGGCTTCATCGGAGCCTTGCGGAGTCTTGCGAATGCGCAGGTTTGGCGGCAATGTGGGGTCGACCTCCTTGTCTTTGATTTTGATTATTCGTTGCTTGTTCTCACCTTCATCGAACACGGACGTTGGAGTGTACTTCACGAAAGTTGGCGACTTGTCTTTTGAGGCTTTCGTCCCGTTCAGCTTGGCCTCGAGTATCTTATGGACCGCCTCCTTGGTCCGGAGCGTGGTCTCATCAAGTGACATGGGTATAAAATATATATGTTTTTTTCCCGATTATCTAATTTTTTACTGACTCGAACTTTGCTATGCCATACTCGTCACTTAGCATTCCGCGCAAGTGTTCGTCCTCTTTTCCAACTTGTTCCAAAAACCGAAAGATATCCCCGCGTGCAAAATACTTCGGCCTTATTTCGTCCATCTCCATGACCTCCTCATCTATAAGCACAAAGCTGATCCCGCTCCCAGGACATTCGTAGTTCGCTGCTAGCAGCACTTTCTCCAAAACGCCGCGCAAACCCCGTGCTCCTGTACCATTTCTGAGAGCTGTCTCTGCGATTTTCCGTATGGCAGATCTGGTGAAGGCCAACCTGACTCCACTCTTCGCGAAGGAGTACTCGTACTGGCGGACGATCGAGTTCTGCGGCTCCACCAAAATTCTCTCTAGGTCCTCCACCTCAAGCTGTTTCAAAGACGAGAAAACGGGCATACGTCCTACAAGCTCTGGGATCAAGCCAAACTGCTCCAGATCTGAAGGTTGGGCTCTCGATAGGACGTCGGACTGTTTTTTACGGCCCAGCCGTTTCTTGATGATTTTGTCCAGTCCAGTGAAGGCCCCCATCCCAATAAATAAAATCGTAGAGGTGTCCACCGTGTACTCTGTCGTGCTACCTCCCAGTCCAGCGTTTTCCATGTGGTTGCTTTTCTTCGCCTGGACCGAGACACTGGTTCCTTCAACCAGTTTCAGGAGCGCCTGCTGAACCCCCTCGCCGCCTATATCCTTCGTGCCAGCATAAAGCTGAGGCTTGGCAAGCTTGTCCAGCTCGTCTAGAACAACAATGCCCCGTTGGCAAAGATTGACATCATAATCAGCTTTGGCCAGGAGCTTCAGAATGCAGCTCTCCACATCCTCGCCCACGTAACCGGCCTGCGTCAGCGACGTGCAGTCTTGTATAACCATCGGAACCTGAAGCACCCGGGCCATAGTGGTAGCTGCCAGTGTCTTGCCTGAGCCAGTAGGGCCAAACAGGAGAATGTTTGACTTCTCAAGCTCCACGCCGGTATCGGACTTCTTGTGTAGCACAGGTGCTCCCAGCAATGTAGCAGAACTTTCCTTTGAAGCATCCTGGATCCGGATGTAGTGGTTAAACACTGCAACTGAAAGAACTTTTTTACAATGATCTTGTCCGATAATGTATTTGTCGAGATGTGCTTTCAATTGACGAGGTGTAGGGAAAGAGTGCTGTGAGTCTGTTCCTGCCAGCTGCTGAAGTTCTCGTATTGTAGGGGACTTCAAAGCATTCACAGAGGCCACCCCATTGGCCACATTTGAATAGCCTCGTCTTGCACATGTCCACATCAGCGCGGTGAGGATCAAATTGACTCACTAATTTATTTTAGGCCAAGAATTTTTAATAGGTGATACTGCCCACCATTAATCAAGGCGGCAAACTCCATTGAGACCGGCTACCGTTTTACCATGAGAGCACTTGGTATCGTCTTTAGTCTGAACTTTTGGGTATTGACATTGGCGGAGTATGTCAATCTCCAGATGGTAGGTTCGTGGGACCAGACTCCATTCAAGCTGAATGTTCTCGAGACGTTCAGCGCGCACAACGAGAGCCTGTATCTTCCTTTAGCTCTCAAGCTTATTGGCATTGTGTACAAAGAGGAGGAAGTCGAACTGGAGGACACAACTTTGTCGGATGAGGACTATTTCAAGTACGCGTGTTCTTTGGTGAATGCTGACGATCTGGGATTTGTCGAGGCAGACCTGGCTCTGAGAACGCATTCGCCTCGAATTGTGGCTCATTTTCAGGAGGAACACTCGTCAGAATGCGATGACGCGTGGCTCAAGCAGGAGAACAACGTGTACTGTAAGCCCGACGACGTGTTTGCATTGAAAACAGCATCCGAGGGTCATGTGGAGCCATTAACGGCATTTGACCGAGTCATTGGCAACACGGATAATGTGTTCGTACTTTATGGTGATTACGAATCTGCAAAGTTCCGCCATTTCTTTGCCAATCTATATGAATTTGCTTCTTCTGGCAGACTTGGCTTCGCTTGGAGATATACACGAAGAGACGAAACCAAGAAAGAAGTTCTAGCAGGTTTCGGAGTTGACCTGACGCTGAAAAGAACGGACTACATTGCTATCGATGACAGGGGATTCACCGAAGAACAGCGGTCGAAGCTCAAGTTCGAGACGGATCAAGAGGCCGCGGATCCTGTGGATGATTTCGTTGATCGACACATGGATGATATTAAGAAACTGTCTCAATATCAGATGAAAGGGCTTGTTGGAAAGTTAGTGAGCTATATCACCAAAAAGGGGTCAGGTTTGGGGCTGTTTAGAAAGATCATGCTTGATTTTCCAAAGTACGCGTCTTATATCTCTCTCCAAAATGAGCCTGAGGAAAAAACCATGGACTCTCCAAATGTTCCGACAGGCATGTATATTAATGGAGTCCCTGCAAGTGAGAAGTTTCTTAGCGTGTTTGAGATACTGAGAAGACTCAAGCAGGAGAAGCTCATAATTGATAACCTGTCCTCGGTGAACGTGGATAAAAATGAAGCCAAGAATATGTTATACAGATTCGCAAATGAATCGGTGGTGGCTGCGGCCCATTTGCCCCGGTACCAAACGATGGATCACCCGGGAATCATATTTTTCAACGATCTTGAAAATGACCCAGAATATGCAGATCTCCAAAATCCTCGACTGGCTTACAAGTCAGAATGGAGCGGAAGAAAAATTCCTCCTGCGAGAGAAAATGTCCATGATGTAGTGTTTGCCATCAATCCTACTGACCCATTGCAACTTCAATACTCATTAATGATGATCAATGCTATCCTGAAAAATTTGATACCTCAGAGAGTGGGCATTGTTCCGCTAGCGAGAACTGAGGAGGACCAGATAGTCACTGAGCAACTAGTGAAAATCTTTGAAACTTCCGGACCAACAGACGCCCTGAGGTACTTGATTTTGGTGCACGAAGTGATCAACTCTCCGGGTGTGGGCATCGACGCACTCAAGCAAGTCGACGTTTCAGATAAAGACGAGCTGCTCCGTGACTTGGATTCTTTCAAGGACCAATTTGCCCTACGATCGCAACCGTATGTTATAATCAACGGCATATTCATAGAGTTCAGCCAAAACTGGCAGTATGCTATGAGCGAGCAAATCACGGCTGATATTCTTTTCCTCAACTCTGAACTAAGACAGAGAAAAATACCAAGAAAAGTCACCCTAAAAGACTACCTTCGACAAGGAGCCCTGGCAAGGCGTGATCCTTACTTGATTCCAGAGACCCTAGACAGACTGCGATCCTCTTACATTCCTGCACCGACATACGAGACCTACAAATTACTGAAAAGATTCGGAGGAGAGGACAAAATAGTACTCAATGTCGTTGGTAAGCTTTCATCAAGGAAATTCAGGACGCAAGCTGCTGAAGCGCTGAAAAGTGGAATCGACTTGCGTATTATTGATGTTTCGAATTCACCAGAAGCAGAAACACTTACTAAGCTATTGGACGACGCGAAGAGCGCTCTTGTATTTTTGGACGGAGAGTTCGCACCTAAGCCAACTGACGAGTCAATACTGTCAACGGTTTCCAAATGTTTTGGTATTGATGATTTCACTGACGATGACGAAATTTACCTGATTCTAAACGGACGGCTGATAGACTTAGAGGATAGAAAGCCAGTCAGTGCAGATGATCTTCAAATCTTGCTGAAACGAGAAAAAAGCATGCGACTGAATCTACTAGATCAGGATACCCAAAACTTTGAGTATAAGTCTTGGGTTGTCACATCCTCCTTCTATTATGACGACGGCGACTTCATTATATCTGGTTTGCTCCCCAGATACGACTTTTCCAAAGCGGATCCTTTCATTGAACAGGGCACCGGATATATCGACGCTGACTTAGTTATTGATCCACTCAACGAGCAAGCACAGTCCATCTTAGCGCTAAGCGAAGTGTTTGAGAGGTTCGACTTTGTTCGCTCCAGAATATGGATCAAACCTTCAGAAAAAGAAGAGCTTACAATCAAGCGTCTTTATCGTGGCGTTTTCCCAACCTCTGTCCAGTTTGAGGAAGACGGGACTGAAAAGCGTGATTATTCTGCTTTTTTCGACGACGTTCCCGAGAAGACACTATTCACAGCAGATGTTGACGTGATCCCTTCGTGGATCGTCTCAATCAAGGAAGCTAACACTGATCTCGATAACATCAAACTGGATATTTCCGGGTCAGTCGATGCCGTCTACGAGCTGAAGTCGATCCTGGTACAGGGCCATGCTCGTGAAGGAGTTGATGCCATTGCTCCTCTTGGGTTGGGATTCCAGCTTCTGGGTGCAGATGGCGTGTCTGTGTCAGACACAAACGTGATGGCAAATTTAGGGTACTTTCAACTGAAGGCCAACCCTGGTTTGTGGACGCTGAGCACGAAGAAGATTGTACCGGATGTGGAGTTCGAGATTGACGCAATTGACACCGAGTTCAAGACCAAGATACTACCCCGCCGTCCGGAGAAAGTTGCCATACTAGACCTGACAGGTGCCATGCTGTACCCTGTTGTTTCGAGAAAGAAGGCGTCCAATAACCTTGTGTCGGGAGTCTCGAATTATTTGAGCTCTTTTTTCAAACCCAAGCAGGCCGAGATAAACATTTTCACTGTTGCCAGCGGACATCTCTACGAGCGCTTCCTAGGGATTATGACAGCATCTGTGATGGCTCACACAAAGCACAGTGTCAAGTTTTGGCTGATCGAAAACTACATGTCTCCCAAGCTGAAAAAGCACCTGCCTTTACTCGCGAAGCATTATGGATTTGATTACGAACTGGTCACCTATAAGTGGCCAACGTGGCTCCGCGGTCAGAGAGAAAAACAGCGCACAATATGGGGATATAAGATCCTGTTTTTGGATGTTTTGTTCCCGCAAGACTTAGAGAAAGTCATCTTCGTTGACTCCGACCAAATTGTGAGAACTGACATGAAGGAGCTTGTGGATTTGGATTTGAAGGGCGCCGTTTATGGTTTTACTCCAATGTGCGACTCGCGCAAAGAGATGGAAGGCTTCCGGTTCTGGAAACAGGGCTACTGGAAGACCCTGCTGGGAGACAATCTGAAATACCATATCAGTGCTCTGTATGTGGTTGATCTTAAAAGATTCCGTCAGATTGCAGCGGGAGACAGGTTGAGACAACACTACCAGTCTCTTTCTGCCGATCCGCACTCCCTGAGCAATCTCGATCAGGACCTTCCTAACAATTTGCAACACACCATCCCTATCTACTCGCTTCCTCAGGAGTGGTTGTGGTGCGAGACGTGGTGTGACGATGAGAGTTTGAAGAAAGCGAAAACAATTGATCTATGCAATAATCCGTTGACCAAAGAGCCGAAGCTCGAGAGGGCTAGACGGCAGATTCCAGAGTGGACCAAGTACGACCAGGAAATAGAGAACATCATCAAAGGAGACCCTGTGACTCACGATGAACTCTAGGTCAAGCGAATCACCGCGGAAACTCGACCAGAGCTATCTTACTGGTGTTGGGTTTGAAGCGCTACAAAATAGCGCACTAGCATATAAAGGAGAGACGCAGTATCGTGACTCGAAAGTCCTCTTCATGTCGTGATTACATACTCGAAAATGGAAGCTTTTTAAGCGAGTGACTTGAATGCATTAAAAACTCTTGATTCGGGTCTTCCTGTAAAGACTTCGGCAAATGCCTCGGTCATCGGAAACTAAGGAATATACATGTGATTCTTTTCGCGCATAGTTAGGTATCGCCATAATTTCAGGCTCCATGCCCTACTTGAAAGAGTATGTGAAGTCGATCTCGTCTGCGCATGAGGTATCTGGCGAGGCGTGCTTGGTTTTCGTTGCGCAGCATCCTCCTCCACATTTGCAGGACTTGGATGGGGCTTTTCTTGTACCAGACGCTCTGCTTTGGGACTGCCAAAAGTACGCCACTGCAGCAAGCAGGACAAGCGTCCACCTCCCGCCTGAAATAAGATATAGAGAAGCCACGGCAAGGCCCACTATAAGCGAAGAGTCCATAGAAAAAGTTGAGTTTCGATTTGAAGGTCGGAAAATTGCACGATAAATTACGACGCGCGCGCACGGATTTTTCTCGGGTCGATTACGTCAGCTTCTCTCAGAATCTCGTTATCTTGGCAAAACTGTGCAGATTATGTCACAGTGGAACGGCGCAAAACCTTTCTTTTTTTGTTGACGCCGGACGCTAAGGTACATCAAAAAACTGTGGCTTCCAAAGCAAATTTTTATAAATGGGTCGAGCTTAGGTTTCTGTTTTCAACCATGTCTGATACCGCTGCTGACATTCACAAGCCGAAGACAGGCGACAACCATGTGGAAATCGAGGAACTTGTCCGCGATGAAGAACAAGTTAGAGTGAAGCACTGGTACGACGCTTTTATAAGACTGTTTTATTGGTACCCTCGACACGTCTACTCTCCTAAGGAACGCAAGTTTTTAGTCAAGCTCGACCTTTGCTTGCTCATCTATATCTGTGTCTCCTATTTCACCAAAGCCCTGGACAAGGCTAATATTACCAATGCCTATGTCAGCGGAATGGAGGAAGACATCAAATTTTACGGCAACGATCTGTCGTACGCCAAGTCTTTGTATTCTGCCGGCTACATTGTCTCCATGGCGGTGGGTACTCTGTTGGTGACTCAGAAGTGGTCTCGGTTTTTGCTGCCGTCGTTCGAGCTCATTTGGGGCGTGCTGACTTTCTGTGGTGCTGCTGCTACTAAACCGCAACACATTTTCTGCCTCAGATTTTTGATTGGATTTTGCGAAGGAATTGCCTTTCCCTCATCTGTCTACATTATTGGAAGCTGGTTCACCAGGGATGAGGTGTTCCGTCGCGTGATGGTGTTTTCTGTGTCGTCCAGTTTGGGAGGCATGTTCTCCGGTTACCTGCAAAGTGCGGCCTACGAGAATTTGAGTGGTACGGGGGGCCTTGCTGGCTGGAAATGGGGCTTCATCATTGACGGAATCTTTACGGTGCCTGTTGCAATCTTTGGACTGTTCATGTTCCCTGGCCCGCTGCAGGCCAAGTCCCAAAAAGATACGAAGCCAATCTGGTGGATGACAAAGGACGAGTACGAGATCGCGGTTGAGCGACAGGTGAGGTCTGGAATTGACGGCGCTCGACAGTACGATTTCAAGATCATCAAGAAGACCGTTTTCCACTGGCCAGTTCACTTCTTTGCTACTTTCTGGGTGCTCCTCAATATTGTGGCGCTCCCAGACGGCACTGTGATGCCGCTGTGGCTGAAATACGAGGCCAAAGTCCATAACAGGTTCACTGTCTCGCAAATCAACAACTACCCGACGCTGCAGGCTGTCGTGGGTGTGGTTGCACAATTTTTCCTCGCAGGACTGTCGGACTCTTTCCCTATTTATCCGTTCTTGGCATTTACGCAAATCTGCTTCATCATTGCATATGCGTCCTTGGCAGCTTGGAATATCGCATGGGGCTGGAAATGGGTGTGCATGCTGGCTATCGGCCTTGACTCCGTCAACCAGGCCATCGTGTCTGGGTGGATCAACAGAGTGTGTCGCCACGACAGTCGTGAGAGAGCATTTGTGATCGGCTACTCCGACGCCGTTTCCCAGGCTATGAACATTTGGACTAATATCGTCTTCTATCCAACAAGTCATGCACCGGAGTTTCGCTTGGGGCTGATCGTCTCTACGGTTGCGGCTGCGCTGATGTTGGTCTTACCTGCAGTTGAGGTGTACCTCACCAAGCGTGATACCAAGAAGTACGTCGAGGAGAAACAGCGCGAACTGGTCGACCGGATCTCGGTCAGCAGCAACGAGAAAGGAGCAGGTTTGTGACTAATATAAGGGAAGTAACTGTGGCGTCAAAATACGTAATTTATTATGGGCGCATCATATTAACCAAATCTTATTTTGAAATTTTGTGCAAAATGAGATTAGATGATTTTCTTGGGGAGATAGGAATCTGGACAATTGTTTATGCTGAGACCAACTCCAAGCTTATCTTCTTGCTCAAATTCCTCCGGTCGTTCACATACGGAGGAATGAGCGTCATACTGACCCTTTTCTTGCGAGATTGCGGTTTCGCTGCCAGCTCTATCGGCATCTTCATATCTGTCGGAACGTTAGGAGATCTGATAAAAACTTCATGTTTGGGACTGGTTATGGATGCCTACGGCAGGCGGAGGTTGATGCGGCATTGCTATCTGGCGATGATGATAACAAGCTTTGTTTTCCAATTGACAACGTTCAAGCCTCTTTTGTGGTTCACTGTCTTCGCCGGAATAATTTCGGTCGGAGGAGTTGAAGTGTCGATCTATCGTCCGTGTGAGCAGGCGATTATTGCACAGAAAGCGCAATCTTCTGAAAGGTCGGATTTCTTCACGTGGTATGCATTCACGGGAAACCTCTCGTCGGCTATTGGAAGCGGTGTGTACGGCCTTCTTATATGGTTCCTGCAAGACAGACTTGGCTGGTCCGAACTCGCGGCTTTCAAATGTGTGTTTTTCGCAGATGGACTCATATATCTGCTTCTATTTTTCCTGACCAGCTTGCTGGACGATAAGGTCGAGCTGGTGAGGGATGCTGAAGAAACCCCGAAAAATTCAGATTCTGAATTCGAGATAGACGAACAAAAACCGGCCTCAACAACAACGCTAGAGCTTATTCACTCTCCTCGCTTCGGAACAATCATGCAGATCATCATGCTCTTTTTCGTCGATGTCCTCTGCAAAGCCATCATCATCGATTCCTGGGTGGCCTATTACATTGTTGAAAGATTCGGCTCCAGCACCAAGACCGTGGGAGATATTTTTCTGGTCACCCACTGCGTCTCCGCAGTGATGTCTCTGTTCGGAACCGTTTTCTGCAAGCGATACGGTCCCATACAAACTATGATTCTGACTCATTTCCCGTGCTCTGTCTTTGTCTTCTTAATTCCATTCGCCACCAACATGCCTATGATGGTGTTTTTCCTGCTGATGAGGGACGTTTTCAAGAGCATGGACGTGGGTTCCAAGAACGTATTCCTGAGCTCCGTAGCGCAAGACAACGAAAGAGCTGCCGCCCTAAGTCTACAGAATTCCTTTAGACTCCTTGCCCAGGTGATTGCGCCAATCATCACTGGAGTCATGGCGAACCGTGATTTGCAATGGGCAAGTTTCATTCTGAGCGCGGTGACGAGAGTCGTTGTTAACGAGGGCGGTGTGCTTCTGCTGTTCTGGAAGGATCGGCACAAATTTGCGATATAGACATAACTGAGCGCTGCATTATTTCCGAAGAAAATCTGTTATAGTGTGCTGTTTCTTGCGCGGAGATGGCGTGGCAGAACTCAAACTCTGAGGTCGCTTCGTAGGTGATTCTTCTATATCTTTTTCCTCCTTTTTGATAACTCCCTCCTTGCGAGAAAGCGTGAGAGTCTCTTGGGACGCAAAATCATTTTCGCCCTCATCCTTCATTGAGTCTCCGGCCCCACATTTGGTAGGCTTTGCGTCTTCTTTTTTGAAAAAGCCCTGCAAGCTCTCCTGATTGATAGGTTTTACCAGATCGTCTCCGTCATTTTTCACGTTTCCAACGTCTTTCTTCACCTTATACCACTCAAGGTCGTCCTTCTCGTGCGGCCTAAGCAGTTTACTCAGCTTGGCCCAATTAGAGTCTTCAAGTCCCAGCCAACTGTTGAATTCATCTGTCCCGGGTTCCAAAACGACTGGCATGCGTGAGTGCAACCATTCCAGCTGTTTAGGGGCTTCCCTCGTGATGACTGTGTATTCATATTTGCCGTCACTCGTAACTGAGTACAAACCAGCAAGAAACATCAGTTTCTGGTCTTTGCGACGGATGAACCACGGTTGCTTATTTTTTGAGGACTCGGTTTTCCACTCAAAATAGCCTTCTATCGGAATAACACATCTATGATCAAGACAGCGGGACCAAACCTTGCTGTGCTCAATATTCTCGTACCTCGCATTGAACGTGGACAGTCTCTGTGGTTTCTGGCTCGCCCACTTTGGCGTCACACCCCATTTCATATAGCGCAACAAAGGTGTAGTACATTCGTGCTCTACGTTGAAGAAGTACACAGGTTCTATGCATTGAGGACCGACGTTATACCTCTTTGCAGACCACGAGTCAGCATCCTCAATGCGATCAATATTAAGGTTGTGCTGGGCAAATTGCGCAGGCAGTTCGCCCGGCGCAAAAGACATAGAATATCTCCCGCACATTAAAAAATAATCCGTTATTTTCTTGCTTAAATGTTGAGAACAGGATCGTGTGCCTGGAGGCGAGCGTCCACGTTTCCGAAAATAAATGCTATTCTGCCACTGAGATACATCAGCCAACAAGATATCAGTAAGACACCGTCACTAAACCAATTCCAAGACCCCAGCAAACCGCCTGCTCAATCGGTGACTCCTCCGCCTTTCAAGCCCAACAATGTTCCTCCGCCTTCATTTCCCAGCAAGCCTCGCTCAAATATGACCTCAATTCTTACAATCTGTGCGACGGCGGGTCTCATATACTGGGGAATCAGGGTCTATGAGGACTATGAAGACACCACCTATAGCAACGAGTTCGGTAAGGTTCTAAGCGACGCCCTTGTCGCTGAGAATGAAGGCGATTTTGCAAAAGCCCTGAAACTTTATCGGAAGTGCCTTGTTGTGTGTGATAGTGAGATGACTTCGGAACTTGACCAGCATTACACTGGCGCAGTTTTGAAAGTGGCGGAAATGTTTGAGAAACTTGAAGACTTCGACCACGCTCTTGCTGTCTACAAAACACTCAGTGAGTTCATGGTGTCAGAGATTGGCAAGCCAGAGCATAACCTGTCGAGGAAGAAGTTCGACATGCTCTTGCAACAATCCATGGTTGCCGCAATGAGATACACCAATCTTCTGAAGCCCGACGAAAAGTACAAGGTCAAGAAACTGTTACTGGACAATATAGTCATGGCTCAAAGACGGCTGGCGGAACACTACCCTGCATTCTTAGTTCTCCTTTACGACCAGATCAACAGAAGCATTGTTGACTTCCTCACAGCAGCGGATCCAAGAGTGCCAAAGTTGCCTAACGAGCTGAGAAGCATCGTCAAGGAGGGCTTGGTGGCTCAGCTGGCGCCCCAGCCTGGTCCAGACATGACCAAACTCCCAAAGGAAATTAAGCTTCTGATCACCGCTGGTGATGCTTGGCTACCGTTTGTGAAAGAATTGGTCTCTTTGAGAGACCAGTTCGCAGACATCTGCATTTCAGAGGGAAGTTTGGACGAAGCTTCGTTTTACCTTCGTACCAATTTGTTGCTCATGCAGAGCTCGATCGACGAGCCAGGAAAACTGACTCTTACACTGACAAAGATGGGCGTTGTTTTGTACCTCATGAGTGAGGAATACGATAAGCATGCCAAGTTTCTGGAGAATACAGACCAAATTGCCATCATAGACCAGCTGAGCTCGCTCGGATTCAAGCCCAAGCCAGACTCATCCCTTGGTAAATTCGGAAACGTCCTCAACAAAATCAAAGAAACAAGCTACAAGGAGTCGGAGGCCTCTTTCCAGCAGGTACTCGAACTGACTGGGATGATTAGATCGGCCTCTTTTGGCACAGACACCCAGCTGCCTGAGTTTGTCACCGTCGGCATGCATCTTGCAGAGATGATATCGTCCACAGGTTTGGCAATGCACATGTTGAGGGAGAAAAAGTATGCTGAGAGCAAAAAGCACTTTCTGCGTGCCCGTGTGCTTGCAATTAAGTACGACGTGGACGACTATCTCAAAGACATCGACTTCCATCTTGCGGAGCTCAACTCCAAGATGCTATAAATGATTACGTCATCATATCTCACTCACCTCTCATCCTGTTCATACAAAAAAAATTTGTATAGACCTAAAATTATTATATTTCCCAAAAATGTCCTCTACTCTTGAACGTGTCCCGCACGTGCGACATGCGACCCTTCCGGCACAGACGACTCCGGAGCAAAGATACTGGCGCGGTTTTACGAGCTCTCAACTGGTCAAAGAGCACAACTCTGTAACCCATGTCCACTTTGATCCCAACTCGCCTCATGATTTTGCTGTGACATCTTCGACCAGAGTCCAGATTTTCTCGTCCAAGACCCGCAAGGTGTCAAAGACGTTTTCCAGATTCAAAGATACCGTTTACTCGGGTGAGTTCCGTCACGATGGTAAACTTCTGGTTGCAGGAGACGCCTCTGGATTGGTCCAGATCTTTGATGCATTGCACCCACGAACCCTCCTTGTGTCGTTGACACCGTCCTCACATCCCACACACGTCACCAAATTCAGTCCGGCAAACACTACACAGCTATTGACATGTTCGGACGACAGAATCGCAAGATTATACGACATTTCCGACACGCAGCGCCCTATCATTAGTTTCGGAGAGCACGAGGACTACGTGAGAAGTGCCCATTTTATCAACGGTGTCTCCACAAACCTCGTTGTGACAGGCTGCTACGACGACTATGTTCGTGTTTTTGATGCTCGTGCTGGTTCGCAGCCAGTCGTCAAGTTCAACCATCAAGATCCTGTGGAAGATCTTCTGTCGCTCAATCCTACCAATCTGGTCTCCTGTGGTGGCTACAGCGTGAAAACGTGGGACTTGACGGCCGGCAAGAACACTAGAACGCTGTCCAACTTCAGCAAGACGGTCACGTGCCTCAGCGATGCCGGCGAGCGCGGTGTTCTTGCTGGTTCTGTGGACGGCCATTTGAAAGTGTTTGACTCGCATTCGATCAACTGGGACGTCAAGTTTGGCTGGAAGTTTGGCAGCGGTGTGCTGAGCTGCGGTGTTTCGCCCAACCACAAGCATCTCGTTGTGGGACTCAACTCGGGACTCTTGACCATCAGAACAAGAAAGACCGAACCTCGGGTTCCTCAGGGCAACAAGCAAACCAAGTCTGCTGCGTTTGCAAGGATGATGCGTGGCTCTGAGTATCACGGAGAGAGCGAGTTTCACGTGGTGGACGACAAGAATGAAAGCAGTAAGAAGCTGAAGCCGTTTGAAAAAGACCTGAATAGCTTCAAATGGTCTGAGGCCCTTGACCATGCTCTGGTCTCTGGAATGTCCAAAGAGCTCACTCTCACATGCATGGAGGAGTTGAGAAAGCGCGGCAAGGTGAGAACTGCTCTTTTGGACAGAGACGAGAACAGTCTGGAACCGCTGCTCACTTGGTGCCTGAAAAACATCAGCGACCCAAGAAACGTTAGCATTATCGCAGACTACACCACATGCATATTGGAGCTGTACGGCGATCTCATAGAAAAACAGCCTGTGCTCGAAGAACTGGTCTGGGGACTACAAAAACGCGTGGAACAGGAAATCCAGAAGTGCGAGGAAGCTTATAAGATTGGTGGAATGTTGCAGTTGCTGGCCGCGTGATTGTGTAATATAATATAGATCTCATAGACGTGCTCTATCGTCGTCTTTTGAAACGTCCACTTGTCTTCCTATGTATTTTCATGCGCACAAAGTTGTTTGATAGCGGGTGTTTCCCTGACAGGGTGTGCTTGTCTTCGCTGGTTACCTTCCTGCGCACATACTCCTCTTCCTCGCTTGCGGACTCGCTTACGCTTTCATCCTCGCTGATCGCCTTTGTCTCGCTCTTTTGGCGCAATTTTCTTATTTCCTCGTGTATGTCCACAGATTCCAGCAGATCCTGCTCGTCTTGAGGCCCGAGAGTGCGCAACTTCACTCGCCTAGTGGTCCTCTTAGCTGTCTTTTTGCGAATAATCACGTCTTCCTGTTTGATCTCGTCCTCTGGGAGCTCATCGTCGACCTCCTCTGAATATTCTCCATCGCGACTATGTTGACGTTGCAATTCCTTAATCTCGTTATTCAGTTCGTACAGGGTACGCCTGCCGACCCGACGAATGATCGGACTGGGCTCGACAACTTTCCTCGGAGACACATCCATCACCTGGGGACTCCTTTTCTGCGGCGTCAGGTTGCCAAAAAACATCGCATTCGATGTATTCGACTCTGATCGCAGGTACTGTGGAGTCTCCTGCAAAAGTGCCGTTCGCTCGCGACGCGGTGTCTCCTGAAAGAGAAGCTTGCGCTCAACTTTTTTCGTAGGAGTCTTGAACGTATCCGGACTCGCGACCTCAATGACGGGATTCGCTTGCTTTGTGGGCGTTTGGCGGGTTGGTGACTCCTTGATTTCGATATCGAATATTCCCAAGACTCTTCCATCGAGCTGCGGCGTAGGACCGATTTCCTTCTCGCTTTCGGGCGACGAAGGAAGAGGCGAACGGGGAGCATGCTCGGCATTTTCTGTCGGTCGCTCCTGACTTTTCCACTGCTCAACGCTTAATGCGCCTGACTGCAACTTCTCCAAGATCTTCTTGTACTTGTGGTATTTTTTATACTTAATCGAAACCGCGGGGTCCGCCTTTATTACATCTGTGGTGGGCATCTTGCCGTTCTTTGCCTCATACTTATGCTCCCAATGCTTTATTTCGCGCTTCAAGGAGTTCACATATCGCTCCAATTTGTTGATCTCCATCGGAACGCGTCAAAACAAGGCGAATAAAATTGAAATATTTAGCCACGCGCAGGTCACATGACAGAAAAAAAATAATCACTAAATACCTCGCAAGAGAACTGCTAGCATGGAGGCCCGGGAAAGCGGCTCGGACTCTCGATTCGCACCTAAGGACGTGCATTACCGGTTTACTGAGACATGAATGTGTTACAAATTAAATATTATTACTTTATCACTTAGAGAATTCTATCCGTTACTCAACAGCAACATCATCCGGTGTCTCAACCTTTTCGGCTTTCTGTGGAGCATCAACAGGGTCAGGTGGAGGGGCCTTGTCATGATCGCTAAAAATGCGTTTCGAGGATTCAGCAAGGAATTTGAGCTGATCCTGGATGAACCCGTCACACAGGGAATTCCAATCGGCGTCCTCGAAGTGTTTGAGATTGACTTTTTTCTCGCACACATAGTGATTGATGACGTTCCAGATGAAGTTTTCCAGGTCAAAGTCGAACTCTGGGAAATCTTCGCCCAGGTTTCTGATGCGATTGCCATCAAGATCGAACGAGTACCTATTACTGACAATGTTGAAAGGATCCATTTTTGGATCATGCACATGGTAGAATAATACCTTTGAGTTTGACGGAAGGAAATACTGGGTAAAGAACTTTTCGTAGTCGTACTGGAAGTTCTCTCCTTCCAGTTCGATAGCCTTGCGAATATTCTGCTTGACCTTTTGCAAATTAGAATAATCCGTCAGAGGATCGTACTGAACGATACTCGAGTGTTCGTAGTTCTGTTCATGGTTGTACCACCCGTATGCCCGGTCAGGGAGTTTATAGACTTGATAGTACTTTAGACCATAGTAGTGGGCTGCCGCAACAAACGTCTCTTTATCACCCTCACCGGCTCCACCCTGGGACAAAAGAGGGTAATACCCGTATGGACCATCAAAATTGTAGTACAATGCCAACAGCAAGGTCTGGAAATGAAGAGTCTTGTTGATAAGCATCTCACCTGCCTCTGTCGTCCAATCAGGTATGGTTCCCTCTCTGTCGTGGAGCGGGATGTTGTGGTATGGGTCAGCATTGAGCTCTGATTCGTAATATTTTGGATCAGTGAACATGTCGTTTAAATGCCTCACTTGTTTCTGTCCGATTTCTTGCCCTGTGATATGATAGAAGTATGGAGATGTGGTTCTTCTCCAGAAGTCCGGCCACGTGATCATCTGGTACTCTTTATAAAGGTCAGACACAAACAATGGATCAGGGTTTCCAACCGGGTATGCATCAGAGTCGAGGAAAAAGGCGTTTTCGAAGGATGATGCAAATAGGGCAAACGCTTTGAATTGATAACCGTTCACCTCGAATTTCCTTAACGTCTCTTTTCCGAACACTCTGGGCATCTCAACACACCTTGCATTCAACGCAGGAAGAATTTGGTCACAGTATTCGAATTCGTATTCGTCGTCGCTAGGAAGAATGACCTCCACAGGAAGCGTAGATCCCACCTTACGCAAGGTCTCGATACCAAGCAAAGCAAACCACGAATACTTACCACCACCGACAATCACGTATCCATTGCCTTTGTAAAATCTAGGAGTGATCTTAGGCAAGTTGCTGACCACAGTCTCATGCTTGAGAGTCAAATCATTGATAAACTGAGGTGGGAAATTAACAAATTGCAAACAGTCGTCCTCGCTGAGTCTATCCCATGGCTGAGCATAGAACAAGACGTTCTCAATAAATGGCTTTCCGTCCTTGAGAGTTTGTCTTTCCGCCAGCGGATAACTCAACTGATTTTTTCTCATCAGCTCGAAGATCTCTATGAAGAAGTTTTGGAACGTAACATCGCCGTGAACGATATCTTCAGGGGTAATTTTGTTGAGAGCTTCCTCTGTTGGAGATTGGTTGTCTGTAAGAGGTATGGATCGGTCGTCCGTTCTCTGTCCTTTAGATTCGTCTATCGAAGAAACTTTCGAGCCTTTCGTATTTCCTGACGATCCTCCAGGGATCACTCCTCCTTGCTCAAGGCTAAAATATAAGTTTTTAAGATTATCCGCGTCTTCAGGAGTCGAGCTTGGCGCTGCAGACTCTGAAGGCTTTTCTTTCACTTTGGAGGCGGCATATATCGAGTACGAACTGGAAGTGGACAGTTTAAATTTCGATAGGTGTTCTGTACCGGCAGACGAAGAAAAGACCAGTACCGTGATCAGTATCGACACGACCAGGATCAGAGTCTTAGCTCTTCTATTTCTTGCGAAAAACATAGGGATGGATGGTACTTTGCGTGTTGCTGCCTGGATCCGAGTGAATGTTTTCCCTTGTTATGCCTTTGTGTAGTCGTTGCGGAAAAATTCCCAGCCCGTAGTCTATACGGAATAGAAGTACAAGATCAAGAAACTCTTGAAACTAGTGATTAATATAGTAGACACACGGAGGCTGTGGGAGAATCAGCGCGCCACCAGTTGCTGGAGTGTTTTTTAAGTTAAAACGTATTGAAATTGCACTTTTTTTTTTCTCTGTTTTTATCTAGCCACAACAGCATCAGCCACAAGGCCTTTTATTCGGCCGGCCCGTTACCCAAAATGGGAATACCGGCCGGTTTCAGCTGATTACGTACACATGTTTTTCAAGTTCGTCGGCGTGAAAGAAGAAAAGGTTACCGGTTTCCACCGCCCGATAGCGGATTCTTCACACGTGGTGGCCGGATGGCCATCGCGTTCCCCTCGCAACGTTTCCGGTTATATGTATTTTTCTAGTTTCTAGGCAAGACCAAAGCGGTGCAGAGATGACGTTTAGAACAGGTCAAGAAAAAAAACCAAATCTGCTTGCATTTCATCGTCGCGTACCAACCTTTCTATTCTGATCAGTAGCTTGGCGAAGAGGTGATGTACAAGAAACTTGATAGCATGGGTATCGGAGCTACCAATAATAGCTCTCTGGGCAGCGCGTTGGCCAAACTGTGGAACAACTATAAGTACCTGGCGATCTCTACATTATCTATGTTCGTCATTTTGAATTTGCTGGTGTCAAATTCGGGCTCCAATCCGTCTTTCAGCCTTAGCCAAAGCTATACACAGGATGTTGGCTCGGCTACCCATAACACTACAACGATCGTGTCCAAGCCACCGAGAAAGAACGTGAAGGACATGTACACTATTGAGGCGAGGCTGATCGCCAACTTCCCTTACAACGCAAACGAGAACATCGAAGAACAAATCTGGCAGTTGTGGAACGTTCGCGCAGACGATAAAAACTTTCCTGAGGAGTGCAAGCCGCACATCGAGAGATGGAGAACCGTCAACGACAACTACAATCACAACCTCATAACCCTGTCTGATGCTGAGGACACCGTTGTGGACTACCTTCGTCCCAGCGTGCCAGAGGTTGTGGATGCCCTCAGGTTCCTTCCTCATGACCGTCTCAAATACGAGTTCCTCAAGTATTTGCTTGTGTACATCAAAGGTGGACTTTATGCAGACATCGACACCACAGACATCAAGCCGTTGAAATATTGGTATGACTCCAAGGTGATCGGGGCCCGGTTGATGGTCGGCATCTCTGCTGACTACAACGACCAGAACTGGGAAAAGCTCTACAATAGACGTCTTTCATTCACGAACACGATTTTCCGTGCCAAATCGCACCATCCATTCCTGGCTAAGCTGATTGCGCGAATCACGTATATTTGCTTCACTCAGCAGGAACTAGTGAAGAGCACTAACTGGGACGAGGTCTTTGATAATGTCGATGCGAACGGCGAGCCGCTGATTCAGTTCACAGGCCCTTCCATCTTCACAGACACGCTCTTCGAGTATATGAATGAGCTGACAGACGCTGTGTTTATTCGCGTCGCCAAAAACGAGAGAGACAAGGATCTGAAACCGATTGTGGGCCCTAAGGTTCCTGAAAACCAGCGATTCTCGTACAGATCATTTACTGGTGCCATTGCACCTACCCAGGTGGACGACATCATTGTGATGCCTCACATCACCTTCAATGGGCCGGAAAATGCCCAGAGAGACGAATACGACGATAACGATGAGAAACAGGGCTATGAAAAGTACTATTACGCTCGCTCGCTGTCGCTCACCAACTGGAGCAATAGAAAACAAAAAATTCAGTCCACTTGAGACGTTACATAAACTTACTCTATAGATTCTGATACGGGGAAATTAATTACTACAAATGCACTAGTTGCAGAGATCTCGTCTGCGTGGTATGTTGCCCTCGACGCTCTTCACGAGCGACTATTGATGGAACGGCTTCCAAACACTGTGTCACTTGATTCAGGCTTCTGCATAAACATCACTCTTCCGTATGAGGAATGGCAGCCATTTTTTTAATTTATCTATGCGCATCTTATTGTTGCTCACAATAGCCAATTAGCATAATTTTACGAGGACCCATTCTGGGCTCCGGGAGATTATAGAGCCCAGACTATGCCAAATACATCTTGTTTCATATGCTTCTTATTCCAAAAAGACTGGCCCGCTTAGGACTTCTCGTGCTCCTGCTACTTGTCATAGTACTGGAAGCCACCAGCGGAGGCGTGCCCACGGATAAAGAATCCTTCGTTTACAAGATCCGAAATCCCGGGCTGGTCAAATTATTCTCCCACTCTCAAACAACCTCATGGACTTGGAACGAGATCTCGCAGGCCCTCGTTTTTCGCTCTCCTGTTTATGACCATTCTGCCCCAACAACTTACGTTCGCAAAGACTCGCACAAGTTCTACAAAAGCCTGTACAAGAAGAAAATCCCGTCTGAGCCACAGGAAATGATTTTGACAACCAAAGAGGGTCTCGAGCCCTACCTGAGGGCGAACGGAACGTTTATGTCTATTGTGGAGGAAGGGGATATGGAAAAGCTTCTGAACACAGTCCACCAAATCGAAGAAACCTGGAACCACAATTACCATTACCCTTACGTTTTTTTGAGCTCCCAGAACATCTCAGCAGAGTTTCAGCACAGATTGAGAGAAGAATGTTCCGGCGACGTTATCTTTGAAGAAATACCTCAGTCCGTCTGGTCTGTTCCCAGTACAGTGGACGCTCTCCGAATGAAAGAAAGCATGAAGAAGCTGGCTGCAGAAGGAGTCCAGATTACGAGCGATATAGTATACCGTAACAGAATGCGGTTCAAGGCTGGCTATTTCTTCAATACAGGAATCATGACACATTACAAGTACTACTGGAACCTGGAAGCCGGTAGCGGCTACTTCTGCAATATCGACTACGACATATTTAAGTTCTTGGAGCAGAACAACTTGTTGCACGGTTTCGCTATCTCCCTGTACGGCAATCCTCACGCCGTGGAGTCTCTTTGGCCAAGAACACTGGAATTTGTCCGACAACATCCCGCCTATGTGGACAACAACGCCTCCTTCACTTGGCTCACCGAGTCGTTGCAAAATCCCGAACACACAAAAATAGCTAATGGCTACTCAACATGCCACTTCTCTTCTGCCTTTGAAATAGGCGACATGGATTTCTACAGGTCCAAGATGTATACCGATTTTTTCAGACATCTGGAAGACTCGGGGGGCTTTTACTACGAGGCGTGGGGAGACGCTTCTGTCAGAAGCATTGCTCTGGCTCTTTTCGGCGACAAAAATAAAATCTGGTGGTTTAGAGACATGGGAGTCTCGCAAGATCCGTACCACAACCGACCATTGAGCGATAAGTGTTCCAACACCAAAGACCCTGCAGGGTACTTTGGCGCAAGCGAGGTCAGTTATGAGAATTGCCTGCCAAACTGGATCAGGTACGAACTGCCCGAGAAAAACAGACAGGCATATACGATTCAAAATTAAAAATAGGACATTTTCGAATTTGCACGCAATATTCGAATGGGATAGGTTCCAAAAATTCCTCGAGCGGTCAGAACATCGTTCCGTCCACTAGAGAGCGGTCAGTTGATAGTTTTCAACTAGCAAAAACATGATCTCGGACGAATCCTCACTGATACACGTAATGCCCTTGCATAAGGATAATTTCCATCACTGCAATTTTTTCACCTTATATAGTTTGTGATTGTGGTTATGAGCACAGGAAAATATTTACAACTTGACTCCGATGTGAATAGCAGCCACGCCAAAGGTGAGGTTTTCGTAGCCCTTGCCTGGGACGTAGAAGCCGGCCTCTCTAATCATGCTAGCGAAAGTTTCCTGGTTAGGAAATCTGCGGATACTCTCGACCAGGTACTGGTACGAATCTCTATCGTTGGCAATTAGTTGACCCATTAGTGGTAGCAGTGAAAAAGAGTATGCTTGGTAAATATAATCAAGCATTTGGTTATCCACTTGCGAAAATTCCAAACATGCAAATATTCCGCCTGGCTTCAACACTCTGTATGCTGTGTTCAAGCCCGCCTGGATATCTGTGAAATTCCGGATTCCAAACGCAATGGTGTAGACATCTTTGGAGTTGTCTTCTATGGCGTCCATTTTTTCACCATTCTGTTCTAAGAACTGAATTCTTGGGGAGTTCGCATATGGCGTGGAAAGACATCTCTTGGCACCTTCCTTGAGCATGTCGGGGTTGATGTCGGCAACCACCATAGTAGATTTGTTGTCGCCGTACTTAAGTCTCGCGTGGTCAAGCAGCCCAAAAGCAATGTCTCCTGTTCCTCCGGCAACATCCAAGAAATGCAGCGGCTCTGGCGAGTTAGGCCTCATTCCACAATCCAATTTCTCGATGAGATGCTTCTTCCATAGCCTGTGTATTCCCATTGACATCACGTCGTTCATGATGTCGTAGTTCGACGCAACAGAAGAAAACACACCTCTGACAAGCTGCTCCTTCTGCTCTTGCGGAACAGTCTTAAATCCAAAGTGGGTCATATTATCCTTCAGGCCAGTGCTAGTAGTGCCGAACTGTCTGGAAACAGTATTCACATGACGCAAACTGGCTCTCCAAATTCTCGTCATCTTGCTCGTACTGAATATTTCCCAACTTCTTTTTCCCGCCTTCACCGCCACAAAAGGGCGCGTCTATTCTGCCGCGCACAGATTTGAGGATATCTATTTTTCCCTTTTAGCACAGCGTCTTCTTTATCATGAGATTTGCCACACAGGCCTTTATGCTCTTGCTCTTCAGTATTTACGTTGCTGGTGGTCTAATTCCCCCAAAAGTTGTAAAGTCTTTCAGCTACAAGGTGAAGTCTCACAATAAGGATATTGCAACCGAATTCCTCAGTGAGCATCAGGACATTCCTCAACTAAACATTTACAACTCCGAAATGAGACACTACTCAGGCACCTTTGACAAGACGAAGTCCAGCGGTATCTTAATCACCAAAGAAGCTATGAATCAAGAACATTTCCGAAAATTTGGACTCAAAAAAGTTGCCGACGTCGCGCGCAGCTTTGACGTTGGTGGACTATATAGCGATAGCGCAGCACAGCCAGTTGCATTCCCACCCGATACGCGGGCACTATTTTTACTGAACACGCAAGCTGAGAAGCAGAATACGGATGGCTCCGACTTGCTTTTGAGTGTTCCTTTTGATATACATAAAGGTTATCAGCTGGTAGACTACAGTCTGTTGCTCCCATTCAGATATCTCAAATTGAGAAATGATCTTGCTAGCTTTTTGGGTACATCGGCAAAAGAACAAAAGCAGGGCGTTCTGTATTACAATGCGAACACAAAACTGGAAATCAGCAGACCTGTGTTCATTATGGTTTTTGCAGAGAACCCAGAACAGTCGAAATCAACCTTCTTTGATATCTTTGCAAAAGGATGGATCAAATTCCTAGGCTCTTTCGACCTCACTCATTCCGTATTCTGTTCCGTGAAAGACCATCTTTCAAACACCTGTGTGAACATCAACACCGACGGAAATGCAATAAACGTCCAGCCAGCGTTTTCGAACTCACATATTGGATTCAATCACCTCTTCTCTACTCTTCAGAGAATGCAAAAGCGAGATGTTGAGACATCATCACTGCAACCTCAGTTCCGTCAATTTGCAACATTTGCGAACTTCTCAAGACTTAATATCAATGACCCCGATGATCCATTCAAAGCAGTCAAAATACAGGTGTCTGATCCGGGACTTCAGAGTAACAAGAAGAATTATAAAAACGGGTCTTCTTGCAACTCAATAGACCAGAATGGTAATGAAGTTCACAATTCTACGAAGCTACCAGACGTTTCAATGAAAGACCTTTACCCTTCAGTGAGCACGGAGCCCCAGCTACCGCGCCCTTCTCAGTATTCTCAGGTCATATTCCCTCAGCTGAGCAAGTATGACAAAAGAAGCCTGGTGGACTTTTTTCCCACTTTCGGTTGATGACTAGTGTACTGAGCCAAGTACTTTAGTCGTGCAGAATCAGGAAAAAAAAGTACTTGGATCGAAGACTCACTCCGGGGTACTTTCATATTATATTTTGAGTATGACGCATTTATCGTCTTTAGAACACCATTTGACGTTGCACGTACGACGCTACCTTACCAGACACTTCAAGAATGAAACCATAAGATTTTACTCGTTCATTGTTGCACTTTCTTCTTGCCTCCTGATCGCATCGGTGGTAACGTTCTCTATTTTTACACCTCAGTTCATGGACAATCTAGACTACAACCAGTTCAGCATAAACATTGTGGGCGCATGCATGGTGATGGGGCTCTACATGACTCTACCAGTTTTGGGATATTTCAGTGATTCTCATGGTCCTGTTCTGCTAGCTATCATCAGCTTGATTCTTTGTCCCGGATACTTTCTGGCTTCTGCAGCTTACAGGTACCGCTTAAATTACACTTGGATGGGTCTTGCGTTTTTCCTGATCGGATGCGGAACTTCGTCAGCGTACTTCTGCTCGCTGCTTACCTGCGCGAAAATCTATCCTGAACGAAAGGGCCTTAGCATATCATTACCAGTGACATTTTATGGACTTTCTTCGCTTGTTCTGGCGAATTTGTTTAAACTGCCGGTTTTCAAGACATCGAGAGGTGACATAGACATTCTCAAGGTCTTCACAGCATTGGCATTATTGTATTTGGTTCTGGGTGTTTTCAACTGGATTTCTTCAATTATAGTCACAATCGAGAAGGAAATTGTTTATCTGAAAATCCAAGGAGAATCGGGGCAGCGCGAAGAAGAAGGCCTCGAGGATGACGAAAGCACTCCGTTGCTCAATAGTCAACTTCTGGAACCTGAGACTCAGGGCACCAAGTTCAGACACTTCTTGTCTAGCCCCTCCACGAAGCTCCTTTATATGGCACTCTTCTTCCTGGCAGGACCACTAGAAATATTTGTTACAAACTTGGGATCGCTAACTGCAATGGTGGGAGATGTATCCAAGAATGATGTCGCCACGCAAGTGAACTACTTCAGCATTTGCTCGACAATGACGAGGCTCCTAATGGGCGCTGCAACTGACCTGCTGGGGACGATCAAATCGACCACGCTATTACTGGTGTCGGGCATTGCGGTGGCTACGCTTTCGTTTTTCTTGATTGCAATAGATTATAGTCATTTTTCCGTGATTACGGGTCTTGTTGGCATCGGGTACGGATCTACATTCACTCTTTTCCCCACTCTTATTGCCACTGTCTGGGGAGTTGAAATTCTTGGGTCTACTTGGGGATTATTCTTGAGTGCTCCAGCTTTTGGATCACTGGTTTTCGGTATGTTCTATGCGTTCGAATTTGACAGATATTGTGACATCAGTATTACCAGCTGGAATGTTTACTGCTTAACGTTTCCCTTTGCATTATTTGCTGCAGGATTTGCCTTGAGCGGTGTTCTCGTCTACTTCTGCTGGAGACTCTACTGGCACACCTCGCGCCTCACACTAGAAAATAATTAAATATAAAGAGACACTCATCGAGTAATGAAAGTTCTAAGAAGTTGGCACGTCAGGGTTCCGCGGTGGCTGTCTATGCTGCGAGCCGGTCGAGGCCAGAGGATTTTCTTTCCTGGATTGGCCTGTGAAATTTCACAGCGGAGATTCCAGTCCCACCATGTAGAAGAGGAATACACGATGGACGTGAGCAATCTGCCAGCCCGATGGAATAACCTCCCCGGAGACGCACAACAGGACATCATCAACTATCTGAAGGTGAAACAAGAGTTTGGATGGACGTACCTCACGCGAGACGAGAAACAAGCCATATACTACATCAGTTATGGTGAGTGGGGCCCCCGTGACGCAAAAAGCATGGGGATTCCCGACCTAGTGTTCAAGATCATGTCCAGTTCCATCCTGTTTGGAGTGGTTGGCTTCACCTTGATCAACTACGCACGCGATCAGACTAATGAGGAATGATTATGTCATCTTAGAGAGCAGAGAAAGCGTTGTATATATGTGCTGCTAAAAATAACCATGAGAACCACGTTACTACAGTACTTTGTAAAGTGCGTGAATCTTAGAACTCACAAGACAGCGTTCACACTCGGCCGCGATCTGTGCAACATAACCAAATCACGGATCGTCCATTGTTATGGCCATGCCGTACCTTTCTGCGCCGCCTCGCTAGATGCGTGGGTGTTTTTTTCTAAAAATTCTTCGACGCGCACGACTGCAAAAACGTAGGCACAAAAAAGCAGAACAAAATAAGAACAGTTTTTTTAGGACAACCAAAGCATATTTTCTCGTTTCACCAAGAGAGTATTAGAAGATGGCGGCCCGTAACTTGACTTCCAGGTCCCCGCACATGGAGTCAAACTCTAGTGAGGGTTCCAGTGCTGACCCGTTTAACCAGGAATTCGAGCCCCAGAGTTACGATGAGTACTCATCCAATTCCACCGGTTCCAAATCTCCAGAGGAACGTAAACAGTTCCTTGGGTATAATAACAGCTATCGGGATTCGACTTCATCCATAGTAAATCCTTTTGGGTCCAACAATAACTTGAGTACACAGCCTCTTGAATATGACAGATATCCACAGGGATTAACCGGCTCGCGTGCTGTTTCCATGGGCTCCGTTGGGTCCCAACAAGAAGGTGTTCGTCCAAACCGCTATAGTGATGGTTCCTCGCAGCTCTCGGAAAAGTCCTCGAATCCTTTTTTGGTGGACACAGATTTCTCTCCGTTTGGAGGCTATCCGGCCTCCTCTTTTCCCCTGCACATAGACGAGAAAGAGGAAGATGATTATCTACATAACCCGGACCCTATCGCTGATGCAGAATACGAGAAGCACAGATTCAGGAATGATCTGAAAAACATGGACAAGCGTTCTCTGGGTGCTCTTATAGGATGTGTTATCCTTGGTCTTGGCATATTGTGCTTATTTGTTGTCTGGCCAGCTCTTACTTTCACAGGTGTTACAGACCACTTGGACTCCAAACCATATCATGACACATATGTGCTTCTGACAGATTACGTTTATCCACAACTAAGTGCAATAAGAACTTCTTTAGTCGACGAAGACACTCCGGAGAGTGCGAAAACGAGAACGGCAAAGGATGGCAGTTTGTGGAAGCTGGTGTTCAGTGATGAATTTGCTGCAGAGGGTCGCACATTCTACGACGGTGATGACCAATTTTGGTACGCTCCAGATTTCCATTATGATGCTACGAAGGATCTTGAGTGGTATGACCCGGATGCAGTCACTACCAAAAACGGAACTCTCCAGCTTCGGATGGACGCTTACAAGAACCATAACTTGTTCTACAGATCAGGTATGTTGCACTCTTGGAACAGAATGTGTTTCACGCAAGGTATTATGGAGGTTTCGGCCAAATTCCCCAATTATGGTAATGTTACTGGTCTGTGGCCTGGTATGTGGTCTTTGGGAAACCTTGCTCGTCCTGGATACCAAGCAACAAGTGAAGGCGTGTGGCCTTTTTCGTATGAGGCTTGTGATGCTGGTATCACTGCTAACCAATCCTCGTCAGATGGAATATCTTACCTCGCAGGTCAAAAGTTGAACAGTTGCACATGTGATGGAGAAGACCACCCTAATCCGGGAACAGGCAGAGGAGCCCCTGAAATTGATATCATTGAAGGCGAAGTCGACACTAATATTCGTAACGGTGTGGCATCTCAATCGTTCCAGACCGCTCCTATGGATATTTGGTACATGCCAGATTACAACTTCATCGAAATCCATAATGCTTCGATTACTACTGTTAACACTTACGCTGGTGGTCCATTCCAACAGGCCGTGTCCACGACCACCACATTGAACACCGCTTGGTACGAGCTGGGTGAAGGAACAAGGTACTTCCAGAAGTACGCTTACGAGTACCTCAATGACAACGATAACGGATACATTAGATGGTTTGTTGGTGATCACCCAACCGCTACTGTTTATGCTTATGCTCTTGCTCCAAATGGTAATATTGACTGGAGACGGATTCCAAAGGAGCCAATGTCTATGATTTTGAACTTTGGTATTTCGAACAATTGGGCTTACATTGATTGGCCTTCAATTGAATTCCCTGCTATCATGGAGATTGACTATGTGAGGGTGTACCAACCTAATGACTCTGTGAGTGTCACATGCGATCCCGAGGATTATCCGACTTACGACTACATCAACAACCACCCCACGGCATATGAAAATTGGAACCACACAACTTGGAAGAGTGCGGGTTACACTTTTCCAAAGAACAAGCTTACTGGCTGTTGAAAAACACGCGTTATTATATATTAGCTAGAAATTGTTCTAGTGCCACGGATTGCTGTTGTTGGTCCAGGAAGTTGAACTCCATGATTTCCTGGTTGATGTTAAAGTCTGATTCGCGGAGAGCATCCAGCAGGTTTTGGGGCCTTTTGCTTTCCAGTTTACGAGCAAGAACTATAAGTTTCCCGCTTTTTCTAAGCGCGCGAAGCACAAACGCTATATGGTCGCTTTTTCGGAACTCGATGTATTTGTTGAAAATCTTGTTGCGCAATTTGTCCGACTCTAAGCCCCGAAACTCAGGGGCCTGTCTGAATGTGCGTTTAAACTCCAGATAATTATTCAAGTTGACGTCGTTGTGGAGGAGCAACTTGCAGTATTCTATCACCGCCCTCGTGGTGGGATCAATGTTGCTGTTCGATCGAGCGACCTGTGTACACCATTGGTCAAATAATGACCTTCGTTTTTCATCATCATCTATTTCAAAATAAATTGGATCGTTCATAAATTTATCGCACTCGAGATCGTAGGAGGAGTACGGGTCTACTTCGTAGCGAGTTAACATGTTGTAAAACCGTTCTGCTGCTTCTGAGGAGTTTTCTTCGTAGTCGTCCAAATCTGAGAGGTTTAGGCCTCCGGACGAATCTTCCTCGGACGACAAGTCGGACGACTCCTGTTCGGATGACTTGAAAACTTGATTCTTCATTTCTGACAACTGCATTTGCTTTTCCGGATTCTGTTCCTCTTTTGAGGACTGCGAGTCTTCCATTTCAGTACCATCCTCGGTGTCAGACTCGTAACCAAGCATTATACCTGTGTTGTCTGATGTCCGACGTTGAATCGGCGACACCTCATCTTTATTATCTATTTTTTCGTCTTGACCATCTTCCTCTTCAGAGCTGACAGCTTCGATCTGTTTAGCAGGGTGTCTTACGCCGTGAAGGAGCTCGTTTAGGTCTCCAGCTTCCTTGTCCATGATTCGTGCGCCCCTCGCGACCCCAAGTAATAAAAGAACTTGCTCTTTTTTGTTCTTCAGTTCTTGCACCTCGCTGACACACTCATTTGGCAATTCCCAATGGGATGCTAGATGGTCCTTGTCAAAATAGAACTTGTACCCACGATCAGTTATGACCAGTAACCATCTTTCTGACAACGACAGTTGGTATAAGGGTTTACCGTAATTCATAACCTGTCATAATTAAATAATTTTTTCAATCTATATACATTATTTCCACTCCAGGTATTCACTACCATACTCGTTCGGCTTGGTTTTTCTGTCCAGGACATGCTTCACCTTGTAGAGCACGCCATTTCTGTGTCCATATCTGTGCAAGAAGTATTTGCCTGCTTCCTTGCCGGTGACAGAGTACTTTCTGTTCGAACCGTCCTCGCCTTTAACGTATCTTTCAATCTCAGCTTGAGTAGGGAGTCCCATCTGCCATGGGTATTCCGCGTAGTTAGGAATCAAGTCAGGGCATTCAGGGAATTTAGACACTTTGACGGCTTCAAGCGCGTCGATGGTCTCCTCCACAGGTAAAGCAGTGTCCTCCTGAGGCTCAAAGGCATCCAAAGAGAGCAGGCCTTGGACGAGCCTATTTGGCACATCATTAACAGACGTGAATTTTGGATTAACCTTTCTATCCTCTGGATTTTCGGACTTTCTGTTGATGAGGTTCTTCAAAATGTACTCGTTGAAATCGTTAGGCCTGTAATCAAGCATCATTTTGGATGCAGTTTTGAGCTCATTGGTGAGCGCGTCATGGATGGTGGCCTGGCTGTTAGCAACTAGCATGTTCCACGTCAGTTTGAGCGAGATTTTCGATCTGGTCTTGAGTTTCTCGACAGTATTCAGTGCAAATTCGCTACCGTCGTTGATGAGCGCCTCAATCACCTCTTCCACAGACTTGTGAGCCTGAGGGTCAAAACAGGACTCAATCGTGTCCAGTTCTTCCGCAGTGTACTTGAACTTGTGTTGCGATGGGATTTGCACGGTAAACTCCTCAATGGCCTCGCTGATCAACCTGTAGAAGTCTTGGTTGGCAAAAACATAGCCTTTTTGGTCTTCGGCAAGTTCCGGAAGCTCCAAAGTAGTCAGTCTCTCAAGAAGCTCCTCGTGTCTGTGAGCAGGAACATAGTGTGTACCGTAGCCAGCAATCAGCGTGTCAATTCCAGATAGCTCGTCTCCAGTCAATGAAAGGTAGTATCCCAGATTTCCGTCCAGTTTTGGTAACCAGAATGAGGTCCCCACATCGCTGAAGAAGCCAATATTGGTTTCTGGCATGGCAAACCTGGTGCTTTCGCAAACAACTCTGAAGGGGCCGTGAACAGACAAGCCGACTCCTCCCCCCATGACGATGCCTTTGACCAAAGACACCACAGGCTTGTTGTACACAGAGAGCAAGTAGTCTAAGCTGTACTCTTTCTCAAAGAATTCGACCGATTTCAAGGGCTCCTTGCTCAGGTTGTACTTGGCACATTGGACAACGTCGCCTCCAGAACAGAAAGCCTTGTCAGACTTGGAGTTGATGATGATCATGTTGCTGGAGCTGGATCTGGAGAATTCGACCATTCGCGCAATAATCTCCTCACACATGGTGGTGTTGAGGGCATTGAGCTTCTGGGGTCTATTCAATGTGATAATCCGAGCTGTATTTTTCACTTTGAATTCCACCTCTGACGCCGTTGTAGAGTTCATTCTGCTTGTTAAAAGATGTGAATTGAGCGCTGCTAGACGAGGCACCTGTGATACCATTGCTGAGCGATGCAGTCGATTAAGGGCGAGCATATTGGAGAGGGGAACCGTGCAGGCAAGTCGGGTAATGTGTCGAGTAAATTTTTTATTTGTCGGTAGGGTAAACCCAATGGGGAGCCAGGGAGCACTGACGGCAGATTTTGCGAGACACAGTAGGCACATTTGTGCAGAGCTTTGTAGGCTGCTACATAGTACTGTTGCGGGCTACCGATTTCCCTTTTTCGCATTTCTAGTCTAGTCTCTCGTGGGACGTCTGTTTCTGCGCACACATTTCCCGAGAACCTACAAATTGCTCCGGGTTTTTTTCGCTGTCTTGGGCACCCCTCGCACCTCATCGTATATGGTCTGAGAAATCGTATGAGATACACGTGTAGATCTGTCTTCTCCTAGCCATCACCATGTCTGAAATAACTCATAGGCTGGCAAAAACAACACATAAAACAACCCCTCCTGTGATTGACACCTCGAATATCAGCCAGACCCTCGATTTCTACTGGACAAACGCGAAAGATCCGCACTCGATTAGACGAAAACTCATCCTACAAAAATACCCCCAGGTCACCAAATTATGTGGACACGAACCGCTCACAAAATACCTCTCATTGCTTGTTGTTCTGCTTCAGTTTAGCATCGCCTACTATCTCAGGAACACCAGTCCCCTGAGCTACAAATTCATGGCTCTGGCGTACGTTATCGGCGGGACTTGCAACCAGAACTGTTTCCTTTGTATCCACGAGCTATCGCACAACTTGGGATTCAAGAAACCGCTGCACAACAGGCTCTTTTCCATAGTGACGAATTTGCCCATCGGGATCCCCTACAGTGCTTCTTTCCAGCCATACCACCAGCTCCACCATAAATTCCTCGGAGACGAGGTCTATGACACGGACATCCCTACTCGCCTGGAGGCCATCTTCCTGTCCAACATTCTTGGCAAGGCGTTCTTTGCCACGTTCCAGATTCTGTTTTACGCTTTGAGACCCATGTTCATCACGCAGGTCAAATTCACTCTGGTCCACCTGCTAAATGTCATCGTGCAGGTGTTTGTTGATATCCTCGTGGTTAAGTACTGGTCTGCCAACTCATTGTGGTATTTTATCATGTCTTCATTTTTCGCCGGATCGCTGCACCCAACCGCTGGACACTTCGTGTCCGAGCACTACATCTTTGACCCTCCTAAAAACTACAAAAAATACGTGGATGCCCCCCCTCTGGAGACATACTCCTACTACGGGCTCCTCAATCTGGTGACGTGGAACGTCGGCTATCATAACGAGCACCACGACTTCCCCTTCGTTGCGTGGAGTAGGCTCCCGCAGCTGAAAAAAATAGCGTCCGAGTTCTACGAGCCGTTACCACATCACAAGTCATGGACGTGGACGATTGTCGACTTCATTTTCAACTACGACGTTACGATGTTTAACAGAGTCAAAAGAGATACAGCCGGAATATCGGAAAGACGAAAGATTGACTATAACGACAATTCCAAATAAGTATACTCCATAGATCTATATATGCACAGCCTAGAAAATACTATAAACATGACTTCACTAAAAAACCTTTTGGAGTCTGTCTCGCAGGAAGAGCAATTGCAAGGACAGCTTCTGCTTGTTGGTGGTGAAGCAGCAGATCACATCCGGTTTCTGAATGCTTTTGGAATCAGAGACGTCAGTATTACACCGTACGGATTCCATTTTGCAGAACACGCAGATGTTCACCTTTCTGTCCACTCTTTTGCTGGCGACTACGCTACGGTGTACCAACCAGTACTTGACAAACTTCTTTCTGGCTCGCTTGTGGTCTACATTCTCGACGCGCTGGAGCTGCTAAAGGAAGAGCTAACGCAAGAATCGATATTCAAGCGTGTTTCTGCATCTCTCAAGCCTTGGATTAACGCCTGCTCGAAGGCCTCCAGGTGCTCTATACAAGTTCATAACGTGTCTCGTGTTGATTACAACGTCAAAAGCATCGCCATGATTGACTATCTACAGCAGTTATTGCGATTGATCATGATGGATCAAAACGGCTCTGTGCTGTTCTTTCAGGACACGGATACGCCTGAGGACATTGTCCAGCTACTGAAAAGCTCAGCAGAATTACGGATCAAAGATTACGATAACGTGTTCGTGCCCAGTGGAAGCGATAGCTATGGGAAGATCAAGCTACTGAATGAAGATTTCGATTGCGAGGGAACACTCCAAAATTGGAATAGAATAGAAGTGGTTACCAAAGAAGTGCCTGCCAACGCAACACCGACCAAGACAGAGGACTTGAGGCAGAAGTACCAGGACTTCCTTAGACAGATCCATTTGGCTGTGTAAAGATGTGCTTTAGCTGGAAAAAATATTGGCCGTTTCGTGTGACATGGTCGATGCCGGAGTAAGCAGCGGCTTAAACAAAGTACCGCCTGTGGCAAGTCCCAAGGGCCCGGTGGAAACTGTACCTGAGGGAGATATTTCGGCGGAGCCTCTCGTGGAACCTTCCAAGAGACGGCGGTCGTCGCATCAGTCCATCAAACCGCGTTTCAAGAAGTCCGCGCTCAAGACTCCAGTTTTCAGGCTAAAGTTTGACAGCAAACGCAAAAACCCTCTGAAGTACGTCAATATCAGGGAGCTCATTTTGTATGCGCTCACAGACGTGAACAATCTGAATTTCGGAGAGCTCGAGAACAGGAAGTCTGTGAACAAGGTGGTATTGGTTCTTGCTGATGGACTTACTGCGACTGACTTCGGATATGAGAGTTTAGCTGGTCTTATTGAAGAGCAGGAAATAAAGAACGCGGAGAAATATCCATTCATTTCTCAGCAGTTTGCAAAATTCATTCCCTTGCTTTCCCCAGGAGCCAACAGAAACCTGTTCTCATGTGCCACCACTCTTTCTTCTTCGGCGGTGCCCGAAAAACACCGCCCGGCGTTGATCAAAGAGCTTGAGGACAAAGGTGTCCAGTTGTCCGATTTGGTAATTGACTACACGCAAATGGTGGCCAATGGCTACCCTATTCACCCCGATGTTCCAGGTGCTACCGAAGGATCTATAGCGCAATTCTCTACATTTCACGCTACGCGAGACCTCGGCAGGAAACCTAGAATGCTTGCACTGGATTGCGAGATGTGCTTGACTGCGTCCGGGAGCGTGGTCACTAGAGTGGCGGTGACGGATGAAGCCCACAAACTTGTGGTAGGAGAGTTTGTCAAACCAGACGAGGAGATCATAGACTACAAAACACAGTACTCGGGTGTTGACCAGGCCAGCCTCAAAGGAGTCACAACCACCTTGCATGATATCCAGCAAAAATTGCTGGCCACCATATCCAGTAAAGACTACCTGATTGGACATTCGCTAGAGTCAGACCTTTGCGCGCTCAAAATCTCACACCCAACGATAATCGACACATCCATTTGTTTTGACCACGTGAAGGGCCCGCCGCTCAAGCCGTCTCTGCGCCATCTGGCTTCCGAGATACTGGGAAAGAGTATACAACAATCTGCCAATGGTCATGATCCAGTTGAAGATTGTATTACATGCATGGAGCTAGTACAACTCAAACTAAAAAAAGGTCCAGCGTTTGGCAAAATGATCACTGAAGAGTCCATATTTCGCCGTATTTCGCATACAAACAAACAGGTCCTCATTGACGGCAAGAAAGTCCCCAAGACGGGAATAGCCATAAATTTTGGAGGCAACAAATTTTTCAATGAACAACGCATTGACGTCTCCACGGATGAAGATGCTGTTCAAAAGCTGACTGATTATCTACCCAACCATGAGCTGGCAATGATCAAGCTTCGCGAGCAGGACAGGTTCGATCTTAGCATCAAGAATATCTACGAAACAATGCCGAGCAATTCCCTTTTGATCGTGTGTGCTGGCCACGGCGATAGAAAACGGATCAACGAACTAATCACTTTGCAGAGGAACTTGTCTGGTCCTTTACCTCCAGAGGACCACCAAGAACTTATTGCGTGCGTGGCGAAAGCGAGAGAATCACTTGCTCTGATCAAGATTAAACCGTAAATATTGGCTGACGTAATTTAGTTTACGCGTAGATCAAAATAAATACAAAAGAAAACAAAACTCACAGATCTCATGACCACTCTGCGAGACAAAAAGCGAAGTTTCAATGAGAAAGACCGAGCTGGAGTCCCGATACAGCCTCGTCTAAAGCTTAATAAGCGGCTTGTCTTACGCAGACCGCCTCAGTTGGGTAGCGTGGCTCGTCCAAGCCCTCCGAACTCTCAAACAGCAAGCGGTGAACCTCGAAATGAGATCAGCGAGAAACCTGTCACAAAGCCAGAGACAATTGCTGAACCACCCCCTGAAAAGGGGCCGGAGGCTCAGAACATATTGTTGGCAACAGAAGAGAAACCCGTCCATTTGGCCTCGGACTCTCTGGAAAAGGCACAAAAGAATATCACGGAAGCGACAACAAAAAACCCAGAGCTCGAGAGAGTGGAGTTTGCTCTCGAGCAGTATGGCGAAGCAGAGGACTCTGAGGAGGAAGATTTACCATCTATGGAAATTAGACAGGAACTATTTTCTTTAGTCAAGTCGTTTCCAGGCCTGTCTTCCAAGTACAAGCTAATAGACAAAATCGGTGAGGGAACATTTTCCACCGTTTACAAAGCATACGACCTACATCGCATATCTGAAACTAGCATAGGGAAAGCGGCTTGGAATTCCCCACCAAAGGGCCATGTGGATAAGTCCACGCAAGTGTCTGACATCCCAATTGTTGCATTGAAAAGAATTTATGTCACGTCTTCCCCTTCGAGAATATACAATGAGCTTCAACTCTTGCACGGTCTAGTAGGATGTCCGAATGTGGCCCCACTAATAGATGCTATTCGTTATGAAGATCAAGTCATTGCAGTGTTGCCCTTTTATAAGCACGCAGATTTCCGCGATTTCTACAGAGACTTACCCCTGTCTGGAATAAAGATATACATGCATGAGCTTTTTACTGCCCTGAGTTTTGTGCACGAGAAAAAGATCATTCACAGAGATATCAAGCCTACCAATTTTCTATATAACCCATTGACTAGGCGAGGAGTTCTGGTTGATTTCGGACTTGCCGAAAAAGAAACAGAAATTGACTACGCAGCTTGCCCTTGTTTCCAGGGAGGGCCAGCAGCTGAAGACATTGCGCCTGTCAATGCGTTCCCTACGAAGGGATACCCGAAAGATGACCGCAGACCAGGAAGGCGTGCCAATAGAGCCGGAACTCGTGGATTCAGAGCACCTGAGGTGCTGCTGAAGTGCGCAAATCAAACCGTCAAGGTCGATATATGGTCTGCTGGAGTCATGTTGCTTACACTTCTATCGCGAAGGTTCCCTTTCTTCAACTCCACAGATGACACCGCTGCCCTCATTGAGATAACAAATATTTTCGGGCTCTCTCAGATGCGCAAATGCGCACAGCTGCATGGATTGGGCCTGGAAAGTAACCTGCCCAAAATTGAGTCCACCCAATCGCTAGGTGCGTTGCTATACACATCAATCTTCCTGGAGGCCAAACAGGGCGACACGCTAGCGGAAGACTCTCCTGCTTGGGAGCTGTTATCTGCTTTGGATAAAAAAGGACGTCCTGCCGAGACTAAGCTGGGAAGTGACTATGCAGAAGCTCTCGAAGTACTCGAATTATGCTTGAGACTAAATCACAACGAGAGAATTACTGCAGATGATGCGCTGAAGCTGCCCTTTTTCCGGTCAGGATCTAATGACGTCGACGATATTATCTTAGACTAGATTGCATTGATTAATAAAATGAATGATGGCTACCCGATACGTCTATGATACACTACTGCTGACTTGGTTTGGCCTTTTCAAACCGTTTTTCGACAATTCTTTTGATTTGAGGCGAGGTCTCAAATGGCCCATAGTTCCTGAATTTCTTGAAGGCCTTTGCAAACTCCGTCTCGTCCAAATCAGCATGCTGCTCATGGAAGAACTTCTCCTGGGCGATGATAAAATCCAAAGTCAAGAAGAATTTGTCTTGCTCCTCAAGGTCCTTGAGCGTCAGTTTGCCCTTAGTGTCCAATGGGGTGTTGAATCCCTCTCCTTCTTCCAGAGCAAGCGTCGTGTCGGACAGCTTAGTGAGGATTCCATCTTTATAAGCTGCCATCACGCCACCGGCCTTTTCGATGCAATGATTTCTGTAATCCCCTTTGAAAACCTCCACTGAGACCTTTCTGGATCCAGTCCATCCAATCCTAATCAGATCTTCTTTTGTGATCGCTGGAGGTTTGCTGGTTAATGAATAAGGATTCACAACACCAAACTTCAGAGATCCAAATATAATGAGCACCTTGAGCACGTTGAAGAAGAAGAAAACGCATTGAAGAACCTTTCCCGACTCAAACAACAATTCTCCACGTAAATATTCAGCAAATCCGGCATCGTAGAATTTTTCCACCAAGTAGCAAACAGCCTTGCACACCCATGTAGTCAACGCAATTCCAGGAGTTGGCGAAATAAAGTCTGGCAGATCAGTGTACAACCAAGTCAGAAGAGCAGCATAAATGGAGTAGGTAAGGAAAGTTTTCTCTTCCCAAATAGGAAGCAACAACTGGCCTGGCCAAACCTTGGACACAATCAAATCATCGTTCGAGACTCGAGTGAGCCATTTAGGTTTGTCCGCGTCACGACCAAACAACAGTCCGCCCTCGGCCGTTAACTCTCCAGGACATCTGGAAACCATAAAGCCCTTAGGAACCCTGTTGTAAAAGATGGATGGACATAGTGCCAAAGGCAGCGTTTCAAAAATTTGGAACAAGTCCTTGAACGTCTGCGTTTTCTTGACTTCAAAGCAGTAGTCCTTGTCTTCGTCAAGGTTCATGCGGATATAAACATCCTGAGCGTACTCTTGTTTCTCGGTCATGATAAAATACGTACGATATTCAGGCCCCGCAAAAAAACTACCGTGTCGTTCATGGTACGTTACGTAACAAAAATCCTGCTTTAGTATTTATTCTTTTGATTACTTAATCTGAGCTAGATGCTAGTTACATTGTCAGAAACTACCTGGGCCCTTGGGGATCATATCATCAAACGATGCTACAGACATGTCAGCCTTTCTGTTACCTAATATTAACTTCTAAATTAGTTTTGGACAGCAGAGAGAATGTCGGAGTCACCAGCATCAAGAATGGCAAGGGTTCCGACTCTGAAAAGTTTACCACAAGCAGTACCAAGCTCGTTGTTTCCACCTTGGAAGTAGTAGATGGCAGTCTTGGACAACATGGCGTAGTATTCCAACTCAGACTTTCTCAAGACTGGGGTGTTGGCAGCAATGATGATCAGCTTAGCCTTGCCTTGTCTCAATGACTTGACAACGGACTTGTAGCCGAGGGTGAACTTACCCGACTTCATAGCCAGGGCCAACTTGGCGTTCATGTTCTCTGAGTTCTTCTTGGATTTAGGTGCCTAGCATGGTTAGTTACGGAGAGAAATAAAGGATACTGACCATCTCTGTGTTTTCACTCCGGTCTTAAGCTTGGTGAATTTTTTTTTTTTTTCAGAGATGAAAATTAACCTCTGAAAGACAGTCACACTAGGTTTCCGTATTGGGTCTCTAAAATTTTTCGACCCTCACGCTCTCTACATTTTTTTCTCAGCAATAATCTTTTCTCATCAAGATGAAGGTTGAAGTTGACTCGTTCTCCGGCTCGAAGATCTACCCGGGCAGAGGTACTCTGTTTGTGAGAGGTGACTCGAAGGTGTTCAGATTCCAAAACTCCAAGAGCGCCTCCCTTTTCCACCAAAGAAAGAACCCAAGAAGAATCTCCTGGACTGTTTTGTTCAGAAGACACCACAAGAAGGGTATCACTGAGGAAGTCACCAAGAAGAGAAGCAGAAAGACTGTCAAGCACCAAAGAGCTGTTGTCGGTGCTTCTCTCGATTTGATCAAAGAAAGACGTGCCTTGAAGCCAGAACAAAGAAAGGCCACCAGAGAAGTGGCTGCTCTCAAGGAGAAGCAAAAGAAGCAAGCTAGAAAGGAGAAGAAGAAGGCCGAGAAGGCTGCACAGGTTGCTACTGGTGCCAAGATCTCTAAACAGCAGGCCAAGGGTGCTTTCCAGAAGGTCCATGCTACTTCCCGTTAGTATCTGATAATGAAGATCAAGTAAGGTGTACAGAAGTTGTAATTCACTGCTGTTCGTATATTTCGTCCAGCCGTTCGATCGGCAGACCTTTAGTCTCCGGGACCAGGCTGTACACCAATGCAAGCCCGGTGACGTTGAAAAAGAAGAACACGAATCCGATACCAAAGCCGAAGACCTCTGTAAGAGGCGGCGTAACCAGTGTCATGACGAACGTCACTAGCCAGCTCATCGATCCGCAAATGGACATAGCCTTCACTTTGATGGATATCGGATAGAGCTCTGAAACCACCACTCCGCTCAACGGACCCCATGTAGTAGCGAAAACTCCTATAAATCCACATGAAAGCGACACCATAACGACGCCCATGGCGACGTTCATGTTGATTTTCGACAACATGCTTACTATGGTGAATAGCAGCATGAAACAGGCGAGTAGCGCAGACCCTGTCATTAGTAAGCTGGTCCGCTTGTAGCGATCGACGATGAACAGGGACACCACTGAAAATACCAGATTCACAAACCCGAAGAAGACTGGCACCAGGTATGGGTTTGTGAGGCCAATTGTAGCGAAGATCGTGGTGCCAAAGAAAAAGAAATAGTTGATGCCTGTCAGCTGCTGGCAGCAGAGCACACTGATACCGGTCAGCGTGCGTAGCAGGTACTTGGGCTCTCCTTTTCTGATCGAGTTCTTTTCCTTGAGATTTGCGTCGTCGTCCTCGCAGCTGTGGTTGTTGAACATGAGAGCGACTATCCGCAGCACTCCTGGGTCGTTCACTCCTAAAGATCGTGCACGAGCTACCGACAATTTGGATTTTTCCACCAAATTGCGGTTTGTAAGATACCAGTATGGGGATTCGGGTACAAACCAAATGAGAACACAGACTGCTACCGCCCAGAAAAGCCCTTGGATCAGGGGCACTTTATATTGCAACGTGCTGGTATTCTCGAAGAGCGACTGACAGAAATACATGGTGACGGCTCCAAGCTGAATCCCAACGGTGGTGAGCAGTTGCTGAATGCATATCATTCCACCTCGCATACTGGCAGGCGCCAGTTCACTGATCAACATGGGACAGGTCACGCAAATAATGCCGTTGGCCATTCCGTTCAAAGCCCGGCCAAACATCACCTGGATCCACACGAATGCGGTAACTGTCACCAGGTTTCCCACAGCGTAGATGACGCCTGCTGAGAATATTGTTGCCCTAAGCCCAAATGGCGTAATTAATGAAATGCTAAGGATGCCACCAACGAACCCGCCCAGACTGGAAATACCGATCAAGGCTCCCTTCGTGATGCTGTGGAACGCGATTTGGCCGCCAGTTTGGCGGTCGCCAAAAGTATTGACGAAGGCGGGCATGTCGATCATACCTCCAATAGTCCCGATGTCGTATCCAAAGATCAGGCCCCCGGTAGCTATGATGGAGCTGAAAATGATGATTGGCCAGGTGGACCCGATATCGTCCTCAGCTGGAGTCTCATCCTGTTCATCGGCTTTTCTGCGCTGCCCTTCCGGCAGTCTGGGAGAAACAAACGATATCTCGCTCATGAAGAATGCTCAGGTCCGCGGTAGGGATATATTTTGCTCCTTAGCGCGAGGGCCCTACGAATACACCCGTACACCGGTAACATGGGGCCCAAAGAGGCTGGGTTCGAGTTTCGATGAGGCGGATCCGCTTTATGGCAGCTTTGTCTGGAAGAATACAGACCCCGGAGGTTGAGCAATGTCATGTGTGCTAGGAGCTGACCGCGTTGTGAGCTTAGCTGCCGAGTATTAAATGTAGTCTAAATTTAATTTTCCGAAATACAGGTCTAAAGAAATAATAATCAGCACTTCTGTTTTGTGGACATGAATTTCAACAACCCCTGTTTGAAGGTATTCATGGAAGGCTTCTAGTGGTGTCTCAGGAAGCAATATTATGGAACTACCACTTTGCGGAAGAGTTAGTCCTGCCACCTTACAGTTCAGGCTGCCCATTTTCCCAATTAGGAAGCCAGCCTTCTCTTTCTAGTATGAGCTAAGATTTTAGTTGCATATAAAACAATAGGAGATAGGATGGCTAGCAGTGGTACAGGCTTTTTTGGGTAGCAGGATTAATGTTTTGAATAGTATGGTTATAAGGATGTCTTTGTTGACGGTGAATATTTCCTCCAAGCGATGGCTTGACGATACCGATCTGGACACCTTATAAATAGTCTGCCTCAAGATCCTGAAACTTTCGCACACTCACTTATACACTCTTTACTATATGCGTTTTTCAGTCGCTCTTTTAACTGTTCTTGCCGCTGTGCAGGCTGCCCCCCTGCCAATGGCCAAGGTGATCACTAGAATGCATACAGCAGATGCCGTGACCACTACACAAGATAACTACTATACGGTGACGTCCACCATTCCAATCGTTGAGATCCTTATTTCCAACGGTGTCACGTACACCAAAACTCTTTTAACCGTTGCTTCCGGAAGCGAGATCAACGCTGTCCAGCCAACCACCACCGTGGTTGCCAAGGACCCAGCTACGGTTGCCAGCCAGACTAGTGACTCAGTGCCCATTGTGACACAGAGCAGCAATCCAGTGCCGATCGACACCAGCATATCTAGCACTTCTACGAGTACGAGCCAGGATTCGCCTGTCTCTGTGTCCACGACCCCTGTGCCATCTAGCAGCTCGCCGGCCGCAGCTACCACCGAAGCTACCACGGAGGCAACCAGCACTACTAGCTCTGACGACCTCGATCTTGTTGGATCTGTCAACGTCGAAAACACATCCACTAGTACAAGTTTGACTAGCCCGTCTAGCTCGACTAGTTCCAGCTCCTCAGTGGCCACCACAGAGACCTCTTCCACGAGTGAAGCTTCTTCTTCCACCAAGCAGACGCCGCCATCCTCGACCGAAGCTCCTAGCTCAACGATTACCTCATCGTCTTCGTCGTCTACAACATCTTCGTCCTCGACGTCGGAGCCAGCTAGCTCTACAGCAAGCTCAACGACCTCCTCTGCTGCGTCTTCCACCTCTTCGTCGTCTGCAGTTTCGACCGTCATTCCTTCTGCCATTGTGTATTCTCCATATACGGACTCAGGATCCTGCAAAGATTATGATACCGTCGAGAGCGACCTGTCCCTGATCCAGTCCAAGGGAATCGGCGAAGTCAGAATCTACGGAAACGATTGCAACTACCTCACTACGGTGCTCCCAATCTGCGCAAAAAAAGGAATCAAAGTCGACCAAGGATTCTACATCAGCTCTGCCGGAGTGGACTCCATTGACGATGCTGTTACTGAGTTGATCAAGGCCGTTCAGGACCCCTCTTCTGGATTTGACTGGGACCTCTTCTCCTTCTTTAGCGTCGGTAACGAGGTTATCAATAACGGCTACGCTACGGTTGGTGATCTGATCAACAAAATCAAGTCTGTTAAGTCGCAGCTGCAAAGCGGTGGATACACAGGAAAGATCACCACCGCAGAGCCGCCTAGCACGTATCAGAATAACCCTGATCTATGCACGAGCTCTACTATTGACTTTGTCGGTGTGAACGCTCACGCTTATTTTGACCAGTACATCACTGCAGCCGACGCTGGGACTTTCCTTACCAACCAAGTTCAAGTGACCCAACAAGCTTGCCGAAACATGGACGTCAAGGTGGTGGAGACCGGATATCCAAGTCAAGGAAAGCAGAACGGAGGCAACATACCGTCTCCAGAGAACCAGAAGACAGCCATTAAGAAGATCCTCGAGGACTTTGGCTCCGACGTGACTATTCTAACAACGTACAACGACTTCTGGAAGGATCCAGGTCCTTACGGCATCGAGCAGTATTTCGGGGTGATCAATATTCTGGAGTAACTAACCAATTTTGCGCCTTTTACACATGAGGATATTTCGAGATTGTACAACTAAAAATCAATAACTTTTTTCGGGAAGAACTCATCAATCAGCTCAAGATAGTAGTCTCTGACCTCGTCGATGTCACATTTCTTGTCCGTCTTTGAGTAAAGGTCGTAGGGATTGAATTCTTTCACGGCCCTAAGCATCTCTTCGTCACGGTCGTTCATTAAATATTTGTACGCACCCTCCTGGTGCCATGGATAGAAGGAGTGATATCTGATCATCGCAAGCGCCTGCGGAGGTAGACGGCTCTGCTCCTTCGCTAGATGATACATATACTCATCGTGTCCCCAGCTCAGCATGACGTTCTCAAGACCGCAATGAGGAGAATAAATACCGTACTTTGTGTTGTAGAGCGGATTGTAGTAGTCGGGATTGGCTTTGAAAAACTTGTAGTGTATAATTTTGGTGGAGAATCGACATCCAACAGGGAACGTGTCGCCAACCACGTCCCACTGGCCCTTCGAGTCATAGAAATAGAGCAGTTTGCCGAGGTCGTGAATCAGGCCGACTAACTGGAACCATCGCGGTTTGTTGTCTTTTCTTATCGCCTCTGCCGTCTGTAGCGCATGCTCTATCTGCGACAACTCGGTGTCGGGATCGCTTTCGTCCAGTAAGTTGTTGAGTTTCAAGAGGGCGTCCCATATGGTCATCCTGTCTCTTATTTTGGTTTTGAAGTTAATCCGTGCCTGTATGTTGTACGCTACCGTTTGAAACTCGTGCTGCTCTTTGTAAAACTGCTTCACACGGTCGTATGCGAGGTCGTATTGACGGTATTCTCTGTATGTTGCATTTATAAGCACACTAGGCACTTGAGCGGCTGCCTTTTCCAACTCTTGTAGTTGCTGTTCCTTGTCCTCTTTTTTCTCTTCCAGCTGCTTTATCTTCTGTTTCAGCTGGTTGAGTTCCTGTATATCCTCATCCAGCTGCTCCAAGAGACGGGACTTGTCCAAATTCTGGTACTGGACCTTCGGTTTTTCTATTTTGGACATGAAAAAGAAATCGTCACGAGACAAAATTCTTGTACCATGCTTGTGTTCCGGAAGCGGGACGAGGAATGGAAAACGAGTTTTTTCGCTTCTACGTTACGGTTGTATGCATACTATTTCAACTTCTACACGGCTGCTCAACAATAATAGCATTACAGTATCACATGTGATTGGGTCGATGCGACCGGAAAAAAAATTATTTCAGAATATTCGATAAGCTGTTTACAAAATTAACATGGCCGCACCCAAAACGTCGAAGGAGACCAAAAAGTCAGCGTCCCCTTCTGCTGCCGCAGTAGAGGAAAAGCCGACAATTGTCGTCAACGAAAAAGAACGCAAGAAACAAGCTTTCATCGTAAGAACTATCTGGACCCTTGTTATGATTTTCGGTATGTTCTTCATAATCTGTGCAGGCCACTTCTGGACAATCATGCTGGTCCTAGTTCTCCAGGTGCTGGTTTTCAAAGAGCTCATTTCTATCACTAGCGAGAGAGCAAAAAATCAGGACCTCAAGTATACAGGCTATCTCAATTGGTACTTGCTCATCACTACCATCGCCTCCTTGGAAGGCAAATCGCTCATCACATACACCATCAATTTTTTGATCGACTCCAACTACGTTTCTGTCCTGGCAATGAAGTTTATTATCCATCAGAAATTTGTCTCGTACTGCTCGTACGTCTTTGCCTTTGTTTTCTTTGTCTCTACTCTGAAGAAAGGCTACTTGAAGTTCCAATTTGCACAATTGTGCATCACCCATATGATCCTTCTCCTGGTGATCTTCCAGGGCCATTGTATTGTCAACAACATTCTTCACGGTATGATTTGGTTCTTGCTGCCGGTCGGACTTGTCATTACCAACGACATCTTCGCGTACATTTGCGGTATCACTTTTGGTAAAACTCAACTCATCTCCATTTCTCCCAAGAAGACTGTTGAAGGGTTTGTTGGAGCTGGGATTTGCACCACATTTGCATCGGTAATCCTCACTTATTACTTGTGCAATTACAATTACTTCATTTGCCCAATTGAAAACTACAACGATTTGCAGGTTAACTGCTTGACTGGCGTCTCCTGTGAACCAAATCCTGTGTTTATCCATCAGATTTACAAGATTCCAGCCGACTTGGCTAAAATAATTGGAAAGGAATATGTCCAGATCAAACCAATATACCTCCATGCTACCGTCTTGTCTCTCTTTGCCTCACTGATTGCTCCGTTTGGAGGCTTCTTTGCTTCCGGCCTCAAACGTGCTTTCAAAATTAAAGACTTTGGTGACACTATTCCAGGTCATGGAGGAGTCACCGATAGAATGGATTGCCAATTCCTTATGGGCTCCTTTTCGTACTTGTATTACGAAACTTTCATTTCGACACATCATCTCAACATTGGAAATCTTCTGCAGACGATTGTCATCAACCTTTCGGGTCCCGATATCCTGACTCTTGTCAAAAGTTTACACACTTACCTGTTCAAGATAGGCATGATCTCAGAAGACGTTTATGGCCAGTTGGTGGAACTCCTAAATTAATAAAGTCCACTCTCTCGATTTAGCTACTTCGGTGCTACGGCCCTTTTCTTAATTGTTATTCGAAAGTCCAGCAACCTATACATAGTACGATTAACCAAAACCATAACCGGGACCATCTCAACTCTCCGAAGCCGTAATGGACTCAAACTAAAACCAGGGTATTTCAAAACTAGCGTACCATTGTGAAACCTTATCGTGTAATATCGTGTTGAATTCTCTGACTCCATGAGCGGACAGCCTGAACTGTGTGTGTAACTGTGAGCCCAATTTGCTGAAATGGAAGCGGGATTCTTTGTATAGGCTGCAAGCAAACGAGACCCATTTCCTGCGAATCAGCGGCAATCGCTGGCGAATATATTTGAGTGCACGAGTAGAATTCTTCAAGGACCTCTGTCCAATTGCGAAGAACTTCCGTTGAGCAAAAGTATTGGCCTCGAATAGCGAGGAAAGCTTTTTTGGTATATCTAGGTACCGTTGAGTCAGCTTTGAAGTAATGTCTTTCATTTTAGTCAACAACTCCTCTAAATGTTCATCGCCACGTTCAATTGCAAGCTTCGTTTCTCTGGCAAAAGCCAGAGCCGTGTCTCCTGTCCAAAGCCGAGCATGCAAAAAGAGACTATCTGCAAATTGGAGCCCTTCCTTGATGTGGGAACCCCATTTCCTGATCAATCGACGTAACCTTAAATTTGTCCCCGCAGCCCTCTCGATGGAAAGCTCTTTAGCGAAATCTAATACCTTCAGGCTTGTCGATAAGTTCTCCTTCATAGTGCTCCCAAACCTGCGAGACCACTCTAGTCCCTTATCGCCCAATTCACGTCTTTGTTCCTTTATCCAAAGAAGCCCGCTATAAGCGTCAGCCAGTGCGCCTTCGCCAAACAATTCCCTTCCAAATTTGAGACGGTTATCGAAAGTTATCAAATCTTGATCTTGAAACGAGCAGCGAGTCTCATACTGTTTGCGTTCTTCAAAGTAGTGCTTCAAGCACTCCATCTTGGTATCTAGACCCTTCACTAGACAATCCTGAAGTGTGGTTCTCATATCATCAGACACAGCAGAGCAGTCTATATCCTTGGTTTTGAATACCGTTCCTCCAACCAGCATGGTCAGGGCAAGTCCTAGTGCAGCAATACAATGCCACGATTTTAGTTTATCCCGCTTTACAGCTTTAACATGGTCGGCAAGTGAAATGAGGGACTCATCAGTTGCGTGCTGATCCTCAAAAACATCTTCTTGCCCCTTCTCTAGTTCAATTCGAGGCACAGAGAAATGTGATCCGCTAAGTTCGTTCTTGAGCGTGGACACCGAAGCTCGAACTTCTCTGTTATGCTCTTCCCGTACTTCATCATCGCTAGATACAACATCATCATAGGCAACTGATTGCGAGTCGCTTCCGGTCACAATGGACCATGAATCATCTGAGGAAAGCTCTTGGGGGGTTAATATCTCTGAAACATTATTGGTGCTGCCATTATTGTGCGGAGTGGCGCTCTCTGGTGTAGCTAGACCTGAGGAAGAGCTGGATGCTTCCTTTGTGGCCATGATGTATCTTAGTATCAAATCGGGCTGCGCTTAATATTTGAAGGCTCGTGCTCTGTGTTTTAATTGGATGGCAAAAGCGGCAAGAAGAGGAAAAGATAAGGGAATTTCTTGTTAAAGTCGTGGCGTATGTGGCAGTGCACTAAAAATAAATACGCTTGATATTTTTTTGACATAATCACCTATTATAGCAGCTTTCCCAAGCCTCCAAATTTATCTGAATATACTCTCCCAAGTGCTTGTTATATTCAACGACCAGCTGTGCTAAACTGGACTTGAACCATTCATGAAACTTCACGAGCTGGTCCCATATTTCATCATTTATTTTCCCCAGTTCCTCTTCGAGAATCTCTTGTTGTCTTTCAAGTTGATAGATCTTCAGTCGTAAATCGTAGATACGGTTTTTGCGCGTTTGGTCTGGATTAGGGTCCGTGTATTTCAGTATGACATTGTTGATCTTCTTGATCCCAGGTATTTTCCCGTAAAATGGCTTTTTCGCGTTCACATAGAGAGCAGATTGTAGCTCTGCATCCGTGAGCGGCGCTTCTGCACTAGAATTACCGGATTGCTCTGAGCCGGTTGCCCGCGACGCAAGAGCATCAATTCTCGATATCTCTTCTTCCTGTTTCTGGTAGTCTTTGTACTTGGCGCGCGAGTCCTGCAACGACTTCTCGACCGTCTTGAGCTGCACAGCCTTGTTTCTGTTGTACTGGATGATCCTTTTGGCAATTTTGGTGAAGTTCTTGAGTTCAATGAGCTTGTCCAAGAGCCCCAGATTCGTTGCTTCAGAGAGTTGGTTGGCGTAAATCAAGGTTCTGTCAAACACTCTACCAACATTCTCAATGGAATTTGAGTCTTGAATCAGTGACAGTGCTTTGAAGGATGACCCAAGCTCGGTCAGATCGGGAGACATCTCAGTAAAGTGCTTCACCAGCCTTTTGTTGGTACGCGAAATGTTATCGAGCACTGCCTCATACTTGGAAAACTTACTTTCGAACTTGACGAAGTTTTCAGACTGTTCTTCACCAGCCAGCTCTGGGAAGGAACCAAAATTCGAGGCAGATGGCACCGGAAGAGTGAGATATATTTGATTTTCAAGGTTCGAAAGCGGATCAAAAGGTGCCAGCTTGTAGATCGATGTCTTGTAGAGTATCTGATTTTCTTTCATTGCAAGAAAGTCACTGAAATTGGTTTCTGGATCAAGAAAGCTTAAAAAGTAGTGGCACTTCTTGATCTGGTCAATCGCCAAACATCGGTTTAGAAACACGCTGAGCATCCGTTTTCGATACTCAACTAGGTTTAATGGGTTATTGTTGTTTGCTGAGGTACCATTTGCGGCTGGAAAATGTGACTCGAGTGACTTGGCAGTACTGGACGTCAAATTTGATGCTAACGTTTGTTTTTCAGGGATCGGAGGAATTAGCAGCGTGGGGAAGGTCTTAATCAGACACGTACGCAGCATTTCAAACTCACTATATCGTCTCTTGACCATTAAAGGCCCAACTTTTATCGTATACACGATATAACTTTGCAGATGATTATGCGTCTCGTTCGATTTAGAAGCTTCTGTGATGTGCAATTCGAGGTTGGGGTCCGATTCAAATATTTCAGTCACCCTTGAAGGGGCCAGAAAGTCCTTTCTCGTAATAATCGAGGTGGTCGAGTCCACTACTTTCGAATTGTCCATGTTGTAAGTTTAAATGAAAAAAAAGCCCTACAACTCATTTTGCCATGTATACAAGCCCAAGATTACTTAAGCAGTCGACGAATATATTGTGATGAGACAGGTCTCGGTTTCTCTCTCATCAATAGGGAGGATTGCCAAATACCACCTTTATGGGTGTCTTGCTTCTGTATTGATACTTGGAGAATCGAATGCGGTAGCTAAGATCGCCATGGCCGCGTATATTGGCGTTTACAGTATAGTTCTGTTTTGTTATGGATCAATTGTTTACGTCAAATCTTTCCAGTCTGTGCCTGAAACGCGAGGAGGTTTGATCAAGGCAGGGCTCGATTTGCTACCATTGCTGGTGGAAAAGGTATCGCGAGTGTTGATAAGTTGTTTTCACGTCATTTTTCAACTGCTCCATCTATCGTCTGGCACGAGCACGGCCAACGAGCTGTTGGTCGCCTATGCCATTGTGAGCTTCCGGAAAATCATTGCTTTGGTGTGCTGGGCATATATAACTCAGCAAGATGACAACAGTGTTCACATGAAGGCCTTTCTGGTGTTCTGTGTGATGAATATAACACAGAACAGATTTATACTGAAAAACGACACGGTCCAAGGAGAGCGTGTGGACTGGAAAGAGGGACTGGCAAGTTTTGTGGCCACACCGTCGAGCAACAGCAAACGTGAAGGGGAGAAACTACATTTCCGCAGAAACACGCTATTTGCTGCCAACGCGCTTTTCTCTGCTGTCCTATTCGTCTCCATGTTCAAGTACTACTCGCAGTTCCAGGACAACTACTATAAAGTGATGAGCATCCTTATCAGGTTGATTCTGGTGGTGGACATGGAGTTTCTGCGCACTCTGTGTGACGAATTTGTCGGGCTCGATGTCGTTATGGGCGGTGAAAAGAGTAACGTTTAGTACAGGAAATAGCATGATACATTAACGTCTATGTATTTTGGCGCGACCTAAGGGATCTAACTCCAGAACCACACCATCCAAGAATTTGATTTTGACCGTGGGCCCGTGGTTGCGGATCATCCGTCGTTTGCGCCGTGCTCGTATCTCGTCCAGATCACCATCTGGCTCGTCCCAACGGTCTTTGTCCAGCGTCGATTTGATCTCTGCCTCAAGCCGCTTCACTCGCTCATAGTTCAGAACGAAATGGACCAACTCTTTCACAGTCAACATGAATTTGATGTCCAATTCCATGGGGTCGTTGACATCATTTATCTTTGTGGTCTCCAGCAAAAACCGAATTCTGTCGTCCTTTTGCTCTGCCTTTGACCCTCCAAGCTTGCCGAGCAGCTCCATGCAGTTCTGGTACTCGCGTAGCAGCTTGTTGCGATCGTCACGGGCAAACCGTTTCTCCTCCTTCTCGCCCCTCTTGTGAAAGGCCTCGAACAAACTCGAGTCCAGCGGATCCTTGTTGCGTTTTCCCTGCTTTGCTGGCGGCAACGTTCGTTGACGCCGCCCCGCCTTTGTCCGTAGGTCCACCAGGTTTAGGGGATATCGCTCAACGGCCTCTTTGAAACCGTCCAGCTCGGGGTTATGACGAAGCCGTGCACCGGCCGGCACTTTTGAAACAACGTTCAGAGTGAGCTGTTCAGATACCCCTGTCGCAAGGTAGTTATCGAAGTCGTACAAATCCGCATTTCCGTGCTTGTCTCCGCCTCCGCGAAGAGACCGTCGGTGAGTCTCATCGCCCATACAATTACGTAACCGAGGATGCCATTTTTAAAAACATTTTAGTGTGGTAAAAAGTGCTAGCCATGTCGAAATTCCGGGGAGTCTCCTCGATGGGTATTGGAGACGCGTACCAGGCGGGCCGACCAGGCGCGGATCTGCGCCCGAAGCCGACCAGGTCAGCCAATGGTTTGCGATTGCGCTCCCGACAGTTTATCACGTTCCTGCTTCTCTGGCTCTTTGTGGTGCAGTATTTTGAGAGATGGCAAGTAAGTAGCATGATTAGATCCTGCCGTTGGAAAGACTGGGAAAAATGGCCTTCAGGCGCCGATCCGCATCATCTGGTAGTTATCGGAGATCCTCAATTGGTGGACAATTTCTCGTACCCTGCAAGAAATAGGTTACTGTTATATTTAACACAGCGGCTCAGCGACAACTATTTGCACCGAAATCATCGACTTTACCACCAGATCCTCCAACCAGACACCGCCCTCTTTGTTGGAGACCTCTTTGATGGCGGCCGCGAATGGACTAATCCAGTCTGGTACGGAGAATACTCGCGCTTCCACAGAGTTTTTGATCCGATCGAATCTACAAGAACATTGGCTCAAATTCCAGGAAATCACGATATCGGTTTTGGAAACGGAGTCCAGCTTTCTGTACTCAACCGCTTCAGAACATTCTTTGGCAACCCTAACGACTATCTTTTTTTGGGAAATCATAGTCTCGTCCTTTTGGATACAATTTCTTTATCCTCCACAGACCACCCTGAGGTGAATAAAGACCCCACAAGCTTTCTTGCGGCCCTGGGCCATGATGACCACCCTGCGAAACAATATCCTCGAGTTCTGGTGAGCCATGTGCCGCTTTACAGGTTCACAGAATCTCAAACGTGCGGTCCATTGCGAGAATCAAAAAAACGGTTTCCAGTGATGCGCGGTAAGCAGTACCAGACAGTGATCGAGTATGAGCTGAGTCAGCGCATTTTAAACTCCGTCAAGCCAAAGCTCGTCCTTTCTGGAGATGACCACGATTACTGCCACATTCGTCATCCCTTGGCAAACACAGGAGCGCCTCGTTCGGTAGACGGCGAAGCATTCACAGACGAGATCACCGTCAAGTCATCTGCCATGACTGGAGGAATCAAGAAACCTGCCATCCAACTGCTTTCACTGTATAACCCGCTAGACGGCGATGCTGATCCAAATTTAGTTGTCGAGGAAACAGGATCGTTGGTAGTGAGTCACGATACGTTGCGATCGAGGCTATGCTATCTCCCAGACCCTTACCAGAGCCTCAGATGGTATTGTTTTGTGATACTGCTAATGTCTGCTTCATTTGTGATGGTTTACATCTACCCTGACACTACAGCAAGACTGAATAGCCGCCTTCGAGACCGTTTGGGGGTCATCAAGCCGCTCTACGAGGACGACTTGGTGAAGAGACAGTCGCTGAAAATGTCTTTGATGGACTTTCTGCTGGATTGGAACGTCCCAGAAGGACGCAACTGGAAGATGTGTGTGTTGCACATAGCAGCTAGCTTCGCCGTCTACGTATGTATCTTGAATAGGTATCATAATTCTATATAGCATAATCGACGCGACTATAAATGGGATCAAAATAAATCAAGTTTATTTGTGCCCTATGAATGCGGTGGACATGCAAGGCTGGCCGCGCCCGCCGATCAAGGTGATACCCGCAAATGTTGTTCACACAATTGCAGTGAACATTAACAATTTTCGAGATCTGCTAAACTTCAGCCTAGTTAATAAGTCCTGTTACAATGAGATCATAAACGACAGCAAGTTGTGGATAGGATATTTGAAAACCATACATTGCTGGAAAAGACCGAACAGCAAGGAAAACATGAATGGGAAAACACCAATCCTAACAACTTCTGGAGATACCTCCTTGCTCATTGACGAGGAACTGACACCTATCAATTGTGTGTCAAAAAGCGTCTCGGATCCAAATCTAGCCCGCCTGGAGTTCATCAAAATCTATGAGATCATGGCGCCCATATCTAACGACCTGCTGGTCAAGAACTACTCGAATTTTCAGTCGCTCGCGGTGTTCAAGGAATTTAACGACCCTTTTGACCAATCCATGCTCTTTGCTGGTGTTAGCAAATTCATACAGATATATAAGCACGAGGACAGATATAGAAATATGGTCATTAGACTCAATACGATCTTGGACCTGTTTGTTACGTCAGTGATTCGAGAAATTGAGATACGGTTGAGACAGGAGGACTTCACGGAGGCGCGCAAATTGATCAGCGCACTTGACAACTTGAATTTAGATATCGGCGACATCGAGGTGGACAGCCTGGAAGCTTTACTGGAATTTTTCCTCGATAGATATGTTGATGCGTACTCATTTTTGTCATCTAAGGACACTGTGGACCGTGTTCTCAAAAAGACCACATACAAGGCCCGTGGAGTCGTGAAAGGATACTATCTAGACTTTGTGGAGGTCGACAACATCTTTGATCAAGTTGCAAGCTTACTGAACAAGCAATTGAGTGAAATTGATAAGATATTTGATACAAACGCGGATGAGGTGCCTATTGTGTTGAAGTTGATGGAGACGTTTCTTGGAAACTACTTTATTGGAGGACTGGTCGAGAAACTGATAAATCGGGCAAAACATATCGATGGTCTTGATGAGCCAGTAGACTTGGAAGAAGAGCAAGAGGATGAGAAAGTCGAACCACCTCATGTCAACATCATGAACGAAAACTCACTCTACTTCCAGTGCGTTCCTTTTCTATATCATAAGCTCCTGTCAACGTTTGAACACCTGAACTATCCGCAAAGCTCAATGCAATCGATTAATCAGGCCACAAAAATGGATTACTCTCCGGTGATCACCGGATTCATCAACTTCTACTATGAGCCCCATTTGGTGGAGTTCTCCGATCAGCTACCAAAACAATGCCACCAATCTCTCGTGCACTTAATAGACACATGGGAACTAAACAAAGTTGAAAACGAGAAGATGCTGGAGCAAGAAATCCTCAAGTTTGTGGATGATTCTTCAGAGGCACAAACAAACCATTCATTCGACATTTTCAGCAGTTTCTCTAATATATTCAGACTCAAAGGAGCGAAGAAAACAGAAAAAGAGGAAATTGAGAATGAGAAGAGACTAACAAAGTTTGCAGCTAAGCTTCAAATTTTGACCACCAATGTCCAGAACATTAAATCGCTGGTTAGCATGGACTTGACAGTTCTTATTCTACAGCATGTAAAAAACAGCTACGACCTCTTACTTGGACTGACGAAAAACTCGTCGAGCTCTGAGATTAAGGCCAACATCTACAAAGTGTGTCAGGATATATTCATAGACATGCTTTCAACGTTGATCGATCGCCATATAAAAAGCGGATTCCAAGAGGCATTGACTCGATTAAAGGAGTATAACCCAGCAGAGCTGGAGGTTAGTGTAGACTTCAAAGTGGAGCCGCTTACAAACTTCATTGAGCTCGTTAACGTTGGAGACTTAATTTTACAGATGATCAACATTTTCTATAATGAAGAGCTAGTGAAGAACGAGATTGTGAAAACGAAACCGCAGAAAAACAGAGACTTTCTTTCCTCCAATCAGTGCGAAAAAACGATTTCCAAGCTTGAAATGATGCTTGACACGTACGTCGCTGACGGTCTCGACATCAGCATTGGGGTGATCATGAATGAGGTCAACTTATGCATCCTTAGGTCTCAGGTAAACGAGGGAACTTACAATTTGGTGAACATGGAGCAAATGGGGATCAAAAATGGACAGCCAAGTGTTTACATCAAACAGACTGTTACCATACTGGAATCACACTTTAAGATGTTATCGGAATCTATTGATAAATCCATACTGGACATATTTAAGGAGGAGATTGGCGAGCGGTTTATTGCGACATTTATAAAGCTTCTGACCAAGAAACTGAACATCTCTACCATAGGAGCGATCCAGTTCATCACCGACATCAACTATCTGTACGACTTTTTCGTCAAGTACAAAATCAAGCAAACGGTGCAGTACCTGGTGGCTTTTAAAGAGATCAGCCAGTTGTTTTTGATTGAATGCGATGATAAAAAGAAATGCAAGGATCTTGGGAAGCTAGTAATAGACCTTGGGAGAGACAACGGCATTTTCAGCCCGGAAGAGGTGTATTCCTTTGTGAGTCGCCGCAGTGATTGGGTCAGCATCAAACGATCGGTGGACAAAATCATGTATGGCTTTGGGCCCGACGATTGCACAATTGTATAAATAGTGTTAAAGAATCTCGTTTAGAGTATCTGTTTCATCCTCCAGTCTCAAAAACACGTCGACGACGTCGAAAGGCTTTGGATTCTCTGGGTTGCTTAAATTCAGGTTCTTGAGTTGCTGGAACAGCCGGTACTCTGCATCCGTTACGTATGGATCCTCAATATCTGGGTTCTGTTTGTCGTTCAATGTTGGGTAAAGGCCTTGCAAAAGCTTGGTTGCAAAGGAGTATGTTTGGTAATACAGAGACCCGTGAGAAACTGTTGTGGCTTGGTAATTGACAATCCACGCGATCAGTTCTGACGAGTTTTCAAACTCCCGCGTTGACGAGAGCTTCTTGAACATCTTCACAAACATCTCCAGAGCGCCCTGTTCTTCTTTGGAGCACGAACTATAAGGCGTAGTGCTGAGGCGAAGGGTCAAAAGCGTGGCAAAATCTAGAGCGATCTTAACGAAGATCGGGGACTGTTCAATATCCAGCCCCACCAGCTCGTCGACCAGTTCGCGACTGCGGGAGGCGAGGGCAGAATATTGGATAGCTTTATCTGCCAGCTCTTTTGCAGGCTCCAAAAGAGTTAGGGTCAGATGAATCACAGACAATAAAGAGTGAAGAGACCGATATCCAGGCGGCGCTATTGAGCTCAGCTGATGTTTCCAAGAAGATAGGGAGCTTTGGATCAAATTGTCCATTGCTGAGTTTTCCTTATCGATGTCGAAAACAAGACCGTTGAGCATCTTCGAGAAATAGAGCGTGATGTTAACCAGCTCCCCAGTGTACGAGCGTTGATTTTTCTTGAGCTCCAACAACCTGTCTGAGGACGCTGACCATTGTTTTCCGAGTCTGAAGCTATGTAAAGTTCCAAGCACGAAGATCAAACACCAGATATTTTGCGAGTGAGTGGATGATAATTTGGAGTGCGGGGAATATTCTTTGTTGAGCTCATGCTGGACAGCAAGCTCTCTTGCGCGGTCAAGAAGAGAGTAGATATCGAAATCGTGTTTTTGGGGAAAAGAGGCCAAAAGTACGATAGCTTGAATAGAATGAATATCGGTGGAGTCCGACAACTGCTGTTTCAAATAGCCAACGATGCCTGCATCTTTGGACACAAGATAGGCCACGGTCCAAAAGAGAAGCGGCGACTGGTGGTACAACTGGGTTGGCGAGGATATGTGGTGCATGATAGGCGCGTTTGCTAGGTAACGTGTGTTGAATATGCTGAACCACGATTGAATAGTGGAGGCAGGATACTCCTTGCTACCAAGACTGAAGCATGGAGACTCATCGAATGAGTACTCATCATCCGAAGCGACCGGCGAACACGAGTCGATGGATAGCGACTTGCAGCTCTCGTCGCAAGAAGGAGTGTGCGAAGACATGGGAGAGGGGTAAGCAGAAACTGACTCTAGATCAAAAAGCCCGTCCACTTTGATTCCTCTTTCTTGGCAAATGTTCTGCAATAACCTATCCTGCAACATCAACATGTCCACCAGAGCCTTCATGTCCTGTATGCTGTCTGCGAGGTTCTTGATGATTGTGGAGCGCTGGACATGGACGACAGTCTCGATGTGGCAGTCGTGGCCCCTCCGGGAACAGGCAGAGCACGGATTTGGGCGCGTTTCGCTGAGATTGCACTTGATTTTATGCTTGCGACACCTCGCACAAGATTTCAAGAAGCGGAGCTTTGGCTGGCTCCTCGTAGCACCGTGAGGGTTGTTGAGTACCGTCGAGGGCTTGGGAGCGGTGCGTTGCTGACGCTTTTTCAGGGTGTTGGGCAAAAGGGTCACCAGTTTCCGTTTGCAAGGCTCAGACATTGGTGGTGAAAAAGTGCAAGGAGGTTGCTTTTAACTAGAAACAAGGTCCAGCTGCAAGGTATGCAGATAATCCGGGGAAAATTTGGTGCCGGGGTGCCATCTCCGAGCCCGGTTGGGGGTGGCAGAGAGGAGTCCGGGAAAAACGGGGTGAGCTCGCCGAGGCAGCCAGGGTGTGTGGGTGTACACCTGAGTGCCCACTGCGGCGTTCGAGCGAGGCAACACGAGTCCTTAAGGTGAAATATGATTCTCCATGAAACCTCGTTACGTCTTTGGAAAAAGCGCTCAACATCTCTAGCCAATGCCGTGGTCGGTTTTACAAATCTTTTCACGTTGATGCGCGTGTAATGCATTTCTATTGTTAAGGGTATTGTGTATGGTGTCGGAATCCGAGCATCCGGATCCACATTCACTCCGAGGCATTTATACATCTAGCACCATGGGGTGCATAGCCAGACTTGATGGCTGTACATAACCTTTGAACTGCTTAATTGTTAATTCCTCATTGGCTAATCCAGCAACTTTACATAATCCACTTAACAAAAATTGCTAGGTACCTTATTATGGCGACCGCATTTCATGGCATGTTTACCGGAGGCCGCTACAGGGTCCCACAGAAAATGGAGGACTTCTTGCTCGATGCCTTCACAAAGTACTGCGAAGACAATAGCACAGAGGACCTTCTAATCCAAGATCTCAAGCCGTTCTTCAAACAATACTTGCGCATTTCCGATAGACTCCTCCACTTCCTGCAACCGAACGATTTTATTCTTACAGGTACCACCGAGGTTGTTGATTTTGAACGCTATCTGTATCAAGGTGGATTATTTTTGATTCTGAACCAAAATTTGGATTTGATCCAGGACAACTGGAAACTCGTTTTGAGGAGTCTCGGACGCAGGCCCAGTTATGAAGAGCGCTTGACCTTCCCAGATGTGCAAAAGCTGGCTGCGTCGTTAAACCAAGACACGCCACAGAGTACAGTGGCAGATATGCTTACTCTACAAGGAGACAAACAGTATATCGATTTCTTTGACTTTGCATTGATACTAGGACGCGTGGGGGAACTAAATATGAAATGGGATTGAACTGATATCACAATGCTTACAAAATATGCTTGGATCTGAAGTAATTTCTCAGGTAGTGCACTTGCCACAGGCCGACTCCTATCAACACGAAAATGATGAGGACACTGAAGTTTCTCACACGTCTGTTGGTACTCTCGTTAGTGTCTCTCAATCTCTCCTCTCTTCTCACCAAGTATTGCAGTTCCTCGCTAATTTCATCCACCATCTCCTCAATCTTGCGGAACTGGACCTCTGCTGGCTTGAGCTTCTCAACTGCCTGGATAGCATTCCAGTCTCTGGCAGCAGCGCCCGCCTCAACCTCGAGCTCGATCTCCCGCGACAATTGGCCCTCCTTCTGTCTGTTTTGCAAGTGGTTCTCAAAACAGATGTCGAACGACGACGACGATTGCGATGTGAAAGCTGCGCGAAAATTGCCAGCGACGTCTCTCTTCTTGCGGTACTCGTTACCCTCGGAATCAACAATACGCAACGTTAGAACTTGGCCGTCGCCCACATATCCATCGGTATTAATGTTGACCACAACAAGTTGTCCATCCGAAACGAATTCACGCACACATTTGGGAGGCGGGCTGTGCAGAGTTGCCGGAATCTCAAGCTTCAACGAGGAAGCAAGACCTGCAAACAGTATAATAAATTTCACAAGTTCGATCACCTTCATACCTCAAGTCAAACACGGATCTAATAAATAAACACCGCGTCCAGTTTTTTTTTCCAGCTGTTCGTGAACTTTTCATGCTGCCATTATTATATACGGGTCACAAACGCTCTATTTTACATAGCTTATTTCATAGCTTACTCGGGATGGTAGTCGTCGTCATCTTTGGCAGGAGTAGGAGCCGTCCAGTCCCCCACTGCAGGAGAAACGCCCCATTCGTTTTCACGAGGAGTCTCCGCGTCAGGCTGCCAAGCAGACCGTCCTCCCCACACAGAGCCAGAACCATCGTTCCAAGCAGGGGTTTTGCCTCCACTGTTCCATGCTGGCGTCTTGCCTCCAGAATTCCAGGCCGGAGTCTTGCCTCCCGAGTTCCAAGCAGGTGTCTTCCCTCCTGAGTTCCAGACTGGGGTCTTTCCTCCGGAACCCCAAGCAGGTGTTTTGCCTCCCGAGTTCCAAGCAGGCGTTTTTCCTCCGCTACCCCAAGCAGGTGTTTTTCCTCCGCTACCCCAAGCTGGAGTTTTACCGCCGCTACCCCAGGCCGGAGTCTTGCCGCCACTACCCCAAGCTGGAGTTCTTCCGCCTCCAGGGCCCAGATCAGGACCGCTACCGCGAAGTGGACCACCATTTGGATTACCTCCAGATGAAAATGCTGCGCCTGGACGTCTGCCCCTGTAATTTTCCAAGTACTGTTCGTACGGCACGAATTGTCCCGGACGAGTCTCAAAAAGCAAATCAGATTTGTTTATTGGGATGATTTTGGCCGGATTGTGCATCTCCACACGAGCAACTTCTCCGTTTGCATCTTTCACGATACCCTTCTTACCCTTGTAAGGCCCCTTTCTGACACTGACATTCTGGTTAAGGGTAATGTCGCGGCCACCAAACTTGGCAGCAACTATTGGTGCTGCTGGAGGAGGCATCAGACGGTCTGGGTTCATCTTATTGAGATCTGGGGCTTTGAATGTTGACAAAATAGAGCCCTTGTTGGACACCGTTTGAACTTCGGTGGCATCAACCACTATGATACCATTATTTTCAGTAATGTTCTTGGACTTCAAGAAAAGATGCGAAAGGTAAATATGCACAATGTTTCCCTCTCTTCTCTCGCCCGAGACTTCTTTGACAATGTCTCCGACGGCGATCTCAAGACCGTTTCTGTCGGTCGTTTTCTCAGTCATCTTATTTAGTTCCAATGGAGATTGAATGGCCTTGGGTTCCACCTTCACCACCCGTCCGTCAGTGCACAGCACCGTAAACACTTCTTTCTCTGTTCGAATAACCATTCCCACAGATTGCGAGTTGAGCTTAACTAGTTGGAACAGCTCAAAAGCTCCAGTTTGCGTCGAGTTGGTAGAGGAATCGATGGACTTCATCAGATAATTAGGGAACACAGTGATATCTCTCTTGGTCTGGTCTGAAACAAGTGTAACTTGATTCTCCTCAACTTTCACGATGAGTCCGCTCTCATTCGAATGCACACCGTAGATCACGGTCACGTGATCACCAGGAAGGAAAATCTTTCTGAGCGTAGATGTTGGCACCTCCACAATGGAGTTATTCACCTCTGGGTCGTCGTTGCCTTCCAGTTGAACTCGAGCAATCTTGGCCTCTGGCGCAGAAACCACCTTACCCTTCATTTTAGCTTGCTCACCACTAACAATCTCCACTCTGTCATCAGGTTGAAACACAATAGCCTTATTACTAGCATCCTTCAAAGAGGACGCGATTGATTGCAAATCAATGCCCTCTGAACTGCTTCCAGAGTTGAAAAGCGTCAGCTCATGCAGAGTTGGCTTGACATTTCTGGTTTCAACTTGTTGAATCTTGACGTCTTTATACAAGAACCCATCAATGAACTCCTCATTTCGGTAAATGTAGTAGCCTCTTTCTCTTCTCGCAGTAGATAGGTGTTCTGGATCGTTCTGGCTGGCCTCAATCTCAGAAAAGAGTCTCTGTGGAGGCCTGAATTTTGAGCTTGCCGGGCCACGTCTCCCCTTTCCAGAATCCAGAGTGCCTTGGGATTTACCGTAATCCAGTCTTGGAACTAATTTGACTCGCACTTCCAAATCGTTTTCTGCCAAATTGTCGACAATTCCTAGATCCCCCTTATACTTTCCAACCTTGATACGCACGTACGATCCCGGCTGCAGCTGAACTTCATTTGATCTTCCGGGACGAAGCAAGTCTGGATACTCCTCAATTGGAACGAGAACCTTGTTGTTTGCGTACATGCCAGGCAAGCCTTGGATGATTTGATTAACTGCGTCCAGTCTGCGAGCTTCAATGTAAACGTAACCGCTGAAGTTGTCTCTTTGGAAAGCACTGAAAACGTCCGTGTATCTCTTGTTCAGCATACGAGCATATATTTGTTTGACCAGCTCTTTCTCCAATCCATTTCTGACACGAATACCCCAGATCAGAGGGTCATCAACAGATGGCAGCAACAGACGCTGAGAGACGTTGGTGGTTGATCCCATATAACGAGATGAAGCAGAACGGCCGTACCTCGCCTTGAACTGGTCTGCCAAAGCCTGTGCATCCTGTTCGTCAAGCTTTTCTCTCGAGCGATCCAACTTTCTGTGTAATCGGTCGCTAACTATACCGGTTTCATCGTGTGCCTGGTCGTCTGCTAAGAACTCATTACGGAGTATCTCGGCATCTTCGTCATCCTCCTCTTCCTCTTCATCATCATCAACTTCGGCCTCAACATCGAGGAACTGGTTACCTCTTCTTTTCTTTCGTCCACGAAGTGCTTCATCGTCGTCATCGTCGTCATCGTCTTCGTCCTCGCCTTCGTCATCCTCTGCTTCCTCATCTAAGTTGACGTCCTCAAATTCCGCTTCTTCTTCCTTATCGTCATCATTATTGTGTCCCAAGTTATCTCCCTCTTGCTCCGGCACAGATGACTCGTCGTGAGGTTGGGTATTGGTATTATCAACGTGCGCTTCCTCAGGATTGGCTGCTTCCTCACTCATTATCCATATTATTTATTTAATTGCCACTACTATTCTTCAACGCAAAAATTTTCGCGGGCTCAAAACCCAGTATATACAGAGAGATCGTGAACGAGCTAGACACAAGACGAGCCCATTGGTCTCTGGCATAGTGATCTCCGTCAATAGTCTTTGCTCTGCAGGAATGAAAGACGATATGAAGGCAGAGAGGATGTTGTTGAGAATACTCTAACCGTCCACTCAGGGTAACCAACAATTACCTCTTCTTCTGCCAATCGAACGCTCCTCTAGAAAAGTCTAGAGGTTTCTTCTGCGGCAGCTTCCTCTTTCTGTTTTCCGTGAATAGAACGTGGCGCTTGACGATCGGATCGTAGTGAATGTGTTTTCTCTCGTTGGCAGTCCTCTGGATCACCAAAGACCGCATGTAGCCAGTCTTTGCTGTAGACGCCAGCTGTATAATCGTTGTCTTAGCCTTGGATTCTGACATGTTAGTGGCAACCCTTGCTTGTTGTACTTACTTGCCATGCTAGCCCTGTGGTGGATATATTAAAAATGGAAAATAATTTCCCTACAGTCAGTCGATCGCCGCGTCGGTGGCATACCTGACCTTAGAAAATCGGCTACTCTTCAAACAAGCATTGAGCTGTGATCTACATGAATAAATTAGAGGATTTGAATCCCCTATTTAGCCCGCCCTCCTCCAACGGCTCCGAATACACTCCATTTGAGGACAGAACCCCAACGCTGGTAAATTATTACAAGTTTGCCGCAGTAAGTAAGATCAATGCCTACTTTTATCAAGTGCAAGATCTACCACCGAAAGAGAGTGGCGGAATTTCCGACAAAACGAAGGACGAGAAGATCTCTCCTTTAGAGCAAGTCCACCACTATGAAAACTCGATCAAGCAACAATTAGCTCGAGACTATCAGATATCGGACGTACTGACGTACGGGGCCAAGAAGGAAATTTGCATATTCAGACTCGAAACAAGGCTAAACCCTCAGGAGCAGAAGTTGGGATTCAATCAGCTAAAGGATGCAGTTGACAACATTATCATAGAATGCAAACTCCCTCTGAAACTGGCATCTGCAACGACCTTTGATGCTGACTCAGTGTTTAAGTCTCAGGCTAACCCACAACAACATTCCAGGCCGAGTAGCATTGTTTATCTCAGTTTCCTGAGAGCAGTCAAGAAACTCTTGTGTCAGCATCTTATGGCTAGATCGTCAGAAGTTGAAATTCTTCCATTTGGTAACCAATCACTGGTTCGCTCTGCGCAAGACACATTCCAGATTTTAAAAATCAACACATCGCTTAGCATTCGCAACGAAATTCTCTCTAATTTCGCCATAATCAACACTCCGCACTTCTACCGATTATCAACTCTCCTGGATAGTGAGTTTGACATTTTGAAAAGCAATTACGCCCTCTATCTGTGCCCCTCTGGGGTGAGATGTTCTTTTGCTAATCAAAATATGCTGGCCAACTCACTCTCCTTCGAACCCCCCTCAAACTACGAGAAACTTTTGGGCTTGTTATCTGAGTACTCGCATATTAAACTTGAGACGCCTTCGCGTTGGATCAAACTGGTTCCAAATCTGAACCACATGAATGGACTAACGCCGAATATCGCTCGATACCTTGAAACTTCTACTCCGAATTCAAAGTATTTTATATGGCCAGCTTCTATGTGTATGATTCAGTTCGGCGATGACATTGATGAGCCTGCTTTTGAAGTCAGCAACTCCTTCGAATTGATCGAAGAGTTAATACTTGATTCTGACGAGGAACCACAGCCACCGCAATTACCGGCAACAGAAAGGCCTACGGCAGATTCGAATCCAACAGACGTCGATATGGACTCCGCGAAAGAATCACCTGGAAATTGGGATGAGCTTTTTGGAGAATCGTTGAATGAAGAGGAAGAGGACACACAGATTGATGTACCAGAGTCAGAGTCGCAGTCAAAACCAGAGCTGGTGTCGAGTCCTGTAGAGAAGGATGCAGAGCATTTTATTGAGCTTCAGCCATCAAACCCCTTTTATGAGGATCCTGGTGCTCCATCTCCCGCTTCATTCCACATATTTGCATCCCCAAGTCCCGAGACAACGGATGCTTCCTCTGCCAATGATGATATTGGCTCAGTGACACCAAAAGACCTAAAGAAGTCCATCTTTGCCCCATTGAATTTTAACCCGCTAATCGAGAAGGACATCGATAGTAAATATTCGGACGGCGGAAAATTCTTTGTGCGTAGTGAAGCACAGACTTCGCGTTCCCAAGAGTCTGCCTCTACGACGCCGACATTTTGGAAGAATAAAAAGGGAGAGACTGATATTGAAGAGCGAGATCTGATAAGTGATAGTGAAGAAGAGGTAGAAGAGGATGACGATGACGACGACGATAATGATCAAACGGGCTTGGGTATAAGTATCACATCGATTCCTCGAAATACAGGAATTTTGTCATCAATAACACCTTTTGCTAATCAAGCCGCTTTTTCACAGCCCCAAGCTCCATCGCCTCAAGCATCAGGGGCTCAAGAGATTCAGAATTGGCTTTTCTGGATTTTGAGAGGTCCAGCTCTTTGTACAATTCCTTCAAGATTTCTTTCGACAGGAAATCCAGTCATTTCAAAAGACAAGATCGAAGTGGTATTGCCGATACTGCAAGAGCTTGTGTTGTTTACTGCGGGGCTGAAAGATCATTGCCAAGAACAGGCTTCCGATCTTAGCGAGACATTGGATTCAACACTGTTAAGTGCTTTCCCTGGTTCCTCGAAACTGAAACTCTACGAGCTATTGGACTGTGATCGACCAAACTCGGAAATGAGATTCTTTGACAGTCTGTTTGGCAGCGAAAAAGAGATATACAAACTGGAGGCTCCTAGAATAGACTTTGATGATCCAAGTTTTGCAACCACATCTCCATTGATGAACATCACAGAAATTGAAAATAAAAGACAGTCAGGTATATTTAGGGAGAATGCAAACCGAGCTATTCTTGAAAATGTCAAGTCTGCCTCTTTGTTCAAAATCCCAACCACGATTTTTAATACGAAACGAAACGACCAAGAGATGAAAATCAACGAAACAAGTTTGCGATACTGGAAACTGCTAAACCTTGAGCCACTTGAGGGCCAAAAGAATCTCAAGGTCATCTTAGTTGTACCGAAAAGTACATCGTACTTATTAGAGAGAAGTCGAATATTCTTGCAGGATCTAATGGCTACTTACTCTTCTTGGAATCTAGGGCAAATGAATCAGCTGCAAGACATTCTGGAGATTCCAGGCAACGATGCCGAGCTTTTCGTTAAGAATATGGAAGAAGCCCTTACATCACTGGCCGATTCTTTGAGAAATCAACATATGGTTGACTCGGATGGTCAAACAGACGCTATTTTAATTATGATTGCAATTCCGAACATTGGCATGCAGCTTCTTACCAGTCTGGCAAGCGCGCTCGAACAATTCCAAAGCACAGTGACAGTGAAATCCGTTGACCAAGAAACAGAAGAGGACCGGAGAAAACGTCGGAAGAAAAATCTTTCAACCACTATCAGTGTCCCTATCTCCTCTTTTTACAAGGTGATCCCGTTTGATCTTTATCTTTCCAAAAACGAGTGCTATTCGGTTGTGACTTCCCAAAAACTTGGAGAGCTGGCTTTGGAGATTTATTCATTGTATCCTAAAAAAGATGTCTCCGAACCTTTCAAAGACAGAGATCGATTATTGACAATTTCAAAACAGTTACCCCAGAAAATACCCTTTGTAATGACTAAGGCACCAATTTCATCGGGCCTGATTGCGGACGATTTATTTTTGCATGTTTGTTACGAACGATCTATTGACAAAAATTGGTGCGTGGCAAGCTGGTCTGATCAGTACGGCGAAATCAATTTTACTCGCTCTTGGTTTGTTGGTCCTGACTGTCGGTACCAGACTTTCGAGGAGGTTTCGGATGAGATTTTTGATATTTCCATGGATTATGTTTCCAATCATAGTGGAAAGTCGTACGTGATCTTGACTAGACTCAACAATGTCATTCCTGACGATGAGCTGACGGAGTGGAAACGTCTCTCGATCAAGAATAACAAACTTACGCTTATCGTTCTCACTGTGGAGTTGGAACCTTCCACTCTTATTCTGTCTCATCTCCGGGAGCAGAAGGACGACCTAAAAGACATCTACTCAGTGAAATTTACAGCAGCCTCCACAAATTCCCAGATGCTTACCCCTGGTATGGCAAACCGCTTCGAGAGCCCAATAAATGGACAAACGCCTTCCTATGACCCGGGTGCATCTCCGTTAGATGCCCCTGTCCTTCCAGGGTCCCAGCAACAGGTTCCAGAGAATCCAGAGCTGATAGAATTATCAAACGAGTGTTACGGAGTGATTTTGCAGGTAGCTCAACAATTGTCGAATCAGTCCATTCGCATGCCGTTACGCACTGGGTTCATTGTAAATTCTGGTCGACGGTCGCCTGAAGGTTACGAACCGGGATCAATAATCGAGTTAAACTTGTTGAGCTGCCAAGCGGGAGTTGATTCCATCGAGCTGTTGAAGAATCTGATTATGCAATATAAGCATCTGGCTAACCTCAACAAGGATCCTATTTGCCCTTGGCACGTATCTGCAGTCAGGCGTATGATAGAGTTTTTAGTTCATCTGGACGTGAAATGAATATTACACTAATTTGATTCTATAAATGTCTTGTAGTTTTGTCAAAAACAAGCTCCCATCGCGATATTTCTCTGTCTCTGTCTTGGTAACAAGATTCCTGAGCTTGCATTCTTTATAGACTTCTTTAATGCTCTGCACCCGGTTGTCGTCCATCGTTCCCAGGGCATACAATATCTTCGTTGCCGTATCTCTCTTTCTTTGCTCTGGCAAGTTATACCAGTTATTTTTTACCCACAATGAGAGCTGGAAATTTATTAGGAGGTTCATCAGCTCAAGGCGAGAACGATGAGCCAGTAATCTATTAGGTGTCCTGTGTTTAACAAAATCTGGTTCTGCTGTAAGTATAAAGCTCAAAAATGAATCATCAATCGAAGCAGAGTTGAAAAACCAGGAGTAGGGTTCGGCATAATCCACATCATCATGTGTAATCTGTTGCATAAGAGTAACGCTAATAATCAATAGCATTTCATCATGCGCAGGGTTGGAAGTGGCAAAGAATTCAAGTACATCAGAATTGTCACGTAATATCAATTTCTCCCCTACATCCAGCGCAAACTCCTCAATCAGCTTCTCGGATTGACCTTTGGGCAGTTGTTTCAAGACGCAGTAGCACAAACAAAGTAGCGAGCGTCTAAGAGGTATCGAGTCTGACGGATCGTCATCAAGCTTGGTTTCATCAGGTACCACAGCTGTTTTGAGAAGTCTCAACTCGTTGTCAAAGATAGGAGCAGAAAAAGAATCCTTTGAGGTAAACGCTATGTCTACCAACTCTGCTGAGGCAGCTTTCATGGTATGTCCATTCAAAGCGAATATCGCTTGGTGGATGAGCGTTGTTTTAATGTTCTCCAGTCGGCCATTTGAGTCACCAGAGTATTCGTGTCGTTCAAAGTCGTACCAGTAAAAGTCTAAAAACAAATGCAACAGATTCTTCCAAATTCGCCAGCTAACAAAATAAGGCTTCTCGTCCTGGCGATCCGCACACTTAAAACCCCATCGAAAAAACTCCCACGAGCTGAGGTGCACCCTGTTAAAATTCTTGTTTGTCAGTAGTTGGTCTTTGTGTTTATCTTCATTGGTGCTGAGGCCGTAAAGTGTAGCTGAATTTCTGTTTGGAAGAGGTTCAAAACGAGAATCGCTACTCCTGTTCTCTGCTCTGCGGCGTACTGACCGTGTGAGACCAGCATCATTATAAGTGAGAAATTCAAAAAGCTGATAGAGCAATGACCGCAGACTATCGTAAGCCTCTGCGGAAGGAAGCTCTGGACCAAAGAACGTATCGACTGGTTGCGAATCCAACATGAGAATATCCATCAGTTGCCTAATAAGATCCTGACAGCGTAAATGCAATGGCCTTTTTGAGCTTCCATCGTCTAGGTATCGTAAATCTGGGGTTGTTTGTGGAGGAAGAGTTGTCGCTGTAAGAATTAAGTTCAGAATTTGGTAATCGGGCAAGTTCAAGTTTGGCAGGTCAGCTAGAAGGGTGGTCTCTAGATGGTCAACCAGCTTGCTAAAACTAGAATATCGCAGCAAGTTACGCTGGTGTTCCAGTTCCGCTGACATCCTTTCGAAGGTTGTGTCTTCAAATTTTGTTAATACGGCTGTGCAAAGCCCGTCTATTCGAGGTCCGTACAGAATTTACACACTCTATCGACGGTCCATGCCACAGCCTCAGGAGCAGATCCAGGGCCTATGTTGTGGAGTGCACCAGGAATAAGCCCAGAATGTGGAGACCAAAGTTTCTCAGGAGTCGCTGACTTCCATTGAGTCATCAAGGCTTGCTTGTCGACGTAGTCTGGGTAAAACTGGTCTTTCTCGGAGTTTAGCACCATGATCGGACGTGTCACCAGTCCAAAGGTTTTCTTATTATCCTTCAAAGTGAGATCGGAAGAGAAGAAATCGTCATCACCTAATTTAGTCGCGAGAGAGAGCCATCTGTACGCATTGATGGGAGCTCCCAAGAAAAGATCTGAGTACTTTTTTGGAAGAACCTCGTGTTCCCGGCCTTCGCTAACATAATTGCGTGCCAAAGCATTCAGTTCCTCTAATTCTTCCCACCCTTTTCCTTGCTGCTGCAATGCATGGAAAATTGCCTCTCTGTCCGAGACGGCAGCCTGCAAAATTCCACCCTCCACTTGTTTTTCTGGCTCCTTGGGGACATATTTGGCAAGGTATTGAAGCGTATCCTGACAGCCTGTCGAATGCCCCATGAGAACAACCTTTTCTCTAGAACCTCCTCTTTCGGACCGAAGATATTCAACCAGAAGACCGATTTCGTAGGCGTCTCTCTCCAGGGATCCAGTTCCCCAGCCCATGTACGACGACGTGAATTGAATTTGAACAAGAGTCCATCCGATTTTGTCCAGGCCAGATGAGAGCTCTGGGAGGTAAGGCACGGTCAGTAGGCCATCAGTCAAACCACCGATAAAAAGCACAATTTTCTTTGACTGAACCTCCTTATTCTTGAATTCAAAAGCAGTCAGTCTTGGAGCATACTCATGGACAAATCCTTCTACAGGCCTATGAATGGTGATGGTTTCGTGATCCATGAGGAAAAGAGGAATATAAATAGTGGATAAGATCGCCTCAGCAAAATATTATCCGCGATAAGGAAGCTGCATCTTTACACCAAGCTGACTAGTGATTATTATATCCTAAGATGCTGTCGTCAATGAGGACCCTGACCACTTACTCCTCCGCAAAACATCACTGTTAGGCAGTATTTTAATCCACTTTACACAATCGGCATTGTACTCTTGAGAGCAGTCTTTCTTATCCAGGACTCTAAAACGAAATTGCTTTTCCGGATTTTAGATGGTTTGGAACTGAGAGAAGGCTCCCCTTATGATAAAATCCCTACTTATGAGTCATTCTTGAAGGAACTCAGAAGTAGTACTTCATTAGGTGCCGATACCACCCAAATTCTATGTGCTTCCACGACACGCGCTTCCCTGGAGTAGGAAGCTCGAAAAGTATTCAAAAAGTCTCACTCGCGTACACACAGCCCTCGATTCCATTGTGAGTCGGAGCCACCATTCCTTCTGTAGCTCTGGATGTGGTGTTCCAAGCATGCGACGGTCAGTTTCATTGTTTAGTAGCTTTCCACAGCTTTCTCACTGGAGCAAGCAGTTGAAGCATCCAGAACTCGTCTCCACAATGACACTGAGCAGTGTTCGTCAAGTGTGTTGTCTCAAATCTATCCAACTCAGAAGTGGAAGGAAGATTGCCATGAAGTGCATAGTACTTTTTTGTTGCGAATTTAAAACCATGCTTGGTGATATATATGCAAACAATGTCCCCAGAGTCTTTGCCCTTCAGCAGACACTACACAATTGACTCTGGTGCGAGGAAAACCTGTTTTTGTCTACTTCCGCTACTTCTTCGCGATGGTAGATATCTATTAAATATTGCATTATTAGTTGCTACCGATAAGAAAGAAAATCACATGATCTACTGACGACTTATTCATTCAGCTATTGTGGACTGGTCACAATTTCTCTTTCATAGTTTTGGAAAGTACCCATTGTTTATGGCATTCCTCAAATATATTGTACCCAAACAGGTATTCCTGAAACTCAGGGTCTGCCCACCGTGCTGGACATCCTTCCTGTGGAGGATCCATTGCACATTTTAGGTCTCGCAGTTTCTGCTTTTCTCCGTCCTGGAGATGGTAGATTTGTTGACATTCTTTTGACGAGTTGACAATGCGGGTCGTCCTTGGCTTTCTGATGCGCTCGTATGTCTTCAATATGAAACGTATCTCAGATTTGTCCTTAATCTTTCCAAATAGGTATGCCAAAGCAGCGGCATCTTCTATGGCTTGAGCTGCTCCTTGAGCCAGATAAGGCAGAGTTGCATGGCAAGCGTCTCCCAGAAGAGTTACGTTTTGAGCAGGATGGCTCCAGCAATTTAGCTCCTCAATATATTGAAGTCTCCACTTGAAAGTTGAGGTTGCGAGGCTCAGAAGCAGTTGCAACCGAGGGTCCCACGTTTCCAAAAAGTGTAGGACCTCCTTTTTGTCTGCAGCAACAACGCTTGAGTCTGGTGGCAGGTTGTCTGGTGCCATAACAACAACATTGCAGGTGTTGCCTCCCTTCAAGGGGTAAGTGACCACGTGACCTTTCGGGCCCCAGAAAAAGTTGACACAGGGAACTTTGTGGATGAAGTCCAGTTCAGGGTGCTTATTCATCTCCGGAATAGATATCAAAGAGCGGTAAGCTTGATCTCCACTATTTGTTGGCGATGTGTTCCTTCCAAATATAGAGTTGCGAACATTGGAGTTCAAGCCGTCAGCGCCTATAATTACGTCTGCCTGATATTTCCGACCATCATGGGTTATTGCAATGTTGTGATCCAGATCAATATCCACAATCTCGGAGTTTACTAGGATGGTAATATTCAGTTCCCTGGCCCTTTGAACTAGACACTTGTGAAAGTCTCCCCTGTGTATATGTAAGGATTTACAGCCGTACTTGCTAGCACAATAAGGGTCAAGCTCTAGACTGATCAGATTGTCTCCTTTGTGATTGCAAAAGTGGTAAGCCTTTGGTACCAAAGCATGCTCTAGTATCTCTGTTTTGCACCCAAGTTGCTCAAGTATTCTGGTGGAGTTGGGCGGAATCTGGATTCCAGCACCCACCTCTGATAATTCTTGAGCTTTTTCCAAAACCGTAACTTTGTGTCCGGATAGAACGAGTCCGATAGCTACCGATAGACCACCTATTCCGCCCCCTACGACAACGAATTGGAGGCTAATACTACTCTTCGGAACCATAAGAGATGTGAACTTCTAAATGTAAACATATATAGAGCCGGCTTCTTTATCTGCTACCAAATTTCAGAATGCAGAATATTTCAAAGCAATTTGGAAACTTCTGGGTGCTCTGAAATTTCAGTCTTGAAATCCGGCCTTGGAATATCGAATCCTTGCAAAACACGAGCATAGACACTTCCTCCAAGACGGCCAATTGGCTTCAACTTGTTGATGTCCACTGTAGTGAATTTCTCATCTGCAATATCTTCACGAATATGGAAATTAACTCCTTCCACTAAAAAGGTTGTTCCAGAACCCTTGGAAGGGTCTTTCTTTGACTTGAAGTAGTGTGTGTGGATCACTTTACCTTCAATGGAGAAAGCACTCTCGGCAACATGAGGCGGCTTGACTTTGGAAGATTCGGCCGGTGTAAGACCTGCTAGCTTCCACTCATTAACATCGTAAGGAGCATCTATAGATGCGTAATTGGCAGCCTCGATGAACCACTCGCTGATCAAATTAATGGTGCATTCCTCTGTGTCTTGCAAGTTTTTGCAAGTGTCTTTAAGATTTCCCGTAGCGCCCGATATCCCGATCGCGAAAACAGGCGGATCGTGGTTCATGACACCGAAATACGAGAATGGAGAGAGGTTTCTTGTGCCATCCTTCCCGACTGTTGATATGAATCCAATCGGACGAGGCGTGACGGCACTCACCAGAAGTTTATAGTTCTCGAAAGGCAGACGGCCCTCAGCATAGGGATCTAGTTCAACCTTTTTATGTTTAGCCCATTCGTTATTGGTTGCTCCAGATCCCGGTTGCCAAGTAGGGTCTGGAATATCGGTCAGTTTGAAGTCGGCCTTTTCAAAGGGAGGAAGACTCATTGTGTATCTAGTCACTAATCGGCTATCTGGCTGGTACCTGTTCTAAATTTAAAAGCCCAGAGATTTTATTACTAATATATTTGTAATCATTTGAAGCCACAGTTAATCCGGTGCCGTGCCGTGTTTTTCCGCTAGCGAATCCAGATAAGGCGATTCCACCATGCTCATCCTCTCAATTGATAGCTTGAACGGTGCCGGAATGCTTGTAGCGGGTTCCTTTCCCAATACTAACTCGCTCAAGTATTTTGAGCAGCTGAAAATACGAGGCATACCATGTCCAGTAAAACCTGCAGATATGAACATATTTGGACGTCCGTAAGCAGTCAAATCACCAACAAAAGGAAAACCATCTTCCGTAAAACCCATACACCCTGTCCAAGTGTAATCATTGACAAATTCAACGTCTGCCAAAGATTTGTAGTTCCGGTTAGCATATCCAACAAAGTATTGCTTAGTCTCTTCCGGAAAGTAAGAATCGTCGGCGTTGTCCACCATCATTTCCCGATTTGGAGAAGTTTTATATGTTTGTCCGCCTCCTCCGATTATCAACGACCCGTCGTCTCGAACACTTATGTAGTCGATCTCTACAGGTATTGTGTGAATCATATTGGTTTCAAGAGTTTTGTTTGCCTCTGTCTTAAGATGCGAGACTACACCCTTAACGGGCATGATTTTGCCCCAGAAATCCGGCAAAATAGCTCTCGTGTAAGCGTTGGTGGTGATCACAACTTTTTGAGCATGCACATTTCCACGCGGCGTCTTCACCAGCCAGCTATTATCTTGAAGACATTCTAGCTCCTCCACAGCAGTATTCGATTGTAAGTTCAATCCCTTGGAAATTGCAATCTCAAGAAGACCACAGACTAGCTTGTACGGCCACACCGATGATGTAGGCGTGTAGACTCCAAACGCAGTGTTTGCATGCTCTTTTCTGGCTTGCTCATCAAAAACGATCTTCACCTGATCTTTGACCTTCTGATCGATATAGGGATTGTTTAAAAACGAATAGTAATCTCTCAATCCAAACTTTCCTGAAGAAGGATCATCGTAGGTCACGTACGAGGTTCTCCTAACAAAATTGCAATCGATATTATAGTTCTTAACTAGTGCCTCCACAACATTGAGCTCTTCATGCTCAAACATTGCAATGTCTGCAGCATTTTTCTGGCCGTAAGTTTGCGAGAATTCGTACTGGTCGTGATGATAGTAGCTCCGCATGTGCCCACCGTTCCTTCCTGTAGCTCCAGAGCACACGTCACGAGCTTCTAATAGGAGTACCTTCTGCTCTGTCTTTTCTTCCACTAGCAAATTGAATGCCACCGAAGCTCCGCTAAAGCCAGATCCAATGATTAGCACATCAACCTCTTCTGGTAATTTCTCCGTTGTTCGATGTTTAGAAAGCTTACCATCAGCCTCTCCAATCCAGTAGGAGAGAGTCGTTTTCCTAGACGGGAATGCCTTTTGCTTTCTAGCACTATAATCCATAGTTAATTACCTGCTTATGTTTTTTCCTGGATCTTATCGAGGTCAAATAGGTTCCTCTTCCTTTTCGGGAAATATTATATCTACCGAAGCTGAAACTGTTATAGAAACATCTTTACACGGTGGCAAGCTTAGAATATTTTATGCACGCTTGTGGCTTGATGTGGATCTGTGGCTGTCGTTGAAGGTTGGTGCCTCGTCAGAAAGGTTATTATTGTCATTAATTCCATCGCTTAGAATTACCGTGTTTTGAAACTACCCCGATTCGGATAAATGCGAGAGGAAGTCCGTAGCAAACAACGAAACTGTGAGCCCTAAATAGCCAAGATCTTCGAATGATCCCTTGGACGTGGATGACTCGCAGCTCCACCGCTCCCTGAAGGGTAAGCATACTGACCTTATTTCACTAATCATTATTGTTGGAGAGGATCTGATTTTAAGCAGTGGGTGACTGGACTTGTAGGAATCTTAATAACATATGCTATTATCAGTGTTGCTATTTGCTTGAAATCAGCTGGAGATTGCAGAGTCGGCTGCTTTGGCAAAATTTATGGAGCATCTTCAGGCATATTGAGATTTTCATAGACGACGCTGTAGGATCTGTATGGATTTTCTCAAATCGTGGCGGAACATTCTCCCTGGGAAAACTGTGTCACTAGCCTAGGTTATCTATTTTTGGAGCAGCCTTGGCCCAGCAGTTTGGTAGGGACACTATAATCTTATCGCGATTTTTTCCAAGCTAATTTTTCGCGGCTTCGCGGTTGCACTTGGCCGAAGCCCAACTAGGGCTTCGGGCGGGCTGCAGGTCGGAGAACGCTTCTATTGGCGGATGATGTCTTCAGTGCTGCATACAGGACAGCCGTGCTGATTGGCGAGCTATATCACTGGCTGGTGTCCCAGATTGCTCGCAAACATGACCATTAACGAACCGTTCGACGTGGACGAAATTCTCGTCGATCTGACTCTGAAAGAGAAGATGCAGCTGCTGAGCCTCAAAAACTACTGGGAAACGTGCGACGTGCCGCGGCTGGGGGTCCCATCGCTCCGACTCAGCGACGGCCCCAATGGCGTGAGGGGCTCGAAATTCTTTGGTGCGCCGCCTGCCGCGTGCTTCCCCTCCGGCACCGCTCTGGGAGCCACTTTTAACGCAGAGCTGGTGGACGAAGCAGGAAGAATGATGGCCATGGAGGGAAAGTCCAAGGGCGTTCATGTCATTCTGGCGCCGACCTGCAACATCGTTCGGGGCCCGCTTGGAGGACGGGGATTCGAGTCCTTCAGCGAGGATCCGTACCTGTCGGGCGTGCTGGCGGCAGGGATCATTAATGGCATTCAGAGCCAGGGCCTGGCCGCATCGATCAAACATTTTGTGTGCAATGACCAGGAGCACGAGAGAAAGGGGGTAGATATTCTTGTCACCCAGAGAGCGCTCAGAGAGGTGTATTTGATGCCATTCCAGCTGGCTCTGAGTCTGTCGTCGCCCAAATGCGTCATGAGCTCGTACAACAAGGTCAATGGTGAGCACGTCTCAGGCTCGAGAGAGCTGCTCACCACAGTCCTCAGAAACGAGTGGGGGTGGCAGGGCACGGTGTTGTCGGACTGGTACGGCACGTACTCGGCTGAAAGGAGCATAGACGCGGGGGTGAGCATCGAGTGTCCTGGCCCACCACTTATGAGGAGGCCAGACGCCCTGATCCATGCTGTGGTCTGTCGCGAGATCGATAACGGCGCAGTTGACCAGCGGGTCCGAGAAGTCCTAAATCTCGTGAAGCACTTTGTTGACACGGGGGCAGCATTTGGGGCTGCGGAGATTTCGAATGACGTTCCTGAGACACGCAGGCTGCTTAGAAGAATTGCAACCGAGTCGATTGTGCTCCTGAAAAACGATAAAAACCTGCTACCGCTCAAAAAGTCGGAAACCGTCGCGGTGATTGGGCCGAATGCCAGGAGCCCTCGTATGTACGGCGGCGGGTCTGCAGCCCTGACCCCGTACTATACAACCACCGTCTACGACAGCGTTCGCTCGAAACTTGGCAGTGAGCCTCCCTACGCTCTGGGCTGCACAATCGACCGAAACCTGCTGGACCTCGGACTTTTCTCCAGCTACGCAGGCAGACAGGGCGTTCGATGTCGCGTGTACAAGCGACCAGCAGGCGCGTCCAAACGCACATTAATAGAAGAATTTTACTCCCAGTCGACCAAGCTCCCCCTGTACGACTACAGCCATCCCGACCTGGATGACAAGCTGTTTTACATGGACATCGAGGGCATCTTCACGGCGCACCAGGCGGGAGACTACGCGTTCAAAGAATCTTGTCTCGGCACGTTGCTACTCTATCTCGACGGCGAGCTTTTCATCGATGACAAGACCGAGCAAAAACAGAGCTCGGGCGTGATTGCGTCCAGCTCCCTCGGAGCCACAAAATATATATATCTCGAGAAGGGCCAGAAGGTGCACTTCAGAATCGAGTTTGGCTCTGCGCCCAATTTCACTTTAAGCTCTGGAGGGCCCAACGGTGGGTGCGGGTTTCTCGACGTGGCAGTCATGAGGAGGCAAGACGAGTCCGAGAGAATTCTCGAGGCCGTCGAAGTGGCTACCAAAGTGCAGAAAGTCATTGTCTGCACCGCAACGTCTCACGAATGGGAAAGCGAGGGTTTCGACAGCACCTCCATGGAACTGCCCGGAGTCCAGGACAGACTGATCAAGGCGGTTGCGGAAGTCAACGGTAACGTGATCGTAGTCAACTTATCGGGCACTCCCGTTGCCATGCCGTGGATAGACCAGGTGCCGGCCGTGGTGCAGGGCTGGTTCAACGGGATGGAGAGCGGCAATGCTATAGCCGACGTGCTGTACGGCGAAGCCAATCCGTCGGGCAAGCTGAGTATGACGTTCCCACGCCGGTGCGAGGACAACCCGTCGTTTCTGAACTTCAGATCCAACAACGGGCAGATACTGTATGGCGAAGACGTATTCGTGGGCTATCGTTACTACGAAAAGACAGGAATTGTCCCGCTATTTCCGTTCGGTCATGGGCTCTCGTACACCTCGTTCGAGCTCTCAGACTTGCATCTGGAGCTGGAGGACGAGTGGATGTATGTGACTGTCACAGTGCATAATACAGGCGCTGTTGCCGGCCAGGAGGTGGTGCAGCTGTACATTGCGGCTCCAGAAGACCTCAGCAGCGTAGAATTGCCTCTCAAACAACTCAAAGGGTTTGCCAAGGTGCAGGTTCTGCCGGGCAGGTCGGCTACAGCTTCCATCAGATCCGCTGTCCGCAACGCGTGCTCGTACTTCGACGTAGCGCTCAACAGGTGGGTGATTCCCAAGGGCACGTACACTGCAATGGTCGGCAACTCCTCGGCGGCGTCCGGTTTTCTGCTAAAAACCTTCAGCTTCGAGCGGACACGTTCCTGGACCGGTCTATAGAATAAAAATAAAAAATAAATTCTCAGCGAAAACTGATAACGCTTAGAAATTTCGATGAGCACCACGCGGCCCGACGCCGTCCACGGCAGAAAGTACCGCAGCAAGAAAAACAGGCCGTGCGACCTGTGCCGCAAGAAGCGCATGGCATGTCTACGCGAGGATAACATGACACGATGTCTGCCGTGCGAGCTACGCAAGCTCGACTGCACGTACGTGCTGGAGCCGGTCAAGAAGCGCAAGCGCAGCAACGAGACAGCGGACGAGGCACCTACAGCGGAGAAAATCCGGCTCGACGTATACACCACACGACCGCGCCACCTGACAGTTTCGAGCAACCAGCTGGACCAGAGGCCGCGGACGCGGAACTCGCTCGAGCTCCACAACGGCCAGACGAGTCTTTTTGTGGGCTTCAGCGGCGACCAGGATCCATGGCTTTTGAGCAAGCTATACCGCGATCATGACGCGCCAGAGGAATCTGACATCAACTACGACCTCAAAAACCCCCTCAACACGAGTGTGCCGGTGATATTCTCGGTGTGTCCGACCGAGTATCTTAACCCGCGGCCTGATCGCTACCACGTCGATACGATCAAGCGGGTGGTTGACCCGTTCGCGGACAAGCTCATCGAGCGCTTCTTTTGTGCGATCAACCCGTGCTATCCCGTCATAAGCAGGTCTGTCTTCTTCCAGGACATGCGCAGCAAGACGCTGTCGTCGACGCTGCTCGCATCCATGTTCATCATCTCGTCGTCGTACCTGGAGAAAGCCCAGCGGGATGCCCTCAGCCAGGAGGACGCACAGACGTTCCAACTGTACGATTTCGTGCTGAAAGCGCTGTCGCTGGAGCAGGGCGCTGCCACGCTGCAGACTATCCAGGCGCTGCTGCTCAAGGTGAGCTCGCGGCCGCTGCTGATCCGCAACGCCAACGCTCCCCGCCACTGGGTGCTGTCGGCATCACTCGTAGCCATGGCACAGGAGCTGGGCCTGAACCTCGAGCCGCGCGCATGGGACATCCCGCTGTGGGAGGTGCGCATGCGGCGCCGGCTCTGGTGTACGTCCACGACAAGTGGGAGAGTTTTGGGCTGTCGCGGTCGTCGCACATCGTCGACACGGAGTTCAGGGTTGACGATCTGACGGAGACAGACTTTCTGGAGGAGCACGAGACGGAGCTCGCGCACGGGTCTGGGGTCCGCGTTTTCATCGCCATGGTGAGGCTCACCAAGGTGCTCGCTGACATGCTGGGATCATTCTACTCGGTATCGCAGTTCCTGAAGTGGAGCCGGTCGCCGGAGGAGATGCTCGCGGCCGGCGTCGACCTGATGAATCGCGCCAACGTCGTCGAGACTATATATCTGCCCACAGAATGCCCCAGCGAGCTCATTGGCTGTGTTGCCTCGTTTCAGCTCGCCAAGACGGCGGTGACTCTGTCCTGCTGCCGTGCGGTGCTGTACAACAACGGCGACGCCGGCAGGGTGGCCGTACACGAACGCGCCCTCCAGTACGCGGCAAGCTTTAATGGGTACTTGGAATCCATAGTAAAGGAGAACCTGGACGTGTACTGGTGGAGCTACTCGCGGGTGAACTTTTCGATCGTTGGGACGTGCATCATGGCGCTCTACGTGATGGCGATCGGAAAAGCCGAGGAGACGGGCTGGCGTGCCGAGGTCGAGCGGTACACACGCAATCTGCAGACGATCTCGAAACTCTCGCCGGTGGCTCATCTCGCGCTTCTTCGTTTCAGCGGTCTAGTGAAGAAAACGCGAAACTACGAGCAGGGCATTCGAAATTCGTCCGAGGCCGGCGGCTCGGACCAGCTGTCGCCTGGCGACGGCCCGCTCCGCTACGATCTCGACTGGCGTGGCGGCTCTTTCCCAGCCTCCTTCTTCAACGACGACGATATTTTCCTCGAGTGGCTGGCATCAGGACCAAAAGAATAAACTAGACCTATATCACTGTTTGTCCGCAACCGGGACCTCTACGTAGTTGATGTTAGACTCGTCGTCAATGCTGGGAGACTCGGTCTCCAAAACCTCGCCGAAAAGCTCACAGATCTTCTTGAGCGGCACGCCATTAGTCTCCACCCACACGAACGCGATCAGCGGAAGAAAAATGATATCGTAGCCACCCGTCAGCATGTAGAACTTCCAGCCGAGGTTGCTCATGCCGATCGGCAGCATGAAGGTCGCAAACAGGCCCGCAGAGTAGTCGCAGCCACGCATGATGGTGTTGCCGACGACTCGCGTCGGACTAGGGTACAGCTCCGGCGGGTACACCGACGTGATCGGCGTGTAGCAGTACGAGTAGAAACCGGTAAACATGAAGACCATGGCGATGGCCGCGTAGCCGCCTGACTTGTCATCAGACCCGCCGTACTTCTTGATCAGCCCGCCCAAGATGAAGAGACACTCGATCAGCCCTGTCGTTGCCAAGAATGCCTGTCTTTTTCTGCCGATGATGTCAAACGTGTAGCAGCCAATCAGCGCGCAGACGAGACACCACGCCGACCGCACCATGTTGACCTTGAGCTGGGTCTTAGCGTCCTTGACGCCGATCTGCTCCAGAAGGATCGTGAAATAGTATGTGGCAATGTTCGAGCCACCCAGCTCGCACAGCAGCCTGATATTGAGCATGATGAACGCCCTTTTCCAGTACGCACGGCTATGCAGCTGCCGTCTCCAAACACCGTAGCCCTTTGACGCGGCAGCCTCCTCGCGCAGCGACCGCTCAACCTCGGCGACCATGAAGTCTGCCGAGCCGGCGTCGTTGCGCTGCAAGGTGTAGAATATCTCTCTTGCCTCGTCGACACGGCCCTTCATGACCAGCCAGCGGGGCGACTCAGGCGTGAACAGGACGAGCGATGCGCATGTCAGCGACGGGACGACCTGGATGATCGTCGGAATGCGCCAGCTCCAGTTGCTCTGCAAGTCCCGCGAGCCGTACGTGACGCCGGACGCAATGAGCGAGCCGATGTAGTAGCAGCTGTGGAATAGGCCCAGCACCCAGCCTCGGATTTCCAGCGGACAGATCTCGGCCACGAGGACCGAGGCCGAGCAGTTTATCAGGCCGGCTGCCAGCCCAAGGAAAATGCGGCCGATGATGAACATGGCCATGTTCACAGACGCCGCAGAGATCGCGATGTCAATCACCATAAGCACGATCGCACACAGAATCGTCATCCTTCTGCCAATGCCGTCCGACGTTTTCTGTAGGAATGGCAGACTCAGGATCGAGCCGATCCAGATGGAGGCAGAATTTAGCCCGATGTTGGTAGATGTCAGGCTAAAGTATGCCTTGTACTGGGGCAGCGAGTTGATGGAGCCCATGATGGCAGACTCCATGCCGGTGGTCGCTGGCTCGACGACTGCCACCGCCACGACAATGAGCAGCATGCCCAGACGGGAGGTGGGGACAAACCGCGACAGGTATCTTCGTTGAGAGTAGTCGTAAGCTGCAGGCTGATTCATGCTTTGTTGGTTCCCGAAGTTGTAGTGCAAACGAGTGGAGGGGCACGAGGCCAAGCTATATATGCCTGAGACTGCGAAAAGACCTAGTGGCTCTTATCAGATATATTTTTCAGCTATCGAGCACGCCCGAACCCCAACTCGAAAAAGTTCGACTTGCAGTCTGATAGCCGCGCCATCTGAGCGAGATTAGCGTCGCCCGGGGGGCGAAACATGGGGGGGCGTAGCTGTTCTGGCAGGTCTGGCCGAAGGGGATAGCGAGAGCGAGGTGTCCATGATCAGGCTATTTCGTTCCTGCTGCTCACGTCTCCTGCCCCGGCTACGGGCAAAATATGTGAAAAGCGACTCCGGTACCGTCTCCTGGAGGTCGTCGCAGTACCGGAACATACTCACCGACGTCTCGTACTGCGGATACCCCGCGCACTCGTCTTCCCTGCAGAACAGCTATCGCTGTCGTGGGTGTATCGAATGCCGTTGTTGAGGTGGGCGAACAGCATGTGATCCGAGAGATAGCGTGACCAAATAAACGATTATGTGCAGCCGTGCGAGGACAGCCGAAGTTCAGCATGTGGTACCTTTTCCTGTGTTCCCAGCAGCTGTTGCGATCTCACAGAGAGCTCTTGCCGCACGTCTCACAGCTCAATGGCTTCGTGGAGAAGTGCGATCAAATGGAGCTCCAGGTGTAGCTGTCGGTAGAGCGACTTGCCGCACATGGGCCCTGTGCAGACGTACTTTTTCGGGCACTGGTTTTACTTTGTTGGAGGCCATGTTGGAAAAATATTTATCATGACGTAAAATTGATTGGAGCCCCGATTCGACCCCAGCAATTAATGATATATATAGCACTGTAAATGTGGGTGCAAACGGCCAATTGTTGTTTCTCACCAGTAGTTACAAGAGCACGACTTCTACTGAAAAGTTATTTTACGCTAGACTCCAAGGAATATCCGTCTTCTACAGAGAGGTCGGCTCCGAGGTCGAGCCAAAGCTGCTGTTGCTCCACGGCTACTCAACCTCGTCGTACATGTTCCGCAACCGGATTCCGCTGTTGTCGGAGTGTTTTCACGTGATTGCCCAGATTTGCCTGTAATCGAGTTCGCCGAGCCGCTTTCGGCTACATCACTTAAGAGCATCACCGAGACGATCGTCCAGCTTGTCAAGAATCTCGGCTGGAAAAAGTCTTCCGAGCACGTGTTTAACTATGGCTCGCCTGTTGGAATAAGAGTGGCCATTGAAGAACTTCCCGTATCAGTTTCGTTGTTTCACAGAAACGCTTACAATTCCTGATGTATTTTAGCGCATTAGTGGGGCGTCAGCTTGCATATTACCAGCCCGATCAGCTATAAGCGAGTTAGGGTGACAACCCGTCGGTTTTCAGCCGGCTACCCGGCTTCAGAGCCTCGGTCTTGGTCGGTCTACGTTTTTCTCTTACAAATCGGAGCGTGCAATTTCGTGCACGCACTTGGCAGCCGCAGCTGAGAGATGCTGAGTGATTTTCTTAGTAAACCTGTGTGTTTTGTCAGCTGCTGAGTAAAAGGCCGAGGAAAAACCCCGATCGGTGTGGCTGTGTTCGCGTGGTACGAGCTCCAAAGCTAATCAGGGTTGCCTATTTTTCTTAAACTCGCTGCCCCTGGTGGCGCACTCGTACCAGGAACCGGGAGGCAGCTGTCTCCGCAACGCTATAATTTCTTGTTTCCTGTATGCTTAGCAGGGGGTGTACATTAGTATAGCCGCACGGATTTCTGAAAACATACACCCCGTGGAAAGGTGGGTCTTAGTTCGTGTTCAGCACCACGATGCGGTTCCACTGCTTGCTGACCAGCGCATACTTATTGCCTTGGACAAGTGCTTAAGCGGGTACTTAGTCACTGGATGACGTTGAGTGAAAAAGTCCCTTGCTCATTCATGCGCGGCAGGTGCTTTGCTTCCTTCCTCGGATACGCGAAGCGGCACTTCACGGTGAGGTCCTTCATTATCACAATGCCGTACAGAATGCTGATATCGAAAGATGGTAACCAGAGAAAATCGCACTGCCTCCGAACCGAAGAGCTCTGAGGCCGTTGTTGAGGTAAAATACCGGCGCTACTGTGGGCGAGAAATCCGTCTACGGGCCCATATGATGCAAGCTTCTTTGCCTCCTTCTGTGTCTACGGAAAGAGCAATATAGAGCTGCCAACGTTCGGCTGGGGTCAGACACGCTAAGCGCTGGCGACTCACGCGCAAGACACATGAGACCGTCCAGCGACAAGGCTACGCTGATCTTCCTGGCAGCAATATAAACGTTGCAACACCTTGAACTTCTCGAGGAGTCCAAAAGTGTAGTATGCGGTGTACCTGCAGGGTCTGCAACCTTGGGTGAGCTGCGTCACGAGCGAGACAACGCTGTCGGGGTTGCCTTTTGGCTCGCACGTTGTCTTTTTGGCTGGTCGCTCCTGAAAATTCCTCTGCAAGAATTTATCAATTTATTTAATTCCTCACCTCCCTACAATTTGAGGATGCGTGCTTGTTTGCCCGCACGGCAGTTTCAAGGAGTAGCATCGAGTGTTATGCAGTCCGAGCGAGGAGGAGCTCGAGAACTCATTTTCTGCCATCCGCAGAGGAACTTCTTTTTGTAGATCGTAAACCAGTATTATTCTCCTCTTGCAAGGTAGAAAAAGGTGCGTAACTGGGAGTAAATTATCTCGCAAAATATGGCGGTGTTCCACGAGCTGATGGAAATAAGAGGACTTCCAGTGGCCGAGCACGAGGTCTATGTCACCGGCTACGACCTGATCTAAAAGATTCCATTCAAACTGGGGGATATAGTCGCCCAGACGCTGGTAGCCTGTGAGGTGCCAGCCAACGACCTCTGGGAGCTGAAGGCCAGCTGCAGACAGAAGGTGAGCATGTTCTCGATGGACAGCCGCCGAGCCACCTGTGTGCGTAACTCAGTACATCCTCCTAGTTCACAGATAAGGAAGCCGACATGTCCAGATTTCCCTTTTTTTTTCCACCACAGATCGTTTGTATTTGAGCATTTGGAAACTTCTGTAGATATTAAAAGTTCTCGAATATTAAATTTTGCAACTTAGTTTTTCTGCGAGACACATGACGATAGCGCAACATGCCCGTTTTGTGTATTCTGTAAATTTCAGTTTCGGTATCAACTATAACCATGAGATATCGCTAGGCTAAGCCCAACACCCTATGTACTTCCTCTGTCGAGATAAGCAGCTATAGATGGCCGTTGATAGGATTACAATATACTTTTTGTAGCTTCAAAACAAGTGTAGACCAGCTATCCTAAACGAATGATTATACCAAATCAGGCTTGGCAGTCATCTCGACTCCTCCTTCACAATCTCAATGACTTCCTGCTTTTCTTTGGCAGAGTTCACTGTCTCTGAGACCTCCTCGTCGTAGACCACCGTCGAAGAGTCCTTTTCTCTGATTCTCCAGCTGATGTACGTGACCACCGGAATCACGACCCAGAAGGCTCCTGCTGCCACCGACAAGTTAGTCATATCGTTGCCATTGGCAACTCCAACGACATAGGAAAGCGTTCCTCCAAGCGATTCAAAACCGCGGATCAGTCCAGACAGGTACGACAGCTCCTCTGACGTGAAGTCGTTGACGCCGACCACCCAGAAAACCCAGTTAAAGACGAACTCTCCCGGAATCTTGAAGATTTGCATTGGGACATATGTGTTGTAGTAGTACCCACCAGTTGCCCAATCCAGAGGGCCCAAGTCGTGGGTAAGCACGTATTTCTGCACAACGAAGCCCCAGATGAAGAAAGCGGTGTTGAAGAAGACAATTATCAGCCAGGAGATTCTAACACGCAGATGCAGCGGAATCCTTTGGCAGTCCAAAAATGCCCCCCCCCCCTAGCAGGTCCACTGCACAGCCAATCACAGAGGTGAGTAGGACGTTGAGGGCTCTGGTGCGCACGGAGAAGTTGTGTGTCATGAAGTTGCTCTGCCATGTCTTGTACCACGTGTTAACCAGAAAGATTGGAAGCAGATACAGCACTTCCTTTTTAGAGACTAGCTTAACATACCTCCTGAAAATCTGCTGAAGGTTTCCTTTAGCCAGGTTTGTCTCTGGTTTAGTGCCGTCCTTCCGGAGCACTTTCTCAGGCGGAGACAGGGCTAATGCAAGGAACGGCCCGACGCACTGAATCGAAAGCAGCGCGACGTATGTGTTCAGGCTGACCTGGCCTTTATTGGTTCCGCTATAGTTCAGCGCGAAAACAATAGAGCCGGATATGATTCCACCAAATTTGTTGAGGAAGGCCCAGATACCGATGGAAAGGCCCCTTCTTGACTTTTCTGGGTAGCTCATCACAACCGCTCCCTCTGAAGTCCAGAATGCTGCTCCCGAGAAACCAAGAATAACGGAGGCAACCAGAATAAAGACTTGGTTGCCTGTCTTGCTGTTGTAATAGAGCGACGAAGAGTAGATAGCGTAGCCAATGCACCCGATGAACAGAGTCAGCTTCAGGCCGAACAGGTTGGCAAAAAGGAAAATATGGGCGCCAGGCCGGTCATCAAGGAGTTTATGATGACCGTCGAAACATAGTATGTGTGCGTAGTGGCCTGCCCTCCTGCTCCCAGGCCGGAGATGGCAGTATAAATACCAGGCTGCGTAAAGGATAGCAGCCCAATGAGGAAGGCCTGGGTCAAACTAGACCTGAAGATCTGGTGGGCGAGTTCTCTGGAAAGCATGTCTCGAAATAGAATTGTGTTTGGGATTTTATATCGGTTATCAGATGCATATCTTAGATAGCTTATCGGGAAAAAAGATAACATTATCGTGCGGTGAATGTTGCCCGAAGGGCAAACGAATGTGGAAACTGCCACAATCCGGTGGCGGGGTGGCGGGGTGGCGGGGTGGCG